AAAACGCAAAGAAAAGCGGTCTGAGCCAGAACCAGCGTGACAAAAAGTCATCTCCTCCAGGTCGGATAATGGCTGTTTGCGTGCCATATCAATCCAATTTTGGCTTCAGAACATGCCTGGTCATGCGTAGTTATCATTTTCTTTCTTCTATACATCCACAAATTTACCCCCACATGACAATTGATGATGCGCAGGTGCTCGAAATGCCAATACAGAGGGAAGTGAAGAAGTATTGGCGACTCCAAGTCCCTTTTTGTTTGTTTTTGTCTTTCGAATAGCTTTTTGTCGTTTTCTCGATTTGCCGTTTCATTCGCTAAGTCTAATCACAGAGTTCCAAATACAGTGACCCAAAGAGAATAACAAACGTAATCGTTCTCATCTGCGGTTATCGAATTTCCAACCACTTGGGTTATTAGGAGCGTTTGCTAATACTTGGAAAGATCTAATTGGGGTTTACTACTGCCTTTGCAATTGCGATGTCCTCCGTGACGGTGGAATCGTGTGCGTAAAGAAGTTTTTCCCACCTTCGGTATTAATCTACGAATCCGAAATATGGGCATGTGTAAAAGAAGCTTATTTAGAGTGCCTCTACTCTTGAGAATATCAAACAGGACGCCTTCGCTATACCAAGGCAACGATATCATTCTTTACGCGTAGACAATGAGCTATATTCCCCACGTTCTGTTGTTGTAAAAGTGTCGCTGTACTTGTAAATTAGTTATTCTCCACTCACGTACGGGCATTTCTACTTATCAATAGGCGGTGGAACACAGCACTTTCTAGCTCATGCTGCTTATAAGATCATTTAGTCATAAAGAGTTGTTTCCAGGTGGGAAGAAAGCCACGCAGGAAGGAGTTGAAATATCCTCGGAAGAACTCGTGACAAGTCATATACAAGAAGCTATGAAGTTCATCATAATAAAAGGTGTGCCATGAATTACTCGCGGGGAGACAAAAATATACGTTACTTCTTCCCGTCGTAACTTCATGTACACGTTGTACCCTATAGCTGACACGCGCATAACACCCCCTCCATAACTGCCTCCCTCCCTTTCCCCAAAACATCCTATCTGTGCGTCGAATTCGTATCATTCGTAGCGTTTGGTGTGTAGCTATCTAATCTGATGCTCGTGATGCTTCGTTCTGCTATCTCGCACAATTTGTGCCCCGATCGTGCAAATCAAAACTGCTTTCGTCGTCTGTTCTCTATCTTTTTAAGCCAATCATTCATTCCCTTGTAATAACTTTCAAATGGGGAGCGATAGTGATGCCACTGTCGCCGCCTATGGGCGATTTACAAACCATATGGTTTATCTATAGTTCCTGAGTTCCGTATGTACTCTCAACTTTGTGGCTAAATCCATGAAAGTATGCAGAACGTATTCGTGGTACAACGTGCCTATTGTCGTTGTTACTACTGCTGCTACTGCTATAGCTACGAAGGAGGTTGTTGGCACGAGAGCCCTCGATAACGAGGCTGGGGCGGTTGGCGCGACTTTAATGCGGCCGATGAGGGGGTTTTATATATCAATAGCTGAGAGAACAGAGGCTGTAGTAGTAATAGCGACACCGCTGTTAATATGTAGAGTTCTGTAGTACCTCTCCAGCTTAGAGACATAGAGGGCAGTTACCCGCATCCAAAAGAACGTCAAGCTGGTATGAGCTATTCATAGTACGCAACGGAAGTACGTAGCGTAGACGCCGCTTAGGCGTATCATATATATTTCGACCGCCTCCGGTATGACATGTATGATCTATTATGGGATGAACTTATAAGCTCACAGCATTTAATTACGTAACGTCGACTAACAACAATAAATTATAAAGTTGAGGGGTGGGAGGACCGCTGGAGCGCTGCGCGAGCGCAGGGCGCCGGACCATGCGCAGAAGACCGCGCGGCGACTATCAAAAGGCACAAGGGCCTCCTGAAATTCGAGTCCTCCATTCTCATCCAACTACGCACCGGACGACTAAGCACCCGCGCGCTCCTCTACAAGATAGGCGCCCCCGGCGTGACGTCGCCGCTCTGTCGGTGCGAGGAAGCCCTTGAGACTGGGGAACACATCCTCCTCCACTGCGACGCACTTAGAGCGAGCCGGGAAAAGATGTGGCACGACGCCGGTAAGTGCCCGCCGCGCGGGAGCCGCGAGTTAGCAGCGCTACTAGACCAGCCGCAGCTTAGCAAGAAGGTGGCCCGGTGGCTCATCGCGGAGAACCTACTCCCCCACTTCGCTAGAGCGGGCGAGGAGGCCGCGGCACAGGAACAGGGGACGCGGGAAGCACGGGAGGACGAAGCACAAGCGAGAATGCAGCGAACACGAAGCGCAGGCGATGCGGGCACAGGGGCCCCGGGCTGGTTGCCCCGGATACTGAAGCCCACATACACGACGACCTCCGCGAGAGGGAGCGTCGCTGACGATGCGCCCGCGCAGCGCTGACGGGGCGCACGCGCCCCTAGAAATCACACATACCCAGGAGCTGCACCGGCTTAGAGGCGTGGAGGGAGGCGACCAATCTCGCCCAAAGAACGTCTGGCTGGTGAGAGCCATTCGTGATACGCGACGGAACCACGCAGCGAAGACGCCGCTTAGGCGTACCGAATACGTAGCGTATATTTTTTATCCGGCTTCGGTACGGTTTATTATACGATAGATTTGTAGGCTCGCGAAACCTAACTAGGTAACGCGTACTAATAATAATATAAATTATAAAGTGCTCCTGGTTAGAGAATAATTCTTCTACGTTATTGCGCGAAAGCTATCACAGCCTTCAGAGTGAGAGGGGCAGGAGCTGCTAAATAATATCAACACCGTGTGCATTCAATATTATTTATACAGAGTCAAGCTTCTGGTCCTGTTTATTATATGTAAGCTGTCACGATTTAATCAGACACTTCATCAATCCTTCTTCGATCAAGCCCTTTTGAAGATTATTGTTAGCTCGACTTATCACACTTAAAGTTTGTGGCGCGATCCTGCCCGCAATAATATTACGGTAATCATACCAAAAGAAATTCCATACTTAGTATAATTAACCAGAATACTATGTGGAGAGAAACCTATCAGCGTAGACAACGTGATGGCAATATCTACTTGAAGCAACCAGCCTTTACCTGTAATTTTTCCAAGCCTTCCAAGAGAATCGCCGCCCGGCTAACCCTCCAATGTCCTCCGATTCTAGGTAGGAGCGACAGGGTTGATTACAAATTTGAATCCGAACTGTCTATTTGACACAATATGTGAAGCTTTGAAGCTATCTTACGTCTCCGATGCAGGTAAATGGGCATCAGCAGAATATTGTTCTGTAAGACACATGGTGCTGTTTTTCCCTTCCGTTTTTTTGTTTGCGGCAAGCCCTTTGAGTGTATCTACGGCTTGACGACTATTCATTTCCGTGAGCAATATTCACTTCCTGTCTTGTTCTTTTTCATGTGTACTATTTCGTGTGATCAGAGCACGCGTATTATACTTGCTATGAATGCTTCAAAATATTAATAAACATCACTGGTAGCTGCTTCGAGGAACAACATGCATGAAAGAGCAACGACAAACTCTATCAGTGAAATGAGTATTGTTGTCAGCAGATATCCTTCCTCCGAAGAATACTTCATAATGGGTTGCCCGGGTATTAGGTAGTAAATCGTTACGCGTTATGTGAAAGTAATAGTTGGCATACTTGCCCTGGCGTATCAATCGGGCACGAATCTGGCATTCTGCTCTGAGCAAGCGGGTGCACTCTCAGCTACCTGGGATGTTGTGTCTCGTTGCCTTCTGGTCGGTAACGGAGCTCACAGTCGCCCAATCGGCAGGGCAGTGCTTTTATTATCTTCTACATGCTGTAATCATGGCCTGCGCTTCTCGCCGCTCATATTGTCCTTGCCTAGGCTTCCCATTGTTCAGATCCCATCAGCTACATGCCCATTAGTCCGTATAGCTGAAACCACACGTATATTTTAATACTCCCCGTTTGTACTTGAAGGGCCATCGTTCATTCCCAGTTCATCTCGTGACGATATCCAGACACCGCAGAACTCATGTTACGCGGTGTGCCCCACTGCTTCGAAATTGCTCTATATGGCAAGCGAACAGATGTTGACCCTTATTTGAGACCAATCTAGTAAACTCACCCTTGGCGATGTTTCATCCAGCCGTACTTCCATTCTGACATTATCACATGGCAACGCATCCTAGTCTGGCCAGGCCAGACTCCACCGATCCACGGCTCAGAATGGTCAGAAACAGCTCGCGTAGCCTCCTTATATTTAAAGGTTGCCCAATATTTTCTTTCTCCAAGCCTTTTGGGAAACATACTCGTGTAGATGCCCCTTTCGTCGAGTGAGCTAGCTCTCTGCGTGGCAAAGCAGAACCACGCTGCTTTATTTTCCGTGCTCTTTCCTTGCGAACGAAAGAATTCGCGATTCTAAGGAGCAGTACAAAAGCACCGATGATTCAGATATAAGTGTTCATCATCGTGGTGCGGGAACGCGATCGGTATTTAATTAGCCTAAATACAGCATGCGGCAAGCTGGGCCCACCGATTCCCGCAAACCCTGTCTACAGCCTGATACTGATGATGTGTTGTAACTCATGGTTGGGAGAACCACATGGCCCTCGGGATGTTTTTGCCTACTTGACTCAGAGTGCAGAGCACCACTTGGTGACTTATGCTAAATGCAAAGCTAGACACTTGAAAGCCCTTGTTGCCGCATTCAAGCTTTTGGACCAGTTAACGTAACTTCAGGCTGGCAAAGATGTGCGTGCCGCGTTGAACGAAGCATATTTAATTGAGCGGCTGGCATCTGCCGATTGGTGATCTCTCGTTGCGTGCGAGCACATGATCGTACCCCGCCAATACAGGCTGCCTCCGGCTGCAACATCAACATTGATGGCTCCACCTACGATGGACACTAGTCGCGCGTCGGCAGATTACAATGTGCGGGGACCCCGCGTCGATCGTTTCGGCAGATGGTAGCTTCTCGCCTCCTAGCCTCTCACGTTCGGCATTGAATGTGCTTATGGGACGGCGAATACCATGAATATGCCCAGGTATAAAGCCGTTGGTCTTCCCAGGGGTATGTGGTAGACGAGCCTTGGTTTCACCAGAGCAAAAGGACAACGAAATACACATATATATCAACCATGAAACGATTTATCACCGTTGCTACGGCTGTTTTGCTGCCCTATCTAGGTGCAACTCTGCCCGCACCTGGCGAAACCGCTCAAATCCCCCCACCAGTGGCCCTAGCAAATCGACAAGTGTACGTCTGGGCCTGCATTTATTAATTGGCAGGCAGGCAGGTAGATTTTGATCACCGCTGACATGGCCGTCTTGTCCAGTCTTGAGGAAGGGCAGCTAACCTTCCATCCTGCCACGGAACCGAATGGCGTGGGGATACTTGTCGTCCCCGGCGGCGGCTATTCGGGCGTCTCTCTGGATTATGAGGGAGCAAACACCACTGCCTACCTGAACGCGAGGGGCTACGACGCATGGGTACTCAACTACTCAACCGCGGCCACTGCGCCCACGCCGCTGTATCCGAAACCACAGAAAGAGGCTCTTGCCGCGGTTGCTCAGATCCGCAGTGAGAATCGCGTTTCCAAACTGGGCATCTGGGGCTATTCCGCCGGCGGACATCTGTCGGCGATGACTCTGACGGAGCCTGGAGTGGCGCTCGATTTTGGCATTCTGGCATACCCCGTCATCACGATGGACCCAGACTTCACGCACGCCGGATCTCGAAGATACCTGATTGGCGAGAATCCATCGCTGGAGTTGCAAGTCGCAACGTCGGCCGAGACCCGCGTCACGCCGCAAACACCGAGAACCTTCATTTTCCACACTGCAAATGACCCAGTCGTGCCAGTCGAGAACACACTGTGGTTTGTGAGTGCGCTCGCAGCAAACAAGGTCCCTTTCCAGTCGCTGGTGCTCCCCGACGGCAACCATGGAATCGCCTTGGCACTCGCGGACCCCGAGCGAAACTGGACACCCGAGCTGGAGAGATGGATGAAGTATTCGATCTAAGGTGGACTGGTAAGAGAGAAGGTGTGGACGGGTGGGAGGCGTGCAACCATGACCCCTGTCTACTACACGATTTTACGTTTTATGATGTGCATCAATGCCACAGCGCTCCAGTTGACTACAGCGTCGGTCAGCATGCCTCCGCTTCATATTTCAATTAGCTAGCTCAGTGTTCAAACGCAGTTTGGCTTGGCCTGCGATTCGTGACCTAAGCTGGTAACCGGTTGTGCGGCATCCGCTCTACATGACTCGATCGTTGAGCCACTGTAATGGTAAGATTTTCTGATCCATTTGTCGCTGTCAAGTTTTAATCTGGTACTTCTGACTACCGGCGTGTTTCTTTGGTCCAGTGGTTTTCGCAGCCGAATGGAAGTTGGAGTGGCTTGATGAATGGAACTCGATATTCCGCTACGTGAGACGTGGTGGTCCGCCAACGATGAACTAAGTGACCAGCATAGTAGTGCCATCTATCTCTTTGCGCGAAACCATCAAGCTCAGATCCGGAACATGCGCCGCAACCTTGACGGCAATAGGCAACTTTGCCGACTAGGGTATTGCCTGCGAGTGGGTTTGAGAAACCAAGCAGAGGCCGACAGTATCAGCAAAATATATGCACCGTCGAAATACATCGGAAATGGTTCCAACTGGTCAGTCGATCCGTGCCGTGCATCCAGGGATCAGTTGAGCATTGTCCTGCCATCGGCTAGTGCCAAGGGTTGGACACATTGCTAATGCTGCCGCCACACTCAAAGGTGCTGGCCAACGCCTGGCTTGCGGATGTCTCGCCGTGAGCGCATGAATTAAGCGTGGTGACGAAATCTAGCGGTTGATTGGCTCGAAAGACGGGAGTAATACCTCGCAGATTCGACCGACACCACCTGAAGAGCGTGCCTCTTTGTAATCATTAAGCTCCAAGACATGTCTGCACGGTATGCTTGAGGACCGTAGTACTAGCTGAAGCCGCGGCGAATCAAATCGCATAAGGCCTCGCGGCGCTGGCTCCGAGATGAGTGCTTGCTTATTTACAACTATTCACGCCTAAGACATCTGCACACTAGGCTGGAGGTCCTGCTAGTGGCTGAGGACGCGTCGAATTAGATTGGCTCTAGCTTCACAGCGCCAGCTTCGTGCCGAAGTGTGAAATGTCACGCAGACTCCCACAGTCAAGTCCCGAGTTGTCTGAAGCAGTCGATCGCAGCTTCCGGTCGCAGCCTCCAATCACAGCCTCATGGGCATTCTCCGTACTTCCGTCCTCCTCAGATGCACGCGTATCCTCCATTGTTGCGCATTACCTGCGAATCAACGACGCGAGGGTTCCGGCTGTGCGAGCAGCGGGCATCTGCACACGCTTCTGTGCCTAGGAAACATGCTATGGTCGCGCGAGACACAGCCTCAGATCGACGTGCATGATGACGTGGGATTGACAGGATCAGTAGTGGGCGCCCGTCCACTAGGGTGTGGCCGCAGTACCACGGGTCCTTCCGCTGGGCACTTGAGCGCTGCGGGAGGGAGGGGGGTCAGATATGACCGAGGTGAATCTAGCAGCGGGAGCGGCGGTGCTGCCGCAGGCCCAATCTCACATCCCGTCCTTGTTTCCTCCTTGTTCGATACGCAAGATCGTGCGCCAAGTCATGGCATGACTCTGGTCATGTCGTCTTGAGAGCCACTTGCATTGTCGGGTCTTCCAGCTGAGAGCGCCAACGAGCGCGATGTGAGTCGAGAAATCCAGGTTCCTCTATGCAAAAAGGCCTGGTCTGCAGTACGACCCGCTGCCGCGCGACTTCCAAAATTCTGGTTGGAGCCAGCACCAGAGCGAAGATATGGAGGGAGGGACCTGACAGATATGTCAGATCTCCGGGGTCAGGAAAGCAAGATTCTGCAGCTTTGTCACCTGGAGGCGGCTTCAGATCTGTCAGGTTTTTGATGCAGGTGAGCTGTTGACCAGGGTCCCGAGATCTTTGGATCGTAGTGCCGCATGAAGGAGATAAAGAAATCCAATCCCATTGGCTCGGAGAAACATCCGATGGCGTTCAGTGAGTCTATGCCTACCCATCAGTGAACCCGTCATGGACGAAAGGCGCAGCCCCCAGTCAGGCCCAACAAGGACTGCTCTTGGGCATGGGAAGACGTCAGCCCATACCGGCCGCGATCACGGAGCCAGGCGAGTCTGATCCAGGTTGGCGCCTGTCGAGCTTCTTGGTTAGTATCCAGACATAAAGCGCACTGCCCTTTGCGGGTGACCGAGGTTTCCTCACAGACAGTGCTCAGCCAGTCTAACGGCCGCGATAACAAGGCATGCGGAACGTCGGACGACTCCAGGGGAAAGACAGGGACCATGCATAGTGGATGGCACTATCGACAAGAACAAGGATAGGCAAGGCGGGGATGGTGATGGCTCGATCCGATGCCGATAAAGTTGCGGCCGCCATCTCAGCTGGCTTCAACCTACATACTTGCATACAGACATATATGTCAGCGTCCCGCACCGCCTTCCTGTTGGCAACAGCTATTGGCGACATCTATCTACATGCCACTTACGAGCAGGCATCTCGATCAGCCGCACTTTGGGATCACACGACCCAGGCATGCATGATGCAAGCTAGTGTGTGAGAAGAATGGAATGGAAAGCTGCAAAGACGGCTGACACACACTGGTGATGCTTCCAATCATCGTGCATGTCGAGCTCGCGGATCAGCGAACACCCCAGACCGTCGTGTCATTGTTGTAGCTGAGCTGCTCTGGGAGAGATCCCTGTTGTGCATGGGCATTTCCTTTTGCTGCCACCTGCCCCTACCATCTCGAGACATCCTATCTAGGTCAAGCCGATGTAGCATGGCCACACCCAGACACCACAACGTCCACGACGCGTATGTCGATGACGGGCTCATCCTTGTCGCGATAGGTCCATGGGGGGCTGAGATATCCTGTTCTGGGCCTTACCGACCGTCTCACCTACCTGGCGTGGCCAATAGGGCTGCGGGGTGCTCCGGAGACGCCCCCGACATTACGTTGCTCGACGCTGCTGAGCTCGAATCCCTGCTGGCCGGTGCCCAGCCGTGCACGCCACATTCAACTTGGCGCTCGCGTTGAGGGTCTTCCCATTCTCCCCGGCAGCCGGCATATATAGCACACAATCCAGAGCTCAGGTCTGCATTTGTCCCTGGCCCTGGACGTGTCGAGCCTGCCCGACATGACTGGCCTTGTTAAGACAGGAGACACGTTTGATGTCCCCCTCGCCCTCCTGACGACACCTAGGGCTTAGGATGGAAGTTGCCGACGAATGGGCCGCCTCATTTTGCCTTATGTGTGAGCAGTCGAGCCCTGGCGGCGACTTCTGTTCTCCGTTTTGTTGTATGACCAACTACCAGAGCACGGCAATATCCGACTCCGACTCCACGGGGAGCTTTGGCACCACAACAGGCTCGTCTTCTACTGCCGACAAGGGTGGTGGTCTGAAGCAGGACATGGTTGTGTTGGCTCAAGCCAAAACCCCTGGGACATCATACCGGCAGGACACCATCCGCGGCCCGAATCCAGCGATATCAGACTTGGAGCACTTTCGCTTGCTTACGCCTCAGTCGCAACATTCCCTTCCGGCAAAACCGCATCCGCCGAGCACACTCCTGCCATCATGCACGGCTGGCCAAGTTATCGAGTATCTGGGCACCACACACCCCTATGAAGATAGCGGTGGGCTTCTGCATCACGGGACAACAGCGTTCCCCTCCGACGTGACCCAGCAAGGTCCTCAAGAGACGGCTTCCTTGTTCTGTACACGCAGCGGCATTCGGCCAGATACATCGACCGTGGAGCCTACTCAGAAAAGAAAGAGACCAAGCTCTCGTCCCAAAAGGCGCAAGGTAGTACAATACAGACAGCTTCTACCATGGGAGCGCCTTGAGCAGGCCAGGCAGATCAGGCGTCTCGACCACTGCGACGATCTCACATGAGCAACAACACCCCTCGTTTTCCAACACGTGGGTGGAAACACATGCATCACGCCCATGCTTCCGCATGTAGGAGCATTCGGCACACTCTCCTTAAGTCTTCACTTCGCTAGGTGCGCCATGTGCTCGTTCTGGCAGCCAAACTCCTGGTCATCGCAGTATTTCACGCATATCTACCACGACCATTGAGGCTTTCTGTCACCTCATCCTGTGCTCGGCGGCCCCAGCGTAACTCTTCCGCGTCATCGTGTCGGAATTGCTCCTTCTATTTGATTTTCTGTCTGACCTCTTCGGTTTTCTCCTACCGGCTTCGGCCCGTTGTATCGGATTTTGTTGTTCCTAAGCCCCCTCTGTGTTTCTGCAGAAACAATGATACCCTTGGCATTATGGTCACGGTGCGCTCTTTCCTGCCCGTCAGGCCAGTGTTTTCGTCGTTTTCTCCTTGGAGGGAAAGCAGTTAGTATCAGCCTAGCGGCGAAGTACATCAGCACCACATAAAAAGGCGGGTGGCTGATCACGTAAGAATAGATATGTCCATGGAAACTCACTTGCATTGGTCTATTCCCGCGTACAACGAGATAAATATTGGATTTCCTCGGTCAATCTCGGCACCATAACGCTGTTGGAGTTTATCTCAAGTACCATTCTAGTATGTGTCTGCCAGTGAATTGCCAGGTCTGTTTTGTACATTCGAGTAGAGCTTGGCTTGACGTTGATGTGACGACTTTGCCCAGAGACCACACACCCACGTCTCCTGACCAAGCGTACTCGGAACCATCGAGCCGCCCGTGGGAAGGCGTCGTATAAAGTTCAACACGCGCAAGTGACCGAACTAGGCAAGCTGCTGTGTCGCTTTCAACCTTGAGATCGTTGTGATGTGCGAGAACGAGTGGCGTGCGCAGTGCTCAGCTTGGACTACCCTCGACATTTGTCAAATTCAAGTAATGAGCAGCTTAGTGCCTCATCAGCTATCTCGCAGGGCGAGTGTAGGATGTGTCATGTGCAGCCAGAGGACACTGGTCTACTCTTGTGTGCTATCGTCCTTTGCGCCAATGCAAGTGGTCGTGTGCCATGCACCGCCCTGCGCAAAAAGAACAGAAGAGGTTACGGAAACACATTTTCCCACAGGTTAAGAATGACAAAAACACCTCCCTTTGAGCCCGTCGGACTTTGATGATGGGCCCATGCTTCTGGTGTGCCCAGTCGACTCTTAGCACGTTGGACTGTCTCACGACATCGAGTCTGTCTCAGATCTCCCGGCCTGACATTTCCGTTTTCAGGATTCTCCCGGCTCGGGAGGATGCGTTCTCGTATTCCTGTGGCAGATACGATTTACATGCTTATCTGCATGGGCCATACCAACATCATTGTGCTCGAATGTGCATGTGGTGCGTAGCCATGAGGTCTTCATCGTGGCTCGCAGATATGACCGGACAGCGCAGACCTAGGGTGAGGGTTGTAGAAGAGTGATGGCTAGGTCCAGGTGGTGACTGTTCTTCGGACACCATTGGGAAACGCCCACGAGAACGACGGCTGCGATTTCAAGGGACACTCCCTGGAAACGATGACAAATCTACGGACATCGTGATTGAGGTACAGGCCAGCGCTTTCTCCGTTGCCGTAAACACGCTCCCCGCCTGCTGATAGGGGTAAACAACACGGGACATACCTGCAATGCCACGATATCATGCTCCGGATCGATACATATCAATTGCCAGCAAATCTCCGCGGTTGGTGCGGGCAGAGATGCAGGAAGGTTGCGGCCCTGTCGTGGCAATCAATCACCGCCTGGGTCAACGAGCCCACGATGGGCAATCACCGGCTCTCCAAAGGCCGAGTTGCCTGCTGCCCGGGAGTCTCACGGCCTTGATCACCTTTTGACGTGACGCGATCTTGTGTGCTGGAAAAGCCTGGCGTAGTCGTCATGCGTGAAGCCCATGGCTATTTAGAGGCGGATGACCACCCCAATGCCAGCCACGCTTGCTGATGCGCATGCGCAGACATGGCAGACATGGCTGCGATCGTGCTCTCACCGGGTGAGTCACTAACAGGCAGCAAGACTGTCGCACGCGTGCTTGTTTGGCAATCAGCAGCGCGGCAGCACACGGCGATAGAGTTGTAAGCACCGTTGTGCCCGAAGGCTGCGTTGTTGCCAACTCGCCCTCTGGATCATCCCCAGTGCGTCGCAGGCGGCACCTTCTCGGCCCCGGCCACGAGATCCACGAAGTCTGGGGCCTGGTGGTGCCGAGTCACTAACGGCGCATCGCCAACCACGTCACCGACTTTCTGCGGCGGCTCTGAGTTGACCCTGCCTGTGCCTGCTCAATTGATTTGTCAGGCGGGGCCGCTCTGGTGCTGCAGTACACGACATGGAGGCGCCTCTGGTGGGACTCGGGGACAGAAGTATCTTTTTGGGGGGCCGGCAGCCACCCACTGTGCTGGACACTGGGGACAGATAGGGACAGGGGCGGGGCCGGGAACGGACCATTTGTGCGGCACAAAGAAGTGCCATGGCAGAGAGAAACTGGGCAGCGCAGAAAAGTCTGTTTTGGCTCGGCACCCCACTAGCCAGATGTCGCTTGGTGAGCTGCTCCCTTGATGAACTGTTTTCTGGCCTTCCACAGATGGCGTGTCAGTTTCGGACTTAAGCCCAGAGATCGTGGTCGCGTCGGAGCCCTGAGCAGTGTGGCGTCATTGACTTGGCCTGTCTCTTGGAGCAGAGCAGGCATCCGAGTTGAGCAGCTACTCGCGACCAGCCCGGTGTCTCTATCCTCGCCCATGCTGTCTTCTGTCGACAATGACGCGTCCAAGCTCGCCCGTGCCCAACGAGCATAGAGGCTGTGGCAAAAAAAAGCGTGGCATGATGGCATTGCGGAACTCGCCCGCTGGCAGAGGTACAGAGTTCAGAGCCGCCCCCACCAGCGTCAGCACTGTAAATCTAGCAAGCCGCACTTTCGCACGTGGATCGTCCCGATGCGTGTTAGCACGGACACACTCCCTCGCTACCAAAGCTTTGCAAAGCAGGGGGGGCCCCTGGAAATAGCGGGCGGCCCGTCGGACTTTACGCTTTCGTGGTCTTCGCGCCGCGACACCCTCGACACGGCTGCTGGGGACTATGACGGAGATGGATCGGATCGAGGGGATTCCCGCGCTAGTCCTGATGATGCCATGATGCCACTACCGACGAGCTCTCGCGGGGCTCGCGTGCGCAGATAAGAGACCAGCGCCCCTCGCCCTCTTCAGTGTAGCGCATCCAACACTTGACTCTGTCCTCTCACATCTCAACTCTCTTGACTACACACTCCTGCACGAACGAGCTCGATACCCAAGCAATCCTTACGTCGAAAAAATACCCTTGACGATTCCAAAAACTTCGCCTGACACCATGGCTGCCAACGACAAGTTTGAAGGCTGGCTCGGCCTCGACAAGGAGTCGGTTAACGGCAACATGCAATGGGGTGAATTCGAGCCCAAGAAGTGGTCCGAGGCGGACGTTGATATCGAGGTAGAGTGCTGCGGCATCTGTGGCTCTGATGTAAGTCTGCTGATGCGGTGGTGTCGTGAGGTGGAGGTGAGGGTTGCGGATGGTACACCACCACCAATCCCGGAGTGCAGCAGAAGGCTAACGGAATTTTCTCTGGGCAGCTGCACATGCTCAAGTCTGGCTGGAGCCAAACTCCCTACCGTGAGTGCCGTCCAAGCATTCTCCTCCTCCCCCTCCTCCTTTTTGCTAACTAATCTCTACAGCTTGCGTTGTTGGCCACGAGATTGTTGGCAAGGCCGTCCGCGTCGGCTCCGAAGTCAAGGATATCAAGGTTGGCGACCGTGTCGGTGTTGGTGCGCAGGCGCGGTCGTGCCTAAAGCCCGACTGCGAGGAGTGCTCGACGGGCCAGGAGAACTACTGCGGCAACGGCAATGTCAGCACCTACGGTTCCATCTATCCCAATGGCGAGGGCAAGTCCTATGGTGGCTATGCCAAACACAACCGCACCCACAACCGCTTCGTCGTCAAGATTCCCGAGGGTCTCTCCTCAACTGACGCCGCGCCCATGCTGTGTGGCGGCATCACCGTCTTCTCCCCGCTCAAGCGCAACGGCGCCGGTCCGGGTAAGAAGGTCGGCATCGTCGGCGTCGGCGGCCTCGGCCACTTTGCGGTCCTCTTTGCCCGCGCGCTCGGTGCTGACAGGGTCGTTGCCATCTCGCGCAAGGCTGACAAGCGCGAGGACGCCCTCAAGCTCGGCGCTGACGAGTACATTGCTACCGACGACGACAAGGACTGGGAGAAGACACACAAGCGGTCACTCGACCTCATCATCAGCACCGTCTCGAGCGCAAAGATGCCCCTGACCGGCTACCTCGGCCTGCTCCGCGTTCACGGCACATACATCCAGGTTGGTGCTCCCGACGGTGGCGAGCTCCCCCCTGTCAACGCGTTCACTCTGCTCGCCAACGGCATCAAGCTCGGCGGCAGCGGCATTGGCAGCCCCGACGAGATCAAGGAGATGCTGCAGCTCGCGGCCGACAAGAAGATCAAACCGTGGGTCCAGACTCGGCCGATGAAGGATGCCAACGCTGCTATTGTCGACATGACGGCTGGCAAGGCTCGCTACCGCTATGTCCTGCAGAACTAGACTGGAGTCCTGTTGTTGGCATTTGGCGAAAAGCTGGGGTGTTATGGCGTATGACGGATTAGATAAGACTGAATGAAATCGATGGAATCGTTTAGTTACTAGCTTGTCTTGAGCAAAGCCGCGCAGGATAAGCGACAACATGGATTTCGTGTCAATCTCGTGTGTGCACCATTCAGTGATATGGATTGAGTTGCACGGACTTTCGCCAGGTACAGACACGACACTGTGATGGTTCATTTCCAGGCAGTCGACTGCGGATGAAGGCACGACGCATGCAGGTCATTCAGTTGAGAACGAAGACAACCATAACGCTTACATGATGAGTTTACTGTATCTGGCAGTCCATCCAGTCATCCATACACGGGGTGCTTGTCGAATTCACGCCGTAAAACCACATCCTTACCCGTCATGTACCCGTACATTGTGAGTCGCCGCTATCTTGAACCTCTGGATCTCTGAGCCATCATACACAAAGCCCAATGCAAGCATAGTGCTTCTGCTCTGTGTCGCCTCACACATCTATTGGGACGACTGGCCTCGTTACCTCGTGATTGGGAGCCTCAATGTACACATAACAGATATACCAGAACCGGAAGGTATTTCCATGTCAGGCGTGCAAGCTCAGATGTGATCGCGTATTGTCTAATCTACACAAATCTCCCGAGTTCCTTGTCAACCCACTACTCAAAACCGAGCTGAAGAGTATACTTGAGCGGCGTGATACCGGTGATATAAACTTGGTGGCCCACCAACTCTAGCTTGCCGTTCATCCAGCTGTATTGCTCTCCGGCGCCACTTAATAGCCGACCATCGCCCAACCCTGGGCCAAAGCTGATGGTATTTTGCCCAGATGCGGACGTGTACCTGCCTGTGCCCTCAATAAGATGATACGTCTCTGCGCCATCCGCCTCGGTGGTGTCCTCGAGCTTCTTCAGCCCGCCCTCGGCCGAGGACGAAAAGGTGCCGTTGGGGCGGAAGGTGAGCTCGAACATGACCTCCACATCCTGCTCTCCACTGACCTCAAATTCGAGATCGTAACCCGCGTCGGTCGGCACAACCTTGACCTCCGTCTGCAGCCGACGCAGGGTCTTGGGGCGGTTCTCAAAGTCGAGCATGGCGTAGAAGCGGCCATCGGGAGTCGAGCGAGAGAGGGCATAGGTCGCATTGGCGTTGATGTGCTCAGGCTCCATGGGTAGGAAGTAAGGTACCTCGTACACGTTACCCAGGGTCGTCACCCCGTCGGTGCTGCTGTAGTTGAGCCCGTTGGAGCGGAAATGGCCCATGGTGAAAAAGTTGGGCAGCATGCGGACCGCCTCGAGAACCGCGTCCCCATTCCACGCTCTGAAGAAGGTCGGATTCGTCGACAAGCCCGAGCCGAAGCGATTGAAAAAGGGAGATTGCTGATGCTGCGCTGTATACCAATCAGTGCCACCGAAGACGGTCGTTGTAAGGTTGCCCTTGCGCGCGCGGACAAGGTTGGCAGTGGCGTAATGCTTAGAAAACCTATTCCCAAAAGGGTTTTCAGGCTCTGGAAGCAGTGCTGCGAGCTCCGGTCGCTCGACGAGGGTGCCTAGGTAGTCGCCGAGCTTGGCTGGGATGAGCTTCTCGGTCAGACGGACCATCGCGGCGAAGCGGCCACTGTTGTCGCGGAGGGCGAGTTCGCGGAACAAGGGGTACGAGTCAGCCAGGTTGCTGCCGGGCGACTGTCTCTGGTCCTGCCGGCGGCTCTGCACTGTCTCGATCTCGCCGCTGATGGGCTCCGTATGCTCGATGATAAGCTCGAGGTTGCGACGGACATAGTCGTATAGCTCTGGGCGATTGAGCTCGCGAGCAACAGAGATCAGGGACGGGTTGGTCACGGCGCTGTAGTAGATGGGGCTACGCTCAGAATATATCCCGTCAGCGTCGATATCGATCCCCTCCGCGAGCCATTGATCAACGCGCCGTACGAGGGTCTCGTTGCCCGTGATAGCCGAGATGTGAGCAAGCGCACCGCAGAGCTTCCATCTATGATTAGGAGTATGCGCCCCCCCAAGAGAGGCCGGTCCCGCCTTCTCGAGCATGCCACGAATCTTGTCGGCGCGGGCCTGGGACGAGGGAAAGTCGTCGTTCTCGAGAAGGCGGACAAGCATACTGTAGTCGTCGATCAAGAAGCCTGTATCTGGGGGAGAGTGTCTGTTGCCCACTGTGTACGTGCCGTCGTCATGCTGGAGGCGAACGAGGGCTGCCAGCATCTCGTCGACAAGTGGCAGCACGCTCGCGTCATGGTAGTAGGTCGAGTTGGGCCACACGAAGGGAGCTATCACCTGCCGCACCGCGTGAGCGACTCCACGCGGCTCGCCCGCAAATATGTTCTCCTTGCCGTCAATGACAGACTGCACCTGCGCATCAGCTGCGGCCGTGAGAATCTCGAGGCTGGCCCAGTCGAGCACGGGTGGTGTGTCCTGGCGAGCACTTAGGGGTGACCCCACAACCGTGGCAGAGAGCAATGTAACGCCCACGGCCCCGAGGGTGACGCCTAGAAAATGACGAGAGATCATGACGGCAGTGGGAGCAGGTGCAAAAAAGGGATGCTTGGAGGCTGGACCCAGAGATAGAGTCTCCTTAGAGTCGTGCCAACCCGTGAGGGATCGGGGTCGCCATGAACAGACAGGACGGTTACATCACGACAGCTTTATATCCCAACAAAGCTCTTGGCCGTGCCTGCGTCGGCTCAATGCTTCCCGAGGCCCGTGATCGGTATTCCAGCAGCCACCCTGGTGGCCCTAGTCGCTTGATCACCGGGACATGCTCCGATGAATACACCGGCCTTCCCCGTGGGGAAAAGGCAGGACACAAATTGGCAGCCGTGACCGAAGCCGACTTGGCACCCCTGTGGCTTGGCTGATGTTCTGAGCAAAATCGCCGAGACAAACCCTTGGCGAATGCTACTCCGCAATCCCAGGCTGGGCAAACAGGCTGCTCCAGTTGTGAGGTCATGGCTACAGCCAGCTAAGAACCCAGATCAACGAGGTTGTTGTAGATATCTGGCCTAGTCGGCAACGTGCCAAGGGACAGCGGACCAGTTTAGCTCCGCTGGGCAGGCCATCGGGGAATCAGAACACGGGCAATCAAGTGGGGAAAGGCGATTGGTCTACCTGCCAGCAGGCTGTGGTGAGAGTCGTACGCTGTTCTTGTGCTAGACGGAGAGTGGCAAGCCCGCGAGTCGTGGGTCAGAGATTAGCTCATATGCATAAAAGATGGCCTGGGCAGCGTACACGGAACCCGCGTCCGTCGCTGCCTCATGAGACCGGCAGGCGGATGGGCAAATATCGCCAGTGACGCTCCGATCAAGTTCGCCGGCTCCGTCCAGCCACCTCTGCGGGGAACCCTGCCATCAGCTGCCAAGATGGCGGGCCAAGCCAGTAGCTTGTGGTTGGGGTAGGCTCGATGAGAGAGGCTGCGCGGTCAAAAGAACTGGGCAAGAGCACGAATGTACCACAGAAGGCAAAATAATGCCTTCCGAACTGATCCATCGCCAATGAGACAGTCATTGATGACACTCAGCCAGTCGCCTGCAGCTGGATTAGAGCAAAAAACTGCAAAACGTACAACACCGGGGATTCGCTGGTCGTCACCGACCCAACTACTGATCCGCCGGTATCGAGCTTGTGTACAGGGGAGCGGACGGGACCCTCAATTTTCTCGATCCTATGGTCGTACGCGGAAGAGAAGTCTTTCAAAAGTCATTATCTATGCTGCATATCTATCACTTCCCAATTGCATCCATTGTCGAGGGTTTGTGCGGAGAGGATTCACTCGTTCACCGTTTACTAGTCCACCACAAGGTAAGCAGGACTCCACTTTAAACCCACCTTGCCCTTGACGTCCAGCCCGCTGTTCCACGGTCTCACAAGCACGGCCACTTATCGTTATTCCCAGTCCTCATGCTGATCGACACTAGTCAACCATGCGCAGTTCAGAGTCTGCCATTGTCGCTGATCAACAGCTCGTCCATTCATGACCGCTGCTGTCCATATACAGACAACTAGAATCTTTCGGGCTTGATATGCTGTCGACAACTAGTGTGTCCACCGGCTGACCTACGTGTCTGACGCTGAGCAGATGGCTATCTGGGTCAGCTCTAATGGGGGAGCTGATGGCATGATCTGTCCAAGGCAGTGCTGTGAGCGCACTACCGATCAGAAACGTTTCTTCGCTCGGTGGACCTTTCTGTGAGCTATCATATATAGATTTATGTATGAAACGTCTCAACATGACGATTGGGCTTGCAGGAAAACGAATGGCAGTATATATGCTTCGTGAGTAAAGATCAATTACTCTCTACAGGCGCAACTGGCAGCGCGCTCCTGACACACAAGTCATACCATGCTCTCTTGCTGCAAAGGATCTCTCTTGTGTCTGTAAGACTTGTTGCTAGATGAACCCTGCAGACGCACCCTTGAGCGCGGGCAGGAGTATTGTTGCGCTTACTGTGACCATTCACGCCCGCTCTCCAGACATTTGCTTGCTGCAGACGAGCTGCTCCTCGCTGCTGGATACACACTGCCTGGACCTCACCGACACTTCCAGCAGGCCCTCTTGCCGCTGTCGCCGCACGACTTGTCAAACACTGGTTTTTCGGGCCATGCACAAGACCAGCGTTCCTGGATACCCCCATCCAAGTCCTTCACTGTGACGGGTGAGCTGTCTGGCATCTGTCCCTTCTCGACCCACGCGCGCAGCTGACTGAACATGCTAGAAGGCTGCGAGCCACGCCCGCCCAGGCAGTGGCCGAGTCCTGGAATCTCGAAGTGGCGGAAGAAAGTCTCTCTGGCGGAATGGTCGAGGGCGAGGACGTCCTGGTAGTACTTTCGAGTGGCCGCCGGTGGGACCATGCCATCAGCCTTTGCGAGCGTGTCAGTAATCGGTAAGAACCAAATGCCAAAATCACGAGGTCCGGACTTACCAGCCCATGAAAAGACATGATTTTGCCGCCCATCTGCTTGAACTCGGACAGATCCACATCTTCGGCCCCAATGATCGACCGATACTCGCGCCCGCTCTTGCGCACCAGCTGATCCCACTGCTCATGACTGAGTTTGCTCACGTCGAGGCTCGGGTCCTTCGCGACGAAGAGTTGCAACCAGTCAACACCGCTCTGATATGGCTTGCCCTTACACTCCGTCTCCCAGCCCGATGCCAGTGGTGCTGGGCACGTGGTCGCGGCAATCCCGACAAGGGGGTAGGACAGCGGGTCGTTCCCGGTGATGTCTGCCGGCGGGTACAGCCCGTGATAGATGTGCTTCTTGTCGGAGGTGGTCATGCCCTCCCACATGCCCTTGACGACGGCAGCCGCGGTCTCGCTGATCCTCACCACGTTGCCACGGCGCTTTCCGTTACCACCGCCAGCGGTCCCAACACCCATGGACTCGCAAGCATCTGCAGCTTTCCCAACCATGCCCATTGGATCAAACACCCTTAGACATTCCTCGGGCTCACTGACCACGCCGTCAACCACACCATCGAGACCGTCGCAAGCCCTGACCGCAGCGGCGTTGATAGCATCCATTTCACACGAGTACGGCGCATTACCACCACGCATGTTCATTATTTGCTGCGGCCACTGGAACAGAGGGATCAGCTCGGTCCAGTATATCCCCGGGGCCCCGGCGATGATGCCATCGTACGCGTCAGGATAGCGCTGTGCGAGCATGAGGGCCTGCCTGCCGCCCTGAGAACAACCATTGAAGTAGGAGTACTTGGGTGGGGACTTGTAAAACGCTGTGATGAGAGATTTGGCAATCTTGGCCTGTCGGATACGGGTGTTAGTCGGCAGGAACGGAAGGGCACTTGTGCGATATTCTGGCAATGCACACCAGACCCAGGCTCAAGGGACACTGACCTCGTCGTCGAGCGACACTGACGCCAAGTTCTGCAGCTTGTATAAGTTGACATTGCCCGGGGACAAGAGCGCCCAGGAGCTGCTCGGGTCTCCCGGGCCAACGCCCTGGGGAAGGCCTGCGTCCGTCGTTACAGTTGCATAACCGTCCGCCAGGGCGCCGTACATGGCCATGTAACTCAACAAGCTGCGACCGGGGACCAGTCCGCCGCCGCCGACGCCCTGCAGTCTGCCGTTCCAGGCTCCGCCGAGTGGTGCACCTGTGGTTGGCGGTGCTGGCGGACCCCCGGCGGTGCTGGTGTTGTTGCCGGCCTCGGAGGACGACGAGATGGGGAGCCAGGTCTCAACGAACACCTCGTCGTTCTGGCCCGGGTGCGTATACGAGACGGTGATATTGCAGAAGGTGGCATCCGACAAGACGGTTCCAGGCTGCGTCATACGAAAGATGGCTGGGGACTCGGCTGTAAAGCCCGTGACCAACGTTGCCACAGTTGAAAGGATCTCCGCCCCCAGCAGCGACAAGGAGGAGAAAGTGTCTGCAATGCAAAGCCCGGGAAGATTGTCTGACATGATAGCCGATCGGGAAGGGTCGCGCAAGTTGAGGGCCAGCGCTGGGACAAGTGTAGGAGCAAAGCGAGGCGGGAGGATGGTGTTGGGAAGAGGAAACAAGCGGGGAAGACTCATCGTGTCCAATGTGGTGGTGGTGCACAGCTTGACAACTCTCACCCAGAACGGTACCCAGGCGCATTGGAAGGCATTGTATTTATATTGATGTTGCCGTGGTCAGTCTGCTCCTTTGTCTATTCTTTGCTCGTTGCGAGTCTTCGACGTGGGGATATTGGCTGGCGAAGTCCGCGGATAGAGAGATCTCTGATTGGCTGATAGAGGAGAAGCCCTGTGCGGCACACCAAGTGGGCTCGTTCATGCGCAGCAACGACGAATCGGAGAGGGGGGAGTGCGTGGATGGACCCGGTCCTTTTTCCCGTCATCAGCATCGCGGCCCCTGACCCGGACCGAACAACTGCAGATCACAACATCACTGTCGTGAGCGGCCAAGGCCAATCCGCGGAATCCTCGGTATCTCACCAGGTTCCAAGCACTCCCAGAATCCAGCACATATCTGGCGCTGGAATAGCCCCCGATCTCTTGCAATGGCTCGCGGCCACACCAAGTCACGCTTTGGCTGCCGCGAGTGCAAGCAGCGGCACATCAAGTGCGACGAGTCGAAGCCGGGCTGTGTCAACTGCATCACAGTCAAGCGGCAATGCTCGTTTCTCTCACTGTCATCGGCCACGTCACTACCAGCTCAACAATGGACTTCCCCGACTCCAATCCATGCATGCTCACCACCCAGCAGTAGTCGGACATCCCGCCAGCATGAGCAGCCACGCGTGCCGGGATCGACAAGCCATCGCAATGAAGCTCCCAGTCAGACTCCATCGTCAGCGTATGACACACCGATCTCCAGCTCTTCCCATGCTTCTGCAGACGAGACCCTACCGGACGACTACTTCACGTTGACACACCTGCGGCTTCTTCACCACTACCAGACTGAACTCTCCGACCTCCTCATCGCCCAGCAGCCCCAGGCAGCGCCAATGCTGCGGTACATGGTCAGCTCGGCTATGGGCGCTCCTTTTCTCATGGACCAAGTTCTCAGCATGGCAGCTGCACACAAGTGCACAACGACATGTCTGGACTCCTTGATGGCCAGCACGGAAAGACCAGTCAGTGCCTCGCAACCAGACTATTTCGTCGAAGCCTCGATGCTCCAGTCACGCTCCATGCGCAAGTTTCATGTTGCCCGGGAGGCCCTCGGTGGTGATGCGTTCTTCCACAGACAGCCGCTCGAGATCTTGTCCTTCTCTGTGCTCGTCAGCCACAGCGCCCTCTTCTTTGCCTGTGCAGCGGCCACAAGGTACTACTTTTACAACAGCGATGCTGCTCCTGGCACCAGGGACAGCACCGCAGCTTCCAGCACCTCTCAAAGGAACAACAACATCACCTTTGGCGTTGTGCTTGACGAGTTCGACACGTGCTACATGGTACACAGCGGCATGGCCGATGTGGCCAGGCAGGTGATCCCGCTGGTCGACGCAGACGTGCGCAACGAGATGTTCAGCTTTGCTGGGCGTTCAATACTGGTAGACAAGGAAAACCCCAAGGCTAGCACGCCACGGCAGACAGATTTGGACAAGCAGGGGTATGCTTCTCCAAGTACCACGCCCTCATCCTCATCATCGATGGACGTCGACACACGCGCGAATGACGCGATTCCTCCCCTGGACCTGCTGGAAAGCCTCGTCGCGATTGCTTCCACGCCCTCGTCAGCTTCATCATCAGCATCACTATTTGCAGGCTTCTCTGCTTATGCAAACCAGAGCCAGGATCCACGACATCTCCTCACATATCGCACGACCCTCGATGTCCTCCTTAAAGAATACCGCGATGCCGCGACTGACGATGGCTCCCGACCCAGATCCCAGCGATATCTCTCCGCCACGCAGCACTTCCTAGTCCGCAGCCCTCCTCAGTACCGTGAGCTGCTAGCCCAGCGACGACCCGAGGCGCTCGTCATCTTTGCATACTATGCGGTCCTCATGCACCGAGCAGGCGATTACTGGGGCATCGGATCGCTCGCGGGAGGGGTGCTGGTCACTGGAATTGAGGGGTATCTTGGTGGGTTTTGGCGACGGTGGTTGGAGTGGCCTGTGGCTCAGGTGGGACGGCAGTGAAGAGACTTCGGAGCAACGGTCAATCATATCATGTCCTGAACCCGTGGAATGCCTTCTGCGTGTTGTCCTTGTCAATTCTCTAACACGGGGTCTCAGAGGCGGGAAGAAGTCGACAATGCCACTTGTTCAGAATCTGCCACACAGACATACCATTGAGTCCGAAGTCTATTCGGGAAGCACCCGTTGTGGGCTTGTTCCAAAATTCCGAGAACAAGTTCTAGGCCCATCCTTAGAGGCTGCACATCATGCATTCGAGTTTCGGGACGACTAGAAGGGCACCGCACCTGCATTCCACCTCCGAAGCCCCCATGGTCTAAGCACTGCCTCGATAAGCCTGCTATGATATAGCCCCTTAATCGCGGCATGATCTCACGGAATTTCCCCCGTGTCGGCTTCCGCGTTGCTTCCTCAATGTGAGACGAGAGTGTCTGTCCAAAGGAAGCACTAGTCAACCATGCTACGATCAAAAGCCAGCACGGCTGATTTAACTCACCGACAGCCGATGTTGACGTTTCTGCAGTCATGCTGACTGGTGCTACGATGTGCTTTGTTTGGATGCTCGGCATATCTTCATACTAGATTCTCCGCATCACGACAGCAGCGCTTCTCAAGTATGAAGTGGGAGGAAGACCATCGATGCAAACAAAGTGGCATACTGCACTATCCGCATGTCCTGGGAGAAAACCCCTCTACTGCCACGCGTTGACTTGCGAATTTCTTGACACGCTGCTCGCCGATGGGGTATCTGCTTTGGACTGCTTATGCCAGATGAGACTAATCAAGCGGGCAGTGTGTACATGGTATTTGCACGGGTGTCGACTTTTAGGCAGCAATAACCCCATCCCATGGGACTGTCGACCGCCAGGGACTTTTGTTGTGACCTCCAACTATGCTGGGTTGGCGGCGCAGGGGAACCAGGAAACTCCATGTCGACGGCCCATAGTATGTGTCCGGGTAGCAAGTCATGGACAGGAATGCGACTGAGGCACGCGACCAGCTTGCCGTCCTGAGCCCCCAGCACTGACTCGCCTTCGTCCTCCGAGGCGGGTAGCGACGCTGGCTCGTGCTGTGCAAGGCCTCGAATTGTAAGGTCCACAGCCTGTGCCACGTCAAGGCGAGGGCAGTGCTATGGCCTTGGCGATGTTTCCAGTCCCCCCGCAGCGAGGTACCGCTGATCCAGTTGGTGAATCGCCTTGGCGTGATGTCATTTTGGCGTCGGCCACAGCAGGGATACGACTCGCGCTACCACCCGCGCCCGCGAGTCCGCCAGGCAAACAAAGCACAATAAAAAAGGTTTACAGGGAACAAGCATCAACCCCAGCCGACGATCTTCCCAGGATTCAATGGGGAAAGAGAGATCAGGTGCCATCCGGGACCGGAGAAATCGTGATTAACGTGCTGACGTGTTGCGCCACAGCACTGCCTGCACAGAACCAGCTTGGCGATGGGGGCGATGTGATGGGTGTGAGTCTGGAATAAACAAGACTCTTGGCCACAGCAGTAGCGGCACGTTCGACTTGCTTCTCGCGTCGTCGGCCATGGCTTTCTTGGCTCAGCTGTGTTGTGATGGCTGTGCTGGGCATTGGCATCTGCGCGTCCCCAGCTTAATTTGCATGACGGTGCCGGAAGATCCCCCGCTCGACAGCCTCATTCGATCATGGGCCAAGTCGCACTTGGTAACTTGGTATAGGGAGACGGTAGGGACGGCCGCCGCATTACCGAGCATGACACTTTTTTGTTGCTGGCACTCAAACCGCCCAGCCCCTCGGCCGAGATGGCACGATCCTATTTTGGGATCTGCGCTTCACGTCTCTACCGGGCCATCTGTGCTCATCCCTGCCCCAATAGCATTGGCGGCGTCTTGGCGACCACGTAATGCCGTGCCGCGGGGGCCTCCTTCCTACGCCATGATGTTGCGATTAAAAGATGGTTGCCAGCCTTGGCAATGAGGGCAATGACAACGTATATAAGTCCCAGAAGCCTCTTTCGGGAGAAGGGCCATGAATACTGGTCCATCAAGCCTTATGCAACGGATACAACACCTTGACAAAAAGAATTACGAGTCTGGCACTTCATCATCACTGATAAATCCACCGTCACAATGCACTTCAACAACCTCGCCATCCTCTTCTCGCTCGCCGCCGCTGGCGCAGCTGAGACAACTGTCGACGCTGATGATGTACCCTTGGCCTGCCGCAACATCTGCCGCGACACCATCGATCTTTCTCGCCGCTGCGAGATTCAAGCTGACACTGACACGTCCACGACGGACGACGACATCATCTATAACAACTGCTTCTGTCAAGCTCCAGACGCAGAGGCCCGCATCAGCGAGTGCGCGACGTGTGTCAAGGCCAACGGCATGAGCGATGCCAATGACGATGACAATGGTAAGCCGTTGCCCGTAGAGCTCTGAGAAACGCCGAATACTGACCAGATTGTACGACAGAAGTTGCCGAGCTTATGCGGGATTGTGGTTGGGACTTTGCTGCGGCCAATACCACGTGGGCTTTTCCTTTATTTCTGATCGCCTCCCATGTCACGCAAAGAAGCTAACGGTTTCATACGCAGTCCCGCGAATCCGGTTCCGACACCTACCACGAACTCTGGCAGCGGCATCGGTGGCATCCCGACCTCAGTGACCATGGTCCCAACCACCATATCCACGGGCGGCACTACGGCTGTCATCAGCACACCCAGTCTGGTCGGCAACACCCAGCTGCCCACGACGAGTGTTCCCGGCGCAGCAGCCATGGCTACGCCCATGGTTCAGGGGCTGGTCGTTGCTGGCCTTGCTGCTGCGCTGTTCTGAGTGCGACAAAGAGAATACTGGCCATATTTGTACTTCATCATGTCGTTTTTTGCGATGCTTCACTTTTATGGATGCGGTAGTTAAGCTTGTGAAGTTGGATCAAGGTCGGAGTAAATACGATGCATGATATTTGTAACAACAACAAAACCTTGTATTTCTGCCAGAAACCCCCTTAACTACCCAGCGTGGAATCTGAATGGTGACTCTTTGTTCCTCGGAAATCATTTTTGGTTTGTTGCTTAGTGTGAGTTGTATCCCACCCGACCGCGGTCCACAGCACGTTTGCTCGCAACGTCGAGCTCCTCCTTCTGCAAGCCCAGCAATTCGTCATGCAATCCCTTGTCGTGATACACGGGGCTGCCATCGGGGAACCACACGCGTGAGTACATGGCCGTCACAAACAAGGCATAGTTGCCCTTCATGACCTCGCCCGAAGCATGGGCGTACCGCTCGCGCGTGGTCTCGTGGGAGATCTTCCAGTCCTTGTCTGTTGTGCCACTTACACGCTGCACCGAGTCGAGCATCTCGCGCTGGGTGACAGAGAATTCGGCGACGCGAACGTAGTTGTTCTTGAACTGCTCCAGACTGCCGCCCTTGCCACCAGATGTGGTAGCAGCGGCATCGGCCTTCTTCTCAGGCAGCGAGAGCAGCGCGGCGACAGTCTTGCCGACGTACGAGAGCGTCGACGTATCCATCTGCGTGTTGCCACCGTCAAACAGGATGGCCTCCTTTTTGCTAGAGTCGATGCCAAATGTCTCTGTTCCTTGGCCGAGGCTGAACTCGTACCAGAACCCGCACACCAGGCTGATCCAGCTGCTCACGCCGCGTTCCTCGATGTGCGCACGCGCTGTCTTGGACTGCAAGTGGAAGAAAGACTCCTTGTACATGTCGTCGCGGCTCACGTCATAGCCCCAGTCGTTGGGCATCACATAGGGGACGCCCGCGTCGGCGGCCGCATCGATGAGCTTGAGCTGCTGTTCCGGGGGAGCGCCAACGCCCATTGTGATGATAAGGACCTGCTGATCCTTCAGGGCAGAGACGATGGTCTCGGGCTTGTCGTAGTCGATGGTGGCGAGCTTGACACCGAAGGGGAAGTTGCCTGAGGTGGAGCGGGTCAGGGCTGTGATGGTGTGCTTGCCGGTCTTGAGGAGGGCGTCGGTGATGAACGTGCCGACGGTGCCATTGGCCTGTGATGTTTGCGGTCAGCGGCCTCAGCGTTATATGGCATGAGAGGCTGTAATGAAGTATGAGGGAGACTTACACCAACGATGGCAACGTTCTTGACGTAAGACATGGTGATGTGGACTTGGTTGTTCTGATGGGAAGCTAAAGTATTGTTTCAATTACGACAAACGGGGGCGGCGATGTCTTTGCCGCTGGTTGTGATTGTGACGATGGTGCTCAGGAGTGCTCTACATCTTCGTGGGAGACCATGACCCTTAAATACTTCAGCTCCACAACAACGCAAGCTGCGGCATGAGGGCAAGCGTGCCTGCCGGGCACAAGCTCAGCGACGCGGGCGAGACGATGCTCTGCATGCAGCCTGCCACCAGAGTTAACTCCAGCCCCTCCTTTGTTGGTATGGCCGAGACAGTAGGCCCCGATCTGCCCTGGGCGATGTGTATGGCTCGCCGGAGGTAGCCGGAGCTTGCACATCACGGCTGGCTTCCAAAAGAGGAAATTGTGTATCGCCGGCACTCCTGTCCGGTCGGAGCCAAGCTCTCCCAGACTAGGTGAGTCGTAAACTCCAGACAGATCACAGGCAGCGGTCATGAGAAAAACGACGCACAGTCGAAGACGTACGGATGCGGATCTAGGAACGCCATGCCATCCCGTCTCAGACGTATTTTCCCCCCATGCGACTTCATTCCCTGAATCGAAAGACACAGGCCAGGACGGTTCATATTTGGCTACCCGCGAAATGGTGTGCACTGTCAGCACTAAGGCTGAACCCCTCGTCCCTCTGCGGGATGCGGTAAATGGGCGAGACCCTGATTCTCGTCATGCAAGGAAAATAGTCGCGGAAGCTCGCGCAATCACTGTATAGTTCAGGCAGCTGGGAATGGTGCAACACCAGACCATTTCTTGCCATCGGAGTAGCCTAGGTGCAAGCTGGGTATGGCCCTTCTCGCGGAATCTACCGGGGTTAGGCGTATCCGTAGGTAACAGCCATGGCAGGGGCAAACATGTACACAGCACAGATGGCATGACTGGACGACCCTTCTCCCATGAGGGGGATGCGGAATCCCAAACGTGCAGGGCCCAAGCATCGCGGAAGGACTTCCATGAAGTGCGAATGTACGGCTGAGCAGCATGCTGTCGGATGAAAGCTCGGCCCGCCAACTCCACCCTATCAAGCCCTACGGCCGCCGAGTGGCAAAAGCTTGGCCTTTGCATCAGGCCCGATGGAGGCTGAAGCAAACGACCCAAGGCCAAGGGGTTCAGGCACTAGGGGTGATTCGCCCCTCGACGGCATCACATTGAGCGTATGGCAGCATTGCGCCACGGCAAGACCATTGGCGCCAAAGGTCCCCGAGACGCATTGAATTTCTGCGGTCTTGCGCGAGAACGGAGCCCTACAGGAAGCCAGTCCCCGCGCGGCCCAGTGCCTCCAGTCGTCTCTGTCTTCCCACAAGCAACTTGTCACAGAAGGATCGTACACGGGACCGTCAGTTACAGCTCTCTCCATCTCATGGCTACCAGACCTGCAGGCATGGAGCCCATTCGGTGCCCGTCGGTGGCAAAGCGCAATGGCCCTCGCCAATCAGCCCTGCGGGGCTTTAAGGTTGGACGGGCAGACCGGAGGAAGCCACTCTCGGTGTTTACAGTGCTGATCTATCCCTGCACAGTGGAGGTGTACGGGCCAGCAGGCTGGCGACCAACCCCCGAGAATCGGGCGAGGATTACGTGAATAGGGAGCTATGGTGACCGACTGACCGGGCCCATGGCACATCACCACAGTTGGCCTTGATTGCAGTGGCAGACAGCGACGAGAGCCCAATCAAGAGCCTGCCATCGTCCGTCAAGATCAAGCCCCAGCAGCAGTGCAATATTGCCACAGCCATCAGAGACTGTTGCTGTGCTGTACTTGGAGCTCGCCCACTCTATGCATGCAGCTTTGCAAACCCCAGCAGAGTTTAGCAGGTCCTGGATGCTGCCGTATACAATGTAGCCATGGATACCATAAGGTACGAGCAACGGACGCCGGCGTGCCGACCATGACAAAGCACGACGCGCAGGAGCTGCTGTGCGCAGTACTCGCAACTACATAATGGACTTCGCCACGCCTCCACCGTCTATACCCTGCTGGAGGCCCCAAACATAGACTCGTAGATCAGCGGCCAGCGGCAAACTTCAGGCGTGGCCCAGCAGCTGCATTCAAACAGCAAAGCCCTAGCGTAGTGAGATAAGAGCCTAGCTTGCGACCGGCTCATTTTTCAGCCAGGCGGCTGGCAACGTTGGTGGGGTTAGAGAGGTAGATCTGTTGCCGACAATTACCTAGCAGCGGACAAAACGGTACGGCGAGCTCAAGCTAAGCTTTCTGCGCCTCCGTGGCCTGGAACTTGTTTTGCACCGGCAGCACTGCTATCTGGACGAGGCGAAGCTGTGCAGACCTTCGTGTGCGTAATGGGAGAGTCGAGCCTGTAGATGAAGTTATACGTAGGGGCCTTGTTCCCGTGATCACGTTAGTATATAAGTGTTGACTTCCCTAGTATATTCAGTTTTTTCCAACGGCAGTAGCAGGTCATCTAGAACTAGCTGCCCTTGAACGATTAATAAATCTTCCAGCATCGACGTTCGTCACGTACTTCCAAATATCGTCACCCACCGTTTCCTCCCAAGCTCGTCGTGTAACCTTGCGATCCAAGGAAACCGCCTCGCCACACGCTGTTGAGCGAACTCCCACGTCGAGACCCCAAGCCTCCCAGCAACCATCCTCATCCGATCAGTCAGCCAAACTGCATCATCGTCTGTGCCGGTCTCGTGCCAAGACAAGACAGACACACTCCCCACCATCAAGATCCAGAGCAACAACTCATCGTCGACCAACCCCCCGCGGTGACCGCCAACATGCCTGCCATGATGACGATGATGGCCCGCCAGGTCCGCAAGGGCGTCATGAAGAAGCGGGCGGAAAAGAAAGAGGCCACTGTCGCTGCTGCCGGCCCCAACACCGGCCCCGCACCCGGGCAAGCTGGAGGATTCCAGATGCAGCCCATGATGAGCTCCTCCAATACTCGCGCCGTCGCCATTGGAAGCGGCGTCGGCGGAGTGTACTATGAAGGCCCCCGGCCCGCGTACGCCGCTCCCGCTTGCCGGGACTGTGGGCACTGCCATACTACTGTCACCGACCCAAGCAGCAGCATCGGGAGCAGTAGCAGTAGCAGTGGTGCTGGCACTTCCCATCGCTGCCGAACGCACGGGACTATCAACAATCTGTTCTTCGTCAACACGACCACTGCTGGCACCGCCGCTTTGAGCGAGAAGCCCCGCAGTAGAAGCAGCAGACGCCGGCGAAGCTCGTCCGTGAGTAGCCTCAGTAGTTCCGAAGAAGATGAACTGCCTCATCACTGAGTCGACGACCTCCCGCAGTCTCTTTGCCGCGAGGTCATATTTCAGTCTGTGGCTGCGCCGGTCAGTCTGCACAAAGAGGGTGGTTAACAAAGAGACCAATGCTATGTGTACAACGGCCTCGAGCTGTGCATTTGTGGCTCTCGGTGAGTGTGAGGTCCGGGAAGGGCTGGGCTCGGACGGGTCGTATTGTTGATCGTGAGGAGGGATCACGTATGGCTTGCCGAGTGGGTGATACCGGATCAGTCGGCCGCCCACAGATATTGTGAAGTCCTGGAGCATGATGTGCGTCATTTTCGGCGTTCTTCCTTGCTTTTTCTGACTAGAGAAAGGGCTGTAGTCGCCGCCGCCATAGTCTGCCGCGTTAAACAAAGACGTCACATCGAATACATCAAATAGAATTTGTCGCAGGGTAGGATCGAGCCCGCTGGCCCATCGTGATGACGCATCATTGTCGTTCGACGTCCCAAGTGTTTTAGGAAAAGTGAAGCCTTGATTCTCAAGCTCTGCAAAGACCTGAGCTATGTTGTCGTTGTGGAAGCGGCAGGTTGTGCCATAATGCAGAGCGTAATCGATCTCTGTCCTGTGGATGCGAACGGAAGCACCCTGTTCAGCCTTCTAATATTCTCAAGCACGTTTGGCCACTATGAAGGCAAGGAGAACTTACTTGCATATCTTTCCCAGCAAGAACCCATCAGTCACGTTGCGAAGCCCGCCACGCATGTCGACCATGGCGTACAGCCCTGATAAATGGACGCCAGCGTCGTGCCGCTTCTTGCGAACCAGCGACTGAAGGATGAGGAAATTGACCACGACGAGGTCTGAGTCCGTCAGCAGCCCAGGCGAGTTGAGACGCTGATTGACGCGTTTAACGGCCTGGCCGAGGTGGTAGACTGCTTCACGTGAAGGGGCATCCTGGTAGCCTATTCGCCCGGTGGCGTGGTCGTGCATTGTGTTCATGAGGGCCATGTAGGTGTGGTAGCCTTCGTGAGGGCATCACCAAGTCAGTTCTCCTGTGCTAGCGCAGTAGTGGACATGCACGTGGAAACCAGAAACAGCACACTGACATGTCTCGTCCATCAAAAACGTCTCGACCCAATACTTCTTCATGGGCTCCATCGCGATGCATAGAGGTGTCGGGTACATCGACGTGATGATGTACTTGAAGACTGCCAAACATTCACAACGTCAGCTGGACAGACGGACACAGACTTGCCGAGCGCAAAGGCAAAACCCACAATACTCAAAGGTCGGGTTGGCACGAGCGGACAGCGCTGCGGGCGTCGCGAAGCCCATGAGATAATCGCCCACAGTGACAGGTGAGAGTGGCGCCGAAGGGGCATGTTCCCAGACTGCGACAGACTCACGAACCCGCTGGGTGGAGCTTGAGGAAGTGTCACTCCATGTGGACAAAGCGGACCTTGTGCTGCTGCTGCTGCCGCCAGTGCCACTACTCCTGCTGCTTGCGGCTGATGCAGGAGACCTTGCAGATGCCGCGGCGGAATCCTCGTCGACACTGCCAGCTGTGGCAGGTTGCTCGGTGTGCTGGCGTTTCCGGGGCCGGGCGGGACCTGGGCGAGACTCGGCGCCGGGGGCGGCGTCCTCATGCTGGGACTTGCGGCGGCGACGGGCAGGGTGTGTCTTGCCGACATTCTTGCCCTTCATGACATGGCGGAGGGCGAGGCTCTTGTTGGTCTCGCGCGAGCCCTGCTGCACGTCGATGAAGGCGAACTCGACGCCCATGATGCGAGGAACCGTCCTGGACGCCGGCCAGCGCTGGAGCGAGTTGTGATGCCGGGTGGGCTGCTGGACGAGATGCGTGGGACCAGGGCTGGCTGCCTGTCTGTCTGTCCGTCGGCGTCCACGGTGTGAAGAGAGGCAGGGAGGGGTGGGAGACACCCAACTGGCCAGCCCGGGATTAGGCGGCGGACTTTAACTCCGGGGCGATGGACGATTGATGGGGGAAGGACCTCGGGACCCACGGAAAAGGAACAACTAGACATCCGCATCTCTGCAACAAGTCTCATCGACACCTTTTATTGCCTTGGAACAGCATGCCATGGTTCACAACGAAATAGAAGCCTGACGCTACATATAGCCTACCCAGCTTTGCCCGTCCCCGTCTCCGTCTCCGTCTCGGTCGCTGGCACTCCCACCGCCTCGGCTTCAGCTGGCGTGGCGTGCTTGCGCTGCCGTCTCTGCCGCTGCGCCTCCTGCTGGGCTCTCCTCTTGTCATCAATCTTGTCCCGCATCATCCGGCCATACCGTACATTATACGCCAGACCCCCGGCGCTCGCTACCAGCAGCGCCGCCGAGATGGTCGAGTACCAGCCGACCCCGATGCTCTGGATGGCCGGCAGCACAATCGCGATGCTCACCGTCGCTGCGAGGTAGCGCATCGCGTAGTTGGATCCAATCACCTCGGCGCTGCGCCCAGGCATCACGTCCAGGCAGTAGACATTTAAAGCTGGAAACGCTTGCAGCTGGGCGACGCCCTGCAGGAACATCACGACCACGGTCAGCGGGATCCCGCCCACGTCTTTCTCGACCGTCCAGCCGTACACCAGGATGCAGGCCGCCACGACGACGATGAACGGCGCCGCCGCACGGAGCCGGTCCTCGGCGACCCGCTCCCCGTTCCGCTTCTTGATCCACCGCCGTACCATCCAGTCTGCCCATCGGCCCCCGAAAAAGGTCCCCGTCAGGTACCCCAGCCCCGGCGCCAGGTAGAAGAAGCCGCCCTGCATCGGCGTCGTGAGGTTGTACCGCGGGTTCAGTGTGTACCGGATCGGCGCCAGCAGCCCGTACATGTTCCACAGCAGGCTGGCGCTGGCCAGCCCGGCCAGCGTAACATTTGGGTACCGCCACAGCCGCACCACCCTGACCGGGTTCACCATGCTCCAGAGCACCTTCACGCGCTGCTGGCCAGAGAACCCGGCCAGGTCGTCCCAGCGCAGGTGGTATATCGTCTCGGGCAAGATCAAATAGCTGCCTGCCAGCGCGAGCCCGGCGAGACCAGTCTGCAGCCAGAAGATGACGCGCCAGGTCGTGTACGTCACGATGACGCCGCCCAGGAAAGGGCCGAACGCCGGGCCGACGAGCATGCCAATGAGCAGGAAGCCCGTGGCCGTGCCGCGCTCCACAGGCCGGTAGATGTCGCTGATCACGGCATTGCCGGCGAGGATGAAGGCCGTGCCGAAGATGGCGGTGATGATGCGCATGATGAAGAAGCACGTAATGTTGGGCGACAAGGCAGAGCCAATGGAGGAGGCGAGAAAGCCCCAGGCTGCGACAATGTTGACCTGTTTCACCACAAGAATCATGTGAGTCATGTTGTCACGAGAAGCTCGGGGTGTAAGAAAAAAGAAGGTACTGTTTCTGGATACGGGTTTGATGCAAAAACAAAGAGAAGACTCACCATCCTGCGCCCAAAGACCTGGCTCATTGGCCCGACGAACATCGGGCTGATCCCCATGAACAGAAGATAGACCGCATTAGACAGATTGATCACACTCCCGGTGGTCCCGAACTCGTGCGAGATCTCGGGCGTGGCGGACAGGTTTGCCGTGCTCGAGACGGGCGAGAGGAATGCGCAGAAGGAGCAGAAACACACGAGGGCAGTCTTGCGGCGCCGGCTGTGTGTGTCGTAGAACTCGTCGGGGACCTCCAGCACACTCGTCACTAGCGCCAAGGGGCTCGACCCGGCAGATGTGCTGTTGCGTGTCGTCGATGCGCGGCTCTGGGTTCGAGACATTGCTGTCGTGGGTGCAGGGCGGACTTGGTCGTCGTCGCTGTCGTCGTCGTCGTCGTCATGATCAGCTGATGGTGACCGCGGGCGGCGTTGATGGTCATGGCCGTCATCTGTATGGTCGTCATCGACGTTGTCGTAGCTGCTCTCGTTACGGCTGCCCCGTGTTGGCTCGCGGGCGAGCATCTCGAGGCCATCTGGGGTTGAGAGACCCGTGGGCGTCAGTGGCGCAAGGTCTCTAGCCGTGTTGCTGGGGCCATGTCCGGCTTCTAGGTCCTGGCTGCCGCTGTCAGTGCCCTGCATTGGCTTTTCATGGGCCATGTCGCTGCTGCTTCTGCTCCCGTCCATCCTGGGCTCATTGTCGGCAGCATTGCTGGTGCCACGATTGTTGTTGCTGGTCAAGCGGCCTGGGCTGGTGTTGTTGTCATTGTCGGGCGAGGGCCGACCTCGGCCATCGAAACCCGACGGCATGGTGGCTTGTGCGGGCGGCTCCTCTGGAGGGTCCCGGCAAGGCGGAAGATTGCAAACGTTAAATTGCCTGCTGGTGTGTGAGCGCTCGATCGACTCTGCTGGGGCTTGTCATGGCCCTTTTGCATACTATGGTAACCGTGGGTCTTTCTTGCGTGAACAAGCCGCGACTCGACAGCTTGGCATTGGGGAAACCGGGAGGCTAAGGACGAGGAATGGAGAAGTTGGCACTCGGTCGACAGCCCGGAAATAACCAAGCATCGGCGTGGGCACACCCCCTGCCCCAGACAGGCAGGACCCGTGAAGCCAGCGCCGTCCGTGGGCGGCGGCGGATGTGAGCCGATGGAGCCAGGACAGACCCACTTCGGCAAAGAGGCTTTTTGCTTGTTTATCTCGAGTGCAGCAGGGGTTGTACCTCTGGTTGGCTCGGCCTGTCCCCTCCGGGTATCGGGATGCCTCCGAAGCAGTCGCCGCGCGCTGGGCCTCCGGGTCCGATGACCGGCAGCTCAGCCTCTACTCCGTAATTGGCGAATCTTTTACTTCGCCTTCGAAACGAGTTGCAATGCTCGCCTGCCTGACTGCTGGTGGCATGCGGGCATGGCCAGCTCATAGTGAGAGACGCAGTGATGATACACTCTTATATCAAATGCCTGATGGAAGGATCGACCTGGAGACCTGTGCTTGATCGGCGGCGCCGTGTAAATCCGACTCACGAGTCTCGGAGCGCCGAGCTGCCGTGGGGAAAATGAGCTCCGAGAAGCGGCCATGCAATTCAGGGCAGGGGGATTGCGCCATGTCTGTATCAGCCCTTCACTCCAATGATGACAAAACTACGCAATTATCACTCGTCTACTTGGTATGCAACCCCTACGGCCACCTTCAAAGTTGGACTGACTGACTGAGCTGAAGGTGGACGAGTGGGGTGGGTGCGTGGAGACATCTTTAGCCAGGGTCAGCGTCTTTCCAGTTGGCAATCGAGTTTTGAATCAGCCCGCCATGCCTACACATAATCTATGGTTACGCAATCCGCAGTTTTCAAATGGCTGGGCTATATAGCATCTATTGAATGCCAGATCTAGCACGTACGACCATAGAATCGAGAAAATTGAGGGTCCCGTCCGCTCCCCTGTACACAAGCTCGATATCGCCAGACTAGTAGTTGGGTCGGTGACGACCAGCGAATCCCTGGTGTTGTACGTTTTGCAGTACTTTTTGCTCTAGTACATGACCGCACAGGCCTGCATCAGTTTTGCACGAGAAGTGAGAGGGGAGATGCGTGTTTGTTTTGGGTCATGGAGTCTACAAAACCTATGTCCTACGTCATGAACAGCCTTCCAAATGTCATCGTTCGCGCGAGCCTAGGGCGAGGCGCATGATGAAGGCCTCTATTTTTCTCTCGTCGCAATCACTCGGGCATCCGGGAAATGCCTTCGAGTTCTGCGATTGTTTCCTCCAGAAAGTCACGATGAACCCACAGCATCGCTCTGTCTCCCTCGGCGGCTGACGCTCTGACTTCGTCAACCCAATGACGGACTGTTTCATCGTACATGAAAGGCTGCGCGGCCTCGATGGCGGCCTCGGCGGACTCTCTCAAGTAGTCTTGGAGGATAACGATGCGCGTCGGAACGGTGGTTGGAACCTACTCGGCCGTGCTGTCTTGACCGATGGTGGGAACTGGAGTCTGCGCAGGATTCGTCGAAGCACCATGGGCGGAGCATCTGCAATCTGCTGCTGGGGCTCTGGAAGGCGCTCTGCGGATATCCTTCGTTCACCACGCCTGGGGTTATGTTGCTCCGGGCGGGAGGCGCGCGAAGCCTTGGTCATCCTCGTCGTCGGCGTTGGTGTTGTCGCCGACCTGTGGGCGGGCCGAGGATGCCAGGCGATGGTGGTGACTAGACGGTGATGTTGGCGATGGGTCGGCCATGGCAAGCCCAGTGTGTGGCTGGTGTATCAAGTCGTGCTAGAGACTCGAGGAGGAGATGCCATGCGGGATGCCGACAGCAGGTGGAAGCACTAGGATGGCGAAAGAGCTGGGTTGTGCTGGCTCTGATGCAGTTGAGCCCTCGCAGGAGGGTGTGCCAAACCTTGGAAGGTGCGAAGCTCGCTCGACTGTCGACGTTGCCCCACCTCCCTCTCGCAGGATCCTCACGGTTCAGTGGTCGCGCCGCGACTGGCGACCCCCAGACCAGTGTCGATGGTGCACAACTCTCTTTTCGACCCCCTTCTTGGAAGCCTACTGATATGTGACCGTTGACTCTCGGCACGGCTCAACTACTGGCACGGTAACACTCTTCAGACTCAGTCTGGCAAGACATACATGATCAGGTACCTCGAGAAGCCTGCCACCGAGGCACTCACGAGTGCTGTCGACCCTGACGATGCAGATCATTTAACCAGAAAACGAGATATCGATAATAACAAGAATCGAATTCTCCTGTGGACTGAGCTCCGGCGCCATCAAGGGTTGCTTCCACACCAGCTCCTGGAACCGAATGAATCTGATCAATAGTGGCAAGAGCAGCGGTCGGATGCTGCTCAAGATGCTTTGCAACCGCAATGGAGACAGGGTGCTTGTAACCCGCCGCGAGTTCCTTGGGAATCGAAATCGCTTTTTCCTTAGGCACCCGGAAGTACTGCTCAAAAGAAACGTCCAGCTCTGCCTCGGTAATGGTTCCAGTCTTGTCGAAGACGATATCCGTCACCTTGCGTGCCCGCTCAGTGCAGACGGCCGACTTGATAATGACGACACCCCGAGCCGCAATACCGCCCGCAATCACCAGCACCATCGGGACGGCCAGGCCAAGAGCGCATGGGCAGGACACAGCCAGAACGGTGGTCGTATAGGTGAGAGCGGACGGTACGGCTGAGCCAGCGGGACGTTAGATCAAGATACACTTTACATCTTACAGATTCCTCGGCTCTTAATTTGGTCACATGATTCCTTTTGAAATGCTTCGTCAAGTCGCTAGAATTATAGAACTTGTGAATAAGATTGTCGACGTAATGATCATCTAGTTCCAGAGAGAGTGCTTATACAACACAGACGAAGCACATTCTTGGCCTATCATTTACGTTTTTAGTAAAGACGGAAAGTAGAGCGAGATCAGGAGCGCTCTTGTCTTCCTATTTGGAGGATTTGTGATAATCCTTTTCTATGATTTTGGTTCCTGGAGCACCGGGCCGCACGGTATAACCCTCCTAGACAGGGCAATATGCAATAATTGCTTCGATAGAGTTTTGTCTCCGTTAATACTGACCGTCTACTATAATAGACTTAGGAGCTGTAAGCGCCTCTAGTAGCCGCTTCGAAGCTGGTCTGTGGAGAGGGGCGTTCTCGTCCCTGCAAGACTTAGCGAACCCATAACCGTGTATCTGGCCTTCGATATCTTTAACCGCCTGGGTAGCGATGTACTCGGCTCTTATCTTTTGCTTTAGGTTTCTCTTTAACCTTTGCTTCTCTCTGTTTAGTGATTTTCTTAGCTTCTGGTAACGTAATCCACGGGTAAGCGGGTCACACGGGTGAACGGGTCACCTTCCAGTAACTCGTACGACAATATATAAGACAATTTAACCACAACGCCTTAAATCAATTCAAACTATTCAGAATCCTCTTCTTCAGAGGCAGATACAACTTTCTGACACGTACGAGCATTATGCCCGGGCTCGCCGCAGACGCCACATCGTCGCGCGCGCGTTTCGGGCCTCCTCGTACGACCACTATTCTGACTCGTTTCCGCTATTAACTGCTGCGTCGCATCGATTTGAGCCTTCAAATCCTTTGCCTGATCAATCGTGAGGGACCCTCCTTTCTGTAGCTGCTTTCTTTTCGTACGACGACGGCGGCTGAGGCGGTCATTTGCATCTCGAAGTTCGGCGAGCTCTTGGCGCATAAGGTCCTGCTCGTGTACCATCATTATAACTCCTTTTCTCAGCTGCCGTAGGCTCTCAACAATGGACGACGGTGAGCTATTCTGGTGTCGTACGATGCGATTTTCAATATACTTCGTCTGCGATTCGGTCTCAATTAGGTTGTTCGGCGTCTTTGAAACCCATGGGGGTGGTAGTCCAGCAGAGGAACCTGGTGGTGTCGGCGTATGAAACTTCATATCTAGCTGCGAAATCACATAATTCGGGTCGTACGGTACTAGGCCTGTCGCTCTGAAGCCTGCCTGGATGTTTGATTTGGTCATTGCAGCGTCGTACGCCTTATAAAAGGCTGGGAGGAAGTCCTCCTTTGAAACGTGGGTTACGTGCGCCCGCATTAGACCTTCGATTTCTTTACCGTACGCCCGTTTCAGAGGTCCAAAACACCCAACATCGAGAGGCTGGAGCTTATGCGACGAATGAGCAGGCATACAGAGCGTGACAATATTCTGTTCCTTGCAGTAGAGCTCGAAATCGACGGAATGGTGGCTCTCGTGGCCGTCGAGGATAAGGAGGCGGTGGGTACCCTTCGTACGACTCTTTGTATGGAAATCAAAGTGTTTTACCCATTCTAGGCCTCTCTCGTTCGTCGTCCAACCGTTTTCTGAAAGCGCGATTACCCAGTCGGCCGGTAGAGGGCTATTCGCGGTCCAGGAGTCGAGGTGGACCTTCCCGGCGAAGATAATGTATGGCGGGATTGAATAGCCGTACGACGCGATACCCTGGATTACTGTAACCCATTCCTGATTGCCTTGTTGTACGGCTCTTGGCCTCCCGCGTCGATCGGAGGTCGTAACGACAGTTTCGGCGGAGATCTTGCCCATCGCGAAGCCCGTTTCGTCGAAGTTATAGATATCGTCATCGTGGATCCCGTATTTCGCGATTATGTTTCGTACGAGCTCAAACCACGCGCGATACGCGTCCGGATCCTCGCAAAGGACCCTCTGGTAATCGATTCTTCGATTAAAACGCGTACGGAGCTCAGGTCGTCGTCGTACGAAGGTTGAGGCCCAGTTCGTTCCAAAGCGTGGCGCGTCGCGTACGCGGAGGAGTCGATCCGCCATTTCTCGAACACCACTTAACCGCGGTGGAAACGAACGCGAATCTAGGTCGAGTACGTATCGTACGATACTCTCCTCTTCGTATGAGGTTAATTTCTGGCAGGGTGGTCGGGTGTCGTGTTTCGCAGCTCGGCCGTGGTATCGTTGCTGGAGTGTCGTACGAGATACATTATAGATCTGCGCAGCCTTTCGTACGCTTAATTTTGGGTCGGATTGGAGCGCATTTAACGCTAGAACCAAATCACTTTCAATTGATTGTCGTCCCATGATTGGAGGTGGAGAAAAAGGAGAAGGAAGTGAACCTCAATTAAATTGCAGTAAAGTGACCCGTTCACCCGTGTGACCCGCTCACCCGTGGATTACGTTAATCGTTTGAATGCTTATCGGTAGTCTGAAGCCGTGTCTATAACCGAATAATAATAGGCTCCTTCAGAACGAATACGGCCTGCTCAGGCGTCAGATTGATCGGCCGACGCTTGCTAGCCGAGTGGCCAATACTACAAGCCTGCTTCTTACAAGGGTTCTTTGAATGTGTAAGCTGCACGAGATGGTTATGAGTCTAAATTACCGTGTCCAGGTCGTGGCCATACATTAAGGAACACCCAGACGCGAGACTCAATTTAGCTTGGGAGAGAATGAGAGAAGCATCACAAAGTATCTCTACTGAGACGAGAATAGCTGTATAACTTTTCGATTGTAGGTATAAGTCTTTAACTCGGGAGTTGAGAAATTGCTGTCTTCTAGATATAAAGAGATAGTTCTGGTTGTTGAAACACAGACACAGGAAGGCTTTGTATCGCATTGCCTCAGGCTATGAAGAACAAGCGAGCAAGCGATAGAAGGAAAGATCAATCGGACAAATGAAGGACTAAAGGAGAAAACAGTGAACATGAGAGGGAAAAAGAGAGGAAGCGAAAGGCAGGGAGAAAACCCGCAAAATCGCCAAGGACGTTCCACCTCATACTGGGCACCCGTTGAAACGCACTTTAAGATGATCAGCGACCGGGCTGCAAGGAATTTGCAACACCTTTCTGTCTGCTCGGCAACAGCCGTCAAACAGCCGCCATCCACATTACTCCCCAAGCCAGATTAGCACCAGGTTAGCAACATTCATCACGACGATTATAAGCCAGACAATACCTGCCAAGAGACTTAACCACAAGGGGTTGGCCATCTTAACCAAGCCACTGCCATCAACACCGGTGTCAGAACTAGTGACCGGATTACGCTCCTCATCCATTGGTCTTGCAGGTGTTTCAAACATATCTGCTCCATCCTGCTGCTGCTGTTGATTATCGGTATCTTCCACACGGTAGCGCGCCATGCCGGGCTGCACGGTCATGTACTTATTAAAGCAGGTGAACCAAATGAGGGGTGCTGAGACAAATGGCAGCACGATGCTGAGGGCAACCTGGCTACCCTCAAGCGCGTCATTTAGCTTCTCCCGGCCTGCAGCGCCCGCAATGATGATGCTAGGTGTAATACTGATGCTGCGCGTGATAAGGCGGCGCATCCACGGCCGCATATGCCACCTGAGAGCGCCTTCACACACCATCTGGCCCGAAATGGTGGCGACAATGCCTGCCGAAACGCCCGAGAACAGCAGAGCTAGTGCGAATATGGTTCCCGCCGCAGGACTGAGACTCGACGTCAGTAACGCATGGATGCCGAAGATATCCGCATCTAGGGCGTCGGAGTTCTGGTATAAGCTCGCTCCCGCCACGATCAAGATGGCGCTGTTAACGAAGAGGGCAAAAGTGAAAAGGCAGAGGGCGAGCTCTACATAAGAGTACTTGAGTGAGTGCTTGATGGCACGTAAGCTAGGGATGTAAAATGTCTTCTCTGCCGCCTTGTCGTCATTGATGCTGCTGGCCGCTGAGGATGGCACAGCTGGTAGAAGCCCATGCTTGGTGTCATAGTCGCGCAGTCTAGATTGGACGATACCAGACCCGAGATATAGTGAATGCGGCATGACGGTAGCACCCAGGATTCCACAAGCTTGATATAAACCCTGGGACTCGGTTACGGCGTTGTTCGGGAGGTAGCCCTTGAAGACCTCGCCGGGCGTGGTGCCCTGAACAAAGGAGAGCTGGATACAGAAACAAATGACCACCCCGAGAACCAGCAAAACGATAAAGAACTCGAAGCCGCGTAGTCCTCTCAAAGACCCACCCGGTCGATAGAAGACGAGAATAAACAGCACATCGATGATGGAGATGGCGCATCCCGCAACAAGTGGTATTTGGGGGCAGAGAAGATTCAGAGCGATCGCAGTTCCAATAACCTTGAGCGTGGAAATGTAAGTTGATGGACGAAAATGTGGAATTGACATGAAAACGAGAGAGCCTATAGTTACCTCGGCGATGTCGGTCGCAATTATGGCCGCTTCAGCCATAAAGTAAAGAAAGTAATTCAGCCATCGGGGTAAGAATGCACGGCAAGCTTCGGCAAGATTCAGTCCAGTCACAGAACCCAGCTTGATAGCAAGACTTTGTAGAAGAATCGCAAATAAGTTGCTCATCAAGATGATGAACAGAAGCCGAAAGCGATACGAGGCGCCAGCGGCAATGTCGGTGGCATAGTTGCCAGGATCAACTGAGACAATCTCTGTGTTAGCACTGAGCCTGGCAAAAAATGGACCTATGGTGATAAAGAACGGAGGGTTTCGGAGGGATCAGCATACTGTAAGCCACCGCCACTAAGAAACCGGGCCCGATGAATTTCGCAAAGTCGAGAAATCCATGGCGGGCTCGGTGCAGAAGACTCCCGCCCACCCCGCCGGTAGTATCGGCAGGGGGGCGGTCGTCCAACACCTGGGCGGTCAAGGTCCGCTTTCCAGGCGACTGACCAGTTGCAGCATGTAGCAACGTGGCCAGATTCTGCACCCCTCGGTACGGCTGGGCAGGCACACTGTCAGGAACGGATCCAGAATCCTGCGCGACAGCCTGCCCGGAGTCATCTAAGACCCTGTCGCGGCCACGCCGATTGCGTTCATTGGCGATGCCATTCAGATCCTGGTTAGTGACCAGATCGTTGGACAATTCATTGGGGCTTTGGTTGAGGCCGTCACCCTCATAGGGTTCGTCGGTCCGAGAGGTCTTGTTCATGGCGGGCACATGAGCAGGATCGGTGCTCTAATGAAGGTGGCGACACCTGCAGTGGCTCCAGTTGTTTAGAGAAGTCTAGTGAGAGAGTGCGCCTCGTGCACTTGCTGTTGGGACAATTGATTCGGGATGAATATGAGGATGATAGCGAGAGCCGCAGACACACCGCTCTTGGAAAGACTGTTATTGTCGGAATGAATTGACCCCGCATCCCTTGGCTGACCTAAGATTTAGGGAGCGCACCGAGGGAGGGGCGACCGCTGGTTGGACAATCCGGAGTTTGACCGCCGCTGACTCTGACAAAGTGCACCTGCTGGTCACGGGTTGGCATCGTAGACTACGGTCCTTCCGAGGGCTTGGCACAATTAATACTCGAGTTCCCGAAACTGACTGCTCCTGCTCGCTCAATTAATTCGCTAAATGCTCTCTGCTGTTAGGCCAGACTCTGAGGTGGCTGGGCCTCAACTCCTCGAGTAACCGCAAGATAGGAAGTAAAGCAGCGCATCTTGCGATCGATCGGCGAAGACGCCGCTACTATAGGAGACAATATAGATAATGTAACGAGCCGCAAGTATATATATAGCAAACGTATCTAGGTGGTCCTAAGTTAGCTAAGTAGCGCCCGTATAAGCTTCTAAGAAGATAAAGGGGGTGAAGAGCTGAATCTCGGACCATTTCATCCAGAAGATGTGGTTGATTGACGGCAGATCTCGGAGGTTCTCAGATGTGTGGATGACGAGGGAGCTATTGCGCAATCCGCAGTGCTGAATTGTGGGCTATATAGATAATTTTGAGCGATCTGTTTAGCACGTACGACCATAGGATCGAGAAAATTGAGGGTCCCGTCCGCTCCCCTGTACACAAGCTCGATACCGCCGGATCAGTAGTTGGGTCGGTGACGACCAGCGAATCCCCGGTGTTGTACGTTTTTGATCCTTTTGCCATCCCGACGATATCCTTTTTGTTGTTCAAAGTCATACACTTTTGCTTCAGGTAGGTAGTTAGTAACTTTGATAGGCGAGTTATCTGTTTCCTTTTTGGTTGAGCCCAGTCTGCACGATTTTGGACTCTCATTGCGTGTGAAGTCACGAATGCTTGCAGTCACGGGTACTTGAGGCAAAACTAAGAGAGTAAAATTCTGAAGTGCCGCCTGTGAAACATGCGCTGCCCCTGGAGTGCCTTGATATAGTCGAACTGCAGGCGTATCGAGGGCCACAGCGAAAGCAGCACAAAATTCTGGGAGTTCTATTCGAGCTATTAGTCTCTGGTTTTGAGTAACTTGAATCGGGCTTCGCGGTGCGTAAGAACAGAATGGAGGCTGTTCGGTCATGACGACGAGCATAGCGCTCATATGTTCCTTTGTGACATAAAACTGAACCGGAATGCTGGCCTATGGTGTACGAAGGTTCCCTGGCGAGTAGCATAGTTGAGTGATTAACTCCGGTCATTAAAGGGTCTCATGGGGAATCGTACAGCACAAACATAAGCAGCTTTCTTGGGCTCTGAGGACACCGACCTTGAAAAGAAATTCCAGCCTATAGTGGCAATGGTTTCTTTCATTACCCCTAGCACAAAAGGCTCGCATGCGAAGTATGAGAGCGGTCAACCACAACTCCGGCGTACTCCGGCATCCGGCTGAACTGGTCTTGACACGGAGAAGACATTCCATTAGTCATGTATTGCTTTTATTTTGCAGAATGAGCGTGTCGCGTCTAAGAAGTTACTAGACGAATGAGGGCCGTCTAAAACGAACAAAACCGCAAAACTCCCAACTCCGGCTGTCTAATGATGCCGCCCAGCCCTCCAACCACCTCCAACCAGGCACATGCTCATATTAACCCTTCCACCCAACAACACCTTCTTCCATTCATTGAACCCGTACTAGGGCTTATTCACCTGCTCCTTTCTGAAGAATTTCAAATATCCAACACACAGTGCAAGCTGCGCGCCGAGCGTGCCCCAGAACCAGGGCTTGTACAAGACGCCCTCGATGAACCCCATCGTCATGTCCGGGAACACATCCCCCGGACCAATGTTATTCGGGGCCATCGCCCTCGCGGCAATCGTCGCCGCCGTGCCGAGCAGCTGTGCAGCGATCACCGTAGCGAGGACGTGCACCCTCGTCAGGGTGAGCATGAGGATCATGCCAATGCCAGCGCCCTGCAGGCCGTCCAGGACACCCAGCCACAGCCACAGCGCACGGGATGCGAGCGCGCTCCCGACGGCACCCCCTGCGGGGACCCAGGGGAGATACAGGCCGATCGGCGTGACGCCCCAGAACTCCTGGGCCCAGCGCGGCGCGCCCAGGCCGATGGCAAAGATGGGGAACAGCCACGGGTGGGACTTTGTGATGCGGGACAGGCCCAGCAGGATCCCCGACCAGACGACCACGAAGAAGCCCAGGGCGAGCAGGATGATGCTCCAGACGGGGACTTGGTTGAGGGCGTTGGTGTTGAACAGGAACGTCCAGTTGCGTCCGTAGGGAGCCGACAGGAAGTAGTTCTGCACGCAGACCGCGAGGAAGAACCACGCAATCGTCTTGCGCTTGAGCAGGCTGCGCCACAGCATGGGCACCGCCCCCGGCGCCTCGCGGTAGTACTGGGGCAGTCCGAGGTACAGGATGAGCCCGACGGCCCAGAGAAACACGGCGACCGGGGCGCACACGAGGAGCAAGTAAGGCGACGTGGCGAGACCGGCGGTCGAAGTGGATGTCGTCTGGCCCGCGGCCGATGCGGACGAGATGATGCTGCCCCAGTACCACAGGCAGAGCGAGTAGAGCTGCTGCAGGCCCTGGATGATGGTGGCGCGGAAGATCCATACGGTCAGCGGGGAGCCGCCCTCGTCGCCAAAGTTGGAGGCAAAGGCGATGGCACCGCTCGAGCTGGCAGTTGCGTACAGGGCCGTGGCGCCGTTCTGCATCCACCACCGCTGGTCGCCGTTGCTGGCAAAGGGAGAGCAGCCGAGCAGGACAAACGCCGCCCCGTAGACGAAGAAGGGCAGGGTCAGGGCGTAGAGAGCCTGGCAGCGCCGCACCATGATGTACCAGACAACGGTCGAGCCAAAGTAAACGCTGGCAATGATGTAAAGCTTCTCGGCCGTCTGACCGATTTCGCCAGTGAGCAGCGTGATCTGGTACGAGTTGGACGAGATGACCTGGCCAAGTGCGAGAAACATGCTGTAGATCGGCCAGTCACCAATGCGGTACGACAACCACCTGCTTAAAGTCAGCGTCTCTATTTTCACGTGCAATCGCCATCATCAGCTCGGAAGCGACCATGGAACATACTTCTGCAGACCGATCGGCGGCTTGTAGTCCTCCCCAATTCCAAACTCGCGCGGGTCATACTCGCGCTCCTTGACCTTGATCTCATCACCGTTGGCATCCACTGCCAAGCCCAAGTCGACCTTTTCCCCACTGGACAACTTTCTCTCAGTGACAGTTTTGCCCGACAAAGCAGACGCGGGCCGCTCCTTGTGTAACCTCTTGCGCTGCCTGACCGTGCTCTTTGTGGACGTGGTAGTCTCTCTCGTCGGAGAGGTGGCGCGGGACGCAGCACGCGTCGAGGGCATCGTTGAAGGGCCTGCGGTCGCCACGGCGGTAGTCGCGGACGAGGGTGCGTGCGACACGGGCCTGCTGGCTGTGCTGCTCGTCGAAGACATGCCCGAGGGCAAGCGTCCGAGACGCGCATTGCGGTAGCGCGTGAACCACTCCTTCTCGGACTTGATGAGGTAGTCTTCGATGCACAAGTCCGTGGAAGAATTGTGGCTCGTCAGGCTGTCGAGCTTGCGGCTAAAGGCGTTGTAGCAGTCGCCGGTCGAGTCGGTGAAGAATGGGGAGACGTTCTGCAGCTCGAAATCGGTGCGGGGACCCACAATGTCTTTCAAACTGAGGATCGACACCGGACGGGAAAGAGGGCCGGCGCCACCTAGCGGTGCAGCGGCGAATGTCACAGTCGAGCCGTGGCCGGCGTTCATAGATGGTGGTCTCTGGGGAGACGTGGGGGACATCGGCGAAGAGGAGGACGCCAGAGGCTCAATCTCGTCTATGGCCTCGGTGAAGTATGAGTCCCGGATCGCGGAGATGCGGGGACCACGTACTGGCGAGGCGAATGTGGAACTTTCGGTAGACGATGGAGGAGTCATGATGGGCAGCGAACTGTACGCTGCCGAGTTCCTGGCTGAAGGAGGAGGCTTGAAATGGACGGGCCCCCTGGTGGAGCTGCGTGCTGACGAGCTAGAGGAAGTTGGTCTGCGACCTGACGAAGTAGGCCTTCGTGGAGCGGTCACGCTCGCGAAAGACGAAGCACTGGTTGGGCTCGTTGGGCTCGGAGGTGGTGACACATCAAAGACACGAGCCCGCAGAGCACTGCTCAGAGACACCACACGCACGACCTCCTCGATCTCGGCGGCCTCGAGATCTTCGTCAGTCGAGGCGGACGGTGTTCCGGTGCGAGACGGGCTCTCAGGGGCCGACGAGGGCCGCCTGAGCTGCTCGGTAGTGATGTTGGCCGGCAGCGACGTCGAGATGAAGGGGCGGCCAGCAACCTTGGGTGTCTTCTTTTGAGGCAGGCTGGACACTGACACAGAACGACTCCGACCCCCAGTGACCTGTTCGCCGTCGGTAGAGCTCGTAAAGGAGCTGAAGGTGCCACGACGCATGCGGGGAGGAGCGCGGGCCTCGGCAGCCCTGGCGGCATTGAAGTCCTTCGTGAAGAGCTTGCTGCCTGGTCGCGAGTCGGACCCGACTGAACCAGCTCGAGCCTTCTCTTTCCTGGCCTCCTGAAGCCGAGCACGCTGGGAGCACCTCGACTGGGACCTCGACTCTGGGTCGTTGGGATTGGCCTTGGACAGCCTGCGCCGCTTCCCCGTCTCCGGACGACCAGTGCGTGTGTCCTCATTGTCGTAGTGATGGCCCTGTGGGTGGTGTCCATCATCATTTCCAGGAGGCGTCAGAGGCGGCGTGCTAACGCTATTGGAGCTCGACCCAGACCTCCTGAGCTTGGGGTTCTTCTTGATCAGCCTCTTCCTGGTCGAGGTGGTCGCTGACGTGCTCGAGGACCCGGGGATCATCTTGCCACCGTGCACCGCGATGGCTGTGGACTGCAGGATCTCGAGGTCCTCGAGCCACTGGGCGACGGGGAAGCGCTGCTTGGCCGACCAGGCGCGCATCTTAGCGCGCGTCTTCTGCTTGGTCTCGAGGGCTGACACGATGGCCTCCTTGAACTGGGCCAGCAGGTGCGAGGCGCTCATCGACTCGATCGTGTACCACCACCCGGGCATCTGGCCGAGCCCTCCTACGCGGGCGCCGACGCCGAGGGCGCCCTTGCGGCCAAACTCGACGGCGACGAGGCCAAAGGGCTCGTCACGGGACGGGATCAGGGCAAACTCGGCGCCGCTGAAGATGAAGGGCGGCAGGGCTGTGAACTCGGGCTTGCTGTAGACGCGGCCCGGGTACTTGTCCATGAGCTTGGAGAGCTTGAGCGCGGCAAACTTGCCGTACAGGTCGATCAGCGGGCCGATGCAGATGAGCTGCGTATCCGGGTACTGCTCGAGGATGGAAGGGAAGATGTCGGCGATGAGGTCGACGCCCTTCTGCAGACTCCAGCGGCCGACAAAGACGAACAAGTCCGCCTTGGGGTTGACTATGAGGCCAGCCCACTCCTGGGCCTGCCGCTTCAGGTCCGCACGGCCAGCCTCGTACGCGGCGTCGACGACCACGCTGCGGTCGTTCATGAAGGCCTCCTTGTCCCAGTCGGCCGTGTCTGTGGGATCCGGGTTGGGCAGCTGCCCTACGCCGTCGAGCCCCCAGAAGATGGCGTACCGTGCAAAGGAGCGGTCGCCGTACTTCTTGGAGACGCCCACGGCGCCGAAGCCGCGCTGGTGGATGCGCAGGTAGCTCGCGCCAGCATGCAGCAGATTAAAGACGGAACCGAACTGGATGTAGCGGGCCACAACGTCGCGGTCGAGGTTGAACACGGAGCATACCTCTTGACACTCTTTGGGTGTGCGCATCGGCCACATGCCCTGGAACTCGGCGTTGTGCAGCGAAAGGCAAGCGGGCACCGTTCGAGGCAGCAAGTAGAGCAACGCCGCCGCTCCATGATAATCATTGCAATGATAGCAATCTGGATCGAACCGGCGCACCGCCTCGGCGATGCACTGGTTCCAGGCCGAGTAGTAGACGGCGCTCTCGAGGTCGTCCATGCGCGGCGGGTACGGCTCCGCCTTGGTCTGCTTGCGGAACACGGGGGCGTCGAGCAGCACAAAAGTAATGTTGCCCAGCTTGTGGTACTGCACCTTGACCTCGTACTGGTCGTTGAGGATGGTGACGGTCATGGGCTCGGCCACTGTGTCGATGGGGTACTCGATGCCCGAGACGCAGGGCACCACCCACACCAGGTCCTGGTGCTCGAGGCTCTTGCCCATGAGCCCGGCCATGACGCCCAGGCCTCCAATCTTGATCTTGATGTCCCAGTCGTCAATGTTGTACTCCATTGTCGCGATGAGCACGGTCCGGCGGCGGGGCACGTTGACCATGGTCTGCCCGGACGACGAGTGCGCAAGGGTGGACACGATGGACGAATTGACCTGGTACATGAGGCTCATCTGCGGGCTGCGCGTGACCGTCAGCGTCTTGGCCATGCGCTTCTCCATAATCTCGGGGAACAAGACCCTGAGCACGCGCTTGCACCACCGGCCAACGGCTGTCGAGTTGCCGCTCAGGCCCATCTTGACAAACTTGACCTTGTAGAAGGGCCCCTTGAACAGAAGCACCGACATGATGCCTCCGAGTATTGGGCCAACCCACAGGCCCGCGTACAGCGCGAGCTGCTGCCAGGCGCTGCCTTGCGGCACGAGCTCGTATTTGTAGTTGCCATCGTTGATCCGCAGCTTGTACGCGAGCCCCGGGAACGCAGGACCCGAGGTGATGTTGATGACGCTCTCGACGAGGCTCGAGGGAGGCAGCCGGTCCAGCACAAAGTCGTTGTCAATGTCGCCAAACACGAACCCCTGGTCGGGCGAGCCGTCCGGGTTCATGCCCCAGACGTTGAGCTGCAGCGTCGCTGGCCACTCGGCAGCGAAGTGGAACTCCCACATGCCGTCGCCCACGAGATCGACCGTGTTGTCGATGCCCGCGTCGAACCCCCACATGTTGTACTTGCCGTTGGCAAACAGGTGAGGGAACCGGCGTTGTGTCTGGGACGACGAGTCTAGGTCGCCGTGCTGCACGAAGCTGCTGCTGCCCAGGAGCTGGGACCAGTACTGCACAATGACGTGCTCGCCCTCCCACTCCTGCGCCGTCGTTCCGGACCACGGCTGGCTCTCGATGGGCACCGGGTGGCCCTGGACGTACTCGCGCCAGTCGCTCCACGAGGACCCCCAGTTGAGCGTGTACCGCCACTTGGACGCCCCGGGGGCGTTGTGGGTGAGGGTGAGCCTGCCGGAGCCGTCGGTGGCGTAGTTGAGCAGCGCGTTCGAGTAGTTGCCCGTCCGCGGGAAGACGACCGGGTTGCTGGCGTCGCCGAGGCGGATCAGGAACCGGTCCACGCTGTTCGTGTAGCTGCCCAGGTCGGCCGTCGTGGCGTTGCGCACGACAATCTCGTGGATCCCGTCCTCGATGAAGAGCAGCGTTGCGGACCAGCTCCAGGCCGATCCTAGGGCGCCGACATAGGGGGGCGTCTCCGGGTCCGTCATGTTGGCACACACGACGCTCGAGGCATTGACGATGGGGAGCGGGCTGGTCGGGGAGAACCGGCCGGCGTTGATGCTGTAGATCTCGATCGAGTCGGTAAAGCTGTCGCAGTCCATGGCTGCCGAGGTGTGCAGCTCGATCTGGATCTGGCCCGGGTGCTCGAGCGTGGCCGAGTCGATGTGGGCGTCGTGGCCGGGCAGGAACTTTGTGATCATGGCCGGCGGCGGCACAAAGGAGGCGATGGGCACGTAGGCGCGGAACTCGTAGGGCCTGAGCGTGATCGAGTCGGTGCAGCCGTTGTACTTTGTCGAGCCGTTGATGCCCAGCTTGGTGGTCGAGTCCTTGAGCACAATCTCGTCGTGCGGGAAGAAGAGGTTCTTGACCGTCGTGCCCGAGTCAAAGGGCGCCACGATGGCGTGACCGGCCATCGACGAGCAGTCAAACGTGTATTCGGTCGCGGTCCCGTTGTCGTTGTGGTACACGAACCAGACGGGGCTCGTCTCGCCGAGGTCCTGCACGCCTGGGTACGCCGACCGCAGGACGCTGAAGAGGCCTGTCTCGGTGCCGACGCCGCTGGAGCCCGGGTACTGGACAATCTTGGTCATGTTGGACAGCTGCTGGAGGAAGAAGCCGTCGTTGAGCACGGGGAAGACGGTGCGGAGGTGGTGCATGGCCTTGACAATGTTGCGGATGGGATGGCTGGGGTCGCGGTGGTCCCACGACTCCTGCTCGTTGTGGCACGCCGTCCGGGCGGCCTCGAGGGGCATGCGGTAGTACTGGGCGCTGCCGAGGGCGTAGCAGCCGTGGGCCTGCCACGCCGGCGACGCCGTCATCGACTGCCTGCCGTAGATGTAGTTGTCGGCGGTGCTGTCGAGGATCGTGAACGCCTGCTCCTCGCCCCAGAGCAGCAGCGGGATGCCCGGCATGTGCAGCGTCGTGATGAACATGCCCAGCAGCATCCGCTCCGTGCCCTGCGTGATGGCCGGCCACCGGAACACGTCCTGGTTCGTGGCGCCGTACATGTGCCGCGGGTCCAGCTGGTGCGTGTCCGGGTTGACAAAGTCGTTGGTCAGCAGCATCTGGTTCCACGAGTCGACCCAGTTGGGCGGCAGGTCGAAGCCCGCTGCCAGGTTGCCGTCCATGCCCAGGAACCGCGTCAGGAAGCGGTAGATGGAGTAGTGGAACGCCGCTGCGTCCAACGCGTTCTGGCCCTCCTCCCGCAGGAACGGGACGTGCTGCTGGGCCGCCGTGTAGTTGTTGAGCGCCGCCGCCTGCGTCAGGTTCGACAGGTACTGGTCGGGTTGCCGGCCGCGGCCCAGGTACAGCGCCCCAAACGTGTTGCCGCCCGTGATCTCGCCCGGCAGGAAGAAGTTGTCCTTGCCCAGCGCCCGCGCGCACTCGCGGACCTGCGCAGAGAAGTTGCCCGAGGCGTCCAAGGTCGCCTGGGTGGCCTTGTCGTACCGGAAGCCGTCGACGTCGAGCATGGCGATCGTGATGCACGTAAAGTGGCCGAGCCGCTCCCGCACCGACGGCACCCACTCGCGCAGCCGGTCCTGCACCGACGCGAACTTGGTCAGCTGGCGGCGGTAGTCTGGGTACACGCCAAACGCCTCCGTGTCGCCAAACTGGTCAAAGTCGCCGTCGTAGCACCCGTCGAACGAGTCGAGCACCCACTGGTCCACAGGGAAGCCCGTCTCATTCCACATGCGCGGGAAGTGGCACGTCTCGTTGTAGGCGGTGCCCACGTCAAAGTCGGCATACCGCCAGCTGCTCTTCCACATGAGCGGATACTCGTGCGTGTCGAACGGCGTGCTCTCGTTCAGGTAGCCCTCGAACCCCAGCAGGTCGCCCATCCTGTGGTTTCCTCGTTAGCAAAGGTGAAGACTAGAATACAGAGCAGTGACGATTGCCCAACACTTACGTGGCCAGCGTGTTGTCCAGAAGGATGTACATGCCACGGCGGTGGATCTCGTCAATCGCACTTCGCCACGCGCTGATGTTGCCAAAATGCGAGTCCAGGATTGTGTGGTCCAGGGGCTGCAGACCAGAGTCAGCTTCGCGGGACTCTCCTCCCTCTCCCAGACCAAAAGAGGGACACTTACAGAATATGAATCAGCCACCCAGGGCTGGTTCATGAACGGCGATCCAGCGATGTACAACCCCTAAGCTCGTGTCAGCTTCTGTTTGTCCAAGAAAAGAAAGAGGCGAAGAAATCCCCAGCCGAGCTCAAATTCCGGGAGCCAAACATGGAGGATACACTTGGGGGATAACGCTCACCTTGACGCCCATGCCCTGGATATAGTCGAGACTGTCCATGAGACCCTGGACGTCACCACCAAAGCGAAGCTGCGTGCTCATGACATCCTGCTCGAACAGCGTGCCGTTGGCATTGTCGTTCGTGGGATCGCCATTGGCAAAACGGTCTAGAAACAGCGTGTAGAAGGGGAACCGCCAGCTCTGTGGGGATGGATGGAAGTCATGGTTCTCCCATTTGCCCGAGTATTCCATTGGACCTCGTGCCCAAGGATTCTGGTTCAAATTGTGGTCCAGATACCGCATGTCGAACACGTAGCTGCTTGTCAGCGTCGCCGCCGACAAGAGCAGCCATGACTTCCATGGTGCCGCCGGCGATGAAGAGGGAGATACCGGCATGGTAAGCCGCCCTGATATTGACGAGAATGACATGAAGCGAATGGAATGTCTCCCTGTTTCCCTCCCTGTGTGTGTGTGGGTGGAATCAGACAAGAATTTGTCTATCTCTCCTCCGAGGGCTGAGCGTGGAAAGACAGAAAAAGCAACGCCGAGGCTGAGAATTGAGATGGAAAGCTTCTGGCAAGGACCCAGTATGCTTTAAGGGGATGCATAGGTCTATGAGGGGCGGTCTTGGTCATGCAAGCCTCAAGCAGCCAGCGCACTGTTCTGAGAGAAACACGTGTTTGTGACGGAATGAAGGCGCCCGGGTTGGACTGTGGCTGCAGGTGATGTCGGGACGAAGACAAGGCAGTAGAGCACGCTCGGATGCCCGTGCTTCCTCCAATACTGGTGGTGGTGAGACGAGATACGACTAATAAGGTAGGCACGTATTCAAGGACAGAGTAAGATGCTTAGCCTCGAACTAAGATTTCAAGCACCTGCAGTAGCTCAAGATACCGCAGAAAAGGTGGCGGGCATGACGGGTCCAGTGTTGTTGTGAGATGCTCGAGGAGGGCAATGTTTGGTCTCTGCGTCAAGATAAGGACATCATGGCGTCCTCTGGGGTGATCAAGCCACGGTGATGTGGTGCAGGAAGCTGGCGGGATTGCAGGCTTCGAAGTCAAGGAAAGCCGAGACGCATGCCGGACTCCATCATCGTATGAGGGTCCGACCCATCACGAATGAGAAAAGTCAGATAGCTCGGGGGCTAACAGGCCCAGCCGAATGGCCGTGGTATCAAGGTCTCGCCTGAGGGGACATCCACGACGAGAGCTTGTTGGATAGACACCCTCAAGGAGAACGAGCTTTGCAGTGGTCTCCGCTACAGCGTGAAGCAGACAAGTGTTACTTCCGGCCTAGATCTGCATGCACGGCGTCAAACTGGCTGGCCTCGAAGGCTCATGGAGCCAGACCAGCCCGCAGTTCTGCTAGCTAACGGGCAACGTCGAGAGATATGTGGATAGACAACCGCCTTGGCCTTAGTCTTGCAGGCATGGACGCCCTACTAGTCTGACCGGCTAAGACCCAAGCGACAGGAACTTGAGGTTTAGGCTCAGAGATGGCATGACACGGCGTGAGGTTGTGAACGAACGTGATGTGGCCCAGTCTCTCGGGGCGAGGTCTTAAGATGGGTTCCTGCATGGCAAGTGAGGTTTGCAGGGGTTTAGCGGGCAGCCATGATTCGTCATGGTTGGGTGTCTAGACAGCGCCTTGGAGGCCGAGCCAACGTTGTGCTCGAGGAGATGTCGCTTTCCGATGTTCCAAAACTTTCAGAATGGTGCCATGCAGCCGGGACGCGGACTCCATCTGGTGGACCCCCAACTGACTTGCCAACGAGCAGTGCCACTGATATGCTGACACGGTGCCAGGAAGAGCTGGCGGGCCCTGGAACATTTTGTCCGCAGGAAACCTTGCCATCCGTGGCACACACGGAGCTCGCAGAGATTCGCTGGCTCCGGGGGGAGGGAAAACTCGTCCAGGGGTCCTCAAGGGTTGTCACGGAACAAGAATCCGGTGGCTTGGACAAGGGCAACGGCTGGCGTTGATGGAATGAAGGTAGAGCGATGGAGTGCCGAGCCTGGCGTCGTGAGGCTGGCAAGTACTGTGGAGACAACCGTCAATGGATCTCAGATAATCTCGGCCTGGCGGACATACATCGATCGAGAATCAGCCAGAAACATCAACGTATTCGAGTGGCGCCAATAGGTGATATGGAGGCGCTTACAGAGAAGTGCAGAACCGCAACTCTACCCCAGGACGCGTGTTCAAGAAGGTAGAGAAAAGATGGCTGCTCTGCCATCCACAAGCACGGCCCTGGTGCCCTCGATCGTGATGCTGCAGGCAAACGGTGACAGGCTCGGCGGTCGGACTCTCTGTGCAGTATCTCCCACCCTGGCGCGGCTCTCTGACGAATCGAAACGTCTCGCAACGTTGGTTCTCAACCAGCCCCTGTGCCTGATCGGGAATTTGGGTTTGGCGTCAGGCTCAGGCGGAGCTAGACCACATCGAGGCTCCTCAGCTCCCGCGTCAGCTCAGCTATCTTCTCTGCTCCATACCGCGCCTAGAGGAGGACCCGTCTTTTTAACTCGCCACTTCTGCATGGTTGGCAAAATGGCATGACATAGCGTCATGCCCGCAAGACTCGCTATTCGGAACTATTGGCCTCGGACTTTTGTATGCCCACGCTCAGCGGACCGCCGTGCTGGGTAACGCTCCTGTGCATACCGACAGCCATGGTGTAATGCATGCATCGTTGACATGGAGGGCCATGGAAAAGGTCCGGCTGGCCGTCAGTTCTACTGATATGCACAACGTAGAGCTCCAGACTGTGGGGAGCTGCAACAAAGCACTATTTTCCGGAGCGCTCAGGCCATGCTTCGGCTGTGGCAGACATTCGCAGGCTCCCATATGATGATGCCTTTGTCTCCTCGGCTGTCACGCTTGTGCCACATCTGCCAGCCCGGGACCGAAGCAAATACCTCAACGGCAATGTTTCTAATGGCTTGCCAACTAAGCAGGTGAGGGTCCTCGCAATGGCTAGCGCCCAAGCCCAACATGGGAGCGAGTGCCTCCACCTCCACCCTACAGCTCCTCTCCTATCTGGTCGCAACTGAGGGACAATTCCGCTCCCGACTCGTCTGAGGCGGCAGATTAGAAAATTCCGCGATGACGAGGCGCGCCGCGAGCCCCGACTGGCCCGTTCAAAACGGCCGTTTCGGCGCGTATGGCGTGCAAAGCGGCGGCACGCCACAAGCACGCTAGATCAACAGCGACCAGCTGGACAGCATGACACCTTCCAGTGGGCTTCCAGCAGGCTCAAAGGGCACCCACCAACAATCCCAACTATCGGCAAGCCGAGACACTTGTGGCACTTTTGTCGGAGCCATACTCTTTGTGGGTGCGGCAGCTTGAAAGCAGCCTATAGAATGTCCAGATCCAGCGTCGCCATGCCCGTTAGGGAACTCAAATCGTGAATGGTTTGCCAGATTTCCTCGTGCAAGCACGCACTCCCATCTTGTGTAGCCTTTTGCGATGGCGGCAGTGGATCGAGCCTATCGCTTGATGGTTCCTGGGGCAGTCAGGGCACCCACCATGGGCTCTCTTCAGTGCCGATGGCATGTCTCACTTTCATCCCGGACACACTCAAGGTTTCCCCCACGACGTTTTCCAGGGGTTTTGGGCAATAGAGCCAGAGTTGAGCCAGTCAACGACTTTCCAAGCCAACGGCATTTGAGTGGACCAAGAACAATGACTGCGATGGCCCTGATTTCCCGATCCGCCTTTTCTCCCGTATAATCCGCTGTCTGATAACCCGCGCAATGGGTAACAGCCCTCGTGGCTTGGCGAAAGGGATCCACGCCGATACCTACGCCTAAAGCCGCACCATTCTGATCTTGGAGGCGGGCCACTAAGCGCGCCGCCAGTAGCGCATGCATGCAAGCCAAGTCCCAAATAATATGTCCGTGTCCGCTGGAGCCGTCGGAATGGTGCTGCATACGTGTAGCTTTGCTGACTGCTAGCATGCACTGGCACCATGTACATTGCAGGCAACACGAGCAGTGACGAGGCTGGCTCTCCCGGAAGATCAGTCTACGTCTTCTTTTCTCCACTGGGCTGTACCCGTGAACTGACGTTCCTGCCGCCGTTGCTATTGGTCGATAAACTTCGATCGGATCAGTGGCTTGTTTTTGTCTTCCGGGTCGGCTGCATACGAGAAGTCAACAGCTGAGCTGAAGTTGGCTTTTCTCTTGCAGGTAAGCTAAGAATCTGCGCACTTTTCCTCGCTCACTGCGTAAATATGGCTCAATGAGCGGTTGTGATGGATATCCGTTGTGGCGTCACGTAAGCGATCTAGCCTTGGTTCTTTTCTGCTTTCAGAAATGCACGTGCGGTCCTCCAGAGTTTTGGTACAGCTAATAGCTCCTGGAAACTTGAGATCGACAGCGTTTCATCGGAGCGTACCCGGCTCCTTGGCCCTGGGTTTTTCGGATGGCTGGATCAACCCATCCGCTTTTGGCGTAGACGTCGTAGCGGTACTAGGTCCTAGATGTCTGTGAAAAACGGACAAGGCCGACAGTGATTATGAGTGGCTTGAAACAGGCTTCCAGGCTGCGTCTTCTAGAGCAAAGCCTGCCCATGTGGTAACTTCTAACCCCCCCCCCCCCCCCCCCCCCCGATGCGTTCCGTTCGTATCAATTACGAACCTGCAGTAGAAAGTGCCTGTATCCACTTGGGCATGGCCTGACTTGGAAGACGACCGCTGGGCAGTGGTAATGAGCCCCGCTCAGTGCTCTGGACCGTGGGAGTAGCTGTCTGCTTGTCATGAGGTATCTGTTGCGGTTGAGCTGCACTATTAAAGTGATCATCAGGGTGGCCGGCTGTCGAGGACAAGGCCGACAAGACCTAGCCTCCAAACAACCGGGCCAGTGCAGTATCATTGGCTGCGCCGATCTCGTGACAGGAGTCAGTCTTCGTTAGTAGGGGTGTAGGCTACTACTGCAACGTTGGGATGGGCGTAGTACTCTGTACAGCGGTGGCAGGAAGATTGAGGTCACTCCATGACCGCGGAATGGTGTCGCTCGCTGTACTTTCAGCCGCGCTCGCTATTGCGTCCGTGACAAGGCTGATGCTACTGTGGCGCGAGGACGGCTTTCATACACTTTTGAAGCACCTCACTCATGACGCTAGGTTGTTGTCTTCCAGTGAGGGCACACGCCGAGAGTGTCACTTCTACCTATTGCCTCCATCCTAGCGGACCAAGCCGTCAACAAGCACGATCCGTCGTCCCCGCAGCCACCACTTACCCGCAGCCAACCCCAAAATATGCTAGTTCTCTAGCTCGCTGCTGCTCGGTAGTGTCACGATGCCTTCGCCAGCCTAGCCCCTTCGCTTCTTTGGTTTCCTTCCAGACGAGTGCAGACAAGCTCAAGGGCATCGACTGGCCTGGTCCGTACGGTTTGACAAGTGTCTCTGCTAGACACCTTCATGACCTATTAGTGACGACTGCATCTTGGTCCTTCACGAGCTAAGTCTAAAGAACGCCTGGAGTTTTAGCGACCACGATCTCGATTGATCATTATACGCCTCGAGAGTCATCTGCTCGTATCAACCGTTGCAATTGACCTACGAATCTCCAAAGCTCCCTTGTTACTCTATATCGCAGGCGCCGAAAACCAACCCTGTCAGCGCCCAAGTGCTACATGCGTGAGGCTGCACCTTTCAGTGTGTCCTGTTGCGACCCAGCTGCTTCCACGCCCTCGGCGAGGCATCTTCGGAGTGCCGTGTCCATGCGCACTGAAACGTTAGATGCATGACAGGTCACTGTCGCCTGCTGGTGGGAGTTCAATTACTGACCACCACCGAACGGGTGGGCAGGTCCAGTGGCTGCCCACTGCTGCGCGACGCCGGCTCGTATGCTGCTGCATCTCTAGCTCGCCCTATCACTATGGCCAGATGCTCATATATGGTGGTCGCCACCCGCCCCTTTGGCTCCTCTGAGTTGTTTCCCCTCTTTCCCGCCATATCCCCATTAGCCACGAGACATGAGAACAACCAACGTCCACAAAGATCATCAATGCCCATCATCTGTTATCACAAGAAACACTGCGGGTCATTTGTCGAAACGGAGATTACCCTATCACAAGAGCATGGGATCGTCATGACAACCGCCAACCGCATACTGCTGCCTGGTCATGGTGACACCAGCGACAGCAACAGCACAGTTCCACATAAAACATAACAACGACACAGGGCATATCAGACGACAACTATATACACGACTCTCGATGAGACGATTTGACCAGGCACAGGTCCATTGTATTATGCGTGTATTGCACGACCGTGTCCTGTCATCAACTCCTCCGCCATCCAACAGTCGACACCCACCCATCTTATGATGTTGGACGACGTCAATTGATCTCTACATAGTCGGATGGCCTAGCAGGGTCACCCCTGTCGCTGTCGTTCCAGGCTTCAGGATGCGGTAAGGCTGCCCAATTGAGCAAGACCCATTGACGGCTAATGCCAGACTCAGGGGTTCATAATCCCACACCCTGGCCAATCAGACGACCTAGTCTTTCGGAGTTGCATCCAAGTCAACAGCGATCCCCCCCAGGCAGCAGCTGGGTGCCCATGCCGACCAGTCAGAAGCAGCGGGCGTCGAGACGACTGAGCCATGCTTGCGATAAGATCAAAACAAAGGAGTCCAGATGTATAACTAGACAGCGATCGTGCCTCCACGACCCGCCGACAGGAACAAAAGCCGAGAGGTGCAGACCTTTTGCGGAAGTGATAGCACATTAGACCATAGACCACCACACACCAGACAAAATGGAGCAGTTTCTCCTCGCCAACGCCAAAGTGTACGAGACGCTAGTCAGCAGGCTGGACCCCGCCTCCACGACACCCAATGTGGCCTCGCTGGCTGGTGGCCGTCGCCAGCAGGCACGACCAGACGCCCAGAGGGTCTCGGACCCCAACATGGTCGTCAGCGCCAGAATCCGGCCTTGGCTGGACGAGGACCGCGCCGCCGGGTTCCCCAACGCCATGTTCCCGCGTTCGCAGGAGCAAGGTGTTGTCGATATACATGATCTATACAATCACCCTCGAGGTAGACCAGTGCTCAAGGTACACAAGCATCCACTGCCATGGCATGCACCCTTCGGGGTAAAACCACAGATTACTGACGAGGCCAACCTCACTTCCCCCGCCTGAAGTCATACAACTATCAAGTAGACAGGCTCTTCGATGGCAGCACCACAACAGAGGCCATCTACGAAGAGCTGGTGACGGATCTCATCCCGTTCGCCCGCGACGGCGGCACCGCCACGCTCTTTGCGTACGGGCAGACTGGGTCTGGCAAGACGTACACGATCAGCCGGCTCGAGCAGCTCGCCATTGAGGCGCTCATGGCTAGCGATGGCCCCGATGCCCCAGGTCCCCATCGCGAGATCTCTGTGACAGTCATAGAACTAGCCGGGAACGCCGTCTTCGACCTGCTCAGCGCCGAGCGCAAGCCCGTCGCCGTGCGGGATGATGCCTCGGGGGTAACCCAGCTCGTCGGCGCCACGGAGCACACAGTCACCAGCAAGGAAGAGGTGCTCGCACTGGTCGAGCAAGCTGCCTCGTTCCGGCGGTCGGCGCCGACGTTCAAGAATGCCGCAAGCTCAAGGTCGCACGCCATCTGCCGGATCCGGATCAAGCAGCCCCAGGAGCAAGCATCTCAGGGGAATGCCGAGGATAATGAAAGCAGCGGCAGCGCCAAAAATGATGGGTTCCTGTACTTGATTGACCTCGCAGGATCTGAGGCGGCCCGGGACGTGGCGGTGCACGGGGCCGACCGGATGCGCGAGGCGCGCGAGATTAACATGAGCCTGTCCGTGCTGAAGGACTGCATACGGGGAAAGGCAGAGGCGGACGCTGCTAGTGCTGCTGCTGCTCGCCTGGCCAGCAGTTCCAACGGGGCCAACCCCAACGGCAAGAAAACACCCAGCACAGGCCCGAGGATCCCCTTCCGCCAGGCCGCGCTGACCCGGATCCTGAAGCACGTCTTCGACCCAGCCACCACACTTGGGCAGACAAGAGGGCCGTCCTGCAAGACGGTCGTGATTGCGTGCGTGAACCCAAGCCTTGCAGACGTCGGTGCGAGCAAGAACACGCTGCGATACGCAGAGCTGCTGCGAGTCACGGTTCCATCGTCTCAAGACGCCGTCGGTGCTGATTCTCCTACCATGCCCGCAGCTACCCCCGGCATTGTTGGCACAAAGGTTCCTCGGGCTGGACCCCCAGCTACTAAGAAGGACACCGGTTCTACGGCAGCAAAAGCACGCAATACGCGGAACCCGAAGACTTGGGACAATGCGAAGCTCAAGGAGTGGATCGGGCGCAAGGTGAGACAAGAAACTCTACTTCCATGCTCGTCAACGCGTGTGCCCCCTCCTTCCCTTGACCCCTCACGTCCCTGCCGTTCGCCTGTACCTCCTCCTATTCCCCTCTGGCTGTCCTTGAGCTAGGTCTCCAAGGAACTAGATCCCTCTATCTCTCAGGCTTCGTAAGCTGGGAGTCGTGAAGCCCGAAAGTAGACAAACGTAAAAGGGTCGGTGCTGACACGCCAGCGTCTCTTCTTATCTTCCTCCGCCCCTCGTACAGCTCGATTCTTCTATGGCTGCATCATCGCTGGCCTCTGCAGATAGTGGCGCACGCTTCTTACAGCTGGCGGACACGGACGAGCTGGAGCGCCGGCGCCTCGCGGTTGCCGACACGCCTGAGGCGCTGCAGATACAGAGCTTGATGGCGGAGCTGCTGACGTTGGCGAACACGGGTCGGCAGTGATGCCGGCAAAGCTTATCTGGCAGCGCCGGGTGATGCGGAGGATCGATTGATTGGTTTGCCGGCACTGGGCTATCAAGCAGCTCGCGTCACTGGACCTGCTGATCACGAGCATGGACCAGGAAGAATTGAGCCGGTTGGCCAATGGATCATGGTGATACGGAGGGAGAGGGGCCCGGAAAGCGAGGGCGTGTACAGGCGGGCAGACTGGCCTTCTCCAATGATGTCGACCACAACGCGGCCAGTCGGGCAGATAAGGGCACGGCTGTCTCATCTCGGGGGCCGCCTGGCGCTCTTTGTTCTCCCATCGCACAGCAGCCAACAACGATCTAGAGGGTCCAGCGGGCATTTTACGACCCGCTCCAGCTGAAGACACCGGATCGCCGGGGCCGATGGGAAGGCAGAGAGCGTTGCAACCACCGGGATAATTGAGTTTCCACCGCGAGATGCTGGCTGCTAAGATGAGGGGGGCCACCCACACGCACCTGGAGCAAGGGAGTCAGCACAGGGTTTTGACACAAGAAGACACAAGACGTACGCCTGGCTGTGGCCAGTCGGCGTGTCTGAACAGCATGGCGAGCCCTGCAAACAGGTCCCTAGATAGCCAGCCACAGAAAATATAGTCTCTTGTCGCTGACGCTCCATTCCCAGAGTTTGCCTTTTCGTGAAGCGTGCCAGGCGTTATGACATCACTGTTGACGGGCACTTGCTCCAAGACATACTGAACCCCACGGCCTGCCACCGTATCTCGTCGTCGGGTTCGCCCTCTACAGATGAAGCCACAGAGGTGCCCTGATGTTACACACACAAGCGCGCGACACGCACCGATGAAGTCGGGCAGTCGACCTTGTCAACCGACGTGCATTGCGCTTATGCGCCCGCCCGCACCACACCACCCAATGCTCGAGCCGCGGCGCCTCCATCGTTCCCGCTACGGTGCCATCAGCCCTTGGCAATGGCCAATCTCCCGCCATACCGAATCCGTCCTCTGCATCATGGCGCCTGCGAGGCCCAACCCTTTCCCAACCAGACAAGCTGATGGCTGCATCAGACCCTTTTCCAGACGCGATAGGGGCCTAGCTCGGCCTAGGTAGAGCCACAACAAGTACGCAGAGAAGTCTGCCGCCACCAGCGGCCTGCAGAGCAGAGGTTTAATCGGCGGTATGCAAAGCGAGTGCCACATCTGCCGTCCCTCCTTCAGCGCCTATCGTCTGGGTTCGGGGAATTGCCCCCCCCGACGAGCAGACCCGGCCAGCCAGCTAGCTTGTGACCTACATGCACAAGCGCTACGGGCGAAGCTGGGGGAACGAGTCGAAGATAGCAAAAGATCTCCTGATGCATGCACACACCGTTGTCGCCGCTGCGCGCCAGATCGGGGCGTTGGAGACGGTCACAACGCCCTTGTGTCGCGCGACCCATCCCCCTGCGGAGGCTGATCGTGGGCTTGAGACAAGCGGTAGTCGCGGCATATAGTGGCCGACAGGGCCTATCGCAAATTTCAGTCCTGCTGCACGCGGCTCACATAATTCTTGGCTGTTCCACAAATTACTAAAGCGTGGATGCACTGTGTTTCGATGCTGAACTGGCTCACGGCCGTGAGCATCTTACATGCGCTTGCTGAGTCTAACAAATTCCCTTTTTAGGTCACCAGCTCCCCTCAATCACATGCCCATGCACGTGAGACCCGTCGGACGTCCAATTCAGAACCCCCAAGACCCTTGGTCCTTGAACAACTCCCCTCCGCCACGTGGACTTAGTGTTATGTTTCCTTGCTCCATCAACAAGCAAGAACTAGTTCTAAGGAGCCATAGTTATAGAGCCCAACGCGAGAGCGAAACTAAGACTTGAAACGAGATAGGGCAAACCAAGCCACGCTTCCCCTTGTCGCATACCCGCGTCGAAGAGGGCCGCAGACGATGGGCCGCCAGTCAGCATCCCGGCGTAGTCTAAGACTGCAATGAAGGTGTACAGAGTTGCCATGTGCTCGCGCGACGTCATACTTGTGATGAGACTCCTGGCAGTGATGGTGAAGGCAAGACCACAAGATGCTACGATCTGACCCATCGCCAGGACAGTTGCCGATGAAGCTTGGGAAATGACAAGAGTACCAATCATCAGGGCCAAACCGCTCCATTGTGCCAGGTATTTGTCTTTGACCATCTCTGTGAGCCTCCGACGTTCTAGCAGATATGTTGACAAAGCAGGAACCCCAATAGCGTGGATCACGAGGTTTGTGGCGGCACCGAGTGACACAAAAACTGAGGCCTAGACAAGGGTCACTACTATCAGCATCTAAGATGAAATGACATGCGGCAAATTGAAAGTAACATACCTGCCCCAGCCCCCAGCCGAGGCGTGCTGAGGCGTATTGCAGGAACAGGCTACCATCCCTAGATGATGTTCCAAAACTGAACACGAAGAAGCATGCGAGGACTAGAACTGTCTTCCTGTTGTCGGCCACCCAGCGAGTGCATGCCATCAGAGCACACATTTGCTTTACTAGCCATGAAAGCTCGTCGTCGTCGGCGGTGTGCTGACTGTGAGCTTCGCGACCCTCGTGGGGCTCATCGAGGGAATCCGGGTCCATAGTGCTGTTCTCTGTAGCGTTTTGCCGCTTGCCAGTATCAGGAAGCAAGGCAAACGCTGCTGGAATTGCAGCCACGCTATTTGCGGATGAAAAGGCCATCGGCAGCCATGGGTTCACGGACGTCAAAAATCCGCCGACGGGGACAAAGATGAACTGTGCCAGGAGCTGGGACGACTGGATGAGCGAGAACGCAGCGACTCTTCATGTATCAGTATGTCAGCTTGTCCTATCCAGCTTTCTCCCAGATGGCTTCACCAACCTTTGCTCTGGTGGGCACAATTCGGCGACCATGACAAAAGCAAGGGATTGCAGGGTAATGGCACCAGCTCCGATCGCTTGTCAGAGACCTCCCAACCAAACTAGCTGCATCGGCAAGATATCACCAAACCAGTCTTTGCATGGCATCATTAGCTTCGCGATACCGAGATCTCTCGTCCTGGGGGTTGGAGGTCGGGCGCGGGAAATGCAGTCTACACTTACATACGATTCGTACTGAGAGATCGTTCATAAACAGGCCTACCAGGGCCAGAACCAGAACTTGCTTCCGGCCAACGCTGTCTGCCAGAACGCCGAAGGGCACAGCCAAAGCAAGGGCTGTGAGAGTGTCAGTAGAGGCCGAGTTGTTGAAGCCGGTGACTGTAGAGGCATGCCTGGGAGGGTTTCAGCAACACTTCTCCAGCCATTGATGATGGCCACCTGGCTCTGCACGGGCGCCACCTTGCATGATCTCTCCGGCAGTTTCGTGAAGCCGCCTTGATCGCGGTAGTATTTCCGACAGATAATGTCTTCAAGAATGACCGTATCGGCGGCAAAGCTGAGGAAACTGCTGACGCTCATGATGAGAAGCACTGTTGCGACATCGATGATTCCTCGCGGCGGGCCAGTGCTGGGTTCGCGGTGCAACGCTGGTGGTGAGCCCTGAGCGGATGCTGAATCTTCCGAACGAATGGCATTCTCGAGCAGTGGGCTCGTCTCACCGTGAGAGCCGCTCATTGGTGCAAGGCCAGCGACCGGCTATCTGCGCCTCCTTGGTTTGGGCACTGGCAAGATTGCAGATGAAAAGAAGACGAGGAAGAAAAGCATTTGAAACAGCTAGGCAGCTGCGTCCTGCTGAAAGTGGCTGGCCTCTTCATAGGGTTCTTGGCATGCTCTTGGGACTGTTGGTTCTCGCGGTGCATACCAGGGGACCCTAGAAGAGTCACCAACACATCCAGGGATGCAGACGCAGGCGCTCCCTGCAGTCACCATGTCAGCCACTATCATGTGGTTGTTGGTGGTACTTGATCCGTCAAGGCCGTTATCTACCAGGATGTCTGCAGCGCCAACACGATGCTGTCAAACAAAGTGAACACAAAACAGCGTTTATTGTCCGTGTGCTTCCAGAGCCCACCCAGAATAACGCACCAGCGCCATCGAACCTTCCCCGAGAATCGTTCAGGCCACTCACGCTCACCATCAGGCGCAGATGGAGCTCGACATGCCTTGCAGCAAAGGCAGCGACCAGGGTATAGGACCACAGATTGATCCTGCCTGCCGCGAATTCGACTTCACTCTGCTTTTCGAGGACATCTTCTTTGGTGTTGTTCCCTATGGGCTCTTCTTGCTGTTCGTTTCAGTGCGCATCTGGCTGCTCTGGAAGCGGCCAGAGAGGGCCTTTGTTCACAAGTCTCGAAACGTCTGCAAATTGGCAGGATTGGCCAGTCTACTTGTGTTTCGGGTACTCACGATCGTCTTTCGTGCCAGGGCACCAGCTTTGAGTACCGCTGATGCTTTGCCACGTGGGATTCTTGCTGCAATATTCGCGCTTGCCTCTGTGCCGTTGCCTTACCTGGAGCATCGACGCTCATCACGACCTTCCGACGTTCTGGTTCTCGCATACACGCTATTGGTTCTCCTCTCTATTCCCTACGTCCGCACGCTGTGGCTAATGCCCACCGACGACATCAACAAAGCGCTGGGCACAATCACCATCGCTTTGACCGCCGCCGTCGTGTGGTTAGAGTCGCTCGGCAAAGCAGACCATGTCGAAAAAGTTTCGGAGAAGGTGGCCATGGAGCAGACAGCTGCTTTCTGGAGCCGTGCTTTCTTCACATGGCTGTTGCCAATATTGCGGATGGGATACTCCAACGTGTTTCGGCTGTCAGAATTACCTGCCGTGGACAGACCGTTGACTGGTGCGTCCACGCAGCCGAGATTGGCCAATGCGTGGAGGAACTCTTCGCCTGCCCACTTTCGACTGCTGTTGGCGACACTCAAGGCTTACTGTCGGTCCTTTGCCTCGGCAATTCTGCCTAGACTGACACTATCGGCTTTCACCTTCTGCCTGCCGTTCCTCATTGAGACGGCAGTGGCCTATCTCAACGAGAGCTCCGATTCGAGCCACAGATATTATGGTCCCAGCATTGTGGGGGCCTTCATATTAGTCTACGTCGGGATCGCGGTAGGTCTGCTTGAAGGCGGATGCATTTGGTGCGGTAAACTTTGCTGACCCAGATCTGCGCAGGTTTCGAGGGCAGTGTATTGGCATGCGACATATCGGATGCTTGCCAGAGTGCGTTCCGGGTTGACGGGCATGATCTATCGCCACACTGTCTCGATGAAAGGCAAAGATGTCCAAGACTCCGCGGCGTTGACCCTTATGGGCACGGATATGGAACGCATCGTCGAGTCCTTGACACTGGTCCATGAGCTGTGGGCGTGCTTGATCGAGGTTTTCATTGGCGTCTGGCTGCTGACACGACAGGTGTCGTATGCTGCGGTTCTGCCCCTTGTTGTCTGCCTCAGTAAGTGGACCGGCCAGTCCCGTATTTTCCGAAATTCTAGCAACCCGACTAACCCTTCTGTTCACTTAGCAACGTGTAGTCTCCATCGGAGCATCATCGCTCGTGTCCAAGCGATTTGGACCTGCGCAGGTCTCATGGGTGCAGTGCGTCGAGAAGTGTGTGGCAAGCACAGATCATATGCTCAGTGACATGAAGTTGGCAAAGATGTTGGGCCACATCAGCACCTCATCGGATCTCATTCAACGCCTTCGAGCAACTGAGATTGCCGCGTCGAAGACTTTCCGGAAGCTCATCATCTGGATTGTGCTCCTAGGTATGATGTTCCTCCAGGTTTCTGTTTGAACCCCTAATGCTATTATGCTAACCACTCTCACCCCTCGACAGGCAATGCCCCTGGCGAGATTGCACCATTCGTGACTCTCGCCACATATGCATTGATGGCCTTGACGACGTCACAAAAAGGCATCCTCGCATCTCAAGCCTTCGCGGCACTCGCGCTGATCAGCTTGGTCACGGATCCCATGGTTCGATTCTGCCAAGCCTTGCCGTCTTTGGCGCAAGCCGCTGCTTGCTTTGATCGTATTCAGGCTTACATGCTCATTGAGGGTGAAGATTCTCATGCGACAGCGCCGTCAGGATTCCCCGAGTCATCTCTTCCCCTGAAACAACTAGAGATGATGTCACCCAACTCTCGGAACGAGGTATTCACGTTTGAAAAATGCCAGGTTGCTTGGAGTACAGATGCACAGCCTGTACTGCACGACTTGACTCTTTCATTTTCAACAGGCTTCACCGCAATCACTGGGCCTGTTGGTTCCGGCAAGACCACATTGTTGGCTTCCATGATTGGCGAAACATCGATTCTGGCAGGCAGCAGTTCTCCACGCCTCTCCCGTATCGCATTCTGCTCACAGACACCTTGGATCCTGAATGACAGCATCCGCAACAACATCATTTGCACGTCAGGTCGCGAAGTTGACGAAGAGTGGCTGAATACATGCCTACACTTGACCAAGCTCCAAAAGGACATCAGGGGTCTCGAAAAGGGCATGGAAACAGCAGTACGGCCGAATGGGCTATTCCTGAGTGGCGGCCAGCGTCAACGCCTAGTAAGTTCAAGAATCGAGGCGTACCCGCTTGCAATCGACTTGGCCTGTCTCCTGCCGCGGGACTACATCTGACAAACGTTTTGCTAGTCACCGGCCAGGGCGATCTACTCCAGGCACAAACTCGTGCTGCTGGATGATGTGTTCAGTGGACTGGGTCCAACAATGGCCATGGAAATTGCCGGCCTGCTTTTTGGATCACGAGGGTACTTTAGGAATTCTGGCATCTCCGTGATCATGGCGACACACAACAGTAAGTAGCGAGCGATTCTCCCATGTTCTGATGACGTGTCGATTAACTCTAAGCCATAGTGGATCTCCTCCCTTTGATAGATCGGGTCATGTATCTGGACACTGGCAAAGTCGTGGGCGATGTCACAGCTGAGAAGTTGACCGAGCTCACTTCTCAGGATAGGCTGAAAAGTCAAACTTGGAAGAATTGGTCAATGGAGGAGCATGAGGTAGGGAGTTCGCAGCATACGACGGAAGACACTACCCTGGGCAACTCGAATGCGCAGGAGGAGCTCGACACTGATCGTCAGAGGGGCAGTTGGTCTGTCTATGCCTACTACGCTAAAAGTGCTGGTACGTGGTCACTCATCACGTGGATTACGTGCACAGTCACTGGCGCCCTGGCGTCGACTTTATCCAGTAATTGCTCTCAACCCCCAACACAAACGTCTAAGCTTTGTCACTGAACATCTTCCAGCACTCTGGGTCAACAATTGGACAACAGCGTCAGAAGAGGAAAGCACACAGCGTGCTGCATACTATCTTGGCATCTATTTCCTTTGCACGGTCATTGCCGTGGCCGCTACCTTCGGGGAATGTTGGTGAGTCTTGAGCTGATATATGCTCTGCAGACGGCAATACTGCTTTGAGCAACGTATCTCGCGAGTTCGAACCAAACATGCTGACTTTTCTTCTTCGCGTCAAGGGCATTCTTTCTCAAGATCGTTAGAGACACAGCTCTCAAAGCTTCACACTGATTTGCTGAGTTCTACAATGACGTAAGGCTACTAAGTTCGGTTATTCATCAAACAAGACACAGTTTACTAATCCAACTATATGCTCCAGTGCGCCGTACGACTTCTTTCTCAAAACAGATACAGGCTCTATAACGAACAGGTTCGGTGAAAAATCCGCCACATTTCTTTCTCCCGACCATTCTTGCAGACTAATCCGTGGTGCATACAGATTCAGCCAGGACATGAACCTCATTGATATGACTCTTCCAATGCAAGCGACTGTGTTTACTTCTGGTTTGTGGCATTTACCACCATAAGCGGTCCCACACTAACTTCAAGCCACAGGTTTCGTCTACTGTCTTGTCAGGGTTATAGTTTTAGGCATCTTGGGCAAGTTCTTCGCCCTCGCTGTGCCCGTGCTCGGTTTGGCACTTTTCCTGGTGCAGAGATACTACCTCAGGACATCACGCCGGGTGCGACTGCTCGACATTGAGGCCAAGGCACCGTTGTACACGCACCTCACGGACAGCATCAACGGTGTAGCCATCATTTGGGCGTACAGCATCGAGCAGGCCTTCAGTGACATGTTCGGCCACATGCTGGACCAGTCTCAGAAGGCGTTCTACCTGCTGTTCCTCATCCAGCAGTGGCTCACGTTGGTGCTGGACTTGATCGTCGGCGCATCGGCGGTCGTCCTGGTCGCCCTGGCGTTGAACATGTCGGGTTCCGGTGGAATCAGTGCCGGCTCGCTCGGCGCGGCACTTGTGCTGGTCATCCAGTTCAGCTCGTTTTTAATCGGAGTAAGTCGACACAAACCAGCATGAGACGCTCTCATGTGCTGACTAGGAATCACCTGACAGACCATTCAATCGTGGGTCAAGCTCGAGACGTCCATCGGAGCAGTTGCTCGAGTTCGACAGTTCGTCCAGACCACTCCCATTGAACCAGTAGGAAGCAAGGCACGGCCAGAGCGATGGCCGCTTGAGGGTGCGGTACGGTTCGAAAACGTAGACGCAGCTTACACGTAAGTGCTTATTATGCCTGACGACCAAGCAAATCCAGCGTGCTCCTCCTCCGAAGATCTTTTAATTAACTGGGTACTCCTACACACACACACACACAGCGACGATGGACCCTTGGTCCTTTCGAACCTGAGCATGACCATCCAGTCCGGCGAGAGAGTGGCCTTGTGTGGGCCTTCAGGGAGCGGCAAGTCATCAGTACTCATGTCGCTGTTGAGAATGACCCAGGTCCGCGCTGGGCGTATCCTCGTAGACGACGAAGACCTCGACAAGTTATCCGCAGACGAGGTCCGCTCCTCCATCAACGTGATTTCGCAAGAGCCATACTTTGTCCCAGGGAGTTTTCGCTGGAGTCTGGATACCCGGAACCAATCGTCCGATGAGTACATCGTGACAGCCCTGCGGAAAGTCCCCCTAATGGACAAGATTGAGCTAAAGGGTGGGCTTGAGGCCGGGCTCGTCACGTCTGAGTGGTCAACAGGAGAGCGGCAGCTGCTTAGCCTTGCGAGAGCCCTGCTTAGTCCGCAAAGGCTTGTGCTTATCGACGAAGCGATGAGCAAGTAAGTTCAACTCCGCTCCGCATCTCTCTTCACATGGCTGACCACGATTGATTGTGTAGTGTGGATGAACACACAGACAGTGCCATGCAGCGCATCATCGACACCGAGTTTGCGGGTCGTGTGGTCATCGCCGTGACACACCGGTACACTCACATAGAGAAATTTGACCGGGTGGCCGTGCTCAAGGCCGGCAAGCTTGTCGAGTTCGATGAGCCGAAGCATCTTTTAGAACAGCCTGGTTCCGCTTTTCATCGACTCTTCCACGCGACCAATCATTAGAGCAAGGTCGCAAATAAATGACGGAGGGGAACGAGGAGGCATTGGATATTAGGGGGAAGCGGTTTCTTTTATTCCTCACAGCTCGCTTATAATGTCCTGACAGCATTGAGAGGAACTTGACCACAAGAATGAATGTCCGTCTCTCCAAACTATATAAACATGTCCGGCATGAACGCGGCGGCCCTGTTTTGTACTTTGATCCGCTCTCGGGTTCCGTGTTACATGAAGTTGTCAAGTACCAGAACACTACCTGTTCTTTCTGAGCCAAGCATGTTTGCCTTGCTGCCCAAACATGGTTGTGACGGCCTCCAGCGTGTGTTCGAAGCAGCAACCGGACGTGCCGTGAGCCAACGAGTAATCTCGAGATACGACAGGCTCATTATGTGACGATTATAATATATATACCCTTACGCAGCACTGTACAGTAATTATATACAACGAAGACCACCAGGATACCCATGGAATCCAGCAGGCAGACAGACACCCAGAGAAGAAGTGACTCAAGGCAAGCACGACTTCCCCCACAGCGCATGACACCTGGCGCTCTCGACAATGTTGGCCGTGGTGCCCATGAAGCCCTCGAACTCGTTCTCGCTCTTAGCCTTGCCCTTACCGTCGCCCTCCCTGACAGGGCTGACATAGCCGTGAGCAGCGCTTGGCTCGTAGTGGTGGAACACGGTCGGGGAGACGGTGACGCACTTGAGCCGGCCCTCGCTGCAGTGGGCGTGCAGGGCGACGTCAAAGGCCTCGTAGCCGCCCTTCATGACCTGGGCGAGCACGTTGAGCACGCCCTGGCGCGAGACGGCGTACCCGAACGTGCAGATGGTCATGCGAGACTCCTGCACGACGCGGTGGCCCTCGGGCGTCTGCTCGAGGAAGTACTTGCGCGACCAGCCGGTGAACTTGTCGCCGGGCACGCGCGACTCGTCCGCGTAGGGGAGCGGCTTGCGGTGCTTGTCGTCGTCGTGGCCGAGCGAGCCGCAGTGCCCGAGCCACAGGACGTCCCAGTCTGTGCCGTAGGGCGTGTTGTCGTCGGAATCGGCGTCGTCGTCGTTGTTGTTATCCTGGACCACGACCTCGTCGGTCACGTTGATCTTGCGGTGCCGGAACGCCCGCACGTTGTCCGAGACGAGCCGCAGCTGGTCCTTGATGCGCACGTCCCAGTCGACGTCATCCTCGACGATGAAGGCCGTCTCGAGGTCCGACGACACCACGTGCTTGAGCAGGTCGATATGCGCGAGCCACGCCGCCGCGGACCCGAGCGCGGGCCGGGACTTCTCGCCCTCGGGGCTCATCGCCATGAACGCTTCGACGGTGGCCTTCGAGTTGGGCGGTTGCGGAGGGATGGTGAACTCCAGGCCCGTTAGTTTCGCCGCGGCTTGGAGCCCGCGTGTCCGCCAGGACGGGCGGGTGGAGAGGACGAGGAGCTTCTCGAACTGGTTGTGGCGAGACGCCGTCAGCTGGTTGCAAACTCTACAGGATCACGTTTCTACGGCTCGCTAACAGCAACCGGCATCACAGGCATCACAAAATATCTGGGCGACATGGAACGTACCCCTAGTGTGGCGTTGGCAGCCTGCTCCCGCGGCTGCGACAGATCTGGCTGCGTTCCCGCCGTCAGGAGGATCTCATCCTGTTCTCCACTTGGCCCTGAGCCACCACTCGTGATTACTTGCGTCGTTGTCTGGTTCGTCTGAGGCGCTCCCACGCTGTTTCCATTCTGCATCGTCCCCGGCTTCGTGGACGACGGGAGCATCTGGGCTATACCGAGCCCCTCGCTCGGCGTGGAGAGAATGTACATGCTCAGCATGAGCATCGACAGCCCCACGTAAGCCAGGTACAGGTGTGCCCGCCGCCGTAGATAGCCGGACATGTCCGCCAGGCTGATGCCGCGGGGTTCGATATACATGGTGACAGATTATCCCCCTGGGGATTGCTGGGTGCCAGGCCCCGGACGGCTGTGATGGTATAAAGGATAGGCAGAAAGAAAATCGGAACGCCCGTAGAGGCCAGAGATATAATCAAATGCTGATGGTAGAGATCGTGTGAGTAAGGCTGCCGAAGAGGGGATGCCTGCTGACAGCGTGCCAGGGGGCGGGCGAGGGGGCGGATAAGCGAGTGTAAGTGGGCGGTGTCTTTGTGCTTGCTGCTCCGGAATGTGTGTGTGTGTGTTTGTGTGCTTGCTTGGGTGCGTCGTCGTCGTCGAATCAGCAAACGAGTGCCCGCACCAACAGTAGTCTTTCAGCTGTGCTTGTCGTACAGGTGGCGTGCAGTCCTCCCTCCCACTCGGCTCTCGTGACGGCTCCCGGAATGTGTCGTTGGTCGCTGCGAGGGCTTCCGTGGGTTATCTTCGTCACAGGGCGGCGACGGCGCAGCAAGAGGCTCTGGCTCGATTATCTCATCTCCATGGGACTGGGACTCCGTGTTTCGTCTTTGTTCAACACGAGCAGAGTAAGCGAGGTGAGTGACGCGGGGAGCAAGGCGCAGCAGGCAGACAGCAGCAGGGGGGGACCACTATGTATGTAAGTATGTATTGCTGAGGGACAAGGACGCCATCGTCAGACCGCCGGCATGACGGGGGCTTTGGCGGAGCCTGGGTTGCTTATTCTCTTCGCCCAGGCCAGGCCTGCAGGGGCGAGCAGGTTCAGCTCTGGCGCCAACTCTGTTCGTTCGTGCACGCACTCTGCTGTCAAGATGGTTAAATTGCGTGGCCGCCACAGGGGTAGTAGTCTGCCCATGCTGGTGGTGAGCCGTGGCGGGGCGGGGGGCCTCTTTCGCGCCGGCCGGCGGCGTGCATGGCATGGGCGAGCGCGCGACAAGCGTCGACAAAGCGAGAGTCTGCGAGGAGGGCGAATGGCCGTCCCGGGAGGAACGGACGAAGACGGGGCCGTGCCAGGGCCCCCCTGGCAAGACGAGGCCTGGGATAGGGCTCGAGTCCCTGCTATACGAATGCCAAGCCTGCGATAACAGCAAGACCCTTGTCCGTCGCATGCTTAAGCTTGAACGGACTTGGCTCCGCTGGTGGGAGAAACAGACACAAGCGACTGTGCTGCTGCTGTCAGCCGCTCAGCCCACGGCATGGCCAAGGGTGTACGTGTGCGTGGCGAGGGACTGGATACTGGATAAATGAATATACTGCGACTGCAGCGTGCATGGGCCTTTGTGACGGGGTTGCGCTACACAGCGCCTCCTGCCGTGCGTGTGCCAGCCATTTTAATCATTTCACAACCCGTGGTGCCGGGGGGGCAAGAGCAGCACCGGGCGGAATACACAGGAGTCGGTCGAGTGCTGCTTTGCCGTTCTGTCCTTGACGCAGGCTCCGGCCGTCCGTCCCCTTTACTAATCCGATGGCGGCCCTGGCTATTGATGCGGCCCCTCCACGTGGCGGGACAATCAATAGGGAGCTCCTCGCTCCCAGGTCTCACTAGTTATTGGTGGGCCGTTGCGAGCAGCACATACATATCGGTATTACCCAGATTCAGACAATGAGCCTGGCCTCTCGCGGCAGGCCAGCGGCCATTTCCGCCAGTCCCCACCAGCAAGCCGGCTCCCCCCTGCCAGACAGACCCGTGTTTTCAGCCAGGCGATTGCTATGCCGATTCCTGCAGCCCGCTGCTAATTAATGCATTTCTCTCCCTCCCTATCCCGTGGTCCCATCTGATTCCATCGCCCCCTTGTCCAGCCGGCGGGCAGCACAGCGGCGTGAGCCGAGTCCCACCCCCGAGCCACAGCCAACCACACACAGGTAATCCAACCTTGGGAGGCGCGGGCGGGCTGATGGCCGCGTTGGCGCACCAGCCACACGCACGTTTGGGTGTTTCAGCGTCGGGAGCTGCTGCAGGGGGCCGATGACCGTGGAGATGCTGTTCTAATTAGGCCATGATCGAACGTCACTCGGACGCGCTGATGATGACTCAGGTCAGTGCCTGGAAGCCGCCTCCGGCTCCTCAAATGAACCAAAATTGCCAGATGACGGCTGAATAGCTGGCGGCATGAAGCCACATCCGTGGTCGCACAAGAGGAAGGCGGGCGGGGGGTTAAAATCGCTCACAACTCAGCTCAACTTCCGGCAATCTGCGCCATGTCTAATGGTCCGACCGGGCTGTAGCGTTCGACATGCCCAGTGCTCCGGGTCATGGGACCCCTTTCTCTTCATCCACTTGCCCGCACTATGTAGACAAAAGGAGGCATGCTTTGTGTGGGCTTCGTGGCGGCAGCTACCGGTAGCACCCAGCGCTACCAAAATGACCGGATGCTCTCCCTAGCCTAGCACGGCCACGTGTGGCGTTTGCTCCAGTCGAACTACTGGTCTCGGCTCTTCCAGCTCGCGCACAGTCCGTCTGGGGAGAAAAAAAAGGCGGCAGCCGCTACAAGGCTTTGTGGAAATTTGACAGCACCCAATTTCACATTTCCGGCTTATTTGATCGTGACGAGGCGTGAATAGCGTGTTGGCTTCGTGACACAAAAACAACGCCACGCTGGAAAGAGACTGGAGCGTTTGCGGACTTACAAATCCATAGCTTTTCGCCGGGGGAGCCTGACTTTCAGGGGGTGATCACCACGGAATATGCAAATACTGAGTAGTGCGAGCGCCCGCATCTGTCACTTAGAGCAACATCACCGCCAATAACGACACGCAACGCATGTTCTCTGCAGAAAACAGAGACATTGTTTGCGGCCGTGTGCAGCATCAAAACTTGTCTGGATTGTTTCGCGCAACCTCTTCACCAGGACACAGTTTCTCGCGCAAGATTGACTTGCCGTCTCGCCTTTGGCTTGTTAGGGGTTTGGTTTGCGTGCAGCTCATCTGACCAATGCAAGCCACATGAGGAAAAGATGAAGTGTCCCCGCATTGTCGTGCCACAAGCGTGCTAAGCCGAAATAGTAATAACGATTGATCAACGTGATTGCTCGTTGGAGTTGTCTGAGCGAAACACCAGCCAGCCAGCCGCTTTTGTTGCCCGTGTTCTGCCCACCCTAATTCCTCACATCAGCGTGTGGTGACCCGCCCGGTCATTTCCCAGAATCGGCTTTTTTGGACTTTGTCGAGCTGAAACTGTTCCGCGGCCTCAACGGCCACAGGCCCAGGGGTTCACACAGCCCGCCCAAGCCGATTACCATGGGCCACGGTTGAGCTAACCCCAGGGTTTGCTCGGTGCTTCTGCGGGCATTAGGTATCAAGGGAGGTTGTGTCTGGGTTGTAGGAAAAGGGAACGGGGAGAACCCACTACTTATCTCGACCTATCGACATTGCATGGGGTTGCGAGTTACTTACACCGAGCGGGAGCCACTACCCAGAGGGGCATGTTTGGACGGCAAGAATGCAATACGGCGGTTTGGCCGAAACTTTCTTTGGTCTGCTGCCACGTTGACAACGAGCCAGACTTGGCCAGAACTGGCCAAGTACCACCGAGTCAAGCTATTTCATGCGATGATCAACAACCAACCCCATCAGAAGAACCCCTTTTCTCTGAACCGTACATCGTCCTCGTCCGGTGAACTGCTGACCGCAAACCCGATCTGATTCGCCCCAGGCTTGTCTCTCTCGATTGCACCATTATGTCGACCATTTGCCATGTCATCTTGCCCCTTTCCGGCGTCATGATAGCTACCATGGACATTTCCTCCTTGTGTTCGTGCTCTGTGGCCATTGAAGCCCGCTATACTGATTTTAGGTTGATGTAACCGCCGCTCCTGAGCCCTCTGTCCCGCCCCAGCCGACGCAGCCGACGTAGAAGGAACGAGTGCAGCAGGAGCACCGTGCTCGTGGCCACTATCAGCCCGCTGGCCGCCCTTCACATCATTGCCAATGCCGCGGGCCACGGCCATCACGGTCCTCTGTGAAAGCCACCACTCCAACCCCACTGCCACGACCGCCGCATCGCACAGCCCGTTCAAGATTGCCGCGACGGCAGCGACCAGAGTGAGCGATGTGGCTTGCACGATGCACAGGGACATGGTGCGCAGGTCGTCGAGCCCCGTGATCCAGGTCGCGAACAACAAGCCCACGACCAATAGGGTGAACAGGAGGCTTGTGAGGCTGGTCGGCAGTGGCGGTGCGGCTGCCATAGTAGCCGCAGAGGTGCGAGGAGGGGAATTTGAAGGGGTGACTGAGCGGTCCGAGGATGCTGTGGGGTCAACACGCTTCTGATGGGGAGAGAGAGATTGGTTGCCATTGCACAAGTCGGGGTTGTCGTGTGTTGGGCTCATTCGTCGGCCACGGGTCACGGCGAGCGCACTATGGGCGAGGGAAAGAATAGTCAGGACAAGGCCGAGTATCTATGCATATACAGTGAAAGAGGTGGTCAGTGTTTGGCTTCGGACAAGTCCGCTCAGACTCGTCCAGCGGAGGACATTTCTTGTAAGTTGTAGAAGGGAAGGGCTACTCACCCCATGTGGTGTTCTGAAATGCCTCGAGTTGCCCGTTGTCACAATCCCCAACACCAAGCCCGCAATCATGAGCACTGGGATGACGGCGCCCTGAACGACCTTCATCCCACGAGCCAATCTCGCGCTGTTGTGGATGGGCATACCCGTTGTCGCCGCAAGCCGGTTCATGGCATCGAGAATGAGTGTAGCTGGGAACAACCCGACCATGGCAAACATGATGACAACAACTGCGATGGGATGGTCAGTTCTCGACGCCTTTCCAAGGTTGGTAAGAGACACCAGACTCACTATGCCCGGCCAACAGCCCGATGAACCTTTCGAGCGGCAAGCCGTTGACTCTCGCCGACAGGCTCTTCAGGCTCACCTCGTAGACATTGTCGTCGCTGCGGACCACGACTTCGATGTCTGGCAGTGTGTAGCCGCCGAGATCAGGCATCATGGGTACCGCAGAATCTTTGCCCCCTGAGAGGAAGCTCAGCAGGACTGTCCCGGCACCGCCCACGCCGGTACACGACAGCTCGGACACCGCGAGCTGGGCAAGCCCTGAGACGAGTTCGTCAGTCTTGGAGCTGTTGACAAGCAGAGTGTCCGTGGCGTCTCGTTTCTTATGCCTTGCAGCTGTCGACTCGCGAGACGAGAGCATCGTGCCATGTTCGATGTCGTCAACATCCCCCGCCTTTTCCCCAGAGAGACCACTCCTCTCTACATTCTGCAACATCGGCCGCGTCTCATCGGTCTGGATACCGATGATTGCCATACCCAGATTCGCAATCTGCGACGCAAGCCCTTTGGAGAAGGCATACGCCAGCGCGCCGACCCCCTTCGAGTCCTTCCCGCCAACCACCTCCTCCGCGTTGTCAACCGACACACCAAAGATGTCAAACGTCCTCCCGAGCACCGGCTCGACCACGAGGCCTACCCCATCTGCAAAGCCGGCCCCTGCACCCCGCACAAGCTCGCTGACGTTGAACCCGGCGAAGAAGTCGGACGAGTCACTGCCGAGAATCGCGGGGAGGCTGACATTCACGAGTCCCCGCCCAAACTGTATCGCGACCTGGTTGAAACTCGCCGGGGTGGTCCCAGGGCCGCCACCCTCGCCACTCGTGGAGGCATTGGCCGCAGCAACGGCAGCAGCAGCGTACGCCTCGGCCTCTTGCTCGCTCGTCGCGTTCAGCCCGACGATGGCGCCCTCGCCGACCCCCACCCCGAAGAAGAACGCTGGGGTCTCGAAGAGCGTGAAGTTGCCGTACAGCGCGCCCTCGGCGGCGTCGAGAAAGTACGGGTCTCCGCCGAGCCCGTTGATCAGGTTCGAGAAGCCCGAGAAGGTGGACGAGAGATTCTGCTTGCCGCCGCAGGTGAACGCGTCGAGGATCGTGTCGAACAGCGAGTTTAGTGATGCCGGCGGAGATGCGCCGGGCGATGTCGCTGTTGAAGGCGATGTTGGCGATGACTGCGGCTGCGTCGCGCTGGGCCTCTTCGTTGATGTGGACGACGACAACGACGAGGGTCTCGTTGTCGTGGCCAAAGAGGAATCGTCTGGCGCGTTCTCCCGTGCAGGGGATGATCCAATTGTGCTGACGATGTTGGACAAGGCAGCGTTCTCGTCATGGCTGAGGGCATCATCCCAGAAGTTCGCTCTTCTCGAATTTTGTCGTGTGCTGGCATCTGCCGCACTGGGGCCCCGCACACGAGACTCGGTACCCTGATTGTTCGCCGCACTGGCGGCAAGCGACGAGCTGACAAGCACGGCGACTGTGCTGCGCTCTATGACCGTCTTGAGCTTCATGGTGGCTGTGATCGAAGTAGGCTTGAGAGGCCCTCTCTTTCGGTAAACACAAATCTTGCTAGACTCTCGTTTCATCTGTTGCTCAGTTTTGTTTCATGGTTGTGAGGCGTGCTCGTGTGTCCAGACGGTCAGATCCAGTGCGGACAAGATATGCCGGGTACTTTTTGCGGCTGGCTTACCCGAAACCAGAGTCATCCGAGGCCGGAGGCAGCAATCATCAAATGCCCATGGAAGCTGTAGGACACAGCGATGTATGAGTGATTGCTGGCACGCACATTGAACAATGAAAGGGCTCTGCCTCATGGACAAAGATTCAGCAACCCACAGCGACAATCCTGGGCCACAAAAAGCAACACTTTGCGAGCACGTGCAACTCAACACCCACGATCTCCACGTGTTACCAAAGCACTGCGCCACATCACTCGGGGTCGAAGATCCTTTGGCCCTTTCGAACATCGATCTGCAGCACAAGCATATCTAGATGTGCTTGTGGAGGCCCTCTCCATGGGTTGAGCACCACCATCGTCCTCCGGAAGACAGGGTTCCCCGCCCTGCATGCCCCAAGCGTCTGGGGTTGGACGGGAGTGGGCCGAGGTCTGCCAGTCCGAAACGAGACCAGGGCGAGACTCTACGTCATCGTCGCTCTAAATTGATTGGATGGTGTGGGAGATCATGCTCGCATCTCGGATTGCCGCTCGTGGTTGGAAGGGTTGGAAGCAGCGACTCATCTCCAAGCACTGTCGTTATGTGTGCCCATTGCAGCATGTTGAGCCATACAACCGTTGATAACGACATCCAGGTGTGTCTTATCCAACCTTTGCTCTTGAAGCTCAATTGTGGATCGACCATGCCGGGAACTTGGGCATCCGATACTGTCAGCTCCATTAGCGAAGCGTTCGATCCCATTAAGTTTGCTCCCGAGCGGGCTCTTCACTCCATGGTGGGGTCTCCCACTGTTGTTTCTGGACTAATTCCAGTGCTGAAGGCCGAAGAGATCCAGACTGCTTCGCTGCATTAGGTGAGAAGAAGCCATTTGGCCAAGAGCATAGTCTGGAACACAGTCCCAATCCGTGGAGATGCTTGTGAGGCTGTGGAGCTCTAGAACAAGGCGTTGCGGAGACCTCCGGCAAGGCTGAGCTAATCTGCTGGTGCCTACCATTGTGTCCCTTCTAGCCTCGCCGGTCTTTGCCCTTCCCAACCTAGAAGAAGCCTGCTCCGATCCGGATAAGTAGCTGTCGCGTCAAGCCAACATTGTCACGTGAGAACCCTATACGAGGCTGGGACGGAGCAGAATCTCCAGGCCTCCGTCTGCGACAAGACTCCCTTAGCCGCACTTGTGTCGTTTGTTTCCGATTAGCGGTTCTGCTGAGCTTACGTTTCTGCATAATTGGTTTCAAAACGTCGCTCCGTGGATGCATGGGCGGTTGTAGTGGTGCTCTCATTGGCCATGCATCTGTCTGTCACGCATGTGGCCAGAGTGTGGTGTGGCAGTGCAGTTAATAATAGTGCCAAGAATGCTTCTAGCACATATTCATCCATGTTAGGAAGCCGACCCTACTGACATAGAGCCCTGTATATCGGCTCGCGATTCCCGCATCCGGGAGTGCAACTTCCGGCTACACACCCATGAACAGCCGCACCCGGTGGTCGCCATCCATCACCAGCGCCGGAATGCATCGGATGCACATCTGCTCGGCCCAGACGAATTCACAATGCTACGAACTGACAGGCAGAAACAAACCATTTGCAAGTCCTGCAGTTACAGCAGCGGGGCCGTGGTACCAGAATTAGCAGCTAGTAACTGCACCCGGAATGCTCCCTCTTCGTGCATCGTGCAAACACTTCGATAGTCACACTGACTAGGTGCGCAGTGGGATCAGTCGAGGCCTGCACGAGGACGGGTTGACAGAGAAGAGCCTGACGAGGCTGTTTGACCGGGCCCTTGGGACAATAGAAAATGGACATGGTTGCGCCCTCCATTATTATCTAAGATTGAAAAATTACCGTTTTGGGTATAGTGTAGGGAAGCTGCCTGACCCCCACGATCGGTTCCGTGTATCTTCGCTGTGCCCGCAAGGCTCCGGTATAAAGGCGTCCATGCTATCCTGGCGCTCATCGACGTACCTCGGGATTCCCTGTTCAAGCGATGGTGGCAAGTGACTGTGACGAATGCAAGTACTTCAAAAACGCTGCTACACCGCGCGCAACGAACAAAGTATCTCCGAACATGACAAATCGTACTGGCTTAGATCCTTGTATTTCCGCCACTATTTCGTTCCAGAGTCTTATGGGCACAGCGAAGATAACCTTGAGTCATCAGGCCATGCATACGGTGGTCAGCTTTGTCCACCACCACCGTCCCGTAACAGCAGCTGCGTAGCGTTGGGGGCCAGATATACGAGGCTTGGCGTCCAAGGGACGAACGCCAGGATGAGGAGAGGGAGTGTTGGGCTGTGGCTGCGTAGCCTTGGGGGCCGGGTGAACGAGGCTGCGAGGTCCATCGGATGAACACCCAAGATATGACGAGGCGGTGCTGGACAGCTCATGACAGACTGAACCTCAACATACGCAAAGAAGGCACAGCGCTGCGGGCAACGCCGAAAGCCACAGCTGCACAGACTTGATGTTTCAGGATGATTCTAGAGCTGACAGGAGACTTACACACGTGGCGATTCAGTTTGCCACTGCTAGTCCTTGTCTGCCTTGTACCGCCGTCTATCTGTAAGAACAGGGCTGAACACGGCGTGACCGAGGGCAACTCCCTGATGTTGATGAAGCAGAGGCATAGCCTCGTTTGCTTATAAATATCTGCCTACAGTCCTCCTCTTGCAAGTAAAGAACAGTCCATACCACTCCAACGACCTCGATTCTTGTAAAGATCCATCTGCGGAATTCAACACAACATTGACATCAAACTCAAGTCATCTGCGAAAAGCTATCATATCCACCGCGTCGCGAACTTCACCTACAACGGCTAGCTGCAGGCTGTCCAACATGCTGCTCGACCGCGACGACTACGACGCAAAGTGCGCCACCATGAGCGTGAACCAGCTCCAGCGAGAGTGGGAGTCTTGCACCCGCTCGATATACGGCAACGCCACGACAATCGCCGTGGCCGGCATCAGCTTGATCCCAACGGTGGGCGTCAGCGCCCTCGCCATTGTCATCGCGGGTGTGCCCGTACATAATGCCCGTAAGAAGTGCGAGATCCTCGACAAGCACTTTGCGCGGCTCGGCGTCTCGCACAAGACTCGCATGCGAGACATGCTTACCGGTATGGCCACGGCTGGCCTTGTCTAGATGGTGACGGGTCCCGTGGCCGTCGGAAACATCATGGAGCATGGCGTCGATAAGACGTACGAGACAGCCGTCGAGGTTACGGCCGAGACCGCGCTGGGCGCGGCGGGGTTGATGCTAGAGGACGCAGGAGAAGGAGGCGGCAAATGCAATGCGCAGAAAGGCAGCATGATTGATTGGGCTCAGATTTTCCTTGTCTCGGATGTTTTGAAATTATTCTAGTCTACGGGCGGCTTGTGCAGGTGTTTTTCCAGGGTGGTAGAATACGAAGTCTAGCTTGCATTCTCATGTGCGTGTGCCGAGGCAAACATTTTTATCAAGGTTTTGGAGGAAGTCGATACATTTCTTTTTAAGAGTAATAGCACTTGTTCTGATTGAAATCTTGTGTATCCCTGATATGCCAGTTAAATTGTCATCTGTCCGGCTCAAGACCACCCTTCTTCTTCCTTCGATCGACTGTCTGAACAAGGTGGCCCTGCCGGCATGCCGTGAATGCAACTGGAGAACATGGGACCCTGGCAAGCCGTGTTGGTCGCACAATGAATCATATGCGCGCCTGACAGCGCCAGTATATTTAGTAGTCAGATGACTAATTGTTAAATATGGTGTGCTGTCAAGTCTATGCCCTCTTTCTTCCTTCGGGGACAGGGGTTTTGGTCGCCTTCTTTTTATCTTCTTTGGGGGCCATCTATTAATTATTCCGGCAGCAATGACCCCTGTTCATACTTTCTCCAGGATGCAGTGGGTCCTCCGGCCGGTAAGCAGTTGGTCATTCCCGCATGACTTTGTTGGGCATCGAGGCCACAGCCTCTTCTTGGCGTTGGTGCTGGGACGCGGCATGTGAATGTGCGTCAGTGGATGGAATCATGCGGTTGTGCGGTATAGCGTGGTAGCCAGGGCCCTGTGGGGGTCCTCAGCATTGGGGTCGAAGATGCCGGTCACGCTCGAAGCGACCCGGAGGCTGACATCAGCAGCTTGTGAGAGCGGGCCGAGTTGTTACGATGCAGCCTCTCGGGTCAGGCGTCGGGCCGGGCGCTCGGTTGTGTTCCTGCGAGATAGGTAATAACAGGGCTTCGTAGGCAACAGCAATGATCACGTCGGAAGTCGGCGTATTCGTGCTGATCGTTTGTATTTCTTCAGTGCAGGGAGGCTTTAGATACAAGACAGGACTCGAAAAGCTACAGATCTCACACACCTAGGAATAGTGGGTAACGGGGAGCCAGTAGTGAATTGGGCTGCAGGAGAGGAAGTCTTGTCCCACTCCTGATTATGATGATCCAGAGCAGATACAGATCAAGGGCGTCGAGGGCCGGCATATCACAGGGCTGACGGCGGGGGCGGCAGCACTAGTTGTGAGCATCTACATGTAACAAGTCGGCTCTGGACACAGCTTCCCTAACGCGCCCGATACAGGTGAAACTGCGTCTCGCATTCATTCGTAGGAAGCGCTTCACGGTAATCTACGTAGATGTACAGGAGTATGCCCATCCCACCAGACGGTCAAGCATCGCGACAGCCTGGTGCGAGGAAATGAAGAGGAGCCTTGTGCCTCTCCCAAGCTTCTCGCCACCGCCGCTCTGTTTCTTTTGGTGCATTAGCACTTTCTTACATGGTACCTGAAATGGAATGTAAGCACATAATGTCAGCCTACAGCCTGCAGCCTGCAGCCTGCAGCTTGTCGCCTGCATCCTGCAGGCCCAAGTCATAGCCTTATTTCTTATCTGTTAGGCAAACGAGAGCCCCCGGCAGACCGGTGAGGCATGTTGGCTGACCGGTTAGGACGAACCCGCCCAGATCGCGCGCAGCCAAAAGGTCATGGGTTTCTCAGAAAGGCCCAAGTCCTTGCCCGTTGACTGAACGGAAAAGAATGCATGGCCTACAGTTTGGTATGCACTATTGCTCTGGTCCATAATTATTTCGTTCAACCGTACAGATTGCACATAAAAGTGGAATCTTGAAGTAGGCCGACCAGTCTAGCACCATCAACAATATATTTTTCTTCCACTTGCGAGGAGGTCCTGCTCCAGCCTACGCTCCCAACTTAGAGCGTCCTTGGTGCGCCGGTAGGAGGGGCGCGTCACTATTCGGCAAATAAAAATGGCACGCCCTCTACTAAGCTACTAGTGCAGAATGAGCGCTTCGGGTAATCATGTCTCGGTTCACCACGACGACTCACGTTATGGTATCCGCTTAGTTCTTACTAGACGGTCCTATCAACAGAGCGTTTTCGTCGTATGTTCAGAACAGCCGCACTAGCTAGTGTATGGGTATAAGAGAGACAATCGCTCGCTCGTCTGGAAATATTTGGAAGAACGGTCAATTACGGATTATCCACCCACACCCTCCGTTATTTATATACAGTCACAAGCCTTCAGCCAAGCACGTACGACCATAGGATCGAGAAAATTGAGGGTCCCGTCCGCTCCCCTGTACACAAGCTCGATACCGCCGGACTAGTAGTTGGGTCGGTGACGACCAGCGAATCCCCGGTGTTGTACGTTTTGCCATTCATTTTGTACCATCTCGGGACTACCTTTTCAAGAAGAGTGAGATCCTTTTGGGCGCGTCGGGCCAATCCGCCGTACATGGAATATGGGGGGCTAAGGTAGGGCAAGCGTAAGACCCTTGCGGTCCGGAGGTAATAACATTTCTCTAGCGCTATGGGCAAGCAGAGCGCGGCGGAAACTGTTAATGCCCAGTCATTCCCTTTTACGCCACAACCCACACTTCGGTTTTCAGCCCCGCCGCCCGCCGCCTTACTATGTGTGTAACGATCCCGGAGGCTATCGCCTTCGGTCACCCTAAGTACACTACTCTATCTGAAACCCCCTATGCCCAAAGTTACCAAGCATGGAACACTTCTATACATAATAGAATGAAATCCCGATAAAGATGCCCCTTTGCTTCCACTTCATTCCAGCACGGGGCACTCCCGTGCACACCGCGTACCGTACCCGATTCCCCTTCACATCGCCGTAGCCGCATGCCCTGCCACAGTCGTGAGCCACAGCGCCATGCTTGCTTCTTACTTATGCACCTGCGGTCACACAACTTGCGACACGCTGCATTGCGAACCAGTCAAGGCAACCGCAGGCGCCAGCACTTGCATGATGCCGCAGGAAGCTGCGCCCCCAAGTGCAGCAGCTCCATCGTGCGTCCCGAACTGCTGCAGACCGCAACTTCTCGAGGCAATCTTCTACAACATCACGCCGCTTGACCGTGCTGTATCTTCTGTCCTGCTTCTGGCCATGCGACTCGTGCACGTTGACGCCGCAGGCACGTTTTCTCTCACGCGCCAGTTGCGCAGTGAGTGCCCACCATATGCCATCCTGTCTCACCGATGGGGTCCCGAAGACGACGAGGTGACCTTCCAGGATCTCCGCGATGGCAAGGCCGAGCTCAAGTCCAGCTACCGCAAGCTCGATTTCTGTCGTAAGCAGGCGGCGAAAGACGGCCTCGCCTACTTCTGGATTGACACGTGCTGCATCGACAAGACGAGCAGTGCTGAGCTTAGCGAAGCCATAAACTCCATGTACCGCTGGTATCAACGGTCAGACCGCTGCTATGTGTACCTGGAAGACATCGATGGCAGTGAGCAGGATCTCGATGTTAAAATGGCACAGCTAAGGACCAGCGAGTGGTGGACTCGTGGATGGACGCTGCAGGAGCTACTCGCCCCTTCCTCTGTACACTTCTTCACCCGGGACGGATTGATGCTGGGTAACAAAAGCTCCCTCGTGGACATGATCCATGATATCACCTCAATACCAAAGGGCGCCTTGATATCCCTCGTACCAACGAAGCACTCTCGCCAGGAGCGCTTGCGTTGGGTGCGGCACCGTTTCACAACCGTCGAAGAAGACAAGGTGTATTGCATGCTCGGACTCTTTGAGATAAGCATGCCCGTCATCTATGGCGAGGGACTTGGTTCTGCTACCAGGAGACTTGATGATGCCCTTGACAGGATTCATGGAATCTTCAATGGACAAGGTAGGCGCCTCCACTGCGATCCATAGTGAGCGTCATGGCATTAATCCAACTTATAGTACGTGGACCTCAGCAACACGAAGACCGCGACACCAGGCCTGGACACCAGCTCTCCGACGAAGTCGATCGTGAGTACCGCGGGCTCACGCAAAAATTCCAGCACTCCCTAGAGATGGAGCAAGCATATTTGCAACAATTATGGTCACCCCAGCTCGAAACAGGACGCTACGAGATTGATGACCCAGTTCCTGGGACCTGTTCGTGGCCTTTTGAGCTGTCCCAGTACCGCAAATGGCAAATGGATTGTGGAATGCCCCAGTCAGAGCACAACTCAATCCTCTGGATCAAAGGAGCGCCCGGCAGCGGCAAATCCGTCCTGATGAAGCATCTCTCCATCGTTTCACAGACAGGAGATAAAAGACGCGAAAGCGTCACGTTGTCTTTTTTCTTCAATGCGAAGGGACAGACGCTCGAGAAAAACATGCTCGGACTGTACAGGGCCCTTTTGTTCCAACTCGCACAGCGGAATGCAGTTGTTCTATCAATGCTCGCCGGCAACAAGACTGCATCTCCCGAAAAGATTCCCTTGGAAGAACTCAAACAGCTGTTGAAGAAAGGACTTGCTTTCATAAAAACACAGCCAGTAGTCGTCTTCATCGACGCTCTGGACGAGTGCGATTCACGGACCCATCAAAGAAAAGAACTTATGTTCTGGCGGACACTTTTAGAGATGACTCCGAACTTGCGATTCTGCATATCGTCTCGCTTCGTGACAGCCTTCAGCACTGGTGCGGACCCCACCGTGGACATTGGAATCTATAACTCTCCAGACATCAAAGTCTTGATCGATCATTGGCTTCGGTCTCACCTGCACGAGTCGGACACGGTCCTGCTGTCCTTGAGGAAGAAGCTGATTGGCAAGGCTTCTGGTTCTTTCCTTTGGACAACTTTGGTGCTCGATGATTTATTAGAAAAGATTGAAGGAGGCCATAATTCGCGTTTTCTTCTTCGACGTCTCGATTGCGTACCACTTGGTTTACAATCGCTGTTCGAGTTTCTCTTACAAAAAGTGGTTCTCAAGGATCATCATACCGCAGTTTCTGTCTTTCGATGGGCAGTATTTGCGCAAACTCCGTTGCGGGTAGACGAGTGGCAACATATTATGGCCCTCAGCTCTGTCTTCCAAAAGAGGACACTACTACATGTGTGGCGTAAGTCGGACGCCTACACTGAAAACCATTCTCAGCTTGCCCGACGTATACGCACACTAACGTGCGGATTGGTTGAGGTGAAGGGCATGGCCGGCATGACGGCCGAGCACCATGTCACCACTGAGCACGATGAAGTCCTGGATCTAATGTCAGTCGATGCTGGTGCTGGATCACTGGATTTGGATCAGGGCGGTAGTCGGTTTGTGAAAGTCATGCACGAATCAGTGCGAGACTTCCTGGCCTCTGACAAACAATCCTTTCTTCCCGGCAGTACAGCGAGACAGCATCTGCTGATTATGCAGAATTGCCTCGACTATCTACATGTTGTGGAGCTGGACGCCTATGTTGAAGCACGTCATAATGCACTACTGGCAGAGGAGAGGATTCGATGTCGCGAGGCTTTGTACGACCAGCTATGGGCGAACATCAGTGACGACGAAAACGACACCAAATCGAAGCATTCGCTGGGTCCAAGTCCAACGATGGAACATGAGGGAGTCGCGCATACAAAGAAGCGCAGATTCGCGGCGCCTGACAGCGCACATTCTGACGAGCTTGACCGCGCACGGAGTGTGAAGATGAGACACTCTTCTCCAATGACCATGTTGCATGAGGGGCAACAGATCCAGCAAGTTCAGGACGATGGACACCCTGCTACGATCAGCGATACCATCACGCAGCCTTTGTCGGGAGGCCATGAATACAGCCAAAGCGTTATTCAGCGATGGTTGGATGGACTGACGCTCGGACAAATGGATTTGCCTGACGCACAAGAGTCGAGCACAACCCAGCCTCGCGATTTTCTTCTTCCTGAGGCTGGCAAATCTCAGATGCTTGGTGGCCATTTGCCTCTTCTCTCCTACATCACGACTTATTTCTGGGAGCACGCCAAAGCTGCGCAGCCTATAAACGGCCACGATTTTCCGCTACTGCTGACGGTCATTACACGCCTCAGACAGCCTGAAATTTGGGCAAGATGGCAGGCGATTGATGAAAGCGCGCCTTATGATTTAGTCAATCATCCAACAACTTTGCTATGCAACTATCTCGAGCACCTCGGTCTTTCGTCATGGGTTAAGCATATCGAAAATGAGCAGGGGCTACTGACAGAGGCCACGCTTGCCTTAATGGATCAACCTCCCGGGACAGTCCGACGCAGAGACAGTGTTGCGAGTTTCGGCTCCGCGAGCAGCCATCACTCTGGGAGAAGCATCATACACGGCGTCGTTTAAGGCTTTGAAGTTAGTTGGATTGTCCATGTCCGCTACAGCTTACGAGTTAATAGAAGCTGGGGACGTGCGGCATCAGTAGTACTCGGTGGTGCAAGTGCTAATCAGGGTCACCAATCATTTGTGTAGTGGCTTTTGGGGTGAAGTTCCTAACTCGAGTGCGATGAAGTCGATAGTCTCCAGCCGCATTGAGGCGGACTTTTGCGAGTGCCAGTTTCCCGCAAAGACACTCCAGTAAGTAAACGCACGAGGAGCGAATCGTAGTTTTTTACACAGTCCAGACGTTCGTCGCAGGGGTCAGCTGGAGGACTGTAGCCTACGCGTATTGGCCGGTTCCAAGTTTTGTTATAGTGTATGGAAAGCTAATCGGGATTGCTGACCAGTCTTGATCATGGAGTCGTTGATAGTTGTGATGATTATAGACTCTTGCTGCCCCGCAACAAGTAAGGATTCGTGGACAACTGACGATAGTCAGAGCTATTGCAGCACGGCTCGATGACAGGAGTTGAGATTTCCGTAGGGCAGTTATGAAAGCCCTCCAAGCGCAATCTGCAGGACCGATAGGGATGGTCACGGCTATCGCCGCACGGCTCGGGGATGACGATCGGAATGTCCGTGAGCTAGCGATCACGGCCCTTCAAACGTAGGCAGTACTACCAATCGAGACGATCAAGGCTATAACAGTAAGGCTTGAGGATGAGGATTTGATTCCGTAGGGTAGCTATTCGAGCACTACAAGGGCAACCGGCACTACTACCCGAGACGATCATGGCTATTACAGCACGGCTCGAGGATAGGATTGGAGCGTCTAGTAGAGTTCGATTTAAGCTCTCTAAGCGCACTTAGCATCGCTGATAGAAATGATTACGGCTGTCGCCGCATGGTGGGGACGAGGATTAGGATGCCCGAAAGGCAGCAATTGAAGGTCTTTCAAGCAGAGTCGGCACTACCACTAGAGACGATCACAGCTGTCGCGACCCGTCTTGAGCATGAGCATCGGGTTGTGCGACAGGTAGCTGTTCGATCTCTATGAGAAAAAAGTTGTTACGGCCGACCGAGATAGTTCAGCTGTTGCAACCCTTCTCGAAGACGAAGCTGAGGATGTCCGACAGGAAGTCCACAACATACTGCGGTCACATGCATCGCTTTATTATAAAGCTAGATGTGTGCGTGAACGGGCGACTACATAATATCTTCATCGAAACGGAATTGCGCGGCACTGGGAAAACGGATGCCCGTAACGGAGTGCCCATAACGGCTCGCCAGTGTCGAAAATAGCGTTGCAAGTCGGGCGGTATTGCAACTCCGAATGTGGCACAGTCGCTATGCCAAGAGAGGTGGAGGGAAAGTGCCTTCCATTTACGGACCTCATGTCTTCCAGAAGCGGACGCCACTTGCCCTGCACACAAGACTTGATACCGCCGGACTAGTAGTTGGTCGGTGACGACCAGCGAATCCCCGGTGTTGCACGTTTTTTGTAGTTCTTTTGCTCAATGTTTTTGTTCCGTTCCGGTCCTGCCGGTGGTGCTGTGCTTTGACTCTTCTTTTACAACTTCGTAACTCCTTTCTTAGCGGAATACGTTGGTCTTTTCAAAGTCAGCCCCATTACAGCTCACGAATTGGAGAACTTGGCTAAGCTGGTCCAGACTTGTCTTGGCCTGTAGTCAAGTGTTGCTCGAAAGAATACTCCCTGAGCCGAGTCCTCCTCCTCCTCATGTTGTGGACATACGCTGGTACTCAAAACCTCGGATCCCACTCACCCATCACACTCAATCAAACCATCCCATCAACGCAGCCCCCATACTCCCGACAACGGGCACCCACATAACATGCTTCCACGCCCCCCTTCCCAGCTGCCGCTCACTCATCCATCCATCATTGACCGCAACTGCACACCCCGCGAATGCAATGACCCCCAACATCTTCCTGTCGCCATACCACCACGCCGTAAGGTTCACCGCAGCCATGAATAGATCCCGACTGCTCTGGAATAACATCAGATTCGTGCCCAGCTTGCGTGCCTCGGGGCTGAGTTTCTTGTCGTCAAAGTCGAAGAGTTTGAGTGCAGTCGCGGGGGAGACGGTCCCGATCAGTCCCAGGGCCAGTGGCATTAGGGTTGCGAAGCCGGCAAGGCCGAGGAGTGCGGGGGATTGGGAGACAGGAATGCTAAGCGTTGCCATTGTTCTTGTAGTTTTCAATCTTTTGTTCCTCTCAGTGTTTGCGGCCGTATATGGACTGGATGTGTAGTCAAGAGTTGAGGCTATCGATGAAATTTTGTATTCGGCGGCGCAGTCCTAATGTTCGATGTTCCTGTTGTTGAATGAGGCACACCAAAGATTGACACGGATAACGCGGCTCAGGCTGTCGCGAGTATTTGTATTGATATGATTTGGTCCGTGCTACTTAAAGTTAAAGTTTGGTTTAACCTCGGCGGACCCCAGTGCCGCGTAATTATGTATGCTACCCCTGCTCTGGCGACTTGTTACAACGGAGTCTTGTGCCAAAATAGATGAGGACAACGAACTAGTTAAAACGGCGTGTTTGTGTTAAAAAAAGGCCTTTATGAGTGGGCCAGTTTGCAATTGTGGCGCGGCTACTGCACCAAGACATGTGGAGGGAAAGTGTCTTATGGGTATATGGACCTCATGTCTTTCCATTGATGGTTATCACTTACCCTGCATCCAAGGCTTTTTACCGCCAGCTCAGTAGCTAGCCAGTGAAGACCAGCGAATCCCCGGTGTTGTGCGTTGTGTTGTTGCTTTTACCCAATGTTCGGGCCCTGCCGGTTGGTGCTTTGCTTTGTCTCGCATTTTGTTGCAGCCGTTTAGGTCAAGATGTGCCTGCGAGACATGATATTGCTGCCTCTCGAAGTCCATGCCTCAGCGAGGACTGTACGGGTGCTTCCGGATGCACCTACGTTGGCGCCTTAGCCAGGTGGCCGCGGCAAGCCTGGGCAGGGCTCGCTGAGACTCGCTCACTTATAGCCACATGTAACATGACCACTATCCCAGCACCTATGCAGTTTGGACCGAAGGAATGAGTACTCAAATCGATGACTAAACCTTACACAGTTGATAGTGTCTCACGACCATCATTCATTCTATATTACACGACATCCAGAATTCCTCCCCCTGATTCAGAAATATCCCACCACCACAACACCTCTCTAGCCGCTCAGCAGGCCCTGGAACACGGGAGGGTAGCGGTGTCCCGCAACCTCGGCGGTGTCCAGGTATCCCTGGATCTCCTTGATCTCGTCGTCGGTAAGCTCGGCCACCGTCATGTTCTCCTTGACGCGAGCCACGCTCGACGCACCGGGCAGCGGCACCGCGCCCGCGACCTGGCGGACCCAGGCCACGGCCACAGCGGCGACGGGGACGCCCTTGCGCTTGGCCAGGCTCTCAATCTTGTTTGCGAGCTCGACGTTCTTCTCAAACGCGCCGGGCTGGAAGCGCGGGAAGTGCCTGCGCACGTCGTCGGCCGGCAGGTCGTCGAGCGTCTTGAGCGTGCCCGTCAACCAGCCCTTGCCGAGCGGGCCGTATCCCACGACGGGGACGCCGAGCTCGTGGCAGACATCGACGACGCCGCCCTTCTCCAGCGTCTCGCGCGAGAACATGCTCACCTCGACCTCGACGGCAGCGGGCTTGAGCACGGCACACGCGCGCCGCACCGTCGCGGGGCTGACCTCGCTGAGCCCGTAGCCCCGGATCTTGCCCTCCTTGATGAGCTCGGCGAACGCGCCGACCGTGGTCTCGATGGGTGTCTTGGGGTCCACGCGCGCGCACTCGAAGATGTCGAGCGTGGTGATGCCCGCGGGCGCCAGGACGGACAGGGCCAGGTCGACCTGTGCGCGGACGCCCTCGGGCGTGCCGTCGGGGATGTGGGTGAAGCGGTCGTAGGCGCCCTTGATGCTGATGACGACCTTGGGGATGTCGGCCGGGTGGGTCTTGAAGTAGTGCGCGAGGAGGTGCAGCGAGTTGCGCTCGGGAGTGCCGTAGAAGATGCCCTGTTTTGAGGGAAACATGGGAGTCAGAGATGAGAGTGTGAAGGGGGGAGGAGAGGAGGTAAACACTTACGCCGTTCCAAAAGTTGGCGCCGAGCTCGAGAGCAGCTTCGAGAACCTTGTTTGCTTCGTCAAAGGGCATGTCGTGGATGCCAGACATGCCCATGAGGCCAAGGCTTGTAGGGCCAATGGGCTTGCCGACGAGGGATGTGGGAATGGAAGGCATAATGTTGATGGTTGTGTAAAGTGGTTACTAAGACGATTTAAGTTGGACTGTAGTTGTGTTGACTGTGATGAGAGTGCTTGATGGTTCGAGCAAGAGATGTCCATATTCTCAAGCGCTTCCCGAGCTTTCTTTATAGCCTTCGACATGGCGGCCAAAGTCGGCTGGGGCCTGGCTTCGCGCCGGGCATCACCATCGTGCGGCGTGATAAAGCCGTAAAATCCTTCGAGGCGGGTATTGCCGCGGCCGTTGGTGGTTTGCATGATTCAGAAACAGGCATATGCTGCCTTGTGGATGCTGCTGTGCTGGTGGCCGGAGGGCGTCACTGGCCGGGGCCGGGGCCGGGGCTGTGGGAGAAGGACTTCCCAATCGGGAACACCCCTTGACACAGCGTCGGCGGAGGGCGAGCGAGAGAGAAAAAGACAAGAGACAGAGACAGAGAGAGTGGACCCCGGCTGGCCTGGTCACTAGGGCCGAAGCTTTCTCGCCTCCAACAAAAGGTGTTCCTTTTACAGGCTAGCGCACTCTCGAACAATCTCGACGCGCGGACTTTGCCGACAAAGGATTCCATTTGACGCGTCTCTACCCAACTCGTCTATTAAGGGAAGCCCAGCCAGGTCCCTGCAGGTGACAGATAGAATCAGGACCTTGAATTACACCCTAGTTCCCGCTCCGTTTAGGCTCAGGGCAACCACTGCATATTTCTCATCCTAAACTCCTTCACGGGAGCCCCTTCAAACCCACTCAGATCGACAATCCTCGCCTCCCCGACGCCTGCGAACCCAGACCTCTCGTACACGGGGGCTCCCTGCACGCCGGCCTCGAGATACGCGGCCACGCCGCCGCCGCCCTCGCCGCCCGGCATCTCCCGCGCCTGCTCCTGGCCCCAGCGCACCAGCATCCCCGCGGCCCCGCGCCGGCGGTGTCGCGGCCTCGTCACGCAGTGCATGAGCACCCAGGCGGGCTTGTCGGACGGAATCCACTGCGGGCGGAACACATCGCGGAAGCCGAGGATGTGGTTGTGCAGGGCCACGTTGAAGTTTGGCGGGGGGTAGTAGTCGCAGGCGGCGGCGGCAGCATCCGAGTCGCTCAGCTTCGAGGGGGCCATTTCCCAGTGCTTCTCGCGCTCGTAGTCGTACCCGTTCGGGTAGAAGTGCCAGCGTGCGACGGCCACGATCTCGTCGCTCTCCTCCTCCTCTCTGGCTGTTGCGTCGTCATTCCCAGCGCCGGGGTCGGTGCTGGTGGTGCTGGTGCCGGTGGTGTCTACGACCTTGACGTACCGCACCGACGGGTCCTCCAGGAACCGCTGGCGCTGCCATGTGAAATGGCACCGTGCTCGGAGCTGGGCCTCCTCACGCGTCTTCACTGGCCAGGACACGGGACATGGCGGCGCCACGAGGTCGTCGCCCGGCTCGCCAGCGTCTGCATGGCCGATGAGGGTGGCGAAGTCTGCGAGCTCAAGGGGCCGGACTTCCAGTGGCATGGTGTGTGTATAATGGGGTTGGCTTTCTGGCAGCTTGTGTGGGCATTCAGTAGGTCTTCTGGCTCTGGGAAGACGCGCGTTAAATAGGACTAGAGCCAGCAGTGCATTCCCTTGTCCATTACCACCTAGACGCAGCGCCGCCGACCGAAGAAGAGCAAGGACATGCGATAGGCTATAGTGGTCGTGTCATCCCAAGGGCGTGCTGGATCCCTGGATCGCCATTCTCCGACACTCCACTATCAGGGCCGAGTTCAAGATGTGCTTGGTAAGCAGCAGCAATTTGCGAGGCCCGGTCTCGCAGCCGTGAATGAGTGTCAGACCCACAAACTATGACTGTGAATACACTATACAACCAAGTCGATCTAGTGTTGATTCCTGTGCGGCTGCCGCCGATTGCGGCAAATGTAATGGCTCGCTTTACAGACTGAACACGTCCTCTCGCCAACAAACAATCAGTCACAACCCTGCCTTCTTTCCGCGGCCAGACCATGCTCCAAGCAGGCACTGCTCCTACATGTACTGTAGACCTGGCCAAGATCAGCCCGTGAGATATGTCGCCCACTTGCTCTTGCCGTTCACAACCTCGATAAACTCCCTCGCCACGACGCGGTCCGTCTGCTCCGACGGGTGCAGCTCGTCGTACCACATGTAGCTGTCGCGGACCTCGGGCGCGCTGCACGCCGCACCGCACTGGCGGATCGACGAGGTGACGTTGAGCGGCGCCGTGCCGTTGAAGTACTCCGAAGGGTTGTGCCACATGTGTGTCATCTAGTGGTTCCATGGACAGCCAGTGTCAGTAGGTGCTCAAATCATCTCCCGACACCGGATGGGCCGAGGTGCGATCACGCCGGAAACAGGAATGACGAGAGAGAGAGAGAGAGCGACTCACCAAGGCGTTCGTGTCAAACACGGCAAACTGGCTGCCCTTGTACCTCCCCCTCAGCCGCACATCGACCTGCGTCCGCAGATCGTACACCTCGTTCACCAGGGCGATGAACTCGCGCATCTTCTCGCTCGTCTGCGTAATGTTGGCATTGTACCGCAGCTTGTCGGTCCAGAAGCGCGGCGCGTCGACGCCGCCGTTCTCCGGCAGCGCGTACTGCGGGATCAGGTCGATCGGGCCCTGGTTCATGACGACGAAGCTGCGGGCGCCCGAGGCGTACAGCGCGTCGAGCTGCGCGTACACGCAGTCCGTGTAGGCCGTCAGGGGTAACGTGCGGGGCTGCTGCGACTCGGCGAGCCAGCCGGCGTTGCCGAGGTCGTTGGTGCCGATCCAGATGCCATAGACGGTCTCCTGGACGGGGATGTCGAGCGCCGGGCGGTGGGTGACGGGGTTGACGGCCGCCCTGTTGGAGAGGAAGGTGGGCAGCTGGTTCTGCTTGATGCCGTTGCGCGAGCCGGTGCCGTAGGTCCCGTCGCACATGGCGCCGGACACGGCGTAGTCGTAGGAGCGCACGCCGGCATATTGCTCCACGTATTGAGGCCAGACGCGGCCACCTGTGGAGGCGTTATTGGACTGTGTACGGAAGACCAAAGTCAGTTGTGATGTTGCCATGGAGTGAAACCCAGAAGAAACTGCGTGAGGACGGCCCTGACGTACTGGCTTCCCTATGTTCCCGCTGGCATCAGGCTGATAGTCACGGAGCCCAGAGTCGGTCCAGCTGTCACCAAACATGACCAGGCTCGTAAACTTGCGCAGGCCGAGCCCTGGCTTGGACCCTCCGGCTGGTGGGTGAGGCGGCGACGCGGTGGTTGCCAGCGCCCACGCTGAGAGGGCGGTTGCTACTGATGCCCGCATGTTGAAGGAGTCTATACAGAATCAGACGCGATGCGGCACTTGGTGGCGTCTGTAGCTGGTGATTGTGCAGGCGATTTTCCTGTGCGACTGCTTGTCCGTCCACACCGGCTGGGGCGGCGTCATTATATACATCTATGGATCGGCACTGTGTCACAAGGGAAAACAAGCTAATATCGCAGTCGGGGTCACTTCTACCGACCTTGGCGGTACAACCTTTTTTTCATAACAGCTCGAGACCCGATTGGGGGAAGCAGGGTGTCGTCGAGATCGGCCGCTTTTCTTTCCCCGCATCGGCAGTCCATCGAGAGTGGAGATGGCGACGCTACGCGGAAGCGGAGGTCTCCCCACGATCCGGATACTTCCACGTGCAGGATGGGACCTCCTGAGATGGGCACTGTCAGCGTAGCGAATCACTGGTCAGACTTGGTTTCCCCTGATGTGACAGCTTCAGATACTGCTTCTCAATGTTGATGCTAGAGTGCCTTAAAAGTACAGGCAGTGATGCCGTCATCATGCCGCCAAGACCCAAACCTTGGAGACGCTCGAACCCATGTATCGTCCTCAGCACAAGACAACGGTGGAACGGAGTGCGCGGGGGTCCGCCTCCGGCTAAATTGACGGCGATCACCTCCAACAGCCGGCAGTTGCGCAGAATTGCGGACCAGGGCGGACGTTTCGACCATTCTCAGCCTGCTGCCGCCAGCCATAACAGCTTGCAGAAATACATTGAATTAGCGGATAATGTCAAGTTCGCGGAGGTTCATGACGGAGTTGCAATGCGGTGGGCACGCTGGTCACTGCGAGCACCCCAGATGATAAGGCAGGAAGATGATACATAAAATGCATGCAGGAATTACAGGCTTCGTCGTGAGCGGGCGGGTGGGCACTAGTCACCTACCACCTGGCTTGAGTGTCGAATCGTCTGTGCTGTGCTGCGACTTGGCCTACTGTAAATCTCAAAGCCGGCTTCCAGCTTTGTGAGAGAGCGAGATCACTTCAACCGCAAATGACGGTGAAGCATGAACGCGAATGATTGCAGAGCACCCATGCTCCCACATGGTCAACTGCGCAATGGTCCTGCTGCACACCTGGCCGTCTATTGTCAATAGCACCCTTGCACCAGTGCGCAGAAGACTCTCGAGGTCATCTGGCGCAACAACCGGAAAAGAGGCCTCTCAGCCCTACGAGGATGAATGGGAACCTTGTAGCGAGCATCGAAGGAATTATCATAGCCACAATATAGAAGTCCAGATCATGCCTTACAACGTTGATAGACGCGCGAAAGCACGTCGCTCAGAGGACCATTTCGAGATGAGTGGCGCCGCCCGTCAGCTGAAGACCGCCAGCCACCTCAGCTCGGTCCCTTGTGGACCTGCGTACGAGCTTGAGCCTTACCCCGAGCTGACCGGAAACGCCCTTGCAGATGTGGAACAACGCGCGGCCGCATCGGGCGTTGTAGAGAACCAATCCAAGATCCTCGTCCACGCGTTTACGTCAGACAATCTTCTGCATTGGGATGCGGTGGCGGGCTAACTATTCCGAAGGTGACGATTCCTTTACAACGTCGTACAGGGAGGCGTTGTGGGTGTCATACACAGTAGTAGTCGCCGGTCGGCATGTTACATGTGGAGCTGGCTGTCATCATTGGTGGTCCGCACATACCCTGTCTGGGGAACAATGCCTGCTACTCATGCCTCCTTTGGGGGCCGGGAATCGACGTTCGACAGGGGTCGCGGATCTTCAAAGACGGACCGTGCAGATTGCCTGCGGCGAGACGCACTTGGAACAAGCTGGACAGCCGTTACATAATCCTATCAACGTCGTGCACGATGAGGCATGAAAGAGTTCGTCTCGAATTCTGGCATTCTTCTGGGGTTTCAACCGTGGTCACCTGAGCAGAAATACGGACGTGCTCCTGCCAGGATGTACGCATACGTCGGATTACAGGACAGCGTATTGAGAGGCCATGTTGGGTGCAATTTTCATCCCATCGTGGGCATATCCCTGTCCCGGCCGAGAGGTCTCTATTGCTCCGTAACTCGGTGCTCGGGTGGCTGCGGCGACCCTGGCTGGTCTGCACACCAAATAAAAGCACCAGCCAGCAAAGTGCAACAGGCACCCATTCACCACGCCGAGATTGGGGCCACCCAGTCGGACTGCTGTATCATCACCACATTGGTAGAAACAAGACATCGCAATATAGGACTGTTCAGCGACGAGAAAGTCTATGTAATGGTCATAACTCCCTCCTCATCTCGGCAACAAGACCTCCAACTCATCCTCATCATCATCATCATCATCTGCTATCCAACAACTCATCAGAACCACACGACTTCTCCCTCCACAACCCAACACTCACCTAACCGCAACAATGAAATACTCTCTCGTCCTCCTCGCAGGTGCTGCCACTGGCATGGCCGCTACTGTCAAGGACACTGTCCTTGACCGCCACAACAGTGCTCGTGCCAAGCACGGCGTCTCCAACCTCAAGTGGAGCGACGAGCTGGCCAAGATTGCCCAGGGCCACACCAACTCTTGCGAGTTCAAGCACAAGGTGTATGTGTGATACACCCATCTCGACCGTCTCACGACAACGTAACAGTGCCAGCCCAGCTAACACACACTCTCTCCTCTGTAACAGCGAAGGCGCCTATGGCCAGAACCTCGGCTGGGTCGGCTGGTCCGGCGGCTCGGCACCCAACGCCATCACCACGTTCGGCGACATGGTGACCACGGGTTGGTACGGCGAGATCAGCAAGTTCACCCAGTGGGGCGTTGCCACGCCCAACATGGACAACTTTGGCGACTGGGGCCACTTTACCCAGGTCGTCTGGAAGAGCACCTACGAGGTCGGCTGCGCCTACACGACCTGCGACGGCGGCAAGGCCTACTTCTTCGAGTGCAACTACCGCACTCCTGGTGAGTGGATGCTGCTGTCCTCCAGTACAGGCCTGAGCAGTTGGTTTTCTAACGTGACTCCTCAACGCAGGCAACTACATTGGCGAGTTCGGCAAGAACGTCCCTCGCAAGATCTAAACGGCCTCGCCAGCTAGCAACTTAGCAAAGGGAGACTCCGCGTCACAGGACGACATTTTGTCTTTCTTGGACGTCGATGGCCGCTAAAAGTCTGGCTGATCTGCAGAAGCATTGATCACTTCTTACACTCGCTCTTACGACCACTTCTTACACTCGCTCTTACGACCACTTCTGACACTCGCTTTCACGACCACTTTCTGTTTCATTTTGGGCCTTGACACAGCAGGGCCACAGACTTCTTGTACATACTTTGCACACATAGATACATACTCAGATGGGCATATAGACACGACATGATAGACCAGTCATGAAAGAATGCAACCGATTCCTGCATTGATCCGTTACAGGCGCACGACCTGAAAGTTTCGTCGATCAGCCGTGGTGCCTAGAGAGATATGAGGTAAATCGAGGCCCTCGGGGTTTCCGCCACGTTTCCATGCTTTGATACCAGGCCGGAATGCTATCGACTGCTTTCTTGCTAGCCTCACATCTGCGCCGACGCAAGTCTAAACCTCTTGCTCAACGTGCTTCAGGTGCATATGTGTGTGTTGTACTCGAGGTATACATACTTTGCTTCAAGCCAGAAATTGGTTGTCCCGATCACATACTGCCGGAGTTGCTGTCTGACCAGCTCCTACTATGGTTGTTATGACGAAGCAGCACGCCGGCAATGTTGCTCCCGATCCTCTGTAATCAAAAAGCAATGCACCTGGCCAAGTCACACACTACTCAGGCCCAACATGCCAACGTCAATTTCTTATCGTTATTTGCCTCCACCCCAAGCCCAGCCCTACGACGACACGTGATTTCATACAGTCTTGCGCTTGCGCATGAGCGGCCAGTGGCCTTTCACCTCGCGGTGGCGCATGGCGAGGAACCCGCCGATGACGACCCACCAATAGACGTTGTACGAGATGACGGAGCCGTACGTGGCCGAGTTCTGCCAGCCCAAGAGGCCGTTGAAGACGCCCCAGCCACCGCCGCCGTTGATGTAGGGGCTGCAGCACTATTTTTCCGCGGGAGGGAAGGTCAGCGTGTGAGACTGGGAGCAAAAAGGGGGAAGGGGAGAGGGGAAACATCCGTGACATGCACGAGAAGAGTCTTGGATAAGGAGAGCGCCGATGAAGGGTGTCTGGAATGGCATGGGGGAGGGCCAAGGATGGTTTACTCACGTTGACGTGCCACACGCTCTTGTCGATATCGTACGAGCCTGGGCCGACGCCGACCTCTGCCGCGTCGCCGCCCACGGCAATGTTCCACTGCTGCTGCTCAAAGAACCACACGGCGCGGGTGAAGAGGGCCGCGGCGACGAGATAGAGGATGCACGTGGCGGCCACGAGGAAGAGCTGGAGGTGTGATGTTGAGCCGGTACTGGAGGCGAGTTAGCATCTAGTGTCTTTTTTCTGGGCTCTCTTCAGAAGCTAGTAGAGAACATAGATGGGGGAAATCAGGGGGCAAAAAGACAACTCACCGGTAGATCAACCACCCGACAAAGCTGCCCGTCGCAAGGCCCGTCAGCACGGGCAGAGGCACCGACTCGGCGGGCGCACTGAAGGTGACGCCGGCAATGAAGACGACGGCCTCGACGCCCTCGCGCAGCACCGTGACAAAGGGCAGGACAAACATGAAGTAGCGGCTCATCCAGCGGCCCAGCCAGCCCTGCGCGTCGTTGCCGTTGCCCGTGTCGCCGCTCCCGCCGCCGCCGTTGCGGGCGTCGCGCTTCATGCGCCTCTTGCGGCGGTCGCCGTCTTCGATGGCCTGGCGCAGCTTGACGTGCCACTTTTCCTGCATCTTGTTGATGCGCAGCAGGGCGGCGCCGGTGACGGTGATGATGAAGCTGGCAAACAGGGCAAAGGCGCCCTCGTAGTAGTACTCGGTGGAGCTCCAGGCGTCCGTCTCGGTCAGGTAGAAGACGGCGACGATGCAGGCCGAGATGAAGAGGCAGATGGCGGAGCCCGAAAAGGTGCCGAGCCAGATCTGGCGGCGCATGCGCTGCGCGAGGGCGGCATCCGAGGCATTGGGCAGCGTCTGCTTGAGGAAGGCGAGTAGGACAGAGACGATGATGGAGGTCTCGAGCGTCTCGCGGAAGATGATGAAGAAGACGGGGACGGAGAAGAGGTCCGGCATGGTTGGAAGCTGCAAGGGGTCAAGGCGAGTCCCGCCAGCGCATCTCTGGTAGGCTGACTGATTGCCACCAACTGTGTCCTCCTTGTGGATGGTCCAGCACTCTGCGGATCACGAGAAATGCTGGTGATGGATGCTGTTGTTGCGCGTCCAAGTGTCCCGTGGTCGGTGGACGAACGGATGAGGGCAGAAGCCGGGAAATGTGCCGCAGTGCGGCGGGCGGCGCTCTCGGCTCGGAATGGCACGTTCCAGGATCAGATAAAAATAAAACCGGGGACCCAAGAGGCGGAGGTCAGGTGGTGTAGGGAGGGGAGCCCGCCGTGTTTCGGCGGGTGGTGGGCTTTGCTCCGTGGCAGAACCTGAGTCGACACTGGCACGGGCTCAGCTCAAGCTCCAGCGCTAGGCACGGCAGGAGTTAAAAGGTACACAGGTCTGTGGCTCCAACTCAGCATTCAGCGAGGACGGGCGACGCTTCAATTGTCTCGTTGTTGTGCGGCTGAGAAGTCGGCTTCTCGTCACCAGTCGGGGGGCTGCGCCTCGTCTTTTCTCCAATGGACAACCCCCTGTACACACAGGGGCCGTCTCCCCTCTGCAGCGCACTCCAGTCTACAGTACAGCACAGTACCGGCCCATCTGATAAGATCATCGCTCCGCTCTGCCGGGCAGAGTTTTCGCAGGCCCCTCCCGCCCTCGTGACACCAGCCCGCACCGACCCCAACGGCCTCCCGCCTTATCAGATCCGCCTGCAGACGTCAAGTCTCGATCGAGAACCACAAAGACACAGCGTAGAAGAGCCTCCGGCCGCCTCTTCCACCGCTCGAAGCTCTCTGTCACGGTCTCGCTGGACTCGATCACCGCAGCACACGGGCAGGCAGGGATGACTTGCTACCCCAGCCCCTGATCCGGAGCTTTCTCATACTCTTGTGTCGTCCCACACCCTCTCGGCCTGCCATCCGGCACCCGGTGGACCCGAGGCGGCCAGCAGCGCTCATCTCCACCGTCGTCACACTGTCGTGCGTTCTCTGACCCGGTGGGCCGACCTCCCTTCCTCACGACACGCACACACATACACGCAGACGTCCACACTCTGCAGCCACCATCACACACTCACCTCGACCATGGTGGCGCCCTCGCTCACCCGGCTGCTCACCTTGGGTGGAAGCGCACTCTCTCTCCTCTCATGGACTTCACAGGCCGCCACGGTTCGCTATGACTTTGACATTGGGTGGGTGACGGCGGACCCGACGGGCGAGTTCCCGCGCCAGACGATTGGCATCAACGGCGCCTGGCCGATCCCGCCCATCCGCGCGGCCGTGGGCGACCGCGTCGTCATCCACGTCAAGAACAGCCTCGGCAACGAGACAACGTCGCTGCACTTCCACGGCCTCTTCATGAACGGCACCACCCACATGGATGGGCCCGTGGGCGTCTCGCAGTGCCCCATCGCCCCGGGCGGCACCTTGACCTACGACTTCCACGTCACCCAGCCGGGCACGTACTGGTACCACTCGCATAGCAGAGGCCAGTACCCGGACGGTCTGCGGGGCCCCTTTATCGTGACGGATCCGGACATCCCCTTTGCGTACGACGACGAGGTCGTCCTCACCTTGTCGGACTGGTACCACGAGCAGATGGCGACGACGTTGATCCCGCGGTTCATGAGCAAGAAGAACCCGACGGGCGCGGAGCCGGTGCCGGACGCGGCGCTCATGAACGACGCCGCGTCGGGCGAGGTCGGCGTGCGCGTCGAGCCCGGCAAGACGTACCTCGTGCGCATGGTCAACATGGGCGCCTTTGCGTCGCAGTACGTCTGGATCGAGGGCCACGAGGTCGAGATTGTCGAGCTCGACGGCGTCTACACGGAGCCCGCGCGCGCGGAGATGCTGTACCTGTCGGCGGGCCAGCGGTGCAGTTTCCTGCTCAGGACGAGAAAGGGCGACGTCGGGGAGAACTTTGCCATCGTGGGCAGCATGGACACGACCCTCTTCGACGCGATGCCCGCATCCCTCAACCCAAACGTCACGGGCCACCTCGTCTACTCGCCCGCCCATCCGCTCCCTGCCGCCTCGCCTGTCTCGTCCTTCACGCCCATCGACGACTTCACGCTGACGCCCTACGACCGCATGCCGCTGCTCCCACCGCCCACGAGGCCGGAGCACGACATTGAGCTCGTCGTCAAGATGGACAATCTTCGCGACGGCAGGAACTACGCCTTCTTCAACAACATCACGTACACGCCGCCCAAGGTGCCGACGCTGTACACGGCCCTGTCCGCGCCGGAGGACCTGGTCCGTGACCGCAGGATCTACGGAGGGTACACCAACACTTTCGTCCTCGAAGGCCCCCGTGGTGAGCCGTCTCAGAAGTCGGCTCGGCATGGTCGTGATGTCGCGGCAGCGGCAGCGGCAGGCGGTGACACAGTACAGATTGTACTGCGCAACGAGGACGATGGCCGGCATCCGTTTCACCTGCACGGGCACACGTTCCAGGTATTGTACCGGAGCAGTGGCGAAGAGGAAGACGATGAGGACGAAGGTGAGGCCCAGACGGGACGGGCCAAGGCGTGGAAGGAGAGCGAGTTCCCGGCGATCCCCGTGCGGAGGGACACGGTCGTTGTCTGGGGGAACGGCGAGGTCGTGTTGCGGTTCCGCGCGGATAACCCTGGTATGTTTCTTGGTTCTTGCGTTCGCCCTTTTGGGGCAGCAGATGGACAATGTCTGTCTGTTCGTTGCCAGCCTCGTTTCTCGTTTCTCTGTCGGCTTGAACCCGTATTTTGTCATCATCATCTTTAAGTACTTGGATAGGGTTACTGACAACACAACAGGCGTCTGGCTTTTCCACTGCCACATCGAGTGGCACGTCGACTCGGGCCTGATCGCAACGCTCGTCGAATCGCCCCTCGAGATCAGGCGGCAGCTGGGTTCCCTCGACGTTTCTTCCTCCTCCCCTTCTTCTCTCCTGGCCCACACCAGCTCATCCCTGGACGGTGAATCAGCAGAGGACACCCTCCAGAGCACCACCACCAGCAGCAAGATCCCGCAAGACCATCTTGACGCTTGCGCCGCCAGCGGCATGCTCGCGCGGGGCAACGCGGCCGGCAACGTCGACGACTTTTTGAACCTGGACGGAGAGGCGAGGCAGCCAGGCCCGCTGCCAGATGGGTGAGTGAATTTTTCCTTCTCGCATTTGATTCGCCCCACCCCCCCCTTGTGTACGATCTAGACCTCGTGTCCGTTGTGCCGGCCTGCTCTATTCGGTGCAGGGTCAAAGGATCTGTCCCGCCCTGCCTTTTTTTTTTCTTTTTTTTTTTTTGGCTTCTTTCCTTGTAGAAGCTTGAAGGCTTGTACTGCCACGTCCTACATCGACGATCCCGTGAAGTAGTGATGAAGCACATCTCACTAACCGAACATCCGTATCCATAAACAGATTCACCCCCAAGGGCTACGTCGCGCTCCTCATCTCCACGCTCTCCGGAATAATCGGCCTCGTCACAATCACCTGGTACGGCCTTGCGCCCGTCGACGGCGGTCGTGGTGGCGACGACGAGAGCCGCGCCGGCACGCGCCGCCGCCGAGGTCCGCCATCATCGCACCGCGGGGGCGGCGGCGGGGATAACGGCGATGCGGTTGTCGGCCGGGCTTCCGAGGACTCGGTGGACAGTGTGGACACTGTTGGTGACGACGATGAGGGTGTGCTTGCCGATAGTGAAGGAGGAGGTGGTGGCGAGCAGCAGCCTCTGCTGGCTCGAAGCGCGGGTGACGATGGCCATGGACTAGGTGTTAGGAGGGTTCGGTAGACTGCCGAGCAGAAAATGCGCTTGAATGAGCCAGGAGTGGTCTGACGCGATATTTCATACAGATGGCAGGGCGATGCGGCCATACAAAGGAATTTGAATACAATGCTGTCCGATAATGCAGACGTGGTGTAATAACGGGGCCCAACAATGGTCCAATACTGAGAAATGCTTGTCGGCATCCTTGCGTTAACGTTCGAGGACACTCAGACATAAGAGGCGAGGTAATTAGAGTAAATATATGGGATCAGTGCTGGTGAAGGCAAAATAATCTTGTGCACGCGGACAGACACGAGTTTACAAAGCGGGCAGGACGATGAGCTGAGCAACGCAGGATTGGTTCTAAAACTTTTGAATTGGGATGAAAAGATATAAAATGGTCGAGCTCCAGATCAGATTCAGCCTGGTAGCGGTGCCTAGTCATAATAAGTGTGATATGCTGACTCTCCCGGGCTGAGCACATAGGTGTCTGGGACCCTGAAAATGCCTTTTGATGAATTCCAGCTACATGAATCCTCCCCCGGGAGACCTGGAGTTGACAAAGAAGAAGAATGACAAGAATGAGAAAAGTTCAACAAAGGCAAGCCTATATAAACTTGTTAACAGTGAAAATCGGCAAATTTCAGTCTCCAAAGAACACTCACTATTTACAGCGTCTTCTCTCGAAAAGAATCAAGCCTCGAACTCGACACTACGCTTCCGCGGCGCTCCGTTGCCGCCATCGCAGCAGCCCTCGCGGCTGCCGGTGCTGCAGTACCAGTGCCAGTTGCTGTCGATATAGTTGATGGTGCCGTAGTCGTCCCAGAAGCCGCCGAGCTGATTGGTGTGCTTGTACTGGAGCTGGTCACAGTGGCCGCCCGCGATGATGGCCACGGCCTTGAGGCCCCGGTCCTTGGCCTGGGACCAGGCCTGGTCGCGGTTGTCGCCCTTGCCGACCTGGCAGTAGGGCGACTCGTACTTGGAGCCGCGGATCGACGTCGTGTAGTCGACGTTGGCGGTGCAGAGCCAGAGCGCGTTGGCGGCGCTGCTGAGGCTGAGGAGGGGGAGCGCGAGAGACTTGATGGCGACCATGGTTGTTGTAGGTTGGTTGCTAGGTTGGAAGGGTTTCTTCGAGTAGAATTGTGAGGCTGTATAAGAGGGAGATGGGAGATATCTGGTGATGCTGGTGATGCTGGTGATGAGAGACCGGTTTCTCATTTGACGTAGGAAATCACATAGGCTTTATAGGCCAGCGCTCGTGAGGATATGCCCGGCTTTGATCATGGCCCCTTGACCGCCGCGACCCGCCGCCTCCTGTGTTCATCACGAGATGAAAGCTCGCTACTCCCCAAAACCCGTGCAAAAAGACTATCCATCGCACCATCGTGACAAGCTACTAGCCATCTGTGCACGGAACTCGCCCTGGACGGAGAAGTCGGGCCGGGCATGTGGTGCCATGCAGCGCAATAGAGTCCCCATCTGGGCCAATGAAATGAGGGCATGTTTCCCAGCAATAGACTGACGCCTGAAGTAAGCTCGAGCCAGTCTCTAGCGGCGAACAAGAATAGCCTGGGTTCCACGAAGAGCAACGAGCCAGGCAGCCCGACTGCCCCATTCGGTAATGGATAGAAGGTGCTGACGACAGCCAAGTGGGTACCTGAGTCCGTTCACATGGCCGCTGTTCTGACCTCGGCTGGCGTTACTAATGTATTGTATGCTGGGTCCTTAGTAACCAGAAAAGCTTAGACATGGGTTCCTCGAGCGGCAGTACCCGCTGTTCAGGGTCCTGTAAAGCCGATACGAAGTCTCTCAGCGGAGAGGCGATGGGGATTCTAGAAACCCCATGGGCTTGGCTCTAAAGATAGCTAAGGCTCAAGACCACCCCACTTGTAGCCCTGTAGGCGATGATTAAGCAACAGGTCCAATGACTCGGGCAACGCAAATTTGGGTGCCTGAAATAAACGGAGTCTGCTGCGCACAGGGCACTTGGAGACGAAGCTGGCCGAGGGCGCATTCGCGTTTGGCGTGTATAAGATCCAAAGCTCCTGGCGGGAGCCAGTAAATCAGCGATCAGGGTATCCGCATGAGTTTTTCTTGCAGCGCATGAGAAGTCTGCGTGACACTATATGAGACCGAAGAAATGCCCCCAATTCACAAGACACGTCATAGCATTCATACGTGAACATTGATCACAAGAGTCGATGCGCTGAAAGCAACTGGGCCGGAAAAGCAACTTGTCAAATAAATGCATCGAATTTTGATTTCCAGACTTTTGTGTGTCACCCGACCAAAACGCCATGCTCCTGCTTCTGCTTCAAACTCGCTTATTTGACCTCTGCCCACTTCCCCAGGGTTTCAAACAGCCTGCCATACACGCGGTCGTTCCCCGTGATGACCTGCTCCCACTCCTCCTTGGGCAGCGTCCTGCTGGCCATGAACAACCACCCGCCGAGACACAAGTCGGCATAGGTCGCCCGGTCGCCCAGGATGAACGGCCCCTGGTCCCTCCTCTTGAAGATGCGCGCCATGTCGTTCAGCATGGCCCAGAAGCCGTTCAGCAGGCCCTGCCTCACCTCCCCGTGCACACCGATCTGCTCCCACGACTGCAACCCGGCACGGTCGAGGAACACTTTTTTCGCGGCCTCGTTCTCGAGGGGCAGGAAGTAGCCCATCAGGCCGACGTGTGTGGTGAAGGCGAGGTCGACCTCGCGGTTGAAGCGCGAATAGTCGTCATACTCGGGCTCCTCGTTGCGCTCGGAGAGCGGAGGCATCCAGGGGGCCAGCTCCTGGCCGTAGGTGTAGCCGATCTCGGACACGTCCTGGGGGAAGAGGTTGCCGGCGCCGGAGGTGGGGTATTGCTTCTGCAGGTAGACGGCGATCTCGAACGAGTCGCCAATCTTTGAGCCCGTGGCGTGGTCGATGAGGACGGGCAGCGTGGGGTACTCGGCGCCCGAGGCGTGCTTGCGACAGGGGGCCACGCCGAGGGATGTGCGTGTCTTGGGGATGTCGGGGAGAGAGACCCAGTGGGTTTTGTAGGGGGCGGCCTTGAAGTTGAGGGCGAGGCGGGCCTTCCAGGGGTTGACGGAGCAGCAGGTCTCTGCGACGGGGGCGCGCATGGCGATGTCGTAGTAGTCCATCATGGTGGTTGCTGTGGTCGTAGTAGTAGTTGTGCCTGTGCTCATTTGTTGGTGGTTGTGGGTGATTGGCTGGCCGAGTTGTCTGGGGGGTATATGGGAAAAGACTTGGCTGCCTTTGCTGTCGTTGCTGTGGTTGGTTGTGATGAGATGTTGAGATTGTTGTCGGCGGTTGCGTGCTTCCAGCCAAGAGAGTTTATAGCTACTGCTTGCTGGCCAGTGACGACACAGCCGGGCCACACCACCCCGCTGTCTTTTCCCACCGCCCAGCCACGCCAGGATGAATCGCTATGAATCATAGCTTGGCAGGCTAGTCGGGTTCCACTCCCGCGCAGATCTGGCCCACTCGGAATCCTCGATGGCCACACTGGACCTGCACCTCATCTCGTCCCATCGTGTCGCGTCGAGATCTGGCCCGTACATCCCGACTCGCTGATTCGCCAGAGCCGTCCAGGGGGTTCAGCGTCGTGGTACCTGACTACCTGCTTGTGCCAGATGGGGTCACGGGAGCAGCCGACGAGGTGCGAGCGAAACCACAATGATGCCTGCGCCGTCATGCGCGAAATGCTCCGCGCGTCAAGGCGCAGGCCACTGCCTCACCGCCCATTCGCACACCACAGGCCTTCTGGTAACACTTGGCCCGGGCAAAGTGTGTGCCATCAAGGTACAGCAAGAATGCGCGAAATCGATGGTGAGCGTGCATCAAACAACAACTTTCCATTCGGAGCCGTGCCCAGGCTAGAGGCGGCTTCGGGGAAAACCCCAACAAACCCACTTCTTGGACTCACTGAACTTGCAGTTAGATCGCTGGAGATGGCAAGATGAGACTCAGTGTGGATCTTGTACTACCCGACATGTGAATCATCATTCATGGCCTCGTTCTGAAGACCCTGCAGAGGGCCTGGTTACTTGAGAAACGGACACGCCAGTGCACCACAGCCTCTACGGCAGCGACGAGCGAGGGGTAAATCAATGTCAGCGTCCCACGTATGCGGCTCGCAGCCTACCAATAAGCCCGGCCAACTCAAGCTCACAGCCGTATCGACAAAGTATCATGACAGATACACACGTTGTCGTCACCTTGTTCCCGCTCCTGATCGTAGCCAATCGATACAGGATTCCACCACTGCCAGATCTCCCGCTGGGCACGCATCCGCCTGTTGGACCGTCGCCTCACGCCACGACCGTGATCGCCGACAAATATCGAGGTTCTGTCCATGTTGGTCGTGGGCAAATTTTAATTCATAGAGATATCCGCTCCAAAAAAAAGACTGGACCAACGACGCATCACTCGGACTTGATTTCTTATGTACTGCGAGGCTCTTATTTGCCTCACGATTATCCACGCGTCTATTTTGAGCCATAAATGATTGGATAAATACCACCGAGAATTTCCATTAGGCACTCAACTGCATCATCTTCTGCGACATTCCCCATTCCCATGATTAGTAGATGCACCATGCTAGTACTTTCCGTCTCGCAATCTCGGGCGGACCTTGCAGCACATGCCCTTTATTGCCCGCCAACCCGGGCAGCATACTCCTCAAAGTCCTCAGCGTCCGAGTCCCGACCTTTGGTCTCGGGCACGCAGAAGAAAGTGACAATCGCACCGAGCAGCTGGCAGGCGAAGAAGATCCACAGGACGCCACTGAGACCGATGGAGCCGGGGTACTTGACGTGATCGGACTGGGACCAGTAATTAAAGCCAATGCCCGACAAGATGGCGCCGAGCTTGCCGACAGCTGCGCAGAATCCGTGCGCGACACCGCGGACCCGGGAGGGAAAGACCTCTCCGGGGATGATAAAGGTAGTTGCCTAAGTGCCTTATGTTAGTGATGCGACCAAAAGAAATCAGGAAGACTGAAGATGTCGAAAACCACCCATCACCACAGGCACCCGAGATGGACAACGAAGCCATGATAACATGAATTGCTCACATTAGGACCTCCATTGAGGAATAATTGGGTAATCACGAGCAATGCGAAGCGTGCGCCGGAAGACAACCAGGGGGCGCCGGCCAGAATACCGAAAGTCAGCGCGGTGATCAAGAAACCCTGGATCTGGATCCACTTGCGGCCGAGGATCTCGATGAAGGCAATGGTGAGGAAGTAACCGGGCACGTAGCCGGCGACGGCAATGATCAAGTTGCCCTCGGCGTTGTGGAGGAGGTACTCGTACGGGGTCTTGCCGGTGGCGTAGCCAATCTCGGCGAGAATGACGGACTGGTTCAGGTTGACGCCGTAGAACGCGACGTCGACCAGGAACCAAGAGGCCGCGCAGCCAAACAGCGTCAGGGCGTGGCGCGGCTTCTTGAAATATTCGATGAACGCGTACATCTGGGCCTTCTTGTTCTCCTGGGCGGCGGCGGCGGCAAGGGCGGCCTCGGCGACGGAGGCGCGGCGGTTGCCAGCGTCCAGAACAGTCCCGCTCTGCGGCGTGACGCCAGCCTCGGTGGCGTTGTCAATCTTCTTCTCGCCGTTGCTGCGCCCGACCTCCAGAGAGCTCCCAGAGGAGGTGTTGACGGCCGACAGCTCGCAGCTCTGGAGGAACTTGTTGGACTCGGGCATGGTGAGGCGGAAGTAGAGCAGCGCAATGCAAGGGATCAGCGCCAGCCCGATCTGCAGGCGCCAGATGGTGTCGATCTGACTGAAGGCGCCGCTGGTCAGGGGTTTCTGGAAGATGGCCAGCAAGATGCAAGTCACGACCGAGGCGGCGAGGGTGCCCTGATAATACGGAGCTGTCAGCACATTCCTTTCGCGCAGGAGGCCTTGCAAATCAAGCTTACCCAGCCCTGGTTGCTAAAAATCCAGCCCAACATGCGGCCACGGTTCTTGATGGTCGATCGCTCAGCCACGATGGCCGCCGACATAGGATAGTCACCACCAATGCCTGGAGATGTCAGTTGAGGCACAAGAAGACTGAAAAAAAGGGCAGAGCTTACCAATTCCCAGCAACAGACGAAAACCGAAAAGCCACCACATCTTGGACACACCATCCGTAAGGCCTGGCGAATTGTGCACTGGCAGGGCGATAATCATAATTATCCCGACGATCGCAATGATAAGCTCTTTCCCATACACGAATTTACGGCCGAAAGCATCCCCGAGGAAGCCAAAGGAGATCTGGCCGATGACATTTCCGATGTTGGCGGCTGCATTGACCGCGCCACGCAAGAGGAAGGGGATGGCGGGGGCCGAGGCGACAGTAATGGAGTCGACTGGAGTGTTTCCGCTGAAGAACTCGTAGGCCCAGATCGGCGAGGCGAGGTTGACAATGAAGAGATCGTACGCATCGAGCATAAAGCCCACACCACAGATCTGCACACAAGCGAGCTCATGTTAGCTTGGAACCCCAGCGAACCAGCAAAGAAACCCCATACCGCGTATAATTTGAAGTCGGCAACCGTAAAGGCTTTCTGCGGGTGCAGCTTGTAGTATTCTTCGAGCGAGATGAGCTTGCCATCCTCGCCGCGGCGGGTGTAGGCGTGCTCCTCCCAGACGGGCATCTTGGAGAATATGCTCGGCCCAGCGAACTTGTACCGAGGCAACAGGGCTTGGTGAAGAAGGCGATGTAGATCGAGAATGCCTCTGAAACTGCACAGCCAAGCTTCCAAGGTATGGGCACCGTACGCTAATTATTCGGAATGGCTCTGCGCTGCACGACCGACCAAGAGACGATTTTGGCAGCACGCAGGCCAAGCTTTATCGCCAAGGCGGCACCCCAATGCTTGGCTTAAGGCGTGGCGCGCGCAGACCCTGTCGCCTCGCCCGTCCCCGGGCTCTGCTCGTCGTCATTACGCGTGGTCATCACCCAAGCCCCGGCTGAGCCTACCGTGCGATGGGTGGGAGGACCGAGGAATTGGAGGTTTGGCTAGGAAATCGAGCTATGTCAGGGACGAATCAGGGGCCCAGGGACCAACACGTGCGGCCAGCCCAGCATTTAAGTAGTTCACGGGTGGGCCAGCCATTGACGCCGTGGGCCGAACTCTATTGCTCCACCACCACTCTTCTGCCACCACGGAACTCGGTCGCCAGGGCCCTGGGCCGCACACTGGAGCTCTGCTGGTTACTCTTAAGGACTCGTGATTGGTGCGCAGTAATCAATCCTGGTCCGGACGGACGTTGTCAGCACATTCATTCCTGCGAATTGGCTCCAGTAACACCGCGGAGCCGACCAGGCGGATCCTGCTGGCTGGGCTCAGGGTCCTGCCGCGCTCTCATCATGCGGGCCGCCATCATTATGCGGCCTCCGATACCCGTCTGTGAGGCCCATCTTCTCGTTCCAGGCCATCCAAGCTTTGCTTCCGGGAAGCCCCCGTGGTGCCCATGGGGCCTCCTGATTGGCCCCTTCCCCTTCGATGCTCGGTCAAGAGCTGACGACTTCATTGTCGTTTCCAAATCTTGCGGCTGACCTGGTGGCGCACATTGGAGGGTCTCCTCGGAGCCTACGAGCCGTGCAAAGACGCCGAGCCTATCAAGCCAGGACCAAGACCTCGCGCCCAACCCGCTAGCCCAAATTCCCGAGAACCAAGCATTCGCCGAGCCTTCTGTGCCAAGGCGGCCGATGCATAAAAATAAGCTTGGCTTCGGATGGCGGTCTTGGCTGACGTCCTTGAACTTGATCTCGTGATGGCTGCTGTGTCGTTGGTCGTGACTGTAATGGCCTCGGGGCAAGATCACCCCAACAGGCCTAGATCATGAATCACACCGGCACAGCAGTCGTACCTAGGAACCCTCTCTTGCCTCACAGCGCTGACGAACGTACCCTCGGCGGATGGGCTAGGCGGAATACCCCCGACGTTGCCCTGTTGACTCGATCTTTCTGCACACCGACGGCAGCCAGAATTCCGGGAATAACACACGGACATCGCGTCACAGGGGTGGTGCTTGTACCATTGCTTTCCCTTGTCCTAGCACAAGCAGCCAGGCAAGGGGTCCTTTCGCCTCATTCTCTCCCGCAGCCTCGGTTGATCCGCGCTGAGGCCACGGCTAGAAACCCCATGCCGAATTGCAGTCCTCCAAGTCAGACCCACACGGTCGACCGGAACTCGGCGGGTCTGACGACGTCAAAAATAATCTCTACGCAGTCCCCTCGGGCCCCGGCGGAATGGCGATAGACTGCAAGGGTATTGAGCAGATTCCAGGTCCCTAGCTCCCCAAACGTCGCGGCTACGGGACCAGCCCGCACGCGCGTCAAAACTACCGGAGCATGAAGAGCGCACCGAGGACACGTGATTAAGAACACCCAGCCGCCCTTGCTTCCTAATCAAGACACCGAGAGACTAATGTCAAATCGCTGCCAGTCACCCGGGCGGCTGCACTTTCGCAGAAGCTGCACTAGCCGCGCCGACGAGCCGCGACATTGCTCGCCATTTCCTGTCCCACAGGCATCTTAGAGAAAGGGTCTCTCGAATCGTGGGCATATAGATGCATGAAAGGACCGACCCGGCGGAAGCAGCCGGTCAACCTAACCTCGGGCCGGATGCTGGTGCCTCAATGAGTGTGGTCCCCCTCATCGATATCAATACCACAGCCGAGGCCCCACAAGTTGGAGTGGGAGATTTGAGCAGAAGAAGGTCTCTTGTGAATGCAGCTTTCAGGGAGCCAGTTTGCGCGGTGCGCACCGTTCGTGGTTCCGACCAAGGAGGCGCACCAGAACCAACCTGTCTCCACCCGCAATATATAACTATGTTCATCTAGGGACTATGTTCGACGACAATCCTGACGCAGTCAACTTTGACGCTCCTCCGACTATACAAAGGAAAAGAATGGTACCCTGTGAGGTGTACTCACGGCCAAGGCGGCTTCTATCAAAAAACCGTCCCTTCATAGGGGACAAGCTTGCGCGGCCTGGTTCTTGCCGTTCTGCCACTTGTCCAGGACATCCGAGTGCTGAATAACGGGGGCCTGGGTATAGTAATCATCCCACGCTTCAAGCCAGGCCTTCATGGCCTGACTCTCGTCGCCGCCAAACTTGCCCTGGGCCAGTGCCTCGTCCACGGTGGCACCGATCGAGGGCTCCAACCACTGGAGGCCCGACTTGCCGGTCACCATCTCGGATTTCACGTCGGCGCCGCCCTTGGCCGTCCAGTATTGCTGTAGCGGGGTGGTCCCAGGGTTGCCGGGGGCGCCGTTCAACATCGCGCTGGCGAGCGACGACATGCGGTAGTCGAGCACGACGTCGAAGCCACTGACGGCCGTCTTGGACCACAGGACAAACTTGTCTCTGAGAGCCGGGTTGTTGGCCAGCGGCCTGCCGTCCTGCATCTGGGCCGAGATCTCGTTGTGGATGCGCTGCCGGTGGTCGGTGGCCCACCTGTCGACGACCTGGTCGTAGTCGGTGCAGCCCGTACACAGGTTGGCGATGTTGTAGTTGTAGTTGAACAGGTGCCTGGGCGCGTTCCTGGAGCGGTCCGCCTCGACAAAGGGCCCGGCGGCGCCCCTCCGCTGTCCGACGCCGTTGGTCACACCCGGGCCCCCGATCGTGGCGTCCGTGACTCCCGGATTACGCGCCTCCCACTCGGCCGTCATGATGTTGCCTGCGGCGGGCTTCCTCCAGATGACCGCCAGAGCCCTGTTGTCCAGCGCTGCCCCCTCGATTGCGTTGGTGATCCAGTTCGCCTTTTCCATCGGAGTCATGTCCCTGTCGAAGCCGCCCCAGTCCCCCTCAAAGATCGTGCCCTGAGGCTGGTTCCAGTTGGCAGGAAAGTACTTGACGAGGGCTTCGTTGATTGAGCGGTCCCCAACTCGAACATCGTTAGGCCACTGGATTCTGCCGTCCCGGCCCTCATCGCGGATGTGGTGTAAGAACTCGATGAGGTTGCACTGCAGGTCATAGTCAGCTAGTGACAACTCCATGTATCGCAGAGACGCGAAGGCTCTCTTCTGGTGGTGTCAGCCTGTTTTGAGGGACTTATCGTACACGGCCCCGCTGGCCTCGCAAGCCGGTACGGGTTCCTTGGCAGCCAGTGGCAATCCTGCGGTCGGCCGCGTTTGTAAAAATCTCCTCCGCCATGTAGTCAGCGAAGAAGATGGAACTACATCGGTTACACAATATTAGTGAGCTAGAGGCCAATTTGGAGGAGGCGCGAGCCACCGGCTAAGGCCATGTTTCTTGTACGTACCGCTCAGCACTGCCGCGGGGCCCAAAAGCATGGGCCGCAGGCGCGAGCAGTGACGCTGTGGTGAACAGCGCAAAGACCGTGGCCTTCATCGTGAGGACTGCCGAGCCAGCGAGCTAGCATGCGTGTCTGGATGATTTAGAACCCCATCATCTGCCCACCTACATGCCGGAGCTGCCATGCATTTATGTACTACCATGTCTTGCATTGCTTGCTGGCAACAGGATCGGTGAGAAGTGGTCGTGCCACACGGCTCGACCTGGACTTAATGTTTCATTTCGCTTGCCTTTACCATGTCCGGCTGCTACGTGCCATTTGGCCCCGGGCACACACAGAGTTTTCTTCTCCCTTTACCCCGATCCGAATATGCTGTTCGAATAGCCAGTCCTAGCTCTAGGCTGCTACTAATCCCTGCGTGTCTATTCGGGCCGCGGGTACTCGACCACGATGACTTCTTGGCAGTATAATCCCACAAGGGCTGGGTTCGCCGCCGTTGACGCCGCCTCCCTCATCCTTGCCTTGGGTGTGCGTGATGCAAGGTACCATGTGCCAGCCCACATGTACCCTGCCGTACTCGACCACTTGGCTTCCTGCACACATGTTGGCTTGGCCCTGCTGTAGATGTCGTGCGACTAGAGAGCTGTAGAGTTCGGCCGATAGTGTTGGGCTCCCACAGCTCTGCGGGCCCGACATGTAACAACGAGCGCAAGTCAGCTCTCACTTGAGGGCTTATTCATATAAGCACGTTACGTTGGGGGAGGCCCAGGGGACTCTGTCTATACGGATGGGGCATCAGAGCTGGGGTTCTGTGGATCACCAAGTGGTCCACGAGAGCCTTGGCAGCTGCCAGCATATACCAGGAAAATGCAGGCCTGCAATGGTCGCTGACTAACGTGTTTGATCGGCCGCTGGTTGTCAGGTCGTCGATATAGTGCTGGAAGGATTCAGGATTGTGCTTACTGCGCGGCTTCACGACAGGGGCCGCGGGCTGGGTCTGATGGATTGTTGCATCGGTGAGACTGGCACCTATACCAGGCTGGTGGTTCTTGGCGTGGGCAGCCACACCCAAAAGGCATCCTGGCAAATCGTGTGTCGGGATCGAGGGGCGGATCTGGCTGCAGGGACAGACGCCACGACACACGTTCCTGCGTGGCGGCTCGCATGACAAAGGCGTGACAAGGCGTCGCGTGCCCGATGCAACAAAGCTTGTGAGCACCAAGGAGCCGACTCCAGAGGCAGACCAAGCTCAGCCAGTCTTATCCTATAAAGAAAGCATGCCTCCTGCTAGTCCAAACACAATGGCATCTGTGAACACACAAGCAATAGATAGACGGCTGCAGACTGTACCTGGGGTCTAGGCAATAGTTTTCTCTTACCTGCGGGCCCATCTCCTTCGCCAGACTGCCCATCATGCACCGCAAGCTGGGCCTGGCAGCCGCCCTGTGGTCTGCCCTGCCCTCCACGCAGGCCCAGGAACTGTCATCCATCGACGTCTTCAACCAGCCCGCAGACCCCAACACCTTCTACTCGGACCAGCACGCCTGCCCGCGCGCCTGCGGCGACCTGCCTGCCGATGAGTGGGATGTCTTCTCGTCCTTCCAGCGCCTGCGGGTCTGCGACGAGCCCATGATCTTCCAGCTGGGTCTGTACGCCGGCATCAACAGCGAGGACGAGGCCACGCCCCTGAAGGTGCGCGTGTGCACGACGGGTGACGAGACGTCGCAGGTCAACGCGCTCTTCGAGCCCATCATCACACCCCCCGAAGTCCTCGAGGCGGCAGCCGCCAACATCCTCGCGGCACTGGCTGAGCCCGAAATCGACGACACTGTGGGCAACTTGCAGGAGCGTCAAACCCAGCAGGAGGGAACTGCGCAGTGCGTCGTAGGGGATCCGGCACAGACTTCTCTCCACCTGAGCCGCACAGGCGAAGGCTCTGCCCAGGGTGCCCAGGCCATCCTCGACAGCCTGGCCAAGTACTTTGGCAACACTAAGAGTTGTGAGCGCGTCGCTCTCTTCGGTTATCACAAGGGCACCGTTGCTGGTCTGTACGCGGGCAATGGACTCAACAAGGCCACCTCGGTGGGAGCCATTATCAAGGCGGTCAGCGGTGCCGGAGAGGTGCCCCAGCACGTCTCGGCCGAGGTCTGCGGCACGGGGCGCAACGCCAACCACGTGTTGGGTCTTGTTGTCGACGGCACCGGCGACCTGGCTGCTGTCCAGAAGACGGTGCGAGACTGGAACGAGGCCAAGTGTCTCTCGCAAGACGACACCTCGGCCGCAACCTCGGGCAACGGTGTCGACATCGAGATTGCTGAGCTGCCCATCCCCAAGGTCATCACGGGAGACCTGGCCAGCAACTCTACTGGCATCGCCAACGGCACCGCTCTGGCCGGGAGCTTTAGTGCCGGCATCAAGCGGGCAGACTGTCGTATCGAACGCGTCATCAGTGGTGACAGCTGTGGCTCGCTCGCCGCGCGCTGTGGCATCTCATCCAACGACTTCACCAAGTACAACTCGGCCAAGGACCTCTGTTCTACGCTCAAGCCCGGACAGCCCGTGTGCTGTTCTTCAGGATCTCTACCGGATTTGAAGCCTAAGCCGCAATCTGACGGGTAAGTCTTACGATAATATGAAGCTGCAGCTCCTGAGAGCTGTCTTAGACAATCGTGGGCCCTGGCGCTGACATCACCGACAGCACTTGCTACACGCACTATGTTATTGAGAACGACAATTGTTCTAACCTGGGCGCCATGTATACCCTCACCAATGACGACATTGAGGGCTTTAACAAGGGCGTCAACGGCACCTGGGGCTGGACGGGCTGCAAGAACCTCAAGTTTGGCATGAACATGGTGAGTCGACATGGCCCCCCGCGTTCTCTCTTTCGCCTCGCCGTGATGTTTTGCTCTCACCTAGCATGGTTTTCATGGCTGCCCAGACAAGAGCTAACCCAGGAGTCGCCTTTCGATAGTGCCTGTCCAAGGGCAAGCCTCCCATGCCCGCGCCCGTCAGCAACGCCGTCTGCGGGCCTACCAAGCCCGACACGGAGAAGCCGTCCAGTGGTCAGAACCTGGCTGACCTCAACCCTTGCCCCCTGAATGTGTGCTGCAACATCTGGGGACAATGTAAGTGTCCTAGCGTGACTCCTCGAGACTTCTCCAAAAAGTGAAAGATGCTGATGCTCATGGTCAGGTGGCATCAGCAACGACTTCTGCCTCGAGAAGCGTGGCGAGAGTGGCAACCCTGGAACATCGCCCGAGGGAACCAACGGGTAAGCCACCTCTATGGTGTCCATCCATGGGCCATCAGAAGAATCCATCATCCAGACTGGACTGACACATGTTTATGTGGTGCAGCTGCGTGAGTTCCTGTGGTTCTGAGATCAAGAAGGACGGGACTTCTCCTGCCTCGTTTGGCCGGATTGGCTACTTTGAGAGCTGGAACTGGAACCGGAACTGCCTCAACATGCGGGCGGCGCGGGCCAACACGGACGGCACGTACACACACATCCACTGGGCGTTTAGCGACATTGACCAGTCGAACTGGACTGTGAAAAAGAACGACACCAACGGCCAGTGGACCGAGTTTAAGAACCTCCGCGGCGTCAAAAAGATCATCTCCTTTGGCGGCTGGGCCTTCTCTAACGAGGCGCCGACCTATGACATCCTGCGCCAGGCGATGAACCCTTCCAACCGCGAGACCTTTGCGAACAATGTTGTGAAGTTCTTGAAGGACGAGGGCCTGGATGGCGTAGACTTTGATTGGGAGTATCCCGGGGTAAGTGCGCACCATTGCGGTTCTGCTACGTGTCGACATGTAGCGATGCACAATTATCATCATCAAAAGGCTGCTTTTGTCCGGGTAATGCTAACCTTTGTATTTCTTCACGTAGGCTCCTGACACCGACTTTCCAGGCCTGCCGAGTGACGGACCAAACTACCTCAAATTCCTGCAGCTCATCAAGGGTAAACTTGGTGGAAAGTCGCTCTCGATCGCTGCGCCTGCTAGTTACTGGTACTTGAAGCAGTTCCCAATCAAGGAGATGGCCAAGTTCCTCGACTACATTGTATACATGACGTACGATCTTCACGGTAAGAAACCCCCCAGAAGATTCCTTCTTGTCAACAAGGCTAGGCCGTTCACTAACAACTCTCACCCTCCACTCCAGGCCAATGGGATGCTGGTAACAAGTGGTCCTCGGACGGCTGCCCGGACGGCAACTGCCTGCGCTCCCACATCAACATGACCGAGACGACGCAGGTGCTGGCCATGATCACCAAGGCCGGCGTGTCCCCCTCCAAGATCTTTGTCGGCGAGTCCAGCTACGGGCGGTCGTTCCGCATGGCCAAGGCGGGCTGCGACGGGCCCATGTGCAAGTACACGGGCGACCGGCTCAACTCGGAGGCCGCGCCGGGCCGCTGCACCAACACGTCCGGGTATATTTCGAACGCGGAGATTGAGAACATCCGCCAGACGTACGGCGACGTCAAGAGCTGGCACGACGCGCGATCCAACTCGGACCTCATGGTGTACGACAAGGTCGAGTGGGTGGCGTACATGAGCGACACGACCAAGAACACGCGCCGCGAGCACTGGAAGGGGTTCGGCTTTGCCGGCACCATCGACTGGGCCGTCGACCTGCAGAAGTTCACTGGCGACACCCTCGAACCCCTTAACGACGAGAACGAGGCAGGCGTGAAGCCGCTCGAGAAGTGCAGCGACGTAGGAAAGTACAACAAGCTGGAGGACATTGAGAAGAACGTCGGGAGCATCCCGCTGCACTGCCGGTCCGCACATATGCTCAACGCCATGCAGAAGATCCTGTCCGACTCGCTCTCGGGCTATGACAAGCTGCTCGCCGGCGGGTATGACGAGAGCTTCAAGACGTATGCCGACGTAGTGGTGGACGGCTCCAAGACGGCCGTCGAGGACTTCATGTACGAGAACGGCAAGGACTATTTCACCTGCAAGGTCACCGAGACCATCGACAGCTGCGACCATTGTAACACCTATGACCCAGGCGATAACTACTGCCGGTACTGCGAGGACTACGAGTAAGTATAGTTGTACCTCATCTCTCACGCACTCGATTCCCCTCTGTCCTCCCTGTCTGTCCTTTCCGCCTTTTCCATCACCAACATCACTGGTATACTTTGAGTTGAGGGAGGTTCCAACTCGCCTTTAAGATGACCCCTTTTCGATTGCCTCCGATGCTGAATCAGATGTGTAGCTGCGGATGGTCCAGTATATGCGACCAGCCAGAAGTACTCTGCGGGGACCACGAGAATCGGTACAGAGATATAGACATGCCCTGCCTGCCCGACTACTCGATGCGGGCCGGCGGCAAACCGTCAACCAGATACTGGCCGCAGACGACCCAGTGGAAGCTGCGCTCGGACAAGGAGAACGAGTTCTACGGCGCCCTGTACAAGAGCGTGGGCATTGATAAGGAGAACATCCGGTGGACAGACGTGCACCACTGGGAGTGCACCCCGGCCGACTCCAAGGAGATATGCCGTAAGCGCAACTGGGATATCAACTTCCCCGTGCCTAGCGGCTACGACCGTGAGGACGTGCTCGACCCGAAGGACGTCGTCGAGGGCGCGCGCAAGAACCTGACGGAAATCGGGCCCAGCATGACTAACGTGCTCGACAAGGTCAAGGCAAAGACCTTCCGCGGGAACCTGGACGACATTGTGGACGCCATGGTCGTGCCTATTGTCATGGTCGAGGACGCGGTAGCCCAGATGGGCAAGGTGAAGGAGCTGGCCGACAAGATCGACGCGCAGAAGCGCGAGATGATCATTATGGCCTTCCTCAGCGCCATCTTCTTCTTCGTGCCCGTCATGGGCGCCGTCGTGGGTGCATTCACGTCCCTCGCCAACGTGGCGCGCATCATGGCCCTCATCGGTTCCCTGGGCGGCGCGGGCATGGACATCTACGATATTGTCAAGTCCGATGGCAACGACTTCCTCGCCATCTTTGGTCTCGTGCTGGCCCCGTTCGACATCATCAGCGTCGCCAAGATCACAAAGGCCGCCAACATCCGGCGCGGCATGAAGGCCGACGACATCAAGGCCCTGGGCGACGTGCCCAAGGCCCGCATGGACACCATCGAGCGCATCCGCGGAAACGGCGCGTGCAAGGCAAAGGGCGCCAGGGACCTGACGTTTGATGACTTGTCAATGAGCGGCCTGGACGGGAGAGAGTACGGTTTCGTGCTGTCGCCGGTCCCTTTCAAGGGCTGATCGTCAGCAGAGTGACAGGAGAGACGAGTTTGACACGGACGCATCACGAAGTTGAGCCATTTGGTTCAAGGTGAGGGGGTAACAAAGGATGTAGATAAGTGGCATCGCGCGATGGTGCACAGGCATGCTTGTTGCATCTTCAGAGCGACTCGGTACATAATCCCTTCCACATGGAAACAGCCGCCTACACAGTCAGGCTGTGCACAAAATGAAACATTAGAGCACCATTTCGCCCCTTCGCCCCATCCCGCCGTGATCGTAGTCTTCTCGGTCGATGTTACTAGAATCAGCTGGAGCGGGATCACAGTCTCCACAACTCAAGGTTGCAGGCCATCAGACTGGTAAGCCATCAACGCAACCTGAAGTTCGAGAGCTGTTCCAAACCGTTGTTGCATCCACCAGAATGCATTGAAAAGGTATATCTGGGGAACGCTCTTGGTATTCGAGAATCGCAAATGTTTGCCGTGTCCCAAAGGAACATCTTACAACCAGCGCTTTGCTGGTGCGCAGATACGTTGGCTTCCTGGTGTTGGCCACGCATGGAGCAAAATGCCCGAAAGGTAATTACCAGATGCAGCCACAAGTCCAGAAGAGCACGCTCCTCCATTCGCTCCGCTCCAGAAACAACCTCGGGCTAGATCTCTCAAAAGTTAGGGCCCTTTTTGGCGAGGCGGCCGCCGGCGGCTTGGCCACATTTGGCAATCAGGCACGGGCATGGCTTCGGAGCTGATTGACAGCCAGGCACTATTGGTGTTCTAGATGCGCCAGAGCCCCGTACCGAAGGCCCGATCCGATCGCGTCAAACCCAGAACAGCACGAGCTGGATCTTTTTCAGCTCGAGTCAATCCCTACCACGTGCGCCATCCGCTTGATTCGAGACGGCTCAAGCTTAACTGTGGAAATAAAGGCTGGGCATTATCTGTAAATGGGTCGACCGGGCTTGCTCGACGGGAGTCGCGTTCCGACGCGAAAAGCTATAAGAAAGACCAGCCAGCACGAGCATTCCTTCCGAGATGCGCTTCAGCTGGTCCCCAACCTTTCTGCCTCTCCGAGACGTTCTCTTAATAATTCATAATGGCCCCCGTGTTTTCTATTCCCGCTCCCCAGGGCGGCGTCTGCTCGACTGGCCTCTACCGTGTGCTCGGTGGCCTGGCCGAGGTGCCAGCAGCCCAGGACTTCTGCGCCGCCCACTACCCTGTTGCACCAACATGTACTAGCACCGTTGTCGGACCGGTCAAGACGGTGGCTGCGGCGCCGAAGCCAAAGACGGGAGGCCTGTCCAACAGCGACATTGCCTATCTGATGCAGAGGCTGCACCTCCTGGAGAACCAGTTCCTCAGCACGGCATGCTCCTGCATCGAGACGCCAGGCTGTGTCACAGTCACGGTTCCCAGCACGACCTCCAGCTCCGTCCGTACGTCGTCGACCGCGGCCCTAACTTCATCAACTACCCTCGTCACCTCCACGACTTCGACCTCCTCTACTGTATCCGCCGCTCCCTCCTCCACTTCATCAGCGGCTCCCTACTCTACCTCATTGGTCTTGCCCACTTCTACCTCCTCAGACGCTCCGACATCGTCATCGACGACCAGCACCAGCTCCACCCTGCCTAGTTCTACCAGCAGTGCCGCCACAACATCAAGCCTCGCCAGCTCAGAGTCTACTACGACATCCTGGATGACTAGCACGACAGAGACACCCACAAGCACCTCAACGACGACTTCTGCATCAGCCTCGGCGACGCCTGCTGATGGCGACGGCGATGATGACGACGAGCCATACCCTCAGGAGCCAACTCCCCAGGAGCCAACTCCCCAGGAGCCCACTCCCCAGATCACCCCTCAGATCACCCCCCAGCCCACAGAGTACAACACCCCGGCGGAGAACACCCCTCAGATAACGCCCGTCCCTACCGAGTACAACACGCCTGCTGCGCCTACTCCTATTGTGAACTGGACCGATGACGGCGAGGTCGAGGAGAGAGACATCCCTGGGTTGGAGCTTTCGGCAGAGTAGTGTGCTGGGGGCTGGCTATTGACGTAGATGTGTGTGCTTCTACCAACATGCGAATAAAGATTAGTAATGATCACACGTGATGACTGCGATCGAATTGAACCTGTTCTCTCTGTATGACTATAGTGTGCAGGTGAGAGAGTAGGAGAGGTGGATGCACTAGCCGAATGCTTTCCCTGTCTCAAGTCCTCGCATCTGGATGCATCTCTGAGCAACGAGTCTCAGTGACGAGTTCGTCAGATGGAGTATTGAAAGCAGTCAATCTGGGCGTGCAGTCTACAGATGTGATTTCACAGTCAATGGCCAAGCACACAAGTATGCCTGCTTCAAGGCAAACAACCCGCTAGATCGACAAACAGGGGTCATGTCCATTCGGTCCGCCTGGCGCCTTGGCTCTCATTTCTGCGGGGGGAGTCTACCAGTTGGTCGGTCACTTTACGTCATCAAGGGAAGCTTGGGTGGTGGTGTTGTCCCCAGGCGATTGCCTGAACTGAAAGCCACCAGATCGCCTCCCATATGTAGTGAGACATCCCTGCTGGGCCGGCGCGGGGCACAGCGAGGCTTAAATGCCGGCAATGCGGCAGAAGCGAGGTGCACTAGCTGTCTTGGCAGGAGACTCGCATGTCGTGGCCGAACCGAGACATTGGTGGGCCTCCAATCACGAGGCATCTTCCACATTTTGACGTCACTCGCGGAGATCTTTTATATGGTATGATTGTCTGGCTGCCAATGGCTGTCTTGTATGGGCCGACTACAATGTCATCGTGATCGAATTGGGGGTTGACCAACGTTATAAATATATGCATCGGCTGATCTACAAAGCAGTCGGCGTGGCTGTCGTGAAGACCACGAGACACAGCTCAGGCCTGTGAACCTTGGCGATAATCCGCAATAGTCTACAAGACTCTCTACGTCCCCTCCTCTTGGTCGTCGAAACGAGTACGTGGTCTCCAATATGCTCTGGAGAAACCAATCTGGGTGCGGCATGCTGGCCGCCTGGATCGCAGCACTATGGCTCACGATTCTGCTGCCAGCCAGCCATGCAGCTCCAGACTATGCAAACATTAACCCAGATCCAGACGCCTGGGGCGTGGTGCCAGTCCCCGGTTTCCGCCTGGATCGTCAGTACCCGGGCCTTTCCAATGAGACCAACAGCACGGACGGCACAACTCGCTGGGAGCTTGACCTGCGAATCAATCGAAACGCACCCAAGACATCCTCGGGGGCGGGCGCAGGGACCACCAATGTGACGCGGGTCACGGTGCAACTGCGACCTCCTGCCCCGGGACAGCCCGGCGCCGTCCTCGACAACCAGACTGGGAACTGGTCTATCGATGACCCACGTGCCACCGATTCCTGGAAGCTCATCATCGTCTCCTTTGCGATGGGGTCCCTCGACCAGCTGAAGGCCGTGGAGGACGGTAATGATAAGCAAAGAGGATCCTGCCCGACGAGTGTGATGAGCGAGCAGTGCGCCAGGGACATTCGGGAGTCGATGGCTACGAATTCAGGCATCAAGGCGGGGAATGGGTTCGCCCTTGGCGCCACACCAAACAGATGCACTGACTATCGGTCTTGGGGTGCCTTCAGTGGGTCTTCTCTTCATTGATATAGCTTCTTGGCTTGCCCAAACCGTCGCATGTTGAATCGTCTTACTGGGATTCTTTACAAGACTAACCGCCTACCCTCAGCTGTGTCCATGAACGACCGCTTCAACGAGACGACAACCTACTTCAACGAGATCACAAGAGAGGAGCTCGAGAATGCGTACGACGTGTGGGGCTCCGTCACCCATCCATTCGCCTTGGTCTGGGCTCACAGCAACACGACTGCACAAGGGGAGGCCCTAGACGATGATCATGTGGTGCTTGCCTGCGTCAAGGTCGACAGTACGGCTCCAGGGGTTCCCATGCCTCAGGCGGTAGCTCAGCAGCCCGGGGCAGGCGAACCCGCGGCAGGCGAACCCGCGGCAGGCGAACCTGGAGCGGGCGCGACCTTGAAAGGGTCAAGTGGCTGGCGGATGCTAGGTGGCATGGTCCTGGCAGGACTCATAACCAAAGAGATTGTGTTCTAGGAGCACGACATCAACTGAGACCAGCTCATCTGCATGTGGAGCATTTTTCTGGGCGGATGAAGAACGAAGACTTGAACTTCCATAAAGATACCACCGTTGTGATAACATGTATTCACGATCGAACCTGGGACATACTTTGCGCATATTTTCCAATCGCGCAAGTTGATCACCTTTCTGTCCGTTTCAACCTCAACCCCGCTCCGTAATGCATGCAATGCTAAAAATGCAACCCGCGGAATGACGCAAAGGGCGCGAACAGCCAAACACCACCAAATGCCGCCATCGGAGCATGAACTACTCGAGCGCGTTCTCAAAGTACACGACCATGTTTCCCTGGCTCACAGTCTTGGCGTAACTCTTGAGATCCGCGTGCGCGGAGCACGCGCTGTCGTAGTACGCCATGTCGTCGGCAGACGCGAACGTCGTCTGCACGGCAAAGGTGTACCCCTGGGACCGCTGGTCCGGGAACGCGCTGCCGACTTTGGCGCCGAGGATGTACGGCTTGCCGTCCTGTGTTTTTGGCCCCTTCCGTTAGTGGTTGGAAAGGGAGAGCGCGAGAGAGAAAGAGAATAGATTTCATAACATGGATTCGTGACACAGCGAGTGCTGAGCAGGATTCCGTGTGTGCCCGGTCCGGACTCACCTTGAGCGCCCGCTGCTGCAGGGTCTTGTAGATCTCGACCAGCTTGGCCCGGGCTGCCTCCTCGGGGATCTTGAAGAGAGTGATGCGGTTGACGGTCATGGTGGGCGGTTCTTCTTGGAAGTTGACTTTGAGTGGGCTTTGCTTTGCTTTGCTCGGGAAACTATGGCGATTTGCAGTTGCAAAGGTATAGAGTATCGTGGCTGAAAAAGTCACGCGTGAGTGCCGGCAAATAGGAGTCCGGATCGGCCTCGAGTCATGTATGGGGGGAGTCGGCAATGCCGGTACCGCAGACCGCCCGCTGGCCGAGTCTCGCTGTGGTTCTCTCGTCGCTGCTCCGCTTTCCCCCGGGCACTATTACTCCGGCCCCAAGTTCTGAGGCGGGGGTTCTCCACCACGCTACGGCTCTTCATTTATCCTCCTCCGCCGTTAATCCCGCGATCGGCGGGGTGTCCCTCACTGACTGTGGCAATTGCCGCGTGTCAGAATGCTGACCTTCTCGGAAGTCTACGACACGCCTCACTTGACACGACATCGCAACACGGCAGTGACAATATCCAGCAACTGTCGGGCCATGATTCCCGGTGTTCATCGATACAATTGCAGCAATGGATATGCGGCGACTTTGTCAAACATACATCACTTGTGAACTGAGTCGCTACCAAGAGCGGCTATTAGCGGTTCTACAGGAAAGGAGACAAGTATTGAAGGTGTCCCATTGTACTTCACGGAGCGAAGCGGGCAGACTCCTCCGTTTATGACAGGACTCCGTTTGCCACTGCACTTGTGTCGGCCGCTACCAAGTGAGTGGTGCGATAGAGCTAAAGCCTGTATATAATAGGCGGAACGAGAGTCTCAGAGGTACAGGAGCTATGGTGTTACGTTTTGTGCACAGTGATACTTTTCCAAGTCAGGCTTGATTGTGCAGGCATCCTTGCAAAGCAACAAACACATGAAGATGTGGGCACTTTTTGTTAGACTGTACAGGGTGCACACACGAGTACATGGGGGCATTGCCCATTGCAACGCTCGAGTAAGAGAGTTCGGTGATATCAATGGAAACCAAATCAGCACGCGCAGAATGCATCAATCGATAAGCAAGATCGCTAAATAACTCAAGCCGGGCTTAACAAGATATTGGCTGCTTGGGACTTTGTACACTGTGTAGACGTATCCATCTTATACACAGGCCGGCGGACCTGAGGACTGCGCCAGATGGTAGTTGCAAGAGAAAGTTCACCTGACTTCGTGTTGAAATCTTTAGGATTTGAGCATCGATGATTGTATTCTGTAGAGACTGTACTCAGCGAGAGCCGATGAAACTGAAATGCAAAGCAAGAACGTGATACTGTTCCCGGGCCAGTGGGAAAGAACAAGGAAAACGACAGAAATCCAAAACACCACTATACGGAAAGCTGCTAGGCACTTTCCTTCCTGAAACCAAATAAGACCAATCTCCTTACGAAGAAGGGCTTCCTAGTCCGCCGTCACACCCATGGCTGAAGCGTTTCGAAGAGAGTGAAGTTGACTCAGTACGGGTATCCTCCGCATAGCGAGCAATACGGTTTCTTATCTTTGTTCAATAGGACGTCGCATTCCCTGTTGCAACTCGTACACCACTGCCCGTTCACGAGCTCGTCGCGGTTGACGACAGTCATGATGATTGTCTGTGTCCTGTCAGCCTGTGGCATGCATGACAACAAGATCAGACTTACATTTGCGTTTCGGGAGTCGACGCAGAGTTTTCCGGTGCGTTTAATGTTGGATCTTGGGGGTCTTTGATTGCTGTGTGAGGCTGTGAGCTTCTCTGCTTCATCGTCTGCCTATGAGGGTGATTTCTGGTCTTTTTGTAACCGATCCGGATCCTACCTCCAGCGTCATCTTCGATTCTTAGACAAAGAGATTCCCACGGTGAACTACTAACGCTACCAACGCTTCTCTGCCATCGAACATGACACAAAGAAGTCGTGTCCGGGCAACGTTCTGATCTGCCAACCGTTCGATAGAGTAGGTCACGAAACAAAGAGAATAATTTTGCCGACATTCTTGAGCTGTTGCCTACTACCTATCTGACGTACGAATTCCGCGGCCAAGGTACTATACTGCCTTGTACTGAAGGACATAACATCCAATCGCACAAAGAGAAAGTGTGAACGCTGACTGGAGAAGATTTGCTACATATTCTGGCAGCAAGCAGTGCAGGAATGCATGCTTCGCAGTTGTAGCATCAAAGAAGCACGCGGACAATCTTCACTACCGCTGCGCGCTCTGCTACATTCCAGTAGACGCACAGCGCTCGATGACAACGTCGAGAACAGTTGGTGACTTCGTACGGAATGCTTGTTTATGTGAGCTTGTGTGAGCTGCGAAGCAATGCCCTGGTGACCTCGCCAACGTCAGTACCTACTTTTAGGTACATCTCAATGTGCATGCCGTCCAAAGCTGTGCACTGCCGTCACGAAAAGCGGTCCAGATTATGGATGCATCCTTGGCATGCCTGTATGGCCAACATAACGGTGAATACCGCATGTTGCAGAGCGGCCCGACCAATGGCAAGACGCCACTCCAAATTGGTTCGCTCCACATCTTTGCGCGTACACTCTCTCGTTGTTGGTTGGTAAGGTTTCATGCGTTGGCCTAGATGCATGTTGGCTGCACGTCCCCGCCTTTGACAAACCAACATACCCCTAGGCATCTGTCGGGGCGCAGCGAAAGGTATTTCCATCCCCCCTTGATCCTCCGTCCGCTGTTGTCTCGTTCTCGACCGCCTAGCAAACGCACAAAAGTTTCTCGCTTCCGAGCATTCCCCAGCGAGACCACACGACCTCCAGCACCAGCAAGGACAAACAGATCATCTACACTCCAAAATGTTGGTGAAAGTCGACCACGAGATTCTTGAGGATTTCAAGGCAAAGCTTCTGGCGACTCTTGGTGCTCCCACTGGCACGCGACCACCGCCGAGACGTCATCTACAGCGAAGTTATCATAACCCGCAAGCATCCGATTTGAGCGGCTGGCCTGCCCCCGACAACGATTTCACACGCAGTGGCAGTCGAGTTCCATGCGAGCGCGCCTGGTCTGCTGTCCTCGTCCTCCCTCTCGCGGCAAAGGACGACCCATGGGGAGACGATGACACCTCTTCGGGACCTCTGTCGATTCGACTTGCACACAGAGATTACAACCATGGCACAGAGAGTATACTCCGGCAAGCTGCCGAGGCCATCCACAAGGCATGGCCCAACGCGACTGCAGGCCAACACAAACGTCATGTGAAGCTTTGGCGCCACACACCTTCTACTCAGACCGGGAGGCTAATGCTCGACCACATCTCAGCAATGGAGCCAGTGGTCAGTTGGCTTGCTTCGCAAGATTTGCTTCCCGGAGAAAGTGCAGAGGCACATTTCCTGACTCTCAGCGCGAATGGCAACGTAAATCTCTTACGTGGTGACAAGGTTTGTCGGCTGACTGTAGTGGGACCGTCGGGACGTCCACGCCAGCTAATACGATCTACACGCCTTTCTAGCAATTCATTTTCCCATGCCCACGCGCAAGAGTCGATTCACCATGGAAGAGTGATCTTGAGATAGAGCCAAACAATGCCGCCATCGGGCCTCGCTGGGGTCAGTTCTGGTAAGATGGTCTCGATGTCATCGTTGCGGCTATTACGCAGGCCACTACACCTATCTCGGAAGGCTGATTGGACATTCGTATACAGGTCATTCCAACCATCAGAAGCCGGCGTCATCTCGTTCCCTATTATTGTGGCCACTATGATCCTCACCCACCTTCCAAACAAGCAAGGCATCGAACCGGAGACGCTGAGACAGTATCCAGATGCCGACCTGTCATGGTGTTTTGATTTCCTTCATGCACATTGCCGGCTTGAAGGACCTAATGAGGACGAAGAGCTCGGGATACGAGACATTCAGGACTGGTCGCTTGAAACTTACGGAGACCCATGGCTGTGCATGCATTTCACCATGCATGGCTTTGGACAACCAGACGATAGCACGCCACAAGAGCATCCTCCTGCAGCAGGTTTGCGGAGGAGCAGACGCCAGATACACACTCGTTACGCAGGCACGTTTTACGAATGGCGGACCACAATCGCCGTCCGTTTGGCGACGACAAAAGACAAGCACGGGAGAGTTGCGGAGTCTACTGAGGACTGCAACGTTGTCGGCTTCACTCTGGATGACGGGGCGCACGAGCGGTGGGGATGGCAAGATGGAGATTGGAGCGATAAAACGCTTGTCTGTCCCGACGAGGCTCGCGGTGTTGCCGTGTTTCAGCGACTGCTGTGGCATAAGTTCTCTTGGTGGCACGGATCATGGAAATGCCTGTTAACCTCATTGCGCAGAGTTATGGATATAGAGGTAAGTCTTGTCTTCTTAACGTGGGCCTATCCAAAGAGCCCACTTCACGTCACCTGGCCGCTATTGAGAGATATACTGAGCTATGCTAATGCAGCTTATAGGACGAGCATTTGGCTACTGATAATGAAACTTTCGACCGTCTGATGCACGACAATGATGCATCTACAAAGTCGAAACAGTATTTCACGATTATGAAGTTGACGAGGACTTTCAGGAGACACATGGCTGTCACACCCCGGAACCTGGCAATTATGAGGGAGTACTGGACTTGTACATTCCCAGGACACGCTTCAGATACACCCACCCGTTTCAGCCAGCCCACACAGCAGGCAATAAACCGGAATTGGGACAACTTGGAGGCCCATCTGGCTAAGCTCCACAAGGATCTCGTTGACGCTACCCGCGAGATAGAAGCAGAGGCAAGGGAGTCCTGGCGAGACGTAAGCCTCACATAAAAGCATTCGATACAACCCGCTGCTAGTCTTTCGCTTGGCACGAACTCCTTCGAAATTCTTTCTCTTTTGCCTGAATTATATGCTAACCTGTTTGCGTGGACAAAAGTTGGCAAGCATGATGAGACACGAGAACGTTGGAGCGACTATTCAGTCGGATTGGCGCGTGGTCCTGCAACAGAACTTGAATCTTGCATCAAGTTTTGTTGTCGCGGCATTCGCCATGTTCATGCTGTTGAGCAGCGCTGGGCGCCTTGGGTGGAATGACTAGTAAGCTCCAGGCCACAGAGGAACTAATGGCACTGAGAAATGAGGGTTGGACAAACTTTCTTGGAACCCTGCTTGCATCGTGTCGATACAACCTCTCCAGTCTATACATTTCATATCATGACATGTCCAAAAGAGTTTCCCCGCCATGCACATTTCATACTCTGCGTGCTGGTGAAGCCTTTTTGGTTTTCCGAGAGTTCTGCTCCATTTCCAAACTGGGCAATCTCGCTGCCTCTTCCAGCATCTGTAAACACCAAGAGTCCGAACAACGCACAAGTCTCTATGCAACTAGGGGGGGGGGGGGGAGGGTTTCGTGCCACATCGCTCAAGATCCTCGGAGACGAAAAGGCCCCGTGTGTGTGACTTCGATACGTCATGATCGGCTCAAAAAGTATGCTTGGGCCGAAAAATGCCCTGACCATGCATGAGGTTTCAGCCGGTTGCATGGAAGTTGAGTTCTGTCTAAACCGAGTGAGTTAGGGGATCTAAAGCCGAGTGCTTGCGAAAAGGTGAAAATGAGAAACCAGATAGATCATTCTTCGCAATGCGATGCGAGAAGTTGGAGATCAGTGGGCAGAACACACTTCCAGTAGCTCAGGCCAGGCGGACGGGTCCAGTGCAGTGCCGGAGTTGACCAGATGGCTGGGGTTGAACAACCAGTATCAGTGTTATCAGCGATGGACTCCTCCTCGAGCGGACGACGATAGATGAGAAGGCCCATATTGATGCTGTAGACACCGCTACCACTTGTAACCCAACCATAACCTCTGCAGGCAAGTTGCAAGTCTCGACACACACAACCACAGCGACACACTTACAAATATACCTTCATAACACGAGCAGGTCTTGAGCCTCGCTCAAATCGTCGACCACACCGCATCCCAGCTCACCCCTGCCACAGATGCCACGAGCAGTGCAAAGGAAGCACTGAAACCGATACACACCATTATCGTCGATACAGGTCCTATCGTCAAACCCGACTTATCCGTCAGTACGCTTCTTAGCTAGGCCGTCGGGCTGTAGACTCTCCCGTCTACTACTACCAAGATTCAAGACGCCGCGACGCGTAGCAGTATAGATTCGATACTTGTGACAACCCGACCAACAGGTCGCAAGATCGGGCCAGGGACAAGGGCAGGTCATGCACGCGGGACGGCACACCCCAGGTTACGTAAGCATTTCATTATGTCAGCAGGATATGTGGATCGGAACATATCCAGCGATCCAAGGATATGTGGATCGGAACATATCCAGCGATCCAAGGATACACCTCCTTGAAACCACGATGAAGGACAAAGGATATAATGCGAAGGATTCCCTAGATAGACAGTCATTACCTTTGTACTTCAGCGATCAATCTAAGTATCATTCTCACCCTTCACTTGACCTAGTCACTCAATTGATCCGAGTGTGATATCTCGCAAGAGACACGAACGACAACCCCTCGAGAACACGACAAGCACGGAGTCAGTATTGCATGAGGTTGCTACCTGCCTTATTCAGAACATAAACCCCACCGCGCCGATCAGACGGTTGACCCCGGAGATCGGATCGTGACAATACTCTTGCAGTTCCTTAAGCTACGCAACCCGAAGCCGGAGAGTATAAGTTAAGTTCATACGGGGATTTTACGCATCGTATAGGAGATTTAGAGGTACTTAGAGGGCTAGATATTCACCTTATTACGCTCACGTATAAGCTCGAGTATAAGCGGAATAGTAGAGTGTGAGGCGTAGTTCAGTATTCGCCAGGAGGCTCTGAAGGGTTCCAATATGGGTTCCTATAATCAGTATCTCTTCCACGTACGACCATAGGATCGAGAATACTGAGGGTCCCGTCCGCTCCCCTGTACATAAGCTCGATACCGCCGAATCAGTAGTTGGGTCGGTGACGACCAGCGAATCCTCGGTGTTGTACGTTTTGCAATTTGATTTTGTTTTTTGGGCAAGTTTGCCTTGAACCCTGCCTATCTTTTCGGGGTTCTTTGCGCTTTCGTGGTGGTGGCGCTGCTTCCAAAAGCGGTAACAATCACTGCATGTGTTATCAGAGTGGCAAGGGAACGATTGCGCCTCGATCTCAACAATACCCCACGCTCGGGTGACGGGACTTCTTGTTATGAGACATTTAAACATGTTAATTACTCTTAATCAAACTGGAGGTGATGTTTATTATGATCAAAGTTGTCTTGTCTTGGTTTTTGGTCAGCACAGTGTAGTAATACACAGCCATCGCATTGCCTTCTTTCCCCCTGTCCTCGGGGCTCACACACACTTAAGCGCCAGACCATTCTGATTGCGACATCCATCGATAAGCGCCTATGTCCGTGAGGTTGTGCATCGGCTGAGAGGGACCCTGTACCCAGGCCGTTCAGTATGTTGGGTCTCTTGCTGGGCAGCCAGGACCTTGTTCAGACCAACATATCTTGTCTTTCTCGCCTCATGCATCTGTCTGGGTAACTTTCGCAGAGCACAGGGACGAACACGACACCTGGCCGTCGACGACGACCTGGCTCGGATATGATCCAAGAGAACCTGGCCAAACGTGTCATAAAATGCGGGCGCGTTTCGGTCCCAAGAGTGGTACGTCTCTCTGAGCGATTCCAGCCCATGTTGTTCGATTTTTTGACTGGGAGGAAGCTGCTTTGGCGCTCGAGAACGAGAACAGGGGCAGAAAGAACAAATCCTGCTCTTCACGACTCAGTTTGTTCATGGACGTAGCTTTGATGTTGTCATCAACTCTAAACAATACCTAGAGAGTATGCCAACGTGTCACATCGTGGAATAACGCGACGTCCACGGAGAACTAGCCTTGCAGGGCGCACCAATCGGGTTGGTGAGCATGGTCATCATATTGTTCGAGCACTTGTTGAGACGGAAGTGATCTTCTTCATATAATAGACTGCATGTTACGGCAGAAACCAGTGCCATCAGGGCAACCCCAAGGTATATACCAAGGCAGCAGCCACATCCTCTAGTGTCAAATCACCTTGGCCCAAGATGCATCAGCCCAACAAGTGGACGCCAAGCTTGCCAACACGAGTTGCATGGAAGTCTGCCCGCTTAGAGAGTGGTTGAATAGTCCAAGTTGTCGCAACGCAACCGTGTCGTTTTGGGGTAATAGCGGCAATTTTGCCCTAGACCAACGACTTTCAAGGTAGTGCCAGAAGCGATTGCTGCTCTCTCCGTGCGGGCGGGGTGGGTGAATATCTTTATCAAAATAGCTAAACAGTTACTGAATTATGATCAGCATGCAGCATCTACAGTTTTGGCCGCGGATGACTTGCACTAAATCTTGACGGGAGAGTTCAAGATTCTAGGCAGTACAGTGCACCGCTGCTTAGAGATATATATGCGCTGTGTCCGTTTTGTGTTCGGGGCGAGAAACATGGTACCCACCGAGACCGACCCTGGGACTGGAATACCCGTGATAGCCTACTTGACGCTGTCGGCAGGGTTGCCGTCGCCCCGCTAGACCATGTTGCATCAGGGGTAGCAGTGGGTTCTCCAATACCCGGCGCCAGCCTTCTTAGATTCGCCAGCACTCCCTCCCTCTGACGACCAGTCTCCTGCACTGCAGGGACGCCAACTTTACCGAGCAGGGAGGCCACCCAGGAACCTCTACCGCTCTTCGATAGCCGCTTTTCCACGCAGAGTAGTCTTGCCTGCAAGAGACACACTCAGCAGCCTGCCCAGCACCCTTGGAGACCCCCGAACAAGGACAAGCGCCGAGACGGCCAGCATGGTCAGCAAAGCTGCAAGCCGGCCCGGGGACGCCTCGGCCCAGCCGCCGCCCCCTCGAGACGGCTTGAAGGGGCGGGCTTACCACACCAAGTCGCGGGCCGGCTGCTTCTCATGCAAGAAGCGCCACGTCCGGTGCAACGAGGGCCAGCCGGCGTGCTCCTCGTGTCAGCGGCTACTCCTGCGCTGCGAGTATCCCCAGGGACCGCGCCGGCCGGCCAGGAACGCCGCCTCGGCAAAGCAGCAGGCCATGCAGCACGTGCTCTTGCCGGTCGAGCAGAGCGAGGAGGAAAACGCTTCCTCATGCCACGCGCCACCCCGAGTAGGAAAAGCACTAGTAGTCTTAGCTGCGGCAAGGAGCACACGGATGCCCAGGCACCTGTGGACGGTGGACGACACGGCGCGGGCCATTGTGCACGCCGGTTTCGCGACTTTCGACCCCGCCGGCCTTACGCGGAGTAGGCTATTTGCCTACATCGTACCGCGCGAGAGCCTGCATAAGGACTGCTACCGGTACGTATGCCTCGCGATCCGGGACCTGAGCAGGTCGCCCAACACGGCGGTGCGGGCCAGGGGCTTCCATGCGCTGGGCCAGACCGAACACTTTCTCCCTCTCCAACCCGGCGGCAAGGACGACGGCAACAGCAACATCAGCAGGAACAAGAGCAGACATGGCAGCGCAGGAGCTGGAACAGACAAGCACCTCGTCGCAGCGGTGGGCAACTACGCTCGCGCCCTCGCCGCCTTCCGGGACGCCCTGCCAAGCATGGCCCCCCCGGATATCGCCTACGCTACCGTGTGCTTCGCCGTTCTCGAGCTCCTGCAGGGCCATGTCACCTCGCGTAATGTCATTATGCTCGCTGGAGTGGCGCTCCTCCGCCCTTACGTCGTAGCCCCGCGAGAGACGCGGCCCGACGGCGCGGTCCGGTACGGCTTGCACCCGCGGTATGCCGACTCCCGCGAGCTGTGCGACACCGAGGCCGTGATTGTCCGGTACGCCGCAGCAGGCGTGCTGGGGGGCCTGACGGTGCCGCTCCCAGGCGTCGAGTCAACGTCGTCACCTCCAGACGAGCCCAGGAGTCACGGCAGAAAGAGACCCTCGCTGCCGACGTTACATCTCCCTGACACGCTCCCGGCACCTCCTGAGCTGCCACACGACGATGTTGATGTTGATGACGGCGGCCTGACAAGCTCAATGGACATGGACACGCTGCGGCGCCAGTGGGATGCATTCCACGGCACACTCGAGTCGTGGCTTCTCAGCCGGTACTGGGCCATCGCCACCGGCTACACGCTCGACGCCTGACAGCACCTTGCTGAGGAGACCTGGCTGAGGGCGCATATGGCCGTCTGGCAGTGCAGACTCTGGCGGATGATAGGGGTCCTTCAGAGGGACGGGCAACAAGGAACAGGACAGATCCGGAACTTGACAACGCTCAAGATACTAAGCGTGTACCTGCACTGCTACCAGATCTCTCTGGCCACCACTGCCTGGGTCCCTCCCGCCAACAACACTGCTGCCAAGGACGGGCAGGACGGGCCCAGCACCACCGGCTTTGCAAGACACCCTGCGCTGGAGGTCTCCGGGGAGGTCGACGCCGCGAGTCTTGCAGGACTCACGCGCCTGCGGTCGCGCGACCTAGGCGGCTTCGGCGTGCTGTGCTTCGCCGACATGTTCCTCGACTGCACGATGCTTCCAGTGATTGCGAGACAGGCAGCACAGCAGATCAAGGACACGACGGGCACTACGACGACGGCGGAAGAGCTTGAGACGCTTCTCACCAAGCGGCAGCTCGCGCTTCTCAGCTTGCTGGGGCGCACGGTGGAAAGGTCGATCGACGAGCATGAAGAGCAGGTTTTCGGGCGGAAGAACAAGCCACAGCAGCACCACCATGTCGGGGCCGCTTCATCCACGGCAGCCGCCACAGCATCGGGATATACGACTGCTGCCTCGTCGCCGGGTTTCTCGGACGCATCACAGTACCAGGTCGCACCTCGCGAGGGCCACGAGGACTCTGCTGCCGCCACGCATCCTGCTGCTGCTCCTGTTCCTGCTCGTCGTTCTGCCAGGCACGATGAACATGGCAGCAGCAGCAGCAGCAGCAGCAATGAAGAATGCGTGGCAGGCAACTCATCATTGACACCGACGGCAGCGGGGCCACTATGGCCAACCGCGGCGCCATCATCTGTCTTCCCAGAAACGCTGTGCGACGCACACATCTGGCCCCTCTCAGGCCCCTCGTCTTCCCCATACCACCCCCCCTCCTCATCATCCGTTTCTCCCTCTGACCCATCATCATCTTCATCACCGTCCTCTACCTCGTCGTCGTCATCATCCTCTGTGCCACAAGGACAGATCCAGCAGCAGCCGCAAAAGGCACAGCCGCAACACAAAGAGCAACACCACAGCCAACAGCAACCCCCCTTCCATCCCGGCGACTTCCAGGTCGTCCCGTTCGCCGCGAGGAGGGAGCTCACTCTCAAGTGCATACCGATACACGTCGACACCGCGCTGGCGGGGCTGCTCGAGGGCGTGTTCTACGCCAAGGTCGTCGCATGATGCAAGCTTGCGGCCGCCCTTCCCGGAAGAAAGAGAGGGAGAGAGAGAGAGAGATGCGCGCCTTCCCTCTCTAAATAATAGGAACAACATGACGACAAGCCTCGGGCGCGGGAAGTCGAAGTTTCTTTGCAGAGAAAAGTGTCGTGGGGGCACCGAAACTGTTTGTGTCGCGGACATTGTAGGCAGTCGGTTACAGAAATGCTGTTGCTACTAGGCAGCCTTTGTATATATGAGATCGGTCTGTGATTAAGGCGCAGACGGATTAGTTCTGCAGGATCTGCCTCATCTTTAGGACAGGAAAAGCGCTCTAATATGCTCTTTTCGCTTTGGCTTGTATGCCAGCAACATTGGGGTTGACACGAACATGGCATAAACCGTTCGGCACCGGCCCTGGTACCGGCAGTGGCGAGGTTGGAATCAGCGCCACGGTATCAGCCATGATAAAAGTGGACCCCGGGAAATGCGAACTAGAAGCCCAGCGAGACTGGGATATCAGTATCCGTGCCGGCTAGATAATTCTCAGTGGACATGAAGGAAGGCAGCACGAAAGACGGGCTCCCCGAGCTGTTGCCGCCAAACGCGCCCTCGCCAAAAAGGGGTAGGTTCGGCATGAACGGCCCAAACAGCTGAGCGTCCGTAGACCAAGACTGCCATTCCTCAGAGTTTTGTTGCTGGTGTTCTCGTTGTTGTGCTGAATCCGGCCAGGCAGGTGTCACTCCCATCGTATGTGTTGCCAGGTCGTTGGTGGGACTGCCACGCTCGTCTTGACCTTCATGATCCGGCCGCCCAAGCTGGGGTCGGGCCCTGGAAGAGGCCGGCGCGTCAGACGTCCTGGAGGCGGCTCGATCGTGCCGCGGAGATCGCCTCGCACGTCTCTCCCACAGCTCGTGTAACATCTCGCTATACTTGGGACCGCTGTCTGAGGTGGCTGACCCGGTTGCGTTCAGCAGTGCAGCGAAGTTCTGGAACAGGTCCGAAACTTCTTGTTTCTGATCTGCTGCCAATATGGCGCCTAGTGAGAGAGCCTGGTACAAGAAGACTGCCGCATGGACTCCGTATCTTCGAGCAGCCGGTCGATCAGCCATTTGTTTGTTCCCCAGTAATTTTTAGTAGTCAACCGCATTCATCAACTTACAGGTAGAACCTAGAAGGCAGGAAGCGGAGCTGACTGCTGGGATCCAATTCTGTCATAATCTTGAGGACTTTGGTAGCGGCGCGAATAGCGTTGTAGACGTAGAGACCATCCGGCGATGCCATGAGGCCCGAGTGGAACGGCCCATGCGGCAAGCGGCTGCTGCGATGCTCTTCTCCATTCGTCCGGCGGGCGTGTGCCAGCCTAGTCAACACGGCTTGGAACGAGAAGGCGTTGACAAACAAGTTGAGGTACTCGTACATCAGAAGCAGTGAGAACTTGACGCGACTTTGTGCGAGGGCGTCGTTCCACCTCTCGTACCACGCCGTTGCTGCGTTCTCGTAGTCGTCGAGATAACGAGGGTAATCTCCCGCAAGAGCTAGTGCTAAGGTCCGCCTCTGGGAGGAATACAGGGTACCTTGGACGTTGTGGAGAATCTGCGTGATGTCGAGGGTGGCGTGGAACACGCGCGCGTAGTGGTGCACGTCGTTGCCTGGCGACTGCCCGAGACTAGGAAAGTCCTCGGCCGTAAACCTTGACGAGAGGGACGGCCCGCGGGACCAGAATGACTGACCGAGACGCACAGAGATCTGACGGTCGGCAATGTATATACCTGGGGTGGTTGAATCAGTATGCACACTGTGAGCGAGAAATATTGCGAGAGAGATGACCAACTAGCCCAAATAAGCCGCTCCTGGTCTGGCCCATGTTTCGAGAGACGCAGAGTGTGCTTTCGGAACGCCGCCAGATCCAGCCGGATCAGATATGCGTGTCTTATCGCCATGCCGATGATGGACCACGCGGTCTGACTGTCCGCAAACAGCGTGTCGGCCTCGCTGGAGCTGGTCTCGTGCGTATGGATATGCGGTAGCCATTCTGCGAGCAGCAGAAGCCCGCGAACGACTTCGACGTTCTGCGTCCACGGCCGCGCTAAAAGCACGTCCAGCAACAGACGGCTCGTGTACTCCCAGCAGCGACGATGCGTCAGCGAGTACTCGGGCTGATCCCTCGAGGCAATTGCCAGTATAACCGTCAGGAGGAAATGATCAGCTTTGCACAAGGGTTCATCCTCAACCTTTTCAAGTATCGCCGCAGGTACGATGGGACAGAATGGATGGTATTGTCGAGCGAACCTGTAGCTGATGAGTGAGTATGTGCACAATATAACCACGAGTCAGGCAACTCACAGGCTCAGAAGTTCTTTGACATTGTCGAGTGGCAAGAGGCCCCCTTTGATAAGCTCGAGGTCTCTGATGGAGCTCCCAGCAAGGCCTCGTGCATGCTGTCTCTGACCAGGCGAGCTCCCTGACGACGGGCTGGGCTGCTGCATGGCATCAACGACTCGTGCAGGAGAAAGTTGTGCCTCGCTCGCCGAGGACGTTGGTAGTTTGCTATTTCCTTCGATGTGTGATCTAGTCAAGATGTGTAGCGCATCTGAGGGATTTCTAAGTTCCGTCTCAAGCTCATCTTCAGAGCCATGAGATGTTGACTCGCCCTCATCACCTTCAGAGGGTCGAGCAGACGTAGCCCTGTTGCCAGATTCATTGACCTGGTGACTCTCGCGAGCTAGGGTCGCGTCCCCACGAGTCTCCTTCGGCCTTCGGATGCCTTGACGAGGTCTGTAATACCCTCCTCGCCGAGACTCAACGAGCACGCAGAGGCTGCCTGACTGGTGGCACGAGAGACACGGCGGGGCCTTGGGCTGCCCAAAACTGTCTCTAGAAGGGTCATCAGCTATCGGGTCATCGGGCAACACAGAAAAGAGGGCAGCACATGACAAACAGCCACTCACAAGTCACATTTCGTCTTGCGGCTGCGGCACCTGCTGCATGCGCGATAGGCCCGCTTACCTGTGCTTGCAGTCATGGCTGCCCACCGTGCTCAGGGCTAGCGGTTCTTGGCGGTTGGAGGCTATTACGTGAGACTGTCCGTGTCGCCCGAGATCCTTTTTTGGGGTGGAAACACGACTGGACCGAGAGGGGAATTCCACCAGGTGAATCGGCTATGGTCGGGCACGGCAACCCATTTGGAAAAAGAGTGAGGACAGGAAAACAATCATTGCACGTTCGTAAGCATACAAGTGCGGGGTTCCGACTATAGCCGACCGATGCCCTGGTCAGGAGTATGGTAGCGAAAGGGATTAGTCATCGCTAAGGCCGTCTGCTCAGGTCCCGACTACAGCCGAGTTCTGCCAACATCAAGTTTAAGCGGGATTGGGTGAACTTGCCGATCAGGACGAGGCCGAAGCACATCGTGGATAATGATGGACTATTGGCTACCTCCGGGATGTTATTCTCTGCTGACATGCTAACACATGGCGAACCCTCCTTAGGCCAGAGGTACAGCCAAGTACTCATTGCGAGATGGATATTGGGGTTTGCCCCTGAATCTGGGCAACAGCTTTATAGCGTGAACGCAACTGAATACTGGGCTGAAACGAAGTGTCTTGCATCACAGCTAAACCTCAGCCTCGAGTCGAGCGGATCGTGACCAATCATGTGTTCCAGACCAAGAGTCCTCCGGCTGTAGTCGGCATTAGTCTTCCGCGGCATGCGGTTCATGTACCCTTCTTCCAAACGCATATTTACCATCCATTTATACCTTTCAGCAGCCAGAGCATCTAGTCTTCCCGGATATGTGGTCACTCGAAGACTCAAGATAAGATTGAGCCGCACCACGCAGTCGTGCATTCCCGAAATCTTCTTGAAGTCCCATCATCGCAAGGGAAAGATCGTCCGAAGAGATTAGACCATGTCACCAGCAGCCGTAGCTCCACTGGTCAGCTCTCCTCCACATGCGGCGGAAACCCGATTCCGGGTACTCAAAGATGGATTCGGAGTCGAAATTACCGGGCTTGACTTGACCGCAGGCGTGACGGAGAAGAATTTCAGGTTGTTACAGGACGCTGTCACCAAGGTATGCTCATCGCCCCTTTGTGTTTCGGTCCAGCCCGGAGCGGTCAGCCACTACCTGGCCCACGCGCTGATGCACAAGGCAAACCCCCTAGTATGGAGTTATCGTGGTCCGCCGTACCAATCTGAATGACGAGACCCATATTGCCTTGGCGCGGATGTTTGGCGAACTGGATGACGTCAAACCATATATCCAGGCAGGGCGCAGAAACCGTCTCAAATACGATGAGCTCTTTGACGTGAGCAATGTGGAGGAGGACGGCTCCATCGTGGACCCGGAAAGCCCTCGAGGCCAGGCCAACAAGGTCAGAGCGTCCACCATTGCATGATCGACCCGCACGGGAACTGACTTGTACTACAGGGCAACTCTCTCTTCCACGTAGACTCCAGCTTCAACCCTCGTAGGGCAGGGTACTCGCTCTTGCTGGCACATGAGTTACCTCCTCCCGGAAATGGGGGTGGCACCGCATTCGCAGACACCAGACAAGCATACGAAGGGCTGGACCAGGAAACCAAAGACAGGCTTCACAACAGCGACTACATCGCCGCACACTCGATCCTGCATTCCAGGAAGCTGGCCGCCCCGGAGTTCTTTGCCTACATCAACCCGGAAGACCACCCCATGGGCCGCCACAAGCTCCTCCAGTACCACGAGAAGTCCGGGCGGATGAATCTCTATCTCGCCGCGCACATCCACCACATTGAAGGTCTGACCGAAGACGAGTCCAAGGCACTTCTCGACAGGCTCTTGGAGCATGCCACTCAGGACAGGTACGTCGTCGAGATCGAGTGGCATAGCCCGGGAGACCTCGTCATCTGGGACAACACCTGCACGATGCATCGAGCCCTGGGCGGGCCATATCAGGCAAGATACAGGCGGGATATGAGACGCGCGACCGTCCATGACTCTAGTGCTCAAGCGTGGGGGCTGAATGAACGCACGGATGTCAGGCAAGGTTTGCCATAGGTCTGGGGGAATGACTACATTTGTCAAATAGCGCAGGATCTCTGGTCTGTAATGTCGTTCAAGCGAGCTTGCGAGACTGTCGTCGGCGAGAGCGTGACTTCGGATCTAGCGCTGGGAGCCTACAATGAAATGAGGTTCAGGCAGGTCTCTGGACAACGTATGCATCGTGTGCCTAAGGCAGAAGCAGTTGCCAGTGAGGGTCGCGAGATACGAACGGTGTCGGGTCATGGAGATGCTGCAGCTGATCCCGCTGGTCTGCACGTATGTACGTTTTCGAATGAGGCTTCCGAGCCACATAGTAGTATTGCGGGCACGATATGGCTGAGACTTCGGACATGAGTGCCTTCGAGCGGGATGAAGAGTCAATCGCCTTGGCGCTTTGTTGCTGTCGTCGAATTTGCTATCATCGGGTGTCGGCTCAGGCAGCTCATGTTTCCGTCTACCGCCCAGCCCAGCGATGAAGTAAAGGACAATATTTGCTGGCCCGGGTGGAAACTATTTGCGAGAGCGGATAAGGGTGCTTGAATCTCTCTCGGGCCGGTGCAGTGGCCGATCCGCTCGCTCGATCTTCCCCGCCACTCCACGGGACCTTGAGAACCGTGGTTCGAAATGCAGTCACTCTGGTGTGCCATGTGTGATGCACTCACACACGGGCTGGGATAGTCCAGGGAAATTGAGGCTTTCTGGCAAACTGGTCGCATTTGACTGCTTTGGGCACTGCGCTCTTCCATGCCGGCCTATTGAACACACCAGGGCGAAAAGGAGTTCGCGCGACAACCTGCACAGGCTTGCACCAGCATAATAGACCCTAGCTACAGCTTGATTATGGCATGAATTGGGATTTCAGACCCTGGCCGACATTGAAATTGCTCCACAGATCTTCGATGGAATGGGCTTCACCAGTGGAACCTCGGGAAAGGTCCATGTCACCCAAGACAACGAGGGGTGCTTGGCAGTCGGGCTTGTGCGCGATAAGCGCTCACCGCGCGACGCAGCTTCGACGCCGGCCACCCAAAACATTGTCATGGCGGCCATTCAGAGTTAGGACGGTGCAGTCGGTCCCTTCTCGTTGAAGTTCGGCTCTGCTGATCCGCATTCGCGATATTCTGTACCGTCGAGGTTCCAGCAGCACAAGCGGAAATCCACTAAGATGCTGACCACAGCGAAGCCAAGACTACACCACTGCGCCGGGACAAGGTCGAGATCCCGAGCTGAGTCGCTGAGCTCCCCGAAGCTCGACAAGTGCGTGCCTGTGCCTGGGCGGACGTCTTGCTTGGAGCCCGCGGGTGGCGTGCTCCGACCCGGGCTCGACCCGCAGACTAAGGGGCGGCCTGGTTCCGATGGTACCCAGAGAGTCGGATCCTGCCAGCCGACCGGGGGCTACTGCTCCTCTAAGCAGTCCCAGCGATGATGGAACCACAGGGATCAGGAAGCCGCAGCAACGATAAGCTCCGTCTGGCACGCGGGAGCGCACATGGTTTACTGTATATATGCCTGTCCAAGCTTTCCAAGATGGACCACTTGCCTCGGCGACTCTTGGGACCAAGGCTCGACCGATCCCACGTACAGCAGCTGTACGCCACCTTCACGAACCGCCAGATCCACGCCGGCTATGATGGGTCCCAACGAAAAGAGCCGCCCTGACGACGTCAAGGTGCTGGGCGCCGAGACGGGCACCGCCACCAGCGGCAGCCTCCACGACGCCCCCGCCAGCGCCATCGAGGACGACAACAAGGCACTCGAGAGCCGTGTCACGCGCAAGATCGACATGCGCGTCGTGCCCATGCTGTGCGCCCTGTACCTCACAGCCTACCTCGATCGTACCAATATTGGCAACGCCCGCCTCCTGGGCCTCGAGGCCGAACTCAAGATGCCCTCAGACGGCTACAACACGGCCATTTGGGTTTTCTTCCTCACCTTCGTGGCCATGGAGGAACGCTGATACCCAAGCCCTTGCGCACGTCCAGTATGCTAATAATTCTGCAGGTGCCGTCGAACCTCGTGATGGCCCGCTCCAAGATTCCCCCGCACTGGTGGCTGGGCATCTCCATGACCCTGCTCGGCATCGTCACCATGTGCCAGGGCTTTGTGCGCAGCCCGGCGCCGCTCTACGTTTGCCGTGCCATCATGGGTATCTTCGAGGGCAGTCTCGGCCCGGCCGCCGCCCTCATGATGGGTTCCTACTACCGCAAGCACGAGTTCCCCTTACGCTATTGCTGCTTCACGACCAGTGCGCTTGTCGGCGCCTCCTTCAGCAGCGTGAGTCCTTTGTTGCGTCCCTTTGTTTTCCCCGCCGACGTGGTGGTGGTGGTGGTGATGGTGATCGTGTGGAGTGCTGACCATGAATGGCTCCACCCGCAGTTCCTAGCCTACGCCATCAGCTTCATGGATGACGTTCAGGGCATCAGCGCATGGCGGTGGATCTTCATCCTCGAGGGCCTGTTCAACATTGTTGTCGCCCTCTTCACCTTTGTGGTGCTGCCGCCCTTCCCGGCCGAGTCCACATTCCTTGCCCCTGAGGAGAAGCAACATCTCCTCGACCGCCTGTACCGCGAGCGGGGCGACGAGGCCGACACTCTGCGCGGCCAGCCTTGGATGTCCTTCCTCTTTGACTGGCAGACGTGGCTCAACATTGTCATGTACTTTGGCGCCGACATGTCCGCTGCCGCAATCTCGCAGTTCTCTCCGACGATTCTCAACGAATGTAAGTCATCAAATCACCAACCTCTAGCACTTTTCCCATCTGCCACCAATCTTGTTTTTTTTTACACACCCTTGAACCCTTGCTGACCGGTGTTGTACCCAAATCCTCTAGTGGGCTGGACCGCCAACGAGGCCAACCTGCGCAACGTGCCCATCTGGCTGGTGGGCGCCTTCTTCGCCGTGACGGCCAACATCCTGGCGGGCCGGCTCAAGATCCGCTTCCCCTTTATCCTCTTTGGCGCCACGCTCTGCACCATTGGCTGGGCGATCCAGCTGTCGCAGGCCAACCCGTCCGGGGTCCGCTACTTTGCCCTCTACTTCATCGCCACGGGCGCCTTCATCCAGCTGCCCATGTGCGTGGCCTGGCTGTCTGCCAACCTGGTCGGTCGGCCGCGCAAGGCCGTCGCCCACGCCCTGCAGATCGGGTTTGGCAACAGCGCAAACTTTGTGAGCGCAAACGTCTTCATCACCACCCAGCGGCCCAAATACCCGACGGGGTTCACCACGGGCCTGGTCATCACCGTCGTCGGGCTCGTGGCCGCGAGCGTGCTCGAGTACACCCTGTGGACCAAGAACAAGCAGGCGGACCGCAGGGAGGCAAAGGGGGAGCCAGAGACCAAGCTCGTGGGCAAGGATGGGGTCCGGTTTAGATACACCTTGTGAGGAGGGGAGAGGTCCCAAGAGCGGAAGGGTCTTTTCTTTCGTCGTATAGAGTTTTAGTATTTTGCAACAACAACAACAATACGAGACCACGACTTGCCAGGCCATCTCCAGTGTCTAAAGGGAAAATGGGAGATGCACTCCACGCCTCCATTCAGGCCAGTTTCGAGAGACTGCTCAAGCGCAACGGCAGATTTGCGGTCCGAGTTCTTTGGGCCATTGTAATGCCCCGTGAGCGAGTTATATTGTACGCCTGACCGGCATGCTCAGCGCTCTTACAGCTGGCAACAACGCCTCCTTATTGGACAGTGAAAATGCGTAAAGAAAATGACATGGTCGTCGAGCAGGTCCCCCCACAAGGCCTGCATCCACAAGCTTGATCCAACCAGCGATGCAAATGTGAAAAGCCTCAAGAAATATTTTCATCGTCGCGATGCACTTCCACCGTGAGGGCGTGCCCTTCGAGTTGAGCACTATGACGCATTTGACGAAAGTTGCTTTCACTTTAACGGCGGCTATGGAGACTAGAGTTCTCGCAAAAGGGCGGCGCGCGCTTGTCCTCATAGGTCTTCCGCTGAACTCAGATGTTGGTGTCAATCGAGTCGCTGTGGCAGTTTCAAGGTGAAAGAGCAGGAATTTGCCCATGAGGCGAGTAATCGCCAAACAACCCGACGTATAATTTTGTGCACAACTGGGGAGAAACATGCCCCTTACATGGGGTCAGCCCCGGATTGCGACAGACTTGTGGCGGAGCACACATGCGGCCGCAGCTTCTTCGCTTACCTGCCTACATGTTGCTCCCCCGCTATGCATGCATGTTGGTAGAAATAGCCTGGCGGAGGATGGTTGTCACTGGCCAGTAACGGCGCGCGGACCAAGACACTGCCCGCAAGGCAACCGTGGTTTCGCTGCCTCGAGCGGGGAGAAGGGGCGCAGTGCTGGGTGCTGATTCGACAGCCGACATTTGATCTTACGAAGCGTTGGGTGCATAACTTTGCGGATTGTCTTGCACGCAGTGGGCTTATAGAGTGCTGTGGAGCACGTCAGAGCCGCCTGCTGCCATCTTAGCGACCCTGGCGTCCAACTCATTCCTCTTCTTTCTTTTCAGGCTGATCATCATGGAAGGGGCCGCTGCTGCGTTCGGTCTCGGCGTCAACGTTCTGACGGTTCTCGACTACGGTGGCCGAGCAACCTCGTATGTGAAGCGAGCCGCCAACGGCCAAGAGCTCACAGAACTGCTCTACCGAGCCCAAGCAAGGGCCGAATTGCTTCAAAGTCGCATGCGGGGCATTTTAGAGGCACGGCCTTGGGCGAGGGAGACATTCTTGATGGCGCAGGAGGTCGAGGTCGTGCTAAAGCAGCTCCTCGGACTGGTTGACAGAATCCACGATGCTCGCCACAGCTCCGGGTTCGGCCGTCTCAAGGCCGCATTCGAGACGATGCAGTGTCAGGCGGAGCTGATCATGGTCTACGATCGGCTCGAGAGACTGCAAAGTCAGGCGATTCAGCAGTCGTGCTTGCTGGAAAGGTATACATCTGCCGCGACCACAAGTCTTTCACATATGTGCATCAGCTGATCGCGAGCATACAGTCAGAAAAGTCATGCGCTCCTAGAGGACTCGGCGGAATTGACCAGGCTCATGCGCGAGGAGCGGCGTCTGGAACAAACTTTTCGAAACAAGGCAGACTGCAGACCATACGAACTCCTCGGGGACGTGGTGTATGAAGATCACGTCCGCGTCGACCTGGGCATGGGCGACGTGATACGGGTCAGAGATACATATATCCTCCAGAGCCGAGAGGTATGTGAAGCTGGGTACCCCTGAATACCTCTCCCTAGCGCCGTGCTTGACGTTTTGTCGCAGACGACGGTGGGGTGGCTCAGCTGGAAGTTCTGCGAACAAAAGCGTCCAGGGTACCGGCAGCTTCAACACGGGGAATTTGAGCTCCTCGACGACGCCATGGACATCATAAACGATTCAGCATGGACATTTCGCGTGCGGCCGGGCATGAGGGTCAACATGGCGTTCGTTATGGGCACTTGGCACGGCATTAGTGCGACCAAATGCCTGCGTTGCCGAAAGCGATACCACCCGCGGATGGCGGGAAGAGAGTGGAAGCATTGGTACGTGGCTTGGTTCTTAGATTCGCAAGGGCAGGTGGCTAAGACCTTTCACTTCAGCCTTTCCTGCGGGCTTTGCCGCAAAGTTGTCCCCCCCGACGCCTACCCATACGAGCCGGAGGATGTCAGCGTCAGCATAAGCCCAAATGTTCTCCGAGATCACCGCACTACCAAGCAGGGTCGGGCCACTACGGGCTTTGAGCAAGAAGGAAACGCTGGAACAGACAACAACACAAAGGCCAGTCCTTCGGTTCGTGTCGCTGCCGACGAAGATGGACCCAGCTTAGATGTTATTTGCCGTCTAATGATCCTCAAATGGGAACCGATCTCACCAATCACGCACCGATACCTTCTCTGCCGCTGTGTTCTTCGGCTCAATACTCCATCTCGCCTCCACGGTAATTTCGAGATGACAATCCCCACCGCCGCCATCTGCCCAAGACACAACACTGGCGGTGTCAGGTGCAAGGACTACGGCGACCTCGTAAACAACCACGAGGACCCCTATTTTCACAAGTTTGGTGGCTACGACGTGTTTCGAGACCAGGTTGCTCGATGGGGCCTCGACGCCCTTGGCGGAGATGCTTTCATCACCCCACAGGAGAGGGCGAGAGCACGGCTGCGGGTTACTTCAATGACCCCAGAGGAGCTGAAGCAGTGCAACAGCGCCTTCGAGGAGTACCACTACGATTTGTCCTGTCACTTCGTGGCGAGCGGCGAGAGCAAAGCGGTGCCGCAAAGGTTTGCGAGCAGGTATCGCGAGGAAAAGTTGTCTCGCGAACAGGACGAGAGCCTTCGTCCCACATGGTCTGAAGTATGGGGCAAATCGGCCATGAAGAAAGAGCTCGACCAGCTCGTTGGTGGTGTCTGGGATGGAGTGCCACACTGGACGCCGAGGATCTGAGCCGTGGTTAGTTTTGTTTGAAGGTGAAGTCTCAGCAATCTGCAACATCATTCGACGGATTGCCATGAATGCATACATTGCTGCCACTGCTTCTGCAGCTCAGCCACTCGTAGTTGCGGTTTCAAAGCGGGAACGTCAAAACAGATTTGAGCACGCAAAGTTTGTGTCTTGAAGTGCTGTGCAGCATACCGGCTTTTGATGGGGTGTAGCAGCCTGAAGTCCACCTGGTTCCCTTCCTGCCTGCTTATCCTGACCAGCATGGAAAAGACGGCTACATTCAGGGTATGCATCAATGTTCTGACGGCTGTGCCGACTCCAGCAGGCCCCCAAGCGATTGTTCCTCATCGAGACGTGCCTGATGATAGCGGACATCCGTCAGCGACGTCACGACCCCTTGTGCACAGATGACGTCGTCGTTGATGCTTTGCCGGCGGCCGCCGCATTGAGTTCCCGCATAGGAATTGCTTCCGGTGACCCTCCCGAAGTAAGCAGGAAAGCCTCGCACGCGCCATTTTGCACTTGATGCTGCTCAACATGGCATTCTCTAAGCTCTGTGAACAAAGGGTTCCGAATTCGATATTGTGGCGGCGAGGACCCTGGTCATTGGGCTTGGCATGGCAAGGTTATGGGACGGGGGCTATGGTGGGGAAAAGGGGTGGGCTCATGTCGTCGAATGTGGGCGAGGTGCGAGATACATACCTAGCCACGATATCATACGTAATGAGTCAAGCTGGAAAAGGACCCAAGCATGTGACGTCTCTCGCTTGCAGCGTAGAGCTACAACGCCAGACAGGAAGGCATAGAGAGGTCGCTCACAAAGCCAGGCCACTTTGTCGGCCTCCCCACACAAGACACGCCTGGCCAGACCGTCACGATCTCTGCGATTAGCTCCGCCACTGATCGCGAGCGTAAGCCCAGATCTTCCTTTTGAGACGGCATGTGTGTGGCAATCATACCCGGGGTTTCCATCGTTGATCTTCTCTGATACAGGCCTTTCTGGCCCTGGGGCGCGGTGGTGACCTCGGCGTGGCGTGGTGCTGTTTGCATCGTTCGAGATGTTGTCAAGGACCCTTTCTCATGCCAAGAACAGTGACGCCACACGCGCTGGTGGACCGCACAGGGATTAAAGACTGCCAGAATAAGTAAGTAAGCGAGGAGGTGGATGCTCGCGTCACGCCAGGAATGGGCTAGAGCCGGGCCGCTTATTGTCCGATAGAGTTGTGTCAGCTGCAGGGTTAATTCTGACGACGTCGAGCTTGACAGCTCGGGTGCGGGGGGACTTTGTCGCTCCTTTGTTGGCCCTGGGTGCTCTAGCCCTGGCCCGTCCGCGGCGGAGGGCGTAGTCCTGACGTCGGGTTATAAACTACGGAAGTTCCCGCCTCGGGGGATCATGTCGTAATCAGTATGCGATGCGGAACTACATAAAGTGGGCCGGGGGCCGGGTAGGGTTGGTCTGGCATGTTTTGGGTGGCTCACGCCTGGCAAGTCCCGCGAGCCATTCACGGCATGTCTGATGCTTATGCCCTGGTCTCGGCCCGCGTCGGCACCAGAACAATACACAGCCGGACTCGTCGGGGGCACAAGGTCACGCAAAGGAATGGAACGGAATGCAACGTGCGAGAAACTGAAAGGTCGCTTCCTCTGCCAGGCCTTGAGGAAAGCGAGGAGCAGGACTGGCATCGCGGCTATGCCCCTGTGGGACATCGAGACAGCCACCCGCAGACAATGCGTGGCCATCGCCGTGATGATATAGCTGCCTGTTGGCGATGCGTCGCACGTGCCTGCGATTGCAACCTCGCTCAGGGATTCGAATGAACTTTACATCATAGCATCCAGCTTCCATGAAACATGGCATTTCTGCCAAGAGACATACAGCGCACTTCGAAAGGGCCTCGCGCAGAACAGGCTGTAAAACACGATCGACGACACCAGCAATGCGCGGGAGGAGCGGCCGCTTGGCCCGCCCCTGCTCTCGACCGACCGACCGTGGTTGCTTTCGGCACGGCTTGCCAAGACATGGCGTGGGTCAGTGGTGCCAGTGTGGCTCTGGGTTGGTCCGGCCACTCCCGTACTCTATCTCGTGTCTCAGCTCTACACAAAACCTTATCTGTAGCGCGGAATATACGAAATAGATCGTGACCATCCCTTTGTGGACCACGGTTCACTCCAGATCTTCGCTTCCGGGAAACTCGGCATGCGCTCGAACACCAAACTGTCGAGATCGCAAATCCCATCCTCCCCAGCGGTGCACCCTGTGAAGATTCGGCTGGAGCCCCGCAGAGCGGACTTGTGGACGAGTAGCACGTTGGTCGTTCTTGCATGGCAATATCTGACCCTCCGTATCATCGCAACAGAATGACAACCGCGCCAAATGCGGTAAACGTCACAATCCTGGCTCTCCGGATCAGTTTGAGTTTTGCCACGGCAAGTTCCATGACACATCACCATGGGAAGAAACCATGACATTGTCGACTGCTCGAACTTTGCACGCCGGGAACATGAAGTCTTACAGTGGTGCCGGCAGACAAGAACACTGAATACGTAATATCGTCCTGACGAAAACCACGGGAGGTCGATGCGGTGGACCCAATCATGGTGCCCGGGATGGCTTGACCACGGCAGAGACGCCGCGGGCGCCTCGTCATTCAAAGCAGACAGAAAAAATAAAGACTGGATTTCTCCATCCTCCCAGGGCATACGCTGCCAAAACTTTCGTCGACAGCCTTGCATTCTACAATACTCCGACAATTACCTAACAAGGCATTCGTCAGGATGAGGCTTTTCAGCACCCTCCTGCATATCACGGCGGCAATAAGCGGGGATTCAGCACGGGGTAGCAGTGCTGCTCTCCAAGACCTCGTCGTAGGCCTGCAGAATGTCGACAGCGCCATCACCAATGCTGCCAAGGTCGTTGGTGGTATCGGCAGCAACCCGCCAAGTCTGCCTGGTGCGATACCGGTACGCCCGACTTGCCCCTTTCCCCATCCACCGACAATAATAGTGGAACAGCCTGCTAACACGAGATCGTTGTCGTCCGTGGAAACCAGAACATCCGGGCAAGCGTGTCCGACATCGCGACCACGGTCGCTGCCCTGCCTGTCCCAGCCGTCGGCAGTCTGCATGACCTCCCTGGCGCCGATCACGAGTCCCTCTGCTTTTTGACTACAAAGGTCAACCACTCCCAGAACAAATTTATATCAGCTGCCCAGTCTCTCGTGGCTCGGGCTCCTGTCGTCCGCGGCCCCGTGAACGAAGTGTTAAAGTCGGCGGGAGATGCCGTGGCTAGCTGGATCAAAGCTATATCAGCCGCAGGCTTGGACTGCAGCAAGCAGCCTTCATCTTCTCATGTCCTCCCCCGACAGGTCGGCCTGCCTGGTGCCAGTTCTTCGTCGATCCGCCTTCCCAGCAGCGCCGCTTCGGTAGTCAACAGCTTAACTAGCAGCGCCTCTCCGACGATTCCAACACCTAGCAGCGCTTCCTCGATACTTGGCGTTACTAGTACCGCTTCCTCGATAGCTGGCATTTCCAGTACCGCTTCCTCGATAGCTGGCATTTCCAGTGCTGCTTCCTCGATAGTTGGCTCTAGCAGCATCACTTCGTCACTGGAGGAGGGCGTGTCTAGTAGCATCCCTTCGACCACTGAGGCTCTTCTTAGTAGCGTCTCCTCGACAGCTGGAGCGGACGTTTCTAGCGCATCTTCGGCAATCGAGGGAGAATTGACTAGCGCAAGTTCGGCAGGTGAAGGACTTTCTAGCAGTATCCCGTCAACAACTGAAGTCCTCACGAGCGCAAGCTCGTCAATTCAGAGCGAGATTTCTAGTCTCACTTCGACAGCTGAGAGCGAATTGACTAGCGCAATCTCGACGGTTGAAGGACTCTCTAGCAGTACCCCTTCAACTACTGAAGAACTTCCCAGCGCCAGTTCAACAATCGACGGCGATGTTTCCAGTCTCACTTCGACAGTTGGGGGGGAGTTGACTAGCGCAGCGTCGACTATTGAAGGACTTTCTAGCAGTATCCCGCCGACAACTAGCGATATTCCTAGTCTCACGTCGACAATTGAAGACCTTCCTAGTAGCATCACCTCGACGATTAACGACCTCCCTAGTACTATTTCTTCTACTATCGACGTCTCTTCGAGCCTCTCTTCTATTACTGAAGATCTACCAACCAGCCTTTCTTCTACTATCGACCTCTCTTCGAGTCTTTCTTCCATTACCGACGATCTACCTACCAGCCTTTCATCTATTACCGATCTGCCTTCTAGCCTTTCTTCCCTTACGGATAATGTACCTACAAGCATTTCATCTATTACCGACCTCTCTTCGAGCCTTTCTTCTATTACAGATGATCTACCTACTAGCTTTTCTTCCATTACTGAAGATCTCCCTACTAGTCTTTCATCTATAACTGAAGATCTACCTACGACCCTTTCTTCTATTACAGACGATCTTCCTACTAGCCTTTCATCTATTACCGACCTCCCTACGAGCCTTTCTTCCCTTACGAATGATCTACCTACTAGCCTTTCTTCTATTACAGACGATCTTCCTACTAGCCTTTCTTCTATTACGGACGACCTACCTACTAGCCTTTCTTCTATAACTGAAGATCTACCTACAAGCGTCTCTTCTATTACTGACCTCCCTTCAAGCCTTTCTTCCATTACCGATCTCCCTACGAGCCTTTCCTCACTTATAGACGATCTTCCTACTACCCTTTCTACTGCCCTTTCCCCGATTCCTAGCCTTTCTACAAGCCTTGAGTCGATCACCGACCTTCCTACCAGTATCTCTTCCCTTCCTGACCTTCCTACGAGTCTTACTTCAATTATCGATGGCCTTTCTACTAGTCTATCTTCAGTCCCCGACCTCCCCACTAGTTTCTCTTCAATCCCCGATCTGCCTACTAGTTTCTCTTCAATCCCGGACCTGCCTACTAGTCTTTCTTCGATCATCGACCTACCTACCAGCCTTTCTTCGATTCTCGATGCTACCTCAATTATCGACAACCTTCCAACCAGTATTTCGTCTAATATCGAACTACCTACCAGCCTTTCTTCGATCATTGACCTACCTACCAGCCTTTCTTCAATTCCTGATCTACCTACTAGCCTTTCGTCAATTCTCGACGCTACCTCAATTATCGACAACCTGCCTACTAGCCTTACTTCGATTCCTGATCTACCCACCAGCCTTTCCTCGGTTCTCAGCGCTACGTCAATCATTGATAACCTCCCTACTAGCCTTTCTTCGATTCCGGACCTACCTACTAGTCTTTCTTCGATTCTCGGCGCCACGTCAATCATCGATAACCTCCCTACAACCCTGTCTTCGATTCCCAGCCTACCTATAAGTTTGTCTTCGATTCTCGGTGCTACATCCCTCATCGACGACCTGCCAACAAGTTTGTCTTCGATCCTCGGCGCCACGTCAGTTATCGACGACCTGCCCACTAGCCTTTCTTCGATTCTAGGCGCTACATCCCTGATCGACAACCTGCCTACTAGCCTTTCTTCGATCCTCGGCGCCACATCAATTATAGACGATCTCCCTACTGGTATTTCGTCCACTCTCGAACTCCCTACGAGCTTGTCTTCGATTCCCAACCTTCCGACCAGTCTTTCTTCAGTTCTCGGCGTAACATCAATTATCGATGACCTCCCAACAGGCGTTTCTTCAAGGATTAGTAGCCTCCCTACTGGCTTTTCTTTGATTCCCGACCTGCCCACCAGCCTTTCCTCTATCTCCGATCTCCCTACCAGCATTTCTTCGATTCTCAGTGCAACATCAATTATCGACAACCTTCCTACAAGCATTTCGTCCAATGTTGAACTACCTACCAGCCTGACTTCAATAATCAGTACCCTCCCTACTAGTCTTTCTTCAATCCTCGACGTTACTTCGATCATCAGCAGCCTCCCAACTAGCGGCACCTCAATTATCGACGACCTTCCTACCGGCATTTCTTCGATACTTGGCACCCCCGGAGCGTCCTTATCCAGCAGCATCCCAGGGATTCCGTCGACTATAGATCTCCCTGATACTACTTCCCCTACAGGCGGGTCTGGTCCTACTATCCCCACTGGGCTACCCATTGAGTCTTCATCTGGGCTCCCTGTTGGGTCTTCATCTGGGCTCCCTGTTGGGTCTTCATCTGGACTCCCTGTTGGATCTTCATCTGGACTCCCTGTTGGATCTTCATCTGGACTCCCTGTTGGATCTTCCTCAGCATCCAATCCAGGCAATGGTGGTTCTCCATCGACCAATAGCTCCCCTGGTGCTCCGTCGACCAGCGGGTTCGGCGGTGCCTTCCCTCCAGGTGCATCCTCGACCCCAATCGCTTCGACTGGAAACCCTCTACCTACTGGTCTTCCAGGGGGAAGCCCTACGAATGGAAGCCCTCCCGGCGGAACCTCGTCAGCTAGCGGGTCCGGCGGCGCTTTCCCACCGGGCGTGTCTTCATCCCCAATTGCTTCAACTGGCAACCTTCTACCCACTGGTCTTCCGGGACCAGGTCCCACGAATGGAAATCCTCCCGGCGGAACCTCACCAACTGGCGGCTTCGGCGGTGCTTTCCCCACCGGAGGCGTCCCTTCTAACCCAAGCGCCCCAGGTGGCAGTCCTCCTGACTCTCCAGGGGTAGGTCCGACGAACGGGAATGGCGACGGCAGCGGTACTCCGACTACTGACCCCTTTGGCGGTGCTTTCCCTTCTGCGGGTGCTTCCTCGTTGGCCGGAGTGCCGCCAGGGTTCAGCACTGGCGCGGTTCTGCCTACAGCTATCCCCGACCCCGGCGATGGGAATGGCAACAATTTTGGGACCCCTGGGCCTGGCGATGTTGGCGGGATTCCCGGCAACGGCGGCAACAACGGCGGCAGCAGCCCTGGGACCGGCGATAATGGTGGAATTCCTGGTGTCCCTGGTGGAAGTCCGGGAACTGGCAACAATAATGAGAGTCCTGGAGGCGGCGGCAATGGCGTTAATCCCGGGACCGGCAATAACGGGGCCAGCCCCGGTTCTGGAAATGTTGGTGTGAGTCCTGGAATCGGCAATAATCCTGGAGCACCTGGAAATGGCGGTAACGGTGTCAATCCTGGAACTGGGGATAATCCTGGGGCCCCCGAAGCTGGCGGTGATGGCGTCAGTCCCGGAACCGGTGATAATGGAGGGATCCCTGGTAACCCTGGTGGGATCCCAGGAATTGATAATGAAGGCAGCAGTCCTGGAACTGGGATTCCTGGGACCGACAACGGCGGATTTCCAGGAAGCGGCGCTGGGAATGATGAGTTTGGCTCCGGGCAGAACCCGGCCTCTTCTCCTGGCTCCGGAGATGATATCCCTGGGAATGCGAATCCAGGCTCTGGCGGCCAAGGTAATGCTGCGCCTGGATCGGCTGGCGGGCCTGGAAACGGCTCAGGTGGCGCCGCGGGATCTCCAAGTGGCGCCGGGCCATCCAACAATCCTGCTGGGCCTATCGATGGCCCAACGGGTACCGGGTCTGGTTCCCCAACGGCCAGCAGCGATGCCCCAAGTTCAGGCATTTCTGGCTCTCCTAGCGCCGGCATCAACCCCTTCCCAGGCGCACTCAACTGCTACTGTGTTCCTGATCCCGCCCCGCCTACCCCCTCCTCCGCCTCCTCGTCCATTTCCAGCTCTTCTACTGTGACCAGCTCCTCGTCACTCACTAGCTCTTCCTCCGTCTCCTTGTCGGCCAGTAGCAGTTCCTCGCGTCCGACGATCACTGGCTTTCCACCACCAGGGGCGACCCCTAGCCCAGGCGCGATGTATCTGAGTTGCTACTGTGTCCCTCTCCAGTAGTCGACTTTCTCAATTGTCTTGTGTTTTTAGCTCTCCTGCGGTTCAAAAGTTTTCTCAGATTCCCGGAACAGCACCACTGTTCATTTTTCACTCCATTCTGTTTTCATGTTCTTTCCATCTTATATCATCTTCTTGAGAACGGAACCCTGCCTGTATAATTTGAAATACGAACCAAAAGCTGGACGAGTATAGCATTCTTACAAAACAAAAGTAGTACAATGTTCGAGTTCAAGTGATTGGTTTCAGTATATCGCTGTACACAGGTGAAAGTGTGGAAAGTGTGGAGACAGCGCGATTGGGCTAGACGGAAAGTTACCTCTGCCTTAGGAGCTGTAAGACATCTTGATACTGGATGCCACGCCGTCTTTGGTGATTCATGTTCAGAAATAGTCATTACTCTTCGGCGCCCAAATCAAAGCATACACCAGACCCGCAAACAACTCGCCCCCCAGGCTGCGTTCTGTATGTGGATAGACCAGATCCAGACTCAATCCACCTAGCATGCCCGCTTGAACACTGCCGATGTAGCAATACGCCAATATAAAACCTCCGGATCCTAGAACAGGATGTGACCAAAGTCCATTCCGTACAGATCCATCAGCGAGAACTCAAACATCGCGTCGTCAGCAGGGCCCCTCCACTCCACCAAGACCTCGGAGCCCGCCGTCCCACCAGCCGCATCCGCCGGCAGCATCCCGCACCCAGCACTTGTAATTGGAACAGCCATTCCCGTACCCGAGTCGCAGACGTGGTCGAGCAGCACCATGTTCTCACAAAACCACCGCGGGAACGGGAACAACTCCCTGCTGGCCGGCGGCCCACCACATGACCTATGCACCTCCGCTTCTACCTCTACCTCCCCCTCTCCCCCTTCTTCTTCACTGTTGGCACGCAGTCCCGCGGCCCCCGCAGAGTTCGAGCTATCATGACTCGCCTGCAGCCCCGAGATCATCCGCACCACGGTCTCCGCGTCGCCATACGTGGGCCTGAGGTCCCGCATCACGCTGCGCAGCGTATCCAGCTCGCCGTTCCTCCTCGCCTTCCAAATGGTTTCGGCATCGTCGCCCGCAAGACAGCTACCAGCACCATGCAGACCATGGGGAGGAGCGACATGGTGTATCAGCGGCAGCGCCAGCACGAGGCAGAAGCTCCCTGTCTGCCAGGGCAGGCGCGCCGCGTCGTTGCGCGCGAGCATCTCGTCGAGCAGGGCGACGGCGCAGGACGAGGCGAGGAGGGACGTGGTGGAGAATGCTCTTCTAGGGGGCGTCGGCGTCGGCGGCGGCGGCGGCGGTGGGAAACCAGCTTCTGCTCTTGGGGGTGTGTGTGTCGGGCGCACGGTTTCGAGGTACACTATTGAGACGAAGTACAGGATCATCAGCTCTGACACTGGGCGGCTGTATGCTTGACGCTGGTGTTGTTGCTGTTGTCGTTGCGCTTCCATCGGGCAGTCAAAGAGGACAAGTTCGTCGGGCAGGCTTTGAAGCCATGCTTGTAGCTCCTTGGTGATCTTATCGACGTGTTGCTGTGCCGATGTGGCTGGCGGCCCTGCTTGTGGGCCAGGTTGTGCTTGCTGCTGCTGCTTCTGCTGCTGCTGGAGGGCCACGACCTTGCCCATGATGATGTACAGCTTGGTTGTCTCGAGAAAGACCAGCGCGTGCAGGCGGTCGGCAGGGGTGAGGATGACAAAGTCGTCTAGTGTGGGCAAGGACACGTCGTATCCCGCGGCATGGAGGAGGAGGTATGGCCGGCGGCCACAGGCAGACTGGAAAATGTCACAGTTCTGTGTGGTTTGTGGGAGTTAGGGTGTTCATCCTATGCGACGGTCTTATCTTCTTCAAAAGCCACAGATCAGTGATTACTCACATGCAGAAACCAGAATATCCGCCTCCAGCCACCCGCTCTCCGCCTCGCCACCTCCTCTGACTCTTGACCACCGCCGGCAGCATACGCGCCCCGCCGGTGTAGTCCCATCAGCAGCATCTGCCGAATCGCAATATCAGTCCAATGCCCAGGCCCATTCAGTAGCTCGCCCGTGCCAGCTGCACCCGTCGCGGACGGCGATGTCGGGACAGAACCATGGCACGAGATGAGACACAGCGCCTTGAGCATGTTGAGGCGGTCCGTCTCGAAGCCGAGCGTGATGAGAACTTTGAGGCGCTCGTAGCCCTCCCGGAGGAAGGTAGTGTGCGAAGGGTGGTGCATGGCGGCCATACCCACCAAGGCGGCGGCTTTCAGAAGGATGATTGGTGGTGTGGTCTCAGCCGCGATACTGCTGCCATCGCCATCATGTGCCGTGGCCTGGATTTCATGACGATCTACTACTGGGCAATGGTAGTAGACCTGGTTCAAGTAGGCGTCTGTCCATGCGTGCTGGAGTGTCGGCCGAGGCAGGACGTGTGCCTGGATGGAAGCAAAGATGTGACCTCGCCAATCAGGCGCTGCGAGGATGCCATTCTCGGTGGACGTAGAGATGAGCTCTGCATGGGGTCCATAATACTCGGTTGCACAGTGGCCGATGGTGTCGGCCGTGGTGTCCTGCAGGACAGGACTGGAGGAGACGAAGGCGGTAGGGCGGGGAGTGACGGGATTCGAACTGGGCCGGGACGTGTGTTGGCTTTCGGTGTGCGACAGGCTTTGCCGCCCAGCAGTCACGCTGCGCCTGCCGTCAATTTGGAATCCTGTTGAGGTTGTGGTCCGTCGCGTCTTCTTGCGGACGCCATCGCGGGGGCTATGTGCCAGACTTGTCAGCTGTCAAACATGCCAGAGAAGACACGCCAGGATGAAGAGCGAGACACGAACACGCATGGCTGGCCGGAGCGTCGGCAGTGGCGGCACGGGCCGTCCGGGTGTGCCTGGAGATCGCACTTGACCTGTAGACACGTCAGCGAGTAAGGCAGCCGTCTGACCAGAGCCAGCCAGGGGTAGACGTACCTTGCGAGAGTGGCACTCGGTACAGACGACGTGTGCGCGCGGGCGCAGGGGCATCTTGATGCTGGACCCGGCCGTGCGCGTCGAGGCTCTGGTCGTCGGGTGTGCTGATGTGAGCTGTGTCCTACTGTTGACGGGAAAGGCACGCTCGTGGACGACTCTGCCGAATGCCGACTACCGACGCCTGCAGGTTTCACTTCGTCAGCAGCCAACATTGCGCCATTACATTTGCTCCCCCCCAGAACCAGGGTGCTCCGATCTGCAGCCTCCGCATCCTCCACCCAGATCACGCCCATACCCAACTAAGCACAACTGCTGTGGCAGTGGAAACTGTACGCTCTGGATGGATGGGAGTTTCAGGCAATTCGTTACTCTTGACAATATCTATCATCAGATTGTGTGCTCTCGCGACAATGCTATTATGCAGAGATTTGAACGCCGATACCACGAAGAAGATGCAAATGTTGTATCTTGAGTCGGGTTCACGATGAGGACGACATCTTCATGAACGGAACCCCTGTTGTGTAATGCTCGGCAGGAGTTGGCTCGCCCCGCCGTCCCGCAAAGGCTCGGCACGTACGTGCCCACCCGTGCATCTGCCATGAGCCGACTACCGAGCGCCTCTCCCAAGTGCCGAAGGCCGGCGATCAAGGGGTTCCGGGGTTGATATAAAGCGATTCGAGACTTTATTCTTCCCCGGACTCCTTGCAAGTCAACAAGCAGACACATAGACAAGCACAGCTCATTCACAGACAAAAACACCTAGCAACCGATTCAACATGGCCTCACCTTTGACCACCACCACGCTGCCCGTCCCTCCTGGGGCCGTCGCAAAGGTCAGCATCATCGACCTCGAGAGCCGGGGCCATGGCATGCCCTACTCCATGCTCCTCACACCCCCCTGGGAGGGCCTTGATGTCCTCAACAACTTCCCCGACTTTTGCTTCCTGGTGGAAAGCTCCGCGGGCGAGAAGCTGTTGTTCGACCTAGGCTTCCCGCTGGACATCGACTCGTTCCCACCAGTCGTCAGCAACATGTGGAAGAACTCGGGTGTGGTCCTCGACATGAAGAAGGATGCGGCAGGCATTCTGAAAGAGCACGGGGTTGCACTGGAGGATATCGGCGCCGTAGTGTGGAGGTATGTTAGGTCTTTACGATCCAAAGGGGGGATGGCGACTAGTCTACACGTGATGTTGCTGTGTCCCCGGGACGGGTCAAAATACTGATGGTCAATTTCACAACAGTCATCACCACTCCGACCACATCGGCGACATCAGGACGTTTCCCAAGTCCACTGACCTTGTTGTCGGGCCAGGGTTCAAGAAGGCGTTCTTCACCGTCTTCCCCACCAACCCCTTGTCTGAGCTCCACGAGAGTTATTTCGAGTAGGCATTCTCCTTCCTCAGCCTTTATGCAGCAGAAAGAAGCTTCACAAGTACATGCAGTCTTGGAACCTTCTTACTAACAAGAGGCGCTCTCCCACTCACCAGAGGCCGCACCCTCCGCGAGATAGACTTTAGCGACGCATCCCGCACTCTCACCATCGGCGCCTTCCGCGCGTACGACTTCTTCGGCGACGGGTCGTTCTATCTGCTGGATGCACCCGGGCACGACCACGGGCACCTGGCCGGTCTGGCGCGCACCACGTCCAGCAGCGCGACGGCGGCGGGCGATGGCGACAAGGACACATTCATCTTCATGGCGGGCGACCTGTGTCATAACGCCGCGGAGCTACGGCCGAGCGTCCACCTGCCGCTGCCCGAGGGCCACCACGAGGAGCATGGCAGCAACGACAGCGGCACGTGGAGCGCAGCACACGAGGATAACAAAGATTCGCGTCAATACCCGTCGCTGTCACCATGTATAACGACCGCGCTCATCTCGGCAATCAAGCAGAAGCAGCTCCAGCGCGGCCGCAGGGTGGACGAGCCGTTCTTTGACGCGGCGCTGTACGTCGACGCGGACCTGGCCGCGCAGTCGATCCGGGACGCGCAGGTCGCCGACGCGGACGGGAACGTGTTTGTCGTCATGGCGCATGATGCTACCATCTACAGCGCCGACGGCGGCGATGGTGGAGAGAAGAGAAGCAAGGTCGAGTTCTTCCCGGCGTGGGCGAATGACTGGAAGAAGAAGGGGTGGAAGGAGGGCGTGATGTGGGATTTCCTGGGACAGATGCCCGTCTGACGATCGGCGTCAGGGAGCTTTCTTACACGAAATGCTCAAAGTGCATGGCACGAGGAGATCGGTTGAAGGTGTAGGAACGCGTAGATGACAACAGTGTGTACTTGATAGATGGCAGAGGACATTAGATCAACCAAGTCGGACCTTAGTACCTGTCTGTCGGACGTCAAACGTGGCCTTGAAACGTCTGTTCAGTCAGCAGATTCAACATGGTCCTTATTGGAGCGCGGTAGCGTTGTTCATGTGCTGACTTTTAATGTGGCGTGATGCAGTGGTGTGGTGGCGTGGTGTCAGTCGTGCCTCGGGACATCCCGGCTGCGAAGTGCAATGCGCATAGGCGGGCATCTTACAATCAAGCCTTGGCATGCCGTTGCGTGTCAGCCGACTCTCTGAGGCACAGGAAATGAGCTGACACGGGGTAATGCACGTTGAGATCACCAACTACTGTGTGCATCAGGCAGGTCGGGACGCTTCGCAACCGAACGAGTACTAACTTATAAGACGCGAACTGTCCTTGCTGCCACTTCTCTCACATAACATACAACACTCCAAACAAATAACCAGCGAAGCCCACTTCACACATATACCTTGGTCGAGGCTCTGAAAGAAATGACGACAAGCTCGTTCGGATCACCCCTCCCACGTTTCGACTTCACCAACACGCCCTTTCTGGGCCGCCGGGCCGCGGCAACCGCCGCGGCCAGGACAAGCCCTGCGTCGTCGCTCGTCATCGCGTCAGTCGCAGCCCTTGGTCGGTCTTTTCCCCGTGATGCTATCGCTAAGTGTCCTCTTGCTAGTCAAAGAGCCGTGCTAATGTGTCTGCCTCACTCTAGCCGCGTATACATTTGTTGCGGAGTCAACTTCGGCATTGGCTCCCCGGGCTTCATATGCACAGTGGTTGTCAATTAGCAGCGGAAGAACGGCGCATTCAACCTCCCCTACCCCGCCAAGTTCGAAAAAAGAAGGCAGTCTGCTGAAGAAGTCAGGTGGCACCTATGTACCAGCAGTCTAACGTGGGATAGATGTCTGACTGTCTTGCAAGGCAGTCACGCGGGGTGGCCTACTGAAGACAGTATCCGAAGGATCGATGCACCAACCTGGCAAGCCGCCGTGCTCCCACTGAGCGTAAGCGCAAGTAGCTGGGAAAATAGATAAAAAAGCACACAACCATGTTTCTATACTGTTTAGCAGTGCAGGGCTATACGTCCTATGGCGTTACAAAGCCCTGTACCTGTCTCTTCTTCTGACGCTGTGGCGAGGCCGAGGGGCGCCTTTCAATGTCACACCAGAGTTTGTGCTCCCGTGGCTTATGAAGCGTGTCGATTTAGGAAATGGGTTTATCTTATTCAACATCATGATTAGGCAGGTCGTCACAGAAACCGTGCAAGGCTCGCAAGACAGCTGGGGTCGATCTGAAAATGGCAATTGACGGCTTACGCAGGCGCTCTGGCTCATGTCTGCCTGGATACCAGCCATTGCCTTGCATCTGGACGCCTCACGACCATGTGAGCTACCCCCCACGCCAAGCAGTGATTCACGTTCTTCTTATCAGTGCCCGGCCTCGGCTTCTCGTGTCTGGCTTTCCACCATGCTGCTCTCCATCATCTCGTCCCCACCCAAACAAACCATGGCAGCAACCGTTGGTATCGTCACTAGCGCGCTGAGCGTGGCTGCGCTTTTCAACAATACTGTCGACACGTTTGGGTATATCCAGCTCGGCCGCAACTTCGAACCCGACTTCACCCAGTGCAAGACGACGCTCGCGATTGCCCAGTGGCGCCTGGACCGCTGGGCACAATCAGTGCATCTCTACGAGGACCCGCGATTCATGGTTGACTCGCCCGCAGATGAGCAAGCGAAGCTCATACACGCTGTCCTGATGAGCATTGATGCTCTGTTTCTAGACACCCGCAAGGCTTCTAAGCGCTGTGAGCAGGCACTGACGACAAGAGGGGATGAACTCGTCCCTTGCACTGTGGATACACACGTGGACAAGACGGGCCGGAAAACGCATGACTGGCTCTCAAAAGTCACGGCTAGCCGAGGAGGACGAGGCGCCAATCTCATGGACAAGACATTTTGGGCTATATACGACGCCAAGAATTTCGACAAACTGATAGTAGACCTCACGGGGCTCATTGACGGCCTAGAGAAGTTATCCTCTACGCATTTTATTCCAGTCCGTCGCCACATCGTCTCGCGTGAGATCGAGGAGATGGAAAGTGACGAGGAGAACGAGGATGACACGACTGCAAGCTTGAGGTTGTTGCAAGGCGCTGCGAGCAACGTCGACGCGGTCCTGCAAGAAGTGGTCACGGCCAAGATTGAGACGCTGAGCGACGGCCACAATCGCATTGGGGAGCTGACGGCCACAAATGAGGCGAGAGTACAGAATGGAGATCAGTGGACTGACCGGGGACTGGCATCCGCTGGCAAAGCCTCCGGTTTGAGAACATCAACGAAGAACGAGGTGAAAAAGGCAAATCTGGCAGGACGTTCTAGACTACTAGTCGGAACGAGTTATGGTGGTTCGGGTTTTTGGGATGAGAAACCAGCAAAGGGTTCTTGTAATTCATCACGATGCACATGCGGAAACTGCTGAAACTGCATCTCAACGAGCAGCTCAAGGAAGCACAGAGGTTGGGGAAGTTTGGAGATTGATATTCGTTATTTTCTAGCCCCCACAACACATCATATATTGCGCCTTTGCAAGGCATTTTCAAGAGTGGCTGTGAGTGCGGGAGCCACCTTACACCTGCAGCACTGATAGCGGCCTAATCCATGGGAAGGAGGGGTTCGTGTGCAGCTGATTGGATATATCTGCGGTTTGCAAGGCACCCTTGCAACATATGCCTGCTCAGTGTGCTTTTTGATGTTATCAGAGAGAGCCTTGGGATATGACTAAGACGGTGTCATGCGCCACTGAGCAGAGCGCAGAGCCTTGCTTTCCTTCTTCTTCTTTTCTAATCCTTCTTCTTCCATTCCATCCTTCTCCGTCCTCCTTCCCCGTCCGGTCATTTCGGAGGCGACAAACAATGCCAAGCAAGGGAGCGGCAAAGATAAACTCCGCCGGAGGCGTGACTGCCAGCGGCAACTCGAAAGTCCATATCGGCGACAATTATCACATTCGCAATCATGACAGCACGCCCGAACCGTATGGGGCGAGGCTGCGAGCTGACCTGTTGCAAAGCTTGCGAACCTGTCACTACAGAGAACGCAAAGATCGGAATCCAGAGCGAGCACAAGGGACGTGCGAGTGGTTCACAGCCCATCAACTATTCCGTCGCTGGCTGGCACAAAGCTCCGCGCTGCTATGGGTTTCGGCAGATCCAGGATGTGGCAAATCTGTCCTTACGAGGCACCTAGTGGACAATGTGCTCCCTAGCGACAAAGAAACATTATGCTACTTCTTCTTCAAGGACGATTTTGAGGACCAGAAGACAATGGAGGGTGCACTATGCTGCATACTACACCAGCTGTTTACTCAAAGACCAGGGCTCATGACGGACAATATTCTCAAACGTGTTCGTGAAGCGGGGTCCCGACTTCTCATCTCGTTTGACGCGCTCTGGGATATCCTTATAGAAGCGGCTCACCACCATCAAACCACAAGCCCCGAGAAATCGAGCATTGTGTGCGTCATGGATGCCTTGGACGAGTGCAGTAATGGAACTCTGCTCATGCAGGCTTTAACCAAACCACACACGACTACGCGCATTCCGGGCCTCAAGTTCCTTATCACCAGCCGTCCGTACGGCCAGATGCGAGCGGGTTTTCAAGGGCTTGGGCACATCCATCCTACAATTCACTTGAGCGGAGAAAGCGAAGAGGAGGTAAATAAGATCGAACGCGAAATTGCCATTGTCATCCAGCAACGCATTGAACAGATAGGGCAACGATTCAGCCTTCCTGCTGCTCTTCGAAGGGAGTTGGCCACCAAAATGTCCAACATTAAGAATCGGACCTATCTCTGGGTGTACCTCGTCTTTGCCGACTTGGAAGAGTCCGACAAACTTAGCCTTGACGATTTTCGCCGCACAATCGATAGAATTCCCCCGGGCATTAATGAGGCATACGACAAGATTCTACGGAGAAGCGGCCAAGTCGACAAGGTCAGGCAGATCCTCCATCTTGTCCTCGCAGCGGAGAAGCCACTACATTTGCGCGAAATGGCTACAGCATTGGCGTTTCGAAGCGAGTCGCATCGGACGTTTAGTGAACTTGAGAAAGACGTCCTCTCAACAGACCAGATCAAAGTCGCAATAAGAGAAGCTTGTGGATTATTCGTCATTGTTATTGATGACCACGTCTTCCTCATGCATCAGACAGCCAAAGAGTTCTTACTTCGGCCGAAGAACACATCGACAAGAAAGCGTGCATATGACCTAACATGGCATCGCTCGTTCGACATGAGGGATTCGCACAATCTCCTCGCCGAGACATGCATCAACTATCTCATGTTGATCGATGCTGAGCCACCGCACTCGTATATCCCTGCGTTTCGGTCTTGGCGTGACATGAGCCGCCACAAGCTGGAACTGCTGGACTACGCTGCGTTGAACTGGACGATACATTTTCGCCGAGCGCAGAGAAAGATTAAGGATAGTTTAGTGCACTGGGCATATATGCTTTGCCAGGCCGAGGGGCGCGCCTGCCAGGTCTGGCTCGGGCTTTTTGCGGACAGTCACCCCGATGCATCGAAGTTCCGCGAACGAGTACTGTCAGTAATCATCGTGCAAACTCATCCACAAACCCCTGTGAAACCTCATCCACAAGCCCCTGTGAAACCTCATCCTCTTCTTCTTGCAGGCTTTTTGGGGCTGACACGCCTGCTGCGCCCAATCTTCTTGTCTGGCTCGAAATCGCCCGAGGAACGGACGATGCCAGACGGAAGAACGTCCCTCTCATGGGCTAGTGAAAAGGGCTATATTGATTTCGTTGAAGAGCTCCTGAAGCAGGTCCGCGAGCGCCAGTCTTTCTGGCGGAAACATTTCCGAAGGCTTGCCATAGTTAACTTTGCAGACAAGGAGGACAGAACTCCGCTGTGGCATGCTGCAGCGAATCGACAATGGGAAGTGGTCGACGTGTTGCTCCAAAATGGCGCCAAAGTCAACGTTGCCGACAAATACGGTGTGACTGCTCTATCCTGGGCCGACCATCACGGCGACGACAGAACTGCTGCCCTTTTGACGAGCCACGGCGCACGACTCCCCGATTTCAAAGCCAAGTTTCGGGAGATTATGCGCAAAGACGGAGTCGCACCACTTATCAAAGCGGCTTCCCAAGGTCGTGAGAGCATCGTCAGGCTGTTGGTGGAGCAGGGTGCCGACCTTGAATCAAGAGATCACAACTCGCGAACAGCGTTGATGTGGGCATCACACAATGGCCACATGGACACAGTCGCGTTACTTGTGGATAACGGCAGTGAGATTGATGCTCATGACAAGTATGGCTTTACAGCACTCTTTTGCGCCGTGGAAGACAACCATGTAGGGGCTGCGGGAGCGCTTATCGACCGTGGCGCACAAGTGTTGTCAAAAAAGTTTCCATTATCCCTTCAGGTACACGCCGCCGCACTTGGTCGCACAGCGATCTTACAACTTGCTCTCGATCGTGATGGTCTCGCAGATGAGACCGATCCGTATGGTGAGCACAAAGGTTTGCAGCTTGCGTCACAGCAGGGCCACCTGGAAGTCGTGGGGCTCCTGCTTGAACGCGGTGCCAAGACAAGAGACTGCTCTGTCAATGACGACACGGCTTTCTTCGCAGCGATTAGACATGGTCATGCGCGTGTGGTAGACCTTCTGCTCAGGTACAATCCTTCACTCACAAGGGATGGCCGAGCAGCGCTTGTGGAGGCCGCTTCGGAAGGATATGACCTGGTCATCCAAGTGCTGCTCCACCACGGCGTGAAGATTGACAGCGTAGACGGCATGGGAGCCACGGCACTGTTGCAGTGCAGCAAAAAGCGGCCTAAATGGGCGCTAAGCATACTGCTTAGTCACCACGCTGACATGGAGGCTCGTGATAACCGTGGTCGATCTGCTTTGATGGAGGCTGCGAGACATGGTAGACGCAGCAATGTCCGTCTACTGCTTGGCCGTGGTGCCCAGATCATGGCTCGCGACAAAGAAGGCCACACAGCACTGATGCTGGCGGAGGGGCGGAATGACGCGGTGCTAGTCGATATATTGGCGGCCGCTGAGCGCGCAGCGGTGGTCTAATTTCAGGACTTGGATCGCGACCCTGTAACATGCCTCTGCCTCCAGGGAAGGTCCCACCAGCCCGGCAGGTCGGGCCACGGCCGTAGCACTCGAAGCCAAACGGCGACTCACCTCATCTCCCGCGGCTGCGGAGACTGTCCTCCTGGTCCTGTTGGCGGCCTACCATCAGCAGCCTCACGCGGGTGTCGCGCCCTCATATTCTGGCAGCGGTCCTGGCGAGCTCGCGGTTCCTAGTGGCCGTAGCGCTCCGCGTGTCTCAAACAACGGCGAACGTCACGAGCAAGGCCTACGACCGGCTCGATGGCCAGTCTACGCGCCATTTGGGAGCGCCCGAAAAAGGTTCGCTTCATAACAATGCCAAGGGCTGCTCCTGGTGCTTAGTGTCAGCTCCATCTGACTTTGAGGCTTTGATGTAAGCGGAAGCGTCATATAGACGAGGACGAACATCACTGGCAGCTATGGAAGGTCACTGTCGTCAGTGACGTGCTCTGAGGAACCGGCTGGCTTCGGCCACTATATCTCGAGATTTCCTGCTATAAGCTGCAGGGGGGACGAGTGGGGAATCCATTGCCACGAGTGTTATAGGTGATATTTTCTTGTTTGGAAGGGGAATGATCGATTCATACATCAGAGTTGTACTAAAGTCCAAATGTGTCCTATGAGGGCTTGCAGGCCAACCCTATGTGCTTTCATGATGCTCAACTGCTTCAAGTGCTACGGGATACTGCCCCTCACGCAGGCTGCTGTGTCTATCGTCCGATTTTGGGTAAGTGCTTATTCGAGGCCTGTTTGCCCGAAGACAGATGCGAACAGCGCAGCCACGCTGCAGCAATCCGAAGGCACATATTGGTTAAGCTTTACGAGGAAACTATCATGACATTTGGCTTTTCATCTCCATCATGGACATTCTCCTGACGCAAAGTCCCTAGTGCTTGACTTCCACAGTCGTTACGACCTTGATCCCTTGCTGATCTGCTCCGCTCCCGGATAAATAGAGCTCCGAGCTTGATGTAGAGGTGCTCTCTGCCAAGTACACCGGGGAAGACGGGTGACCAACGTTTGGCCGGAGCTGGATGGCGTCGTCATCCATTGACTCGAGTCTCTCAAGGCGATCTGGACACCCGAGGCTGGTCATGGCACCCTCTCTGTTCTGACCGCTGAAGAAGGATGTGGGGCGTCCGTACGAGGAGAAGCGGCTACCAGATCTATGGGTGGTCGACCGTTTGGCTTGCTGCGGGTGGCTTCCTCCGTCACCTGCAGCGGTGCCCCTTTTGCGGAAGGAAAACCCACCGCCACTTCGAGGAGGATATGGTCCATCGGAGGCCTTAGTGGATGATCTCGACCCGAAGATGTTAGGCCAGAGTCGAACGAGGATGAGACGCACTTTAGTATCCGTAATTAGTGAGGAAGTTGACATGAGGAGAGACTTTCGACAGAACAAGACGCACTCGTAGGCATGCAGGTACAGATGACGCCAGTGGTGATCTCTACAGTCGACCACATCGCAATGCCGGCCGTGTCATGTGTGACATTGTCGCTGCTGTTGAACTGGATGAGAGATGCGAGCCGGACAATGGAGACGATTGTGACAAAGGTGCCAACCACGAACACTACAAAGTCATGTCAGTTCCGCCATCACCCTCCGTCCGATTGTGCGAGAGGAAGGGGAAACTCACTCGCGGAGATGCCAAGCTTTTTCCTCCAGTCCATGTTGAGCGTCGAGATCTGGGACAGCGGCAGGTATAGTATCCAGAAGTCCAGGGCAATACCCACTGCGGCATTGGCCCAAGCAATACGGGCGTAATCTACGCATTGGCCTTGGTTGTCGCGGTCGTTCCATTTCGTCCAGTTGTAACTGATTGGCCAGCATTGGAACATGGCAGCCAGCACATAGGCGGCCCCAAATAAGCCGACCACTACTATTGTTATCCATATAATCCGGCGGAAGGTAGCATCTGGGAATATCCTGAGGAAAAAGAAGAGGATCGACAGCTTTAGTAGGGCGATATCGAGAAAGTACACCATGGCCAGGTACCAGAACATCTGGCCAAACATGGTGATCTGATATGGCGTGAGAGTCCAGATGTCCTGGCCGACTCCGTATTCAGCCATGCGCGTGTTCAGGTACGCAGCCAGGATACAGCTCAAGGCCGTTATGATTGTGGTCCAGTCGTCGGCGCCGAGGCCCAGCTGCGTGAGCCATTGCCGGTATATGATGCGCATAATGGTAAAGAAGATGGCCAAGCCGCACATGACGATCGACGTCACCGCGAAGTTAGGGCTGGCATTCGTGGACTCGATCCCACATGCAGTAGCCGACGCGTTCTTGACGACTAACTCTATGGTTAAAAGGAAAGCCCTGTGTCAAGGAAGTAGGCTGGCAGCCTCACCTAGAGCATCCTCGACTATGCAGCTAGCCTTTACGCATGTCTCCACGGACGAGATGAAGGTCAGGTCCTTGCAAAGACAGGCCACATCCGCCAGCAGGCATGTCGAAGCCGTTGCACCTGTGATGTAGCAGGGAACCTATGGACAGCATCGTTAGCTCAACTGCAACATTGGGCCGTGTATTGTCACCCAGCGAGAGGACCCACAGCGCATTTCGGAGTTCCTGGTGGGAGCTGGGCAGCTGCGGTAGACAGAAGAGAGAGCAGAGCGACGACGATTGAAACTGAAATCTGCATCTTGTCCAGATGTGAGCAGTTGCGTAACGAAGCCGCGCGCTGTATGAAGCAAAGACCGGGAGGGTGTTTGTCGTCCCACGGAGGAAGCAACAAGATACCAATATTTCCGGGCGCTGCGAGGCCGCCGCCAGCGGAGCGTGGGGGGTGGCACAGGCCGCTCGGGGTCACACTCGGAGCGGGCGCCCTTTTCGAAACCGGAACCGCGCGCATGGGCCTCGACGCTCGCTCCGAAGTCCCTCGTCTACTCTACATAGTTATCGACGACGGCGGCCCGCAACCAGCGGGGTGCCCCTGGGTCTAGCCCTATGCTTGTGCTATGGGCGGCGGGGCCCACGCCGTGATCCCGGTTTTGTGCCAGCTTGAATGAATCAGTGACATTGTGGATATCAGCGTGCTTCACAGCTGAAGCGTGCGAGCTCAGGCGTGCAGGCGAACGGCCCTCCCTCCCCGAGCTTTCGTGAGATGTCTAGTCAATCCTTTACCACTAAGGATTAGGGCTAGAGATATGACCACTTCTGGTGCGCTTGAGCATTGATGCTTCTCAGCGCGCATAGAGGCATGAGCCATCCAACCAACACTGTCCTCCCTGCCAGGTGGGCTTTCGTGGGGGTCGGGCTGCGGGAGGCTGACGACAGCGCTGCGCATTGTCGGCGGAGCGATGCCTCATGACACTGCATCAGCTGCACATCTCTGCGAGGCAGCACAGCACAGCCTGTACTATCTACGTGACTCGGGACCAACAGGAGTAGTGCTTGCTCCAAAGTCCATTCGTGGGGGATACAACAAACCCACCACAGCCTCTGCTCCGCGATCGACGACGCTATCGCTCCCCACTTTGAGGCTCTCTTTTTTTGACGTGGAGCTTATGGGGGCCAGAGCAGGAGCTAAAACCTTGGCGTCGCCACAAGCTTGCAATCTCTTGCACTATTAGCAGTCGTCCTTCGATGATCTTCCCAGGGTTCCGCCCCCCTGTCCACCTGCCACTGCCACGTGAAGGCCTGCCACCCGGCATTACTTCCCCTCCGGCCAATTTCACTGGCTACTCAGATATGCAAGTGATGAGGATCTGGAGTCGGTATCGTCATACTATGCATGTCCTGGCTCTCGCCGTACTGTCCACGCAGGATCGCACTCTTGCCTATCTGTACGCAGCAGACAAGATCTTCGTGCCTCCGTGGCAACCCACTACCGCGGAAAGTTCCGCGGTAGATCTATGTTTTCCGCGGCTGAATCTTGCAACTATCCACCGCAGGGTCGTATCGGAAGAGCTATGTTCAGTGGATCGATCTGGGGCTACAAAAGGCTCGCCACGCGCTAAAGGCGCCCGAGGCATGGTCTTGACGGTGCACGAGCGACTCGGCAAGCGAGGCGACCCAGCCGAAAACAGGCGCTATGTACAGCCCGCTACAATCATTCTTAGGGCGGTCCGCCTCGGCTAATTAGTGCGCCACCAGCCAATGCAAAGTTTTGCAGGCCAGGAACTCGGCTGGGTTCCAGCGCGCCGGCGTGCCGAGCAAGGTCTGACAGGCGACAGGGTCCATCACCACACGTGGCTGACGGGCGGCTGCTACGTTGATTTTGCCGCTGACACCCCTGAAATCGGACGACCGAGCATAGCTCCACAATCTTGTGGTTTTCTAGGCGCACTGCGCGATGGCCGTCGTGGCGGAGCAGTTCCTCCGCTTTATGGGATGCAGCAGGGTCACTGCGAAGGGCATCATCTACATACTTCCCGCTTGAAAAGTGCCCTACTTGCCCTTAGACAACAAGACTGGATCACGAGAGACCACTTCGTCTACTCCACGGCTTGGAAGCTCCGACTGGCATGGTCTGGAAAGATTGGCAGGAGATGGACATTGAAAACGGGAGTACCACGATTACACAAAGGGGAGTAGAAACGACATGAAGCGTCCCTCGCCAATTTCATCACGGCTCTATTCGCCATTGTAATGGGTAGCAAGGCGGACGCTGCTGCTCTATACTCCTTCCCCTTACTCCTGTGCCCGGTTTTGACGGAAAGTAGACAGCCAATCCGACCGCCCAAGATCCATGGCACACAATTCCTGAAGCCACTCGTACAGTGCCTTGTTCAGGCTCTGAATGCTGTGCGAGAACGTCTCTGCCCAACTTTCTGCAGACCTCCCTCTCTGGTCGGCGGCGATGCGTGCTGGCTTGAACCATTCTGTTCTGGCTCTGTGGATATCCGCGCGATAGGGCTCCCATCTACCCACCAACTGCACGACAAGGTCCCTGCAGGCCTCGTGGCGAAATAGCTCGACCAGTTCCTCGACCTGGCCTTTCCTGTCATGTCGTATAGCTGCGCCCTGTGCCGGCCCTCGTTGTTTGCGACGAGCTCGTCACGGTGGAAATCGAGCTGATCCCAGATTTGTCCTTGGACCCGGCAGAACAGACAGGCCCGGGGTATCTCTCGGCTTCGCAGGAAGCTACCACCGGCATACGCGGGGAACATTCCGTCGGCTATATCCTCAGGGACCAATACGGCATCGCACTTGACACATCTGCGCTGAGTCGGGCGGGGAGGAGGCTCCATGGCTGCGATTTATCGTAATAGAAAGTGCTAAGCTCGGTTGAAGTGTTCAGCATGGACGGTCGCATATGAAAATCGAGGCTGCATACCAGTGCAGTTTCATAGGGAGGAAATTGTCGGTGTGTGTGTGCCAGGTCGAAAATCATGCCAGCGTCCGGAACTCTTTATGTAAGGAGATGGCGCCCGGAAACGTGAATGACTGACGATAGGTACGCTCAGTACTCTAGTAGACAAGAGAGGACCATGCTGATCCTCGTGACACACGCTTCTCCGTACGTTGAGCACTCTGTGCAACCGGAACAAACAGCCTCATCAAAAGAAAGCTCTTGGCATGGATTCTGGTGTAATCGAAACCGCCCGTATTAGTGACACAGGAAAAGGGACAAACAGCCGCGGTAGAGAGGGTGCGGTAGCACAGAGAACTGGAGTGCATTCCATGCACGATTGCTGTTAGTTCTACGATGGTTGCGCTCAGTCTGAATCGCGACATGCTGGTTACAGGACATTCGAGCCTGTGGGCACTTCACATTCCACACGATGTTCCCCATGTGATCCCGTCCTGGTGATACCAAAATACTCGAGTATTTGGCGAGGCAATGCACGCGACAGCCGCATGCCAGCCACGCCACGGAATCCCGATCAGCACCATCGCACAGAGTCTAGAGCAGACATCAAGACAATCAGCAGCCGTGCGCCCAACCCCCATAAAGATCACTCCTCATCTTTGTGGAACGACTAAGATAACTCACCATCACAGCCATTTCGCACGTGGAAGGCGCTGATGTAGCAGTCTTGCCCGCTTGGCGGATTGACGAACTCCCAGACACTATTTCATTGGCCCCCACCGCACTTTTATCAGCAGGGATATCCTTGACAAAATGCACATGACAGAGGAATCATACCTTGTGCCCTGATATTGACTACCCAAGGTCTTGCACAGTATTGTCGCCGACGACCCCACAGACAGCGTGGCCACGATGGGATACACGGTACCTGGACGAGCACGGCACGGGATCGAGCTTGTGCCTGGAGCAGGTCGGACGAGTGTACATGCCTTACGCTTGTGGAGCAGTGTGGTCACTTGGCCAGGGGATTCGTGTCGCGTTTCGTGATTGGACTCTGTGGCGACAAGAGGAGCTGGCTGTGGTCCAGGGAGCGGGTTTGCGGAGATGAAAGGGGAGCCGACAAGGGCAATTGCCAGGGTGCACAGCTTCATTGTAGCGGTGGCAGATTGCGGTGTCTTTTAGGCGCTGACAGTTTTCCAATGGGATTGGCAACGAATCTGGGTTCCAGGTTTGAGCACGTATTGTGGTGGCCAGAATCTTCACTGCGGTTTTATACTTGCGATCGTTGATACTCTGTGGGGCGACCTGTTGCAGCAGCTGACCGTAAGCCTGCATGATACAAAATTAATTCGGCTCCTGTGCCCGGGCTATCACGAGCGTACTTTGCAGGTGCAGAGCGCTGACGTCTCAAGGCTTCTAAAGGGATCGCGCGGCGAAGTAGGACAGACAAAGCCATGTTGAGCGTGGTTCGGACAGAAGTTACGCCGATCTGTGCATTCCTTCGAAAGATCACTTGAGGGCTTTCGCGAGACAGGCAGGGACTGGTCGCACACTCGACCATTTCCCCCTGTACCAGGGGCGCTTACCCCCTAGGCCTCTGCTTGGCGGTGCCGTAACCGACGCCACGCTTGGCAGCCCAGCGTGTTCGAAATGCCCATCGTGCTTTCGAGTCCTTGGGGCGCCGCGCCCTCCACAAACCCTGCTTGCCTATGCGGCTGTCTTGGTCACAAATTGGTTACCAGAAGTTAATCCGCAGTCCGCGGTGTAATTACACATAATCCCATACTAAAACTACCTCCTCCCAGTAACCAGGCCAACCTCTGTATTCGATTCGGTGGCGAAAGTCCTGTAAAAGCCTAACCAACTCTTGCCCCTTGCGTGATATCACGACTTGCCGTCCATGTAGCTACGTTGTCTACCCCTCCCACTCGACGCTTTTCCCGAGCTTGTTATGAAAGCGCAGGTGACTCGACCTCTGTCGATGCCTTGTTGCTTGCAAAGCTTTACGCTGTCATGCGGGAGGCGCCCCAGGAATTGCGCAGTTCCCTGCTGCTTGCCAGCCAGACCGGCCGCGTTGGATAATAGCGCGTCTTAGACGCCTGGCAGCCTTTCCAGCGATAGATGAACCTCAGGCCTTCAGGATCTTGTCCGCAGTGAGGAATTCAGGCCTAGCACCCCTCTGAAACTCCTGCGCGAGTTCTTTGATCTATGAGACCGTAAGTAACTGGACTCGGCATAGTAGCAAGGAGAAACCAAGGGCAACACTCATCTATCCTGGGTCCTTACCTGTTTCAGTTTTTCCAGGGCGTCCCGGATGCCAGCCTTGATGTATAGCTTCCGCATCATTGCGTAATCACTGCGAACGCCTTGCCCAAGCTTGCCGAGGGCAGTGTCAATGGCCTTGAAATTTGCGCCTTGCGCCTTGAATAGGTCCTGCAGCTCTGTCATCGCATTAAGAGCCGCTGCCATCTTGGCCACCAGGTCCTTGAAGTGCATGACCAGGGCTCGCACGAGCTCATGTGCCTTCATGATTGCCTTTTCTGCCTCTTGCTCGCTTGCGACCAAGTTCGTGAGCCTTTGATAGTTGATCTCTGCACCCATTTCATTGACTATAGCGTTTGTCACCGGCATGCTGGGAATGAAGCAACCGAGGAAGCCGATGATCTTGGCACTCGTGTCATTCGTGTCCTGACGGCGCGCGGAATCGCTCTGGTTAGCGTACACGCCTAGGCCGAGGGAAACATCGAGCCTCATGTGCAGGGAACATCAGAAGGGTTCACGCACCCACTCGTCCTTTGCAGCGTCACGCCGTGCTGTGTCGTCGATGATGGCCTGGTGGAGGCGAGCAATCTCGGCACCGACAATCTCAGTGTACGGCCGCTTGCCGTCGCTGCCGTCCAGCCAGTTGCGCTTGATCAGGGACACGGCTGTCGCGTCGGTCGAGGTAGTGCGGTGGAACTAGAACGACGGGGCGTCTCGCGTTAGGATATTTCCGTCCCCGTAATCACGAGCCGCGCACGCCCAAGAGCTGTTCGCTACGCAGAGGGGATCCCACTGCGAAACTTACATCACCGAGCAGTGCGACCATTTGTGTCGCGTCGTCGGCCATTTTCTGGGCGGTCTCGGACATGGACTGGACAGCGGCACGCGCCATATCACGCGCGTCGTGGAAGCCATCGTCGAGAACAGCGCCCTCGACACTATACTTTGGCTCGAGAATGACATCGAGATGCTTCCAGAGACTGAGGTCCTTGTCCTCGTGGAGCATATTGATGCATTCATCTGCATAGACAATCGCGTTGTTCGCCGACAACACTTTCCATAGCTTGCATGTCAGCCTTGTGTCTAAGTGGCCGGCTGTCGCACACGATCATCGCTCACCTAGACGGTCAAGACCATTCTCGCTAAATTCCCGGGTATGAGCGGCAACGTTGTTGGTCGTATTGCGCAGGTGCTGCAAGGCCCAGTCAGTGCTGGTCCCAAAAAGTCTCGCGGGCTGTGCAAAGCCGCGGTAAAGGCACGTACATCGTAGGCATCAGGGTCCACCGCAGTGACCTTTTCCAAGGCCTTTTCCGGCAGGTCCGCTTCAAACTTCTCGCGTGAGGCTTCAAGAGTCTTGCCCTCCGTTACGTACGCATAGATGTCTACTCGACGGTTAATGCTCGGCGGCAGCGCGCGGCGGCGGCGGTCCCTGGGGCATGGCTTGCTTACCTTGATAGCCCTGCGTCTGGAGGATGAACCGATTCGTCTTGCCGTCGGGCGCCTTGGGCATGACCTTGTCCAGAGACGTGACGCAAACGCTCTGGAACGCAGCCTTCAATGGTCCGTCCTCCTCGTTGGGCGCCCATTCGACTGTTTCGGGACCCATGACTATCGGATCTGGCGTTGAGCCCGAATAACGTCTAGAGTGATGATGTAGAAATGGAGACATGGTAGGGTGGTATCTTTGGGATGGCAGCTTAAATCTGTGCTGATGGAAGAGGTCCCTAGGGGTGGACGGTCTACTTTATATATTCACTCGATACTCCAGCTCGACACAGCAGCGACCGCCAACCCGGAACATGCTAGCTATAAGGTGGCCATCTCGGCGGTGGCTCATGCTGGAGACATTCATGCCCTCTGAGACTGCTGTCGCATGCAGCGGTGAGTCCGGCAGGAGCCAGATCCAGTTCAGCTGTGCTCGTGAAAGCCGCTTTGAGCTGCAGACGGCCGCCTTGGGCTGTGCAGCACGTCAGAGATGCTTTGATTCCGGTGCAAACGGAGCCTTAGCTAGCCACTTTGTTGTCCATGAAACTTACATCCATGGCTAGTGACTTGGTAAGTGGACTTGACCGAGACAGCCTGCCGCTGGGCAACATAAAATATGTGAGACCTCAGCTTTCAGCTGGCATCAGACTAGTGGTTCCGGTGTTCCATCCATCCCTGCCTGTGGTCCATCTCCACGACGAGAGTTTACTGGCGCTGCATGTTTGCATCAATCACTCTGATTCCAAGCGGGATAAGTACAAGAAACACTGATAATCCAGCACTTGCAAGTCCCGCCCATTCGATCAAGTCAAGTCGCCTCTCATCGCCTCGCCTCACAAGCTCCTCTCTCACAGTCCTTCCCAATTTTCTCCAGAGCTCTCAGGCAATCCTGCAAAGCCCATCATGGCAGAGACGAACACGGCCGCCTGGCCCCGGTTCCAACTCGTTCTCGTCAGCAAGGATGGCACAGTCTTTCCCTCTTTCCCAAGCAGCGCCTTTGCCGGCGGCGACGCCGATAAGATCCGCCTTGCTGATATCCGGACCCGTGCTGCTATGTATTTGTGATGCTGGCTGGCATAGCCTCTGTAAGCATGGCTGGGTTGCAGAAACGCTGACACACTTCGCGTTGTGACCTCCCCTTGCAGTTCGGCAAAGCTCAAGTTCACGGCCGAGGGCTCGGCCTTTGTCGGCGACGAAACCACGTTATCGTACTACATGTCACTTCGCGGCGTAGTGAGTTTGTGCTTCTGATATCCTGTCACTGATCTTCACATTCCGCGCGCAAGGTACTGAGCCTTGTGTTTCCAGGACATACGCTCCCAAAAGGACGACCTAGAGAGCAGCGAGAAGACGTCTGCAGAGATACCGACTGTCAAGATTGAGCTCATCTTGAATGGCTTCAAGGCCACACCCACGGCCCCGGCCGTCAGCCCCGCCAAGTACCAGGAGGAGATTGAGAAGCTCCTGGTTGTCGACCAGAGCGGGGCGGCCAAGGTGGGTGACTTGAAGAAGCTGTCTAGCACGCTCGACTCGCTCCGTTCGGACTCGATGGTTATCACCGCCGCGGCGAGGTGAGTCTCGACCACCGGGATCGGGTTTGACCTGTGTCTGCATAGGTGGGTGACTGATCTTGATGCCACTCTCAGCGTGCCGAGCGAATTCACCAAGGAGCCACTGGATTTGACCGAGGGCCAGTGGGACTACGTTCTGAGGAACACGCGTGCTCTGCACGGGTGGTATAACAGGGGCAATGTCATGATGAAGGCAAGGAAGAAAGGTGGGTCGGGGTGCCTCGGTCCGGGAAGAAGAGGCTTTGCCCGTCACTCACTGACAGCAATCCAGCCTTTGATATCGCTCCGCCGTTGGGTGCAGCCGGCGAGACACCTAATGGTGTATCGAATGACAAGGTTCGCGCTATTTCCGCTCCAGGACAGAAGCCTACTTGGCCGCCATGCTAACCAGCGGCTCAATGCATACAGGGCGTTGTGCTGCCACTCCCGCCATTCTACATAAGCGACGATGCGACAGTCGACGTCACCGAGACACGCAGTGCCCTCGAGCGAGAGATGGCAGACTCGGGCTTCAGCCAACAGGCCATCAAGGCCTCCGGGTAAGAGCCTTCTTGGGTTTGTAACCCAGGACAGGAATGACAAGTTGTGAACCAGGCTTTTCCACTGACGAGTGATGATCTTCAGCGGAGGCGGTACCATGGGCGTCTTGGCCACGGCAGCGGCTGCATATGAGAAGCAGAGCTCTGAGGCGGCTAAGACAATTGAGGCCAGCACCGTTCAAGCCGTGCACGTCGCTTACAAGGTGCGCCTCATGAACAGGCTTTTGCTCTCAGCACAGGCCCTGGATGTTGATCGCCTTTTGACCCTCTCCAGTTTCCCCGCGCCACCATCGAGCTAGACGCCTACTCTTTGCAGCTCACGACCGAGGCCAAAAGTCGGGCCTTGGGCGTCTCGACTGTCGCAGACATGGACCGGTGGTATCGAGACTTTGGTGAGACAATCTCTCTCCCGCTCTCATGTGTCATCATGCCAGCCGCTGCCGCCGCCGGCTGACTCGCCCTTGCCAGGCAATGTCTTTGCTCTACAGTTCACGCTTGGCGGAGAGCTCACCAGCTCCCGCTTGTTCGACAGCCATGACAACAGCAGCCTTGCGTCGTTCAAGGATTCCATCAAGCTCGCCGCAGGATTGAGCATATCGAGCCCCTACGTCACCGCGGGTTTCAGCACCAGCAGCGTTGACGCGACCGAGCACGCCGAAGGCGAGAAGACGACGAACCAGAATCTGCGGCTCACGTGGAAGGCTCGCGGTGGCAACACGCTACTGTGCTCCAAGTAAGTCATGGCTCGCCTCACCCCCCCCCCCCCCAACCAAAAAAACCAAAAAAAACGATGGACAACCAGGCAGGGGAGCACGCCTGGGCCAGCACCGCTGCGGCTGGTTCTCGACTTGCACCCGCTCGACCCGCTTACTCACTGGTCCTGTAGCCCACCGCTGTGGACAGCAACTGTCAAGGACTACCGCTTATGGCGCATCATGGACGTAAGTTTAAGCGTGGCACTCAGTCCGGCGACCAGCGCGCCGCCAAGAACCAATCTTCTCACAAGCCTATATAGCAACAATGCCTCGTCTCGATGTCCAACCTCGTTGGCGAAGTCGACATTCGTGCAGCCGAGCACCTGACGCATCCAGAGGCATGGACGGGCGACAACGGCAGCTCATCCGACGGCGCTGCAGACGACTCCGATCGCGAGCGGCTATGGAGCGCGCTCTACGACGTGTTTAACAACGCCGGCGGGCACCCCTTGGCGTCCAGGATCCAGGAGTTCTACAACAGTGCTGCATTCGACCTGACTCAATATAACCAAGCCCTTGGACCGGGCGAGCGAGAGCTGAGTCTCAAGACAAAACTTCCCTGGTCTAAGCTTGATCTCGAACATAAGACATGTGTGGGCATCTTGGCGAGAAAGATGGGCATCATCAATATTTAGTTGGGTTGGCGACAAAGAGCTAGTGTTTCGTGTGCTGTTTTGATGCTCAGCAACAGGATTCTATTACGCTATTTCCTTAAGCTTGGCTGTTATATCGAACTCACGGAACGGGGGGCTGGCTACCGCTGATCATGGACGCTGGCGGCCATGTCCGCCAAGCCGCTGTCTACGGCGAGATCCTGGGTCGTGCATGAACTTGTCGTCGGCCTTCTAGGGGCACGAGTAATGTGCAGCCTCCACTCTATGAGTTCTAGTGTTTCTCAAGCCTTGTCCCGGTCCGAGGTCAATAGTGTACTACGAGGCCCAACATTTCATTCTGCACAGGGCATCTATAATAATTCGATTATTCAGCAAGACTTCCTGAATATTATGGTTGATCTAGACGCTAAAGAAAGGGGCTTTGTATAATAATCCCAGCTGCTTCGAAGGCGCCCTCTCGAACTCCTAGTCGGCAGCTGGGTACTCGTCCTCGGTGCTGAAATTCTCGGCTTGTACGCACAGCGCAGCGCAGATGCACGACGGCCGCGTCGTGGCTGGGGTTGGGGGCCGGAGTAAAAGGGCCGGCTGCCGAGCTTACAGTTTATTTTAGGCATGACAGGCTTCAATAGATTGTGTCCAGCCCATCATTGCCGTGATGACTAATAACAACATCCATGCTTGTTCCAGGGGTTTGAGAGAGAGAGGGGTCATGTTGTCTCGTCCCTCTGCGGAATGACCTGTCAGGCTTGAAGTCCTTTCTCCACGACAGCCGCCGTGTCAGCCAACGGCACTTGCCCGTCACGCGTGTAGGATCCGCCTCTGGCTGTGCGGATCCACGACGATCTTGTGAGGATGGTGGAAGATCTCGGTCGGGCACACCTGCAAACCCCTCTGGCAGGGCAGTGGCATCCACCACTGCTCGCCGTTGACTCCCCAGCGCGAAGCGGCAGCGTGGACTCGAGACCACGAAGCGCCCACTCGAGACGGCGTCTCAGGCGCGATGACTACACGGTGGGCTGGGTTAGCGCCCTGCCGCTCGAGCTCCGCGCGGCCCTGGCTTGCCTGGACGAGCAGCATGACACGCTCCCGCGAGACCGCGACGACTACAATGCCTATGTCTTTGGTCGGATCCACCAGCACAATGTCGTCATGGCGTCGCTGCCCTCTGGTGATTACGGCAACAACAGCGCCGCAAACGTCGCCGTCCATATGCGCCGCAGCTTCCCCAGCATCCAGCTCTTGCTCCTGATCGGTATCGCCGGAGGGGTCCCTTCACCTGCCGATGTAAGGCTGGGCGATATTGTTGTCGGGCTGCGCGTGGTCCAGCACGATCTGGGCAGAGAAGTCAAGAATGGACAGTTCGTCCACACTGCGGCGGCGGCATACAACGTGCACTCGAGCATCGGGACTACTCTGGCTCTCATGCAGGCCAGTGTAGAGCCAGGGGCCATCGGCGCTATACTAGACAACATGCGAGCCGCTAGGCCCTCGCTCGTGCCGGTCCTTGACAGGGCCCTGCTGCACGATAACCTCTACCACGAGTCCTACGACCACGAAGACGAGTCTAGGGACTGCGCCGCCTGCGACCACACCAAGCTTATCGCCAGGCAGCGCCGGGAACACACGGATGAGCCAGTCATCCACTATGGAACGATTGCCTCTGGAGATCAGGTCGTGAAGCATGCAGGCCTGCGGGACCATATCGGGCAGACCCATGGCGCCCTCTGCATCGAGATGGAGGCTGCCGGGCTCAAACACGATTTCCCCAGTCTGACAGTGCGAGGGGTCTGCGACTATGCCGACTCGCACAAGAAGAAGGAGTGGCAGCCATATGCTGCCGCAACCGCAGCTGCATTCGCCAAGCTGTTTCTGTCGCACAGCGCTCCGCCGGCCCAACCATCACCTGGCGATGATGTTGTTGTCGAGGAACCGGAGCCGTCAGGTGAATATGGACCGACTGCTCTCTGATTCGACGTGTCTTGTGCTAACCCGGACGCTGCTGGCTGCACAGTTTTGCTGTTGCGAAAATTCAACCGCAAAAAGTGGCTCGAAAGCCTGTTCTTTGAGCAGATAGACGCCAGACTCGACGGCGTCAGCGATCCACACGACGATACTTGTGCTTGGATCCTCGAGACGGACGCCTACCTGGGGTGGCAGGACCCCAAGCAGCAGCTGGCACATCACGGCTTCCTCTGGGTCAGGGGCAAGGCTGGTGTTGGAAAGTCCACCATAATGAAGTTTCTCTGCTCGACTGCTCGAAAGGAGTCCCTGGACAGGAACGAGATTGTGCTGAGCTTCTTCTTCCACGCTCGTGGAGGAGACTTGGAGAAGTCGACGATCGGAATGTTTCGGTCAATACTGTATCAGCTCTTCACAAAAGCGCCTCACCTTCAGACGCTACTCGACGACGACCTGCCCGAGCACATACACCACACCGGGTGGTCGCTTGGCAAGCTTCAGAAGCTGACGACTGACGCAGTGGCACAGCTCGGCGGTCAAGGCTTGACCATGTTCATCGACGCCCTCGACGAATGCAACGAGACCGAAGGATCGGCAATGGTGAGGTACTTTCAGCGGCTGGCCCGGAGCTCCTTCGCGAGCGCCGTGAGGCTTCGTGTCTGCTTCTCCAGCCGGCCGTTTCCAGTAGTCGACGTCCGGAAAGGGCTGTTCTTGGTGCTGGAGGACGAAGAGGGCCACATGGAAGACCTCGAGAGCTACGTCTACGCCGAGCTTGAGGAGTGGCCCGAGGACAGCCGGGAAGGTGTCTGCCAGCACGTCATCGACAAGGCAAAGGGCGTTTTTCTCTGGGCCGTCCTCGTCACTACTAGCCTACTGCAAGATAAGCGGCGTGGTAGGCTCAGTCCACGGGCTCTAGTCAACCGCTTCACCAATCTTCCGCTTCAACTCAGCGATCTGTTCAAGGACATTCTCCGGCGGGACGAGGGCGACATAGAGGAGCTCAGGCTCTGCGTTCAATGGCTGCTCTACGCAAAAGAGACACTGTCACCGGAAGAGTACTATCAAGCAATCACAACCGGCCTTGCCATTGAGTCTGGCGAAGATCTGGAGCCTTGGGACCGGGACTCCATGACACCCGACGTGCTGCAGCATTTCATCACGAGCACTTCGAGAGGCCTGGCCGAGGCTAAAGGCCGCTATCGGCTTTTCGAGGTCGAGTTCGTCCACGAGACGGTCAGAGACTTCTTTGTCAACGGCGACGGCCTCCAAGAGCTTTTTGGAGATATCCCACATGACAGCGCGTCCTGCCACAACCGCCTCAAGAAGATATGCCGAAAGTTTTACCTCTCGTCCCCAATGGTGCGCGCAAGGGAGACTCCACCCGCTACACCGACCGACGAGGACGGCAAGGAGTCTCCGTTCCTGCGCTACGCCGCAGAACACCTGCTAGACCACGCCGAGTCCTGTGCAACTCAGTTCCCCGACGTCGAGTTTCTGTCGACCATGGACTGTGCCAAGTGGCACCAAGTCTGCACATCCCTGGGGCTCCATGGTGAATTTGACGAGGACGCGAGCATCCAGTTCCTTTTGACACTAATGGACCATCCTATCCTCTTGCACCAGATTGTTCTGCACGACGGGAGAGCCGACGACTCCGGGTACAGATGGCGCCGCGGAATATGGCCAGAACCACTGCCCAACGACGCCACTCAAGACTTCTGGTCGCACACGGCACCCCTAGTCTGGCGGGTCCCAGCGCTCGTGGCAGCCACAGAAAGGGACCTGCCGCGTGTAGCCAAGGTCCTCTTGGAGAAGCAGGCTGATCCAAATGTAGTCGTTGACGCCGAGAAGAACCAGTGGATTCTCCAACGCGCAGCCGCGAATGGCTTTACCGAAGTTGTGCGCAACCTGATTCATCATGGCGGATATACGGAACCCTTGGACGACCTTGGTCGGACGCCGTTCGAGTACGCTATGCTACGTTGCAATTTCCGAACTGCCTCGGTGCTCTGGCACGGCGGGCGGCCAGACTCGCAGCCCGCCCTCCGGCAGCATGAGCAGAGTACAGAGACAAATCATCAAACCGAAGTAGACGCACTCCTTGGCCTCTTGAGCAGCGGCCTCGACATCAACCGCGTCTTCCGCCAGCGGCACGGTCCGGACGTGACACTGTTGGAGCTTGTTCTGGAGAATGCGAGAATGGTGGCCATCCTGCTGGAGAGGGGAGCCTCCATCGTCTTGCACGACAGCTCCACGCGATATCGGCGCTGCGTGCTTTGCCGGGCCATCGAGCTGGGTCGCGCAGATGTTGTTTCACAGCTCTGTGAGGCTGGTGTGTTACCTGACGAGGACCCGCAGGCTCTCAAGGTCGCGATAGCCAAGGCTGCCGAGGGCGACAAGAAGTGCCTGACCACGATCCTGGACTTTGGTGCGAGGCCCAAGCCTGAGCATCTCGAGCGGGCCTGTCTCTTGACCAAAGAGGTGGTCTTGATACTGTCGGACCACGTCGACGACGCCTCGTTCGTGGAGCACGGGCCGACGTATCTGTTCGCGAGTTGCGACGAGCCCTTGCGACCTCGCGACCAGGAAGAGACATGTGGCATTGTGTCGTTCCTGGTCGGCCGCGGGGTCGACGTCAACGTTCCCGACCACCGGGCCACAGCTCTCCAGATGGCCTGCCGAAGCCGTAGCGACGAAGTCTGTCGTCATCTCGTTGCCCTCGGTGCGGACGTCACTGCGCCGGCTGGGACCATGGGATCGGCCTTGCAGAACGCATGTGACCAGGGCCACTTTGACCTCGGCCGCTGGCTGATCGAGAAAGGCGCCGACGTCAATGTGCAGCACGCGTGGTCTGGCACGCCCCTGCAGGCCGCCTGCGCGTCGCGCCGGGGGACCGAAGCCGCTGTCCGCGACTTTGTCACGACGTTGCTCGAGCACGGAGCCGATGTTAATGCATGTGTGCCCTCGTCGCACTACGGGTCCGCCTTCCAGGCTGCGTGCCATCGAGGCTGGTGGGCTGTCGTCCACACTCTGCTGCAGCGAGGTGCCAATGTCAATACCCAGGGGGGCCAGTTCGGTACGGCCCTTCAGGCCCTCTGCGCCTCGCAACGGTGTGGCAGCGAGACGGCCACTCCTTATAGCCCGGAAGACGAGCGAGCAGGGAGGCCGCTTCGCACTCTCGTCGAGCTCCTGACTTATGGCCGGGGAGACGAGCAAGCAGTGACGGCGTTCAACACTCTCCTCGAGCTCCTGGACAAGGGCGCAGATGTCAACGCGCAGACCAGGCCGGACGGCACCGCGCTGCAGGCCGCCTGCACGTCCCCTTACTTGTCTGGCACCCACCGGGAGCGAATCGTCAAGACGCTGCTCGACCGCGGGGCAGATGTCACACTGCGCGGCGGCAAGTACGGCAGCGCACTCCAGGGTGCACAGAGCGTGTGCCCAGAGCTTGTTCCGCTCATCCGCTCATACCACAGCACTGAAGAGGCCGATGCGGTTGGCATCGACCCTCCAGAGGATTACTCCTTCGCGTGGAGCCTGGTCCCCTGGACTGCGCCGGTCCTGGATTATGAAGACTCGAGGGACGACGTGGCTTCTGTGTCTGGCAGTAGTGAGGATTCGGACGGTGGAGTGCAGGTCTGTATGAGGCGCATGTCCGAGTCATGACAAGCAAATGCTCGAGGTACTATGGGGGGGAACCATAGTGACCATAGTCCCTCATCGAACCTCGGTTCTTGTCAACTTGCACTTACAACAATAGGCCTACAAGGGAGAGGGGACACTGGTTTGGCCACTCATAGTGATGGCGAGTGTCGACATGCGACACAGCAGCAGGCTTGGCCCAACTTGCGTTTCCCCATGAAACAACGTGGAGAGTCGGAAATAAGTGCAGACACGAGACCGCGTCCGACATGCCATCTGTGCAGGACGGCTGTGGTATCCGCTGATGGGCATTGCTTGAAGCCACGGGTCTTGATGAGCTACGACCCCTGGGGGCCCTCACGCCCTACATTTGTCGTTTTGTAAACCCGGCGGAAGCACCAAAAGACGACTACTCGCTGCACAGCCAACAATTACGAGCAGTATGCGCAGTTGTTTATAATTTGTGAGCGTTGCTGTATCACTGTCAAATTCACCGATGACCATTGTGTCGCGTCCTAAACAGCTTCGTGGTTTCAACAAGGCTTGGAGCCAAGAATGATTCTCTGCTCGATTAAAGGCACTGACCAAGAGGGCTTGCGTCGAACCATGCCCATATAAGAGACTGGTGAGTGGACATCACATCGTCAAGCATGAGTTGCGTCGCGATGAGCATGCCTTGGCGTCCACGTTGTTCCTGATGCCTCATCGCGAGTGCCCTCGTCGATGTTTCCTGCCATGAGAAGTTATTGTTATGTCGTATAAAGACGTGCGTAGTCCGTCTTATCTTGTGAGGGCATGAGGAACAGCATAGACAATCTCCACGGCCAGCACATCTCCATATACCCCAGGCGTATCCTGAATCACCCTCCGTACCCGGAGATATTCCATCAAACAGCCCACGCATCCACTCTGTCAAGACGACATCCGGGGTCTTACAGCCATACTGTCTTCAAACTAGAAAAGGAACAAAAATGGCAGCAGCATCAGCAAGCAAAGCTCCGGCAGCACGTCCGGCAATACCTCTGGCGGAGGATCCGGAGGCCAGGGCGGAGGCGCCATCCATGCCGCCGGTGGCGACTACTACACGTATCGATGCCGCCACGAGTTACTTCCATCACCGGCAGTGCACAGACATGGTCCAAATCTGGGGCTTTGCATGAGCTGCGTGTGCCGTATGTTGGTTTCCCCTTATCTTGGCATCACATTTGTGGCTGGCCGTGCCGAGAGCTGATGCGATACAGACAAGAACCACAGGCTGTAGGGCACGGCGCGGGCGAATTAAACCGCTGGCTTTGCGGAAGAGGTGGCGCTCCCATGTGCAGCGTAACCGGCGATGCCACAGCGATAGGGTGTATGTGCGGGATCATGATGGAAGATTCGAGATATAAGGTGCTACATCGGGTTACATTGAGACTCTTGGCATTTGAGCCGCTTTTTTCTCGGTCCATTTAAACCATTGAACACAAGACATACTCATTAGGACTCATTTGCAGTGATTCAGTTCAGCTCGTGTTGTGCCGCCTGAACACGCCTAATGCGGTGGCTTCAGCTGGCCACAGTGTCCCCTTCAGCTGTCTATTTTGGCACTTTCATCTGGTCGGCTCGACCCTTCAGCCAGCCACGGTGGTAGGAATGTCTGTGAATGCAAAGAAAGGTCAATGGCAAAGTCCGGTCCGACGTGGCGACAAGACTCCCTGGGACACATGGCTTTTGCCGGCCCAGTCTCTCGGCGGATTTGTCAATCAGTCAGCATCTATAAATTCTCGGTCAATCCGCCATGGTATTGCGACGGTTCAACCAGAGCTAACAAACAGCCTCTTCCCCTGACGTCGTACCGCTCGATACAGCCCATTCATTATTCACAGTAATTCAAATTCCTCTAGACAAATTCGTCCAAGCAGCAAGGGGCGAGATGTCTGGACACAAAAAGCCCAAGGTGCGTGATCTAATGAAGATCCCCTCTCACCAATAGCGAAGCTGTCATGTTGCTAAGAGAAATTCAACTAGATTGTTTGGCAGCAAGAGCCGACCAGCCTCACAGACGAACAGATAGCTGGCCATACGCTCGTTGCACGTACGGCTTGCTTGATCACCGGTTACGAAAGGGTGCGCATCAGGTACGTGCCTGCGCTGTGCGGTGTGACTTGCAGTCTGTGTAACTGGATTGCTGACATTAGATCAGGCGGTCTGCCCATAACACGACCACCGATGGTACCAACTACAACAATCCGCGCGAGACTGATCCTCATCTCACCGTCTGGATGGGGTCTGGCGACACGGTCAAGGCTCAGGGTCATATTTACGTAAACTACAAGCAGCACACCACCATCCCAATCCCAGTAGACCTTTCCACCGATGCACAACGCAAGTGGTACACGTCCAAAGACTATGGCGAAACAGTCAGAAACCCTCGGCTGTGGGAGTTTGGCAAGGCGCTTCCAGACGAGGGAATCCTTCACTTTAAAGACGAGTTGCATTAGTCCCAGCTGGGCGACGAAGCAAAGACAAGTGGATTCTTACAATTCTGGGATTGCGTACACTCCTTTCCCACAGGTAGTCACTCAAATGAGATGTATGATTGATTTGTCACGCTCAAAAGAGGTGCTGGCTGGAAGGTGTCTATGCCTTTGGAACATTTCATGCACCTGTGACCAGGGTCACGCCTCGAGGCGCTCGGGTAGCTCGTCTACCAGTTTGGCCTTGGTGCGCCTCTGATGCGGTGCAGACGTCAAGCCTGCGCTTCAGTCCTAGAACGATCATTCCTCGTTGGCTGCGGCGATATGTTGCTCGTACCGATCTATGCATTCCCAATGAGACCTCATTTGAGGGCTTTAACATGAAAGAGGAGCAGAGCAGAGCCTCCGCTATGTCGTTTCTCTCTGGGAAAGGAGTGCACATCGGAGTCCACGGCGGGGCCACTGGCCGTCCTCCACACGGAGAATTTCCTCCAATTGGTCCCAAGGTGAGCCACGGACACACACCCATGTCAGATTCAACTCCGAGATCCACTATTGTAAGCTGTAGCGTGGGAATTATTCCGCGACCTGTAAGCACGCCCTCGACCTCATAACCACCATCCTGTCTCACTATACTTGTCCAAACTTCTCTGCCAGACGAAAAGCGACATCGAGCATGGCAGCCCCTGCCCCCACGACAATGGACGACCTCAAGGCCGTCATCACCCCGGAGCTGCTCCAGCTCATGGTGACCAACCACCTCGGTCATCCCCGCACCTCCCCGCTCAACTACTACGCCTTCATCACCAGCATGTTCACGGGCGGGCCGGCCGTCGATCCCGCACTCCTCCACTCCAAAGTCTGGCCTGCCCTCCTCGCCATATCCCGCTTCCCCGGCGCGCCCGCCAGCTTGACCCCTTCCCTCCTTGCAGAGACATTTCTCCCTCCGCCGGAAGACCCGACCTTTCCGGATCAAGCGCTAGGTCTGATCCTCCTGCTCGACCAGGGGCCCCGGACCTTCTGCAAGGCCAGCGGGGACGCTCCGACCGACGTGCGCTACACGGACGGGTTCTTCGCGCACATTGCGCTGCCCCTGGCGCGGTGGCTGCTGCTCGACGAGGCGCAAGGCGGAGGGCTGTCCGAGCCCTCGCGGCCGAACAGCTGGGCGCGCTGGGAGAGCCGAGGGGTCACGCCGGACTACTACGTGCTGGTCCGGTTCATGTTCGGCGCTGTGCTCGTGCATGCCGAAGAGGCGAGCGCGAGAGCCCAGGCGAGGGCCTACACCGAGGCCGCGAGGCGTTGGGTTGAGGAGCGGTACGGGGTGACTGATCCGTTCCGGGATGCGGGGAATCCGCTGCGGCAGGAGCTGATGGAGAATGACCTGTACGGCTTTCCGCGGATGGTGACGGCAATGGTCAAGGGCGAGTTGCCAGACAAGAAGGGCCTGGAGGAGGGCAAGGTTAATGAGGACGGAAAGCCGTGGATGGGCGTGGCGCAGGGGTTCTTCTTCCTGGCGCTGCTGTTCGACGTGCACCTGCCGCTGCTCGAAGGGTTTGGCCGCTATCCGTATCGTAATGGCGCGATGGGCCGCGTGCATACGCCTGAGGAGGTGGCGTGGATGGCTGGGCAGGACATGTTCAAGGAGCTGCCCGATGAACTCAGGGCGAGGTTGCGGGAGGATGTCGAGGCCGGAAAATGGACTCCTCTGGGTGGCGAGCCCTCGTGAGGAGTGGAATTCATTTTCTGTAACGACCATCTGGACCTTTCGATTTAACTATCTTATATAACCCCAATGGTGCTCTGCCTTTCACCCTCACGAGAAGCACCATCTGTCTTGTTGGAATTTCTGAGCGGATCCCCGCCAATGGTTCCTGATCTTCTCAATCTGCGTGCTTGCTCCATCGCCGAATTCGTTCGCCATACTGATCGGGGAAATCATCATGTCAGTAAGAAAACATCAGTAACGAGGGCATGGTGATGTAGTGCCAGACTCACCTGGTGAAAGATAAAAGGCACGGGGACAAACAGTACTGCAATGCCGCCCAAAAGCGAGTTCCCCGGGCCGACGCCCAGCTTCTCAAACAGAGCGCGTGCCTGCCAGATAAGACCGAGTCGATTGTGTCAGCTAATCAACCCGGGGGTAAATTTCGAAGGGACCAATGATCCCAGGTCAAGATCAGGCTGCCGGGGACAGCAGGAACGACTTACGAAGAGAGGAAACGCGGCCCCCATCCCCGCCCGGAACAAAGCTGCGCCCGCAAACACCGACGCCGCATATTGCGCGTAGATGATGCCGATATAGTTGTAAACTGAGTTGAACAGCGTCACAATGCCCACGGCAAACGTCCCTGAGCCGATGACAGGGGCGATCCAGTGTATGTCAGGGCGGGACGACCAACCGAACCAGAACAGGCACGCTGGGAGGATGACACTGCCGATGAATGCTGGAGGGAGGACTGCCTCCGGTTTGAACCGACTACTCTTGTCCTCGGCGGTGGCGCGAGGGACCAATCTGGTCTTGAGCCACCAGAGCAACGCGGGTACGGATATCGCGGTGAAGACAAGGATGCCTAGAAATACGAGCCCCTGTTGTTGTGGAGTGAAGTGGTAGATCTCGCCAAACACCAATGGAAAGGACTCGAACCAGATGAAAAGTACGCCATACAGCAGGCCAGCGTACAGATCGACGAGAAAGATGATCGGTTCCGTAAAAGTCAGCGTGAACGCCCTCGCCAGCAGTCGCATGATATCCCCCCAGTGAGACCTCGTGCTGTGGCCGGCCTCGAGCTCGGCCTTTGTCATAAAGTTCGGGTTCCCGGTGGCCTTGCGCAGTCTTCGGGCACGATCATGCAAGATCTTGGGCCCGCTCGTCTCGGGGAGGAAGAAGAACATCAACCCGAGCACGAAGATGCAAAGAAATGTAAAGACCCATATCGTCCAGCGCCAGCCCATGGCAGGTGCTAAAAACCCGCCGATCACAGGCCCAAATACCGGGCCCATCACGCCCGCAGACGACCAGAGCACGAGATAAGAGGAACTGACGAGGGAGGGTATATGTCCGTGATTGTCCCGCCGCCTGTGGAAAGGCACGGGCTGCCACAGAACCCGGTGACGAAGCGAAAGACGAGGAAGCAGGTAATGTTCGGGGCGAAGCCGACGGGGAGCTGGAATACGATGAAGGCGAGGAGAGTGTAGAAGAATATGCCAGTCCGGCCCAGCTGGGGCATCTCGGAAAGCGGCGACCAGAGCATGGGGCCGGTGCCGTAGCCGCTGTGACATCTCATGGTAGGCAATTAGTGATTCGTGCTTGAGACACATGCCTTGAAGAAGTTGAATGGCCGCTAGCAGGACACAATTGACTTACATTGTGAACAGTGACAGTCCCAGGGTGGCTACGACGGAACTGACGCCAAACTCCTCCATCAGGTCTGGCTCGCCGGGCACGTAGATGGAGCTGGCAATGTAGACAGCAAAGTTGAGCAGGCAGATCTGGAACATTAAGGAGTGCTTCAGTGCATTTGACCAATTCTGTGGGTTCTTAAAGGGCAAACGCTGTCAGCTTCAAAATATTGCAGTCGTTACATGTTGCATTGGGACATACCTCTGGGTCGTCTCGGCTGTACCAGTCCACGATGAGGGCGCGCGAGCCATCACCGAAGTTTGGTGCGCTGTGGTTCCTGGAGGTTGGGGACGACTGGTGTCCCGAGCCATCAAGTCTCTGTCGTTCATGCGCACTTTCGAGATTGTTGCCTTGAACTGCCCATGCTGACGACGCCGACTGCAACAGATTCGGGTCCCTCTCTTCGGCATGTAGGAAGACCTTGCCGCCAGTGAGTCGCCGCACGAGCTGCCCAAATATGGTGCTTTCCGTATGCAGAGTTGCCATGATCGTCGGCCAGTCGATGGTGTGAGGCGAAATGTGAGGGTGGTTCTTTCACTGGCCACATCCAAGGAAATTTATTTGCCTAGAAACGTTTCTTGTGGCTGCCGATTAACGTGGGGAATCCAGAAGACATGCCACCAGCTTCCTGATCGGCACGCAGCACTGAGCAAGCGAATGCTGAAGCCTTTTAAATCAGTTTCAGTTATGTGCACTGCTTTCCTCTTTCAGTCATGGAAGCCTGATGTGCACGCCACAGCCTTTTCTCAAGCATGCAGGAGCCTCAAGGAGAAAATGCCATGCCACTCCCGCAATATTGAGCCCTGATGGAGTCTTTTGTGTATGTTTTGTGGATGTGATGTGGCACTGTCCAGCAATCGATCGCCCTCCACTTCTTCGACGTGGTTGAGGTCGTACCTCACTGACGAATGGACTTGTGGATCAACAAGTCCTAAGTCCTAAGTCCGTGAGCACTGTCTCAGACAACAAGAGTCTACACGGGCGGAGATTATGGGCTGGTGACGGGTGCTGCGCATCACAGCTCTGCCGATCCGGGTCGCGACAACAGTTAACTCCATTAACCCCGAGGACGGCACTACATCGCGAGCGGCTCTACGCTGGCTCTTCCTCAACTCTCTCCACAGTAACGAGGTTTTTGGATTGGCATGCTACAGAAGAGAACCTTTGAGAATCAAGTCCTGCTCCCAAATGACGAATTTGGTTGTTTTCAGTACCAATTCTGCTTCAATCTGAAGTAAAGGCCGCCCTCTCTTAGATATGTCTGATTTAACACCCAAGTGTCCATCATAACAATAGCTTGAGCTGCTTGATCCAAATGGCCGGACTCAACCTGCTACCGTTAGGGCGAGAAATCACGCTGCCGCGAAAGCACACATCCCACTTGCAGACCAAATGAACAACTGCATGCCTCGGCTGGCGTTCGACTTGAGGCGCTCCACCCCGCGTTCTATCAACCTGCCGAAAACACAATTCTGCCACCCAAGAGCATAAATACTTCCTGGTATAGCAATGAATGGCTTGACTTGTTGATCTGACGTCGATTATGGCAAGGCATTCTCCCAAACGTTGTTTTGGCACATCGTCGCAGAGCGTAGACAAAGGAATTGGTTGCGTTGTCCGCAAGATGATTTGCCATAATAATTGAGGCTTTACATGCATTCCTCCACTCCTTTCTCCGAAATAAAGAGTTTATTGAGCCTAGCTTGACTTGCAATATGACCTGCAATTTCAAGTAGAAGCCCTGACTGAGAAGAGCACCAGCATCTTAGTTGACATCTGAGCTACTGGCACGCCACAGACACGGTTGTCCTCCAACGCGCAGAACGGCAAGGCCTCCGTTGGAGAGGAATCATGGACATACGCTACAGATTCGAACGGTTCAAAATGCGTGAATGCAGGGGCGCCATACAACATATATACTTCAAGTCCTCGGTGCACGACAACAAGCTCCACCGCTTGGACGGCAGTGACATGTGGGATCCACCTGCCTAGCCCAACGGGCGGACCACGATGGAGAGAAAACCCTGAATGCAAGGGACATGGAACATATGCACAGGTCTAAACCCAAAGGAGGCATGAATGTGGTCAGGCCCATTGGCAAGGGTTGGCGTCGTCCGGGATTGACCTCTCTCTGCCTCCCATTCTCCTCGCCATGGAAGACCTTGGCCATTCTCTGCCCCTCCGCCCGGCCACTACCCTCCTCTAGCGCCTAATCTGATCCGTACGAGGTCGCCAGGTCCTTTTTTCCTCTTTCAGTCTAAGACACTCTTGCCATCCCAGCATCCTCTCCTTCTCGCGAGACTCGTACCCATTTGCCTCTGCGGGCGCGTCGGGCCTTGCCGCTGTGCCACTGCCTCCGAGTGCCATGCAGCTCGTCTTTGTCCCAAGCGATGGAGCTGCCAAGATCAGCACGTTGGAGCGGCAGCTCATCCGCCGCCACTGCATGCAAGGCAAAAACAAGCGAGCCGACTCCCGCCGCTCCCGCCGCGAGGCTGCTCGTAGGGCTGCCGCTGCTGTTGTCGCCGCCAGCCGGGCACAAAGGGATTTCCAGGATGATAATGCCCTGCAGCTGCAGGAAGACAACGGCCCGCCGCACCTTGCAGTAACGCCGTTGGTGGCGGAGGGCAGTCCGCCCTATCGGAGCCGCATCGCCACGCCACTGCAATCCGATTGGACAATGTACCCGTTTCCGGTAGCTCTGGGCTACTCGGACGCAGAGCTGATATACACGTGTAAGTCCTGCTCGCTCGCTCACGGGTATAGTAGAGCTGCGTTGCATAGTGCCGGCACGGCGCGAGAGAGACTCTTGCTGAGACGACGATGCCTCGACAGATCTGGACAACAACCCCGTGCGGGACACGCTGTATCCCTTCTACCACTTTGGCGCCGTCATCGACATCGACGAGGACCCGACACACTGCGTCCGCCGCCTGCTCACCGACAACCTATGCCTCCACGGCATCCTCGTCATGACCTCGGCGTCGCGGGACCTGCTCCTCCACCGGCCCATGTCCACCGCCACGCGCGGCCACCTGCGCAACATGATCCCGCTGCTCAACAGCCAGCTGGGGCAGGCCGGCGCCCACCGCGACGACATGGTGCTCTTCCTGGTCAGTGTCCTCGCGTGCGTGGCCATCCTGTTCCATGACTACGATGCCGCGCGTGCACACGCCGCCGGCATCCGCCAGATACTGGGCCTGCGTGGGGACTGGGCGACCGTGCTCAGCACGCACCCAAGTGTGCAATTCTCGGTTGATCGGTGGGTTTCCTGCTTTACTAATACTCTTGCCCCATCAAGAGTTCAAGGGTTGAGAGACAAGGAAAGAGCTACGGGGTTGCTGACAGTTCCGTTATTCATAGCCTCAACTTCCTCAGCGCCCTATCCACAACGCACTGGGACCCCATCTACTCGAGCAAGATCTGGGAAGCTCCAGTTTATCCCAGCCACGTCCACCGGCTGTACGAGTCCCTCGACATGCTCGACCTCGAGTCGCTGCTTCTCCCCACGACGCCCACAGCCACTCGTCTCACTGGCTCGAGCAGTCGCTACAACGAGGAGTATCATGAGGACCAGTACAACGAAGAACAAGACTACAGGCATCTGGCCGGCCTGTTCCGTCATTTCCAGAACCCGTCGATCCTGATCAATGAGCACAGCTCCTCCGGCCTGCCGATGGACGCCAAGATGATCCGCCAGTACCAGGGCCACAACCTCGCGCACCTGATCGATCTGGACAGGCACTATCGCGAACTGCTGGCGTCCATTACCGCGGACGGTTATGACACCAGGCTAAGTAGTAGTCCTCTTGGAGCTGATGATATTGGCGGCGTGAGCAACGAGGATGCCATATTCCAGCACGGATCCACGACTGACACGGGCAACGATTACGGTCAAGAGTACCCCCGCAACGACCCTGGCCTGAACTACACCGCGCCATGGCAGCAGCAGCACCGGCTGCGGCTCGCGCACTGCATCGTCCTAGGCGCCGCGCTTTTGGCGTTCCTAACCACCTCCGTGCCCCTGCGGCGGCGCCGGCACTCCACATCATACTCTTCACCACCGCCAACAGGCCAGCACGCCGAAAATCACGGAATCGATGGCCACAGCGCGTTTTGCGGCAGCACTGGTGGCGGAGAGAGGGACTTGAGGTGGGAGCTCCTGGACACGTATGTCACCTTAGCCAGTGGTGGCGGTGATGGCGATTCTTGGTCACCGCTGGGCGACGAACGACTCGAGATATGGCTGCTGCTTGTGCTGCAGATGTCTGGCTCGCTCGCGGCGAGGCGTCAGCAGAAGCAGGACCATGAGCGATACCAGCAGCAACAACATAAACAACGACAACACCAAGATGACCGCAGCCGCAGCTACAGCCACGATACCTGCGACTCACAGGCGTCGTCGCCAGGCCGCATCATACAAGGCAAAGACGGACGAGACGTGGTGAGAAGAGCCTGGCGCAGGCTCGTGGTCGACCGCGGGCTTAGCTGGGACGAGGCCCGGGTGCGTGCAAGAAAGCTCATCTGGTGCGATGTGTTTCACGATGATCTGGGCCGGGCAGCTTTCCTGGAGCTGTGCAAAGAGAGTCTGTTGGGTGTATGAGGCCTTGGTGGTCTGACCATTAGGCAAAGTTGAAAGCGCATCGCGATTATGGATCGCAAAGTCTCCTAACACGTGTTGTCTACTAGTCCTGCGATGCTACCTCGGTGGGAAAGGAAGCCAGCCGCAAGCGAAGCTCCTGGTCTTCCTCCTGGATGACCTCTGCGGCCTGGAATCTCGTCCTGTCGTCCTCCCACGCCATGGTTGCAAATACAACGTATCTTGCCATGCACACCGGGCCGTGCCAGTTTGTGCCGGCAACGTCCCACAGCTCTCTGTGCGTCTCACGTTGTCAGGCTAGGCACAGCCACGACATGGCCTCTTGCTATTCTAACGTGAGTGTCTTCCTAGCATTCAATTGCGCTAGATCTCTATTCTGACTTCATTGTTTTGCTGGGTAGTTGTACTGACGAACGACCAGGTGGAAGTCTTGGCTGCTCGCATCCCGCTGACAGCCCAGTATTGACAGGGGCTTTCTACACAAGATGAGTTTTGGTCTTTGACAGCAGTGCCTCCACCTTCGCACTGCCACTTTGCTAGTTGATGCCATTGTCAATCACCCACACGACTGGGGGGCGCGAAGGAATGGGATAAGGTCAACATCGGCAGCAACTGCTGCAGGTCGTCAACCGTGAATCGTCAAAGAAACCGAGCACAACTTATTGTAGACTCCCGAGCTTTGAAAGACTCCGCATAGAGTTGGATGCAGAGGCATCTTGGAAGAATCAGCCGTACCGATGGCGATGGCAGTGCAACTGGACGGCATAGGCATTGGTATGTGACAATGTCTGGGCCATGCTTCGGGATTGCATCGACAGCAGAATGCGCACGGAGTTTCTTGACCTCAACTGCAGCCCTATCCTGTCTACATTTCTTTGCAAGGCATGGTCTGGAGGGCCGGGCAGCGCTGCCTGCCTGCTGACTTGGAATCCACGTGACCTGTGTGTGCGCGGCAAGCAAGCGGTAGCAATCCAGGAGGTAGCTGGGCGCCTACTGCTTCACGCCACAGGGGTCATCTGTTGCACAGCAGCCTTGCGATTGGCACAATTCTTCTGTCCCGGGGCACACAACCAACAATCAGCGGCTGGGCATGCACTGCCCCAAACCCCCAAACCCTCCGCACAGGGATGGGGACTCGCAAGGCCGTCCAGTTCTGCTCCAGGCAGTAAGGCATTCTTGGGTCCTGCGGACTCCTTTGCAAGAGATTGTTCAACGGTAAAAAGAAATTGTCCAAAGCAATTCCGCGACTCGAGAAAAACTCCACCACTCAATAGTCCGCCATCTCGCTCTCGTCAACCATGGCCTCCCGGAAACGACGGCGTGAGTCAACACCCCCAAGACGCCCGTGCCGCATTCCACAACGAACCGAGCCATATCGATACGACCCACTGCCGAGGAGGAGCTCGCTCCGCATCCTGCACCTCCTGCCCGGCCACGGACATGACGTTATCTCCTGCCGACTGGATATTGTTGACGGCGATGCAGCGCCTCCCTACGAAGCAATCTCCTATACGTGGGGCAAACCGACCGACAAGAGGCTCATTCTCTGCGGCGGTGGCAAGCTGCGTGTCCCGACCAGTCTACGCGACATCCTGCAAAACCTCCGAAGCCCCCGCCAGACCCTGACGTTATGGGCCGATGCTGTGTGCATCAACCAGCAGGATGACCTGGAAAAGGGCCACCAAGTCAAAATCATGGGCGCCATCTTTGCCAACGCCACTCGTGTCCTGGCCTGGCTTGGCAAAGAACCGTTGGGTGGTCCACCAGAGTACAGACTCGATCAAGGAGTTGATTGGGGCGAAGAAAGAGATGCCACATCGCTCGATGAAATAATCATTGAGACACGGAGGCGACTCGATCGGCTGATCTCAGATATCGAAGAGAGAACTTTATCTGTCGATCCCTCAAAATTCAATGACGAGAATTATCAGACGTCCTGGGCCTGCTTGGTCAAACTCCTAAGGAGGCCTTGGTTCTACAGGTTGTGGGTGGTTCAGGAAGTACACAGGCCCTTAAACCAAGCCCCCTACCGTTGGATACACTAGCATGATCTTCCGTTCCGTTTTGTGAGGCCCACTTAATCCGACGCCCGGATATGGCTTGACGATAAGCCCGGATCCCGTTTCTTGTCTTCGGAGCTACTGTTATACCTTGACTAGTTATTCAACTTCTGCTAAGCTTGCGGGATAGGCTAGGAAACCTATAAGCCGTACTGTCCACCTCCCTATATTCCCTTCCCCCTTGTCACGATCCTGCCTCCGGGGTCAGCCGTCTGGCAGGGCGCTGGGGTTGCTGTTCTGCAAGATAGGTAAAGCCTGTACAATAACAACTAACACTCTGCTGTCGTTCTCTCTCTGGGTTGTCGTTCGTGTCTCTTGGAAGAGATACCAGTCTCGGCAATTGAGTGACTAGTTCAAGTGTGGGTGAAACTGATACTTAGATTGATCGCTGAGGATGAAAGGCTAAACTAATTACTCTGGGGCATTCGGCCCCTTTATGTATTCTTTCCTCCTCATCGCTCATGTCATGTTTGTGGTGACAAACACGAACAAACACCAACAAACCGTCAGTGGATCACTGGTCCGGGTTTGTGGATCACCGTGATCCGGTTGGTGGATCACCGTGATCCTGGTGTGAGGCTCACTGGCTCACCTAGTGAGCCGGTGATCCTTCCTATCGATAACCTTGCTGACATAAGGAGATTTCTTACGTAACCTGGGGTGTGCCCGTCCCGCGTGCATGACCTGCCCTTGTCCTTGGCCCGATCCTGCGACCTGTTGGTCGGGTCGTCACACCCCTTATCCTCCTTTTCTTTCATATTTACTACGTCCCGTATAAGTGATAACGTAGTCCACAAGCAAGTGAGCCACCCAAGCGAGTGAGCCACTCCTTATCGCTGCTTATATAAGGATCTTTAACCCTTTATAACTTCCTTATTTATAGAGATAACGGAACGTAGTAACTTATATTCGAAAACGATAAGCGTAATTTACCTTCTACTAGAGTATCTTAGTAAAATAACGGTTCCTTTACTATCAGATTAGGAATCTAGGAGTACTTAGTCTCCACTTTTCTTAGTTAGCTATAACGTAATCCACAAGTGACTGAGACACATGTGACGGCCAACCAACAGGGGATGTTTGTTACGGGCGCGAAAGAGCCCCCTAGGCCACAGGATCAGGCCAAGGGCGAGGGCGGATCATGTGGCAGCACCGTCACAGGTTTCTTATGTAAGCACGATAAGGGACGATAAGGAAGGTACGTACCGGTCATGCATATCTGCATGACCGACGCCGTGCCAAGAAGGATGGTCACCAATATCTGCATGACCATCAGGACCAGATTCATGACCTGGCCGCGACCATCGGGCTCAGAGTCATGACCACGATGAAGGACAAAGGATATATAGAGTACGGAGGATCTCCTTGTAGACAGTCATTACCTTTGTACTTCAGCGATCAATCTAAGTATCAGTTTCACCCACACTTGAACTAGTCACTCAATTGCCGAGACTGGTATCTCTTCCAAGAGACACGAACGACAACCCAGAGAGAGAACGACAGCAGAGTGTTAGTTGTTATTGCACAGGCTTTACCTATCTTGCGGAACAGCAACCCCAGCGCCCTGCCAGACGGTTGACCCCGGAGGCAGGATCGTGACAACACACAAGTGAATGAGACACTTTCAGGGTACTCGTACGATAATGTATAAGAGAATTCAACCACAACGCCTTAAATCAATTGAAACTATGAGGAATCCTCTTCTTCAGAGGCAGATACAACTTTCTGACACGTACGAGCATTATGGCCAGGCTCGCCGCAGACGCCACATCGTCGCGCGCGCGTTTCGGGCCTCCTCGTACGACCACTATTCTGACTCGTTTCCGCCATTAACTGCTGCGTCGCATCGATTTGAGCCTTCAAATCCTTTGCCTGATCAATCGTGAGGGACCCTCCTTTCTGTAGCTGCTTTCTTTTCGTACGACGACGGCGGCTGAGGCGGTCGTTTGCATCTCGAAGTTCGGCGAGCTCTTGGCGCATAAGGTCCTGCTCGTGTACCATCATTATGACTCCTTTTCTTAGCTGCCGTACGCTCTTAACAATGGACGACGGTGAGCTATTCTGGTGTCGTACGATGCGATTTTCAATATACTTCGTCTGCGATTCGGTCTCAATTGGGTTGTTCGGCGTCTTTGAAACCCATGGGGGTGGTAGTCCAGCAGAGGAACCTGGCGGTGTCGGCGTATGAAACTTCACATCTAGCTGTGAAATCACATAATTCGGGTCGTACGGTACTAGGCCTGTCGCTCTGAAGCCTGCCTGGATGTTTGATTTGGTCATTGCAGCGTCGTACGCCTTATAAAAGGCTGGGAGGAAGTCCTCCTTTGAAACGTGGGTTACGTGCGCCCGCATTAGACCTTCGATTTCTTTACCGTACGCCCGTTTCAGAGGTCCAAAACACCCAACATCGAGAGGCTGGAGCTTATGCGACGAATGAGCAGGCATACAGAGGGTAACAATATTCTGTTTTTTGCAGTAGAGCTCGAAATCGACGGAATGGTGGCTCTCGTGGCCGTCGAGGATAAGGAGGCGGTGGGTACCCTTCGTACGACTCTTTGTATGGAAATCAAAGTGTTTTACCCATTCTAGGCCTCTCTCGTTCGTCGTCCAACCGTTTTCTGAAAGCGCGATTACCCAGTTGGCCGGTAGAGGGCTATTCGCGGTCCAGGAGTCGAGGTGGACCTTCCCGGCGAAGATGATATATGGCGGGATTGAATAGCCGTACGACGCGATGCCCTGGATTACTGTAACCCATTCCTAATTCCCTTGTTGTACGGCTCTTGGCCTCCCGCGTCGATCGGAGGTCGTAACGACAGTTTCGGCGGAGATTTTGCCCATCGCGAAGCCCGTTTCGTCGAAGTTATAGATATCGTCATCGTGGATCCCGTATTTCGCGATTATGTTTCGTACGAGCGTAAACCACGCGTGATACGCGTCCGGATCTTCGCAAAGGACCCTCTGGTAATCGATTCTTCGATTAAAACGCGTGCGGAGCTCAGGTCGTCGTCGTACGAAGTTCGAGGCCCAGTTCGTTCCGACGTGTGGCGCGTCGCGTACGCGGAGGAGTCGATCCGCCATTTCTCGAACACCACCTAATCGCGGTGGAAACGATCGCGAATCTAGGTCGATTATATATCGTACGATGCTGTCCTCTTCGTACGAGGTCAATTTCTGGCAGGGTGGTCGGATATCGCGTTTCGCAGCTTGGCCGTTTCGTCGTCGTGAGAGGGTCGCATGGGATACATTATAGAGTAGTGCAGCCTTTCGTACGCTTAATTTTGGGTTTGAATGGAGCGCATTAAGCGCTAGGATAAGGTCGCTTTCATTTGATTGTCGTCCCATTATTGTTGGTGGAGAAAAGGGGGAAAGAAGACAGCCTGTACGAAAGTGGCGGGGGACTGATTCATCCACTTGTGTGATTCACCCACTTGTGGATTACGTTACGTTAAAACTACTTATTTAACGTAATCCACAAGTGACTGAGACACACAAGTGAATGAGACACTTTCCGCCCATTCTTAACCCCCCATTTTCTTTCCTCCTTTTCTCCACCAACAATAATGGGACGACAATCAAATGAAAGCGACCTTATCCTAGCGCTTAATGCGCTCCATTCAAACCCAAAATTAAGCGTACGAAAGGCTGCACTACTCTATAATGTATCCCATGCGACCCTCTCACGACGACGAAACGGCCAAGCTGCGAAACGCGATATCCGACCACCCTGCCAGAAATTGACCTCGTACGAAGAGGACAGCATCGTACGATATATAATCGACCTAGATTCGCGATCGTTTCCACCGCGATTAGGTGGTGTTCGAGAAATGGCGGATCGACTCCTCCGCGTACGCGACGCGCCACACGTCGGAACGAACTGGGCCTCGAACTTCGTACGACGACGACCTGAGCTCCGCACGCGTTTTAATCGAAGAATCGATTACCAGAGGGTCCTTTGCGAAGATCCGGACGCGTATCACGCGTGGTTTACGCTCGTACGAAACATAATCGCGAAATACGGGATCCACGATGACGATATCTATAACTTCGACGAAACGGGCTTCGCGATGGGCAAAATCTCCGCCGAAACTGTCGTTACGACCTCCGATCGACGCGGGAGGCCAAGAGCCGTACAACAAGGGAATTAGGAATGGGTTACAGTAATCCAGGGCATCGCGTCGTACGGCTATTCAATCCCGCCATATATCATCTTCGCCGGGAAGGTCCACCTCGACTCCTGGACCGCGAATAGCCCTCTACCGGCCAACTGGGTAATCGCGCTTTCAGAAAACGGTTGGACGACGAACGAGAGAGGCCTAGAATGGGTAAAACACTTTGATTTCCATACAAAGAGTCGTACGAAGGGTACCCACCGCCTCCTTATCCTCGACGGCCACGAGAGCCACCATTCCGTCGATTTCGAGCTCTACTGCAAAAAACAGAATATTGTTACCCTCTGTATGCCTGCTCATTCGTCGCATAAGCTCCAGCCTCTCGATGTTGGGTGTTTTGGACCTCTGAAACGGGCGTACGGTAAAGAAATCGAAGGTCTAATGCGGGCGCACGTAACCCACGTTTCAAAGGAGGACTTCCTCCCAGCCTTTTATAAGGCGTACGACGCTGCAATGACCAAATCAAACATCCAGGCAGGCTTCAGAGCGACAGGCCTAGTACCGTACGACCCGAATTATGTGATTTCACAGCTAGATGTGAAGTTTCATACGCCGACACCGCCAGGTTCCTCTGCTGGACTACCACCCCCATGGGTTTCAAAGACGCCGAACAACCCAATTGAGACCGAATCGCAGACGAAGTATATTGAAAATCGCATCGTACGACACCAGAATAGCTCACCGTCGTCCATTGTTAAGAGCGTACGGCAGCTAAGAAAAGGAGTCATAATGATGGTACACGAGCAGGACCTTATGCGCCAAGAGCTCGCCGAACTTCGAGATGCAAACGACCGCCTCAGCCGCCGTCGTCGTACGAAAAGAAAGCAGCTACAGAAAGGAGGGTCCCTCACGATTGATCAGGCAAAGGATTTGAAGGCTCAAATCGATGCGACGCAGCAGTTAATGGCGGAAACGAGTCAGAATAGTGGTCGTACGAGGAGGCCCGAAACGCGCGCGCGACGATGTGGCGTCTGCGGCGAGCCTGGCCATAATGCTCGTACGTGTCAGAAAGTTGTATCTGCCTCTGAAGAAGAGGATTCCTCATAGTTTCAATTGATTTAAGGCGTTATGGTTAATTTGACTTATATAT